CTGCCTCCTTTCATGCTGAAGATGCAAGGCTTTCCCACGCAACCCAGCACTGCAGTCCGCATCTTTTCCCTTCTAGCATGACAATGCTGATTTGTGGCCACAACTCTGCATCACAGACTTCCGTATTGATATGGGGAGGGTGGATGTTTCTTCCTGATACAGAGCGCGGCAGAATCTCCTCCTCGCCCGACGAAGCTGAGGAGCTGCGGTTGGAACCCCGTCCGCAATCCCCCATCGACCGGTCGAGCCGCTTTTCCCTCAACTTTGGCCGGGAACGTGAAGTTTTTTACAACAGCAAGGCCTTCACCGCGCGGGAGCTGCAGCACCGCGCCAGGTTGTACAACAACCAGCTCGAGCAGCAGGGAGTACAGGACAACCAACTGGAAATACCTGCGGAACTTTTGCAGCGCGTATGAACTGCAAAATTATCGTACTCGTATAAATGCATTACAAATTTTCTCAGCATGAGAAATAAAATTTGTAATGCTGATTTCCCTTGGGAACAAGATTTGTGATGCAAGACTTGCATTTATACAAGTACGATACTTTTGCACAGGATAGCGCGAACTCTCCGAAAACTACGCGCGCCGTCGCGTCAGTTCCAAGCTCGAAATCAATAATCCGTTCTTCATGCACCCCGGCGCCACGCCTATGTCAATGGACGGGCGCCGATCCTCGCGGCGTCTCTCTGTTGGGAACCAGAGCAACACGATGAACTCGCGGCAGCCGTCGGAGTACATCTAGTATGCATTGATTGCAAATTATTATATCTCAGGGTCTGGAGTTTATCTGAACCTGAAGTACGTACACCAGGATCCATCTGTGATGCCTATGACTGGCTACGAGACGGCGCGAGTTTTTCTGGCGTACTGTGAAACTCAGTTTGTCGTGCGCCTTGCGAAGCAGGAATCTGCAAAAATAGATATGTCCCGCGAAATTTGCTCTCATACTGTTATGCCGTACAAGCACAAGCGGCAGTATTCCGAGATATTACGTGTATCAGCAACACAAATATATTCCAGACTCAGTAGACACAATATTTGCAAAGCATATCTCCGGCCGGTACACCAAAACGTACGGTGACAATGTCTTTTACGACCATACGCCCACCCTGGTGGAGGGCCAGTCCATGACGTTTCGCACGAGCGGACGCCCGAGCGTCGGCGGTTCCTACGGCGTATCAACTGCAAAAATGTCTGGGTCTGGAAGAGTGCCCGACTTGTCATGCTGGTTTTCCATGACCCATGAGGTCTGGTATGTAGGACATAGCATGACAGATTCTGTGAGAGTTCTATCATGCCTATCCTGCATGGGAAACTGCCTCTCGATTAGGTCAAAAGTGGACAGCTTTTGGTAATCATGCAACACAGGTTTTTACATGATTCAGATTTAGCATGACGAGTTGCTTTGTTCCAGACCCAGACATTTTTGCATTTGATACGGCGGAGCAGTAGGCCCGAGCAACCGGTTTGGCGGCCGGCTTTCGGACTATGAAGTGTACAACGCGGGTATTCAGAGGAAAAATCCCCCGTCCCCATATTGATGAGAACGCATCCTGCTGAAGATTTGTGATGCAGATTTGTGACCACAAATCGGGTCTGTCTTGCAAGAAGGCCCGCTCAGGCTGTCCGCCACGTTACTTATGCGGGCGATTTGTAGTGCTGTAAGTCCTACAGGGTAGCCGTCTACCATGCTAGGCACTTACACCAAAAGGCCTCCACCTAGGCTCAGGATCTTCGTGCAGTCCTCTACCGCAAGACAAATCTGATTTGTGTACGCAAATCCAGCATCACAGATTTCCTTTTCGATATGGGGAAGTGGGATTTTTCCTTTTGATAGCTGGGCGACGATCCACGACGGTCTTCGACAACCCGCGCGCGTCGACCGACCAAGATTCGACGCCGACTCCGGTTTATGCATTGCAAATTTGTCTGGGTCTGGCAGGTGGCAACTTGTGATGCTGTCTCTGCATTCTAAAAAAATCTGTATTGCATGAGTACCAAAGGGAATGCAACTTTTGCTACGCTGAGAAGGCATTTGTCATGCGGAATAGGCATCAAGAAGCCCTCAAAAAATCTGTATTGCTCGGGTATGCATCACAGACGTCATGGCTCATGCAAAACGTGCGTGACAAGTGTCAGAATCTTCCAGACCCAGACACTTTTTCAGTTGATACGGTTGTAGGACCACACCACAATGCGCCGTTCCGGCGCTCGAGATCGTCGACCAATTACTCTGCCATTGACGCGATGCGCTATCCAATGCAAATATGTCTGGGTCCGGTCTGGAAGAGTCCGAGAATTGTCATGCTACTCTGGCATGACTCTAAACTCTGTATTGCGTGGCCGCGAAACGCTCCTCTTGCCTGTCATGCAGAAACGCAGTTTCTCATGCGGAGAGCGCAACTCAGAACCACGAAAGAACTTGTCATGCTTTCCCGCGCATTAGAGTGTGCTCCCTGTACCCTTTCTTGCATCACAAGTTTCCAGACCCAGACATATTTGCAATGCATATGGGCCGCGCTGGAACGATTTGGGACCAACCCGATTACACCATGGAAGAAGCGCGGCGGCACCTGCATTTCGGCAAAAATAAAAGCAGCCCCTCCACGATCAACGAGCAGCCCACTTCGAGCTCGGGCGAGCACCACACAACGACAAACAGCGGCAGTTTTCAGGGCACCAGTCTCAGCTTTGGACTGCCGGAGGTAACCAGCAGTGCTGCGAAGATGGTGGATCAGCATGGCAGCAAGAAAGTAGAGGACAAGATGGATACTGCTAGTAGAGACCCTGATAGTCTTTTTTTTCGTAGTGGGGCCGCCAGCAGTATAAAAGGCCACGACACAGCAGACGCCTCTCCCAGTTCTGCACCCCCCGGTGGGGGCTTGCGGGACAGCGAGCTTCTCGCGGAAGACAGCGTGGGCGGCAACAACTACCGACAGCTGTTTTTGAATCTGCCGACCGGAAGTACGAGTAGAACGAAAACTGGTGTTGCCGAGGAACAAGGGTCTTCACGACCGAAAAATCTTCATCCGGTAATAGTTGGTGAACCGAAAGGGGAACTAGGCGTGGGGCAAAATAGAGAACTACACGACGAACCGGAGCAAGTAGACCACGGCGCCCCAAATTATAACTCCTTGTCGCCGAAGAGCAGCCGGCCTTCCGCTGCGGAAAACGTCGCCCCCCTGAACGAGGAGCATTCTTTCGATATCCTGAGTAAAAACGTTCCCATACCAGAGTCAAGATGGAAAATCTGCTAGACAAATCAGCCAACTCTGGCTGTTTCGCATGACAAGTTTGTCCTCGTAGTGCAATTAACCTGTTTAGCTAGTTCAGCAGCATCACAGATCTAGCAGATCATGCTGCTCCTAGTATGACAAATTCCAAAACGCGGCCAGAAAATGCTTCTCATGGGACTACGCATGAGAAACATTGTCAGCATGCAGATTTGCATGACAGCTATGGGGTGGGGATGTTTTTAAATAGCATAGTCGATTTCCTGGAGTCGGGCAACAACGATTCCTCCAGCAGTACCTCTTCCGGCGAGCAGCTGTACCCCACCCTGCACAAGAGGAGCCCGAAAACAACAAGAAGTATGCCACGACACGACACGCCGGACTTTCTCCTGGCCCGAGCTAACACCCGACCGGCGTCGTTGCTGCAGGCAGATCGGGAAACGCGCCGGGCCTTTCACAACCGCGCGCGGGAGGCGTCCAGCCCTACGCTAGAGCGCGCGCGGTCCCGCGGGCTCGTGTCAAAATCCGGGTTGCTAGTAGCAGCAAAACAGAACTAGAGCAAAAACAACTAAGAATGCGAGAGCTTGACAAATAAGTACTTTGTCGGCATGGGACAGTACTAGCACAGCCTGCTAATTTAATATTTGGTGTACATCTATGATGTTGGTGTTGCACAAGACCAGTACCGGATTCGTAAATGCGTCGGAAGATGCCGGAACGCGTTTTTTGTCTTCTTTGTTTTAAGTATACCTCCCACTAATTTCAAATTAATCCTCGTCCTACTACTGGAAGGGTGATGATGTGAGTATCTCTTATATCGGACGACACAGAAGTCACGATCTGTTACCGTTTGCTCTAGTACCAGCCCCGAGAAGAAGTACTTACTAGAGCTGATAGAGCATAATTTGCTTCTAGCAACCTTTCATCTCGACTCTCCTAGCTACTTTTTTTTTCTTTCATTTTTTGCGCGTGCGACCACCAGCACCTGCTGGTCAGGATAAACCTTCAGGGTGAGTATGTTTGATTTGAATATTTGGTTTTGATTTTTTCCGCGGATAAGAAGACTTGCCAGAAAATAACTCGTTGCTCACTTGCGCTGCTTCTTCAGGGAGTATCTATCGCGAGGTGGAGCGCTTCCTACTCCTGCTATGACGTATGAAGTGATGTGTTCGGCAGATGATCCAGACCGTATTTTGTTTTCGATCGCCGTTGGGATAATCGTAGCTACTTACCTTTCGGCACTCAAAAACTCATTTACGGGATCATGCTCTTCTTCGCTGGAACTATGGGAAGATGGGTAGTCTTCACGCACAAACAACATGAACATCGATAATTACTTTCTGATCTATCCTCGTAGAACTTCTGTCGTAGAACAAGGAAAAGTGCATATGTTCTCGAACGCATAACGAAATTCCTATACGACAACAGATTTCTAGCCACCTGAGCGATTTATATGTTTGTAGTTGCCACCAACGTCGGAATTCGGGTTCGCGACTAGAGATGAGAGCGACGATGTTTAGTCAAGTCCTTGCATGTCTTTACCGTTGGAAGAGAAACTTCGTGGTAGAGTGGGCGGATCAACATCACCCTGGCATGATCGTGTAGTACTTTTGGTCGTGAAATAGATTTTATTCGTTTTGTCGTAACGATCGTAGAAAGCGTAGCTGGCGTGTCGTTGCTATTCGGAACGAGAAAACTCGCATTCGTCAAGAATCAAAACGGGGCAGGCTACATTGATTGCCTGTTGCTGTGTCGTATTTTCATCGTTTTACATTGCAAGCACTTAGTTCATCCCCCGCGGGCCCATGACTGCGTGTTGCTTCCATTTCAATTCCATTCCCACATGAGTAAGTGTAGAACGGAACAAGTTGTAGTTGAAGGTCGTTCATCTTTGTTGTAGTAGTCGGGTACTCTCTAATTATCTTTCTGCCCTGAGCCTGACCCAGCAGGAACTCCTGCTATTCTAACAGATGGGCAGGACCGTGCTCTGAACATTGCTTTCTTCAAACCTTCTCTGAACATTGCTTTCTTCAAACGCGTTGTTGTTGGGTCTCCGGTAAGAAGTAGTCGCAGTGGAGGGCGACTACACGCGACAGGCGGACATCAAAACTTCTATACACAACCACAACAAATCCGCCTTCTGCCTTCATCTTCCAGTAGGAACCGAGACAGGACCGGCAGTAGCGTGAAAATGAGTTCGTCCGGTGCAGCTGGTGGCCACCCGAACAACAAGTCGCCCCCTCCCTCGGCCGGGGGCGAGATGCGCGGCATGACGTCCTCGCGCGAGCTATCCTTTTGTAAAAACATCCCCACCTCGTAGTCAAGATGGGGAATCTGCTAGACAAATCCAGAAGTTTTGGGGCTCGCGCATGACAAGTTTGGGGGCGCAGCATAGTCCTGCGTAGGTTTCATCCCAGACGCATCACAAATCCACTCTCTCATGCTGATCCGCGCATGACAAGTTACCCAATACGATGAGAAAATGCCCGTCATGCGGAGCCGCATGATAAATGTTTTCTAGGCAGGCAGATCTGCATGACAACCCTGGGATGGGGACGTTTTTACTCTGGATACGAGCTGAGTCCGGTCGACGGCGAGCACGACTTTATCCAGGACGAGCTTCTGCTGACAAGCCGCACGGTATGAGAGTGCACAACTCCCCGTTTCCCTCATTTGTCATGCGAAATCCCCAATGATCCAATTGCTACCTTGTGGCAATGTTCGCATGGCAAATTCCGGAAGCCCAAACAGTACTACATCTTCACTAGGCGCACCACGAACTTGTCATGCACAGGCTCTACGCGTGCTAGTGTTTGTATTGCTATCCATGCCATACAAATGAGGGGGGAGAGGGAGCTGTGCACTCTCATACACTGCGGCGGATCTGAAACAGAGACGGAGGTGGATCGACTATCTACTCGTCGCGGGACTGGTAATATTCGCGACGGGAATCTTGCTCGATTTCTGTCTGGACACGGGCGTCTGCTTCCACAAGAAATCCGCCCTCCCGCGGCGGGACGACGTTCTCTCGGGGAAGAAGCCCGAAAAAGAAACCACGACCGCCACGGGGGCGCTCAACAAGGAACCGACGGCACGGGACAACTCGCAAGGAAAGAAGGGCAGTGCTAGTGCCAGTGCCAAGAGCCCGCAAAATACGGAGCTGCCGACCGTGCAGCGCACGAACGACAAAGGGGAAACCGTTACCCAGCAGCAATTGGACCACGACTTCGCCAGCGATGCGAATTACCCACTCACGGTGCCGCTGACCTGCGGGAAGAGCCAATTCCTTCCCTGCCTCTGGATCCAGAACGGGGGAAGGCGAGGGAAGAAAAAGTTTCTTTTATGGATTGTAAAAATGTCTGGGTCTGGAAACTTGTGATGTTGGGTGGCGTATCACGAGGAGGCCACAAGTGCTGGCTCAGCATGACAAGTTTTTGAGCTTCTAGGTGCTATGCCTATTCTGCATGACAAACAGCGTTTCTGCATGACAGAAAAGTGGGGCTCTTGTTGGGTAATGTGCATGACAAGTTTAAGAGTCATGTGAGACAAGCATGACAAACTTGCATTCTTCCAGACCCAGACATTTTTGCACTTGATATCCTTCCGGCTCGGACGATACAACGGGCGCCGTGGAGTTTCCCGCCCTGGTATCAAATGCAAAAATGTCTGGGTCTGGAAAAGTGGAACTTGTCATGGTAAATCAGGATTATGCAATAAAAATCTGTGTTGCATGATGACCAAAAGGTGTCCACTTTTGACCAAGTTGAGAAGCAGTTTCTGATGCAGGATAGGCATGATGGAGACCTCGCAGAAGCTGTGATGCTAGGATCTGCATTCCAAACCTCATTGGCCATTCAAAATGTGCATGACAAGTCTTGCATTCTTCCAGACCCAGACATTTTTGCATTTGATACCTGGAACCCAGCGACAAGACGACACTGAAGCTCGAGTTTGTCATCCTAAACGATGACACCCCGAGCGACATCGCAGCCACTGAGGACTGGAAGGACCACGGCTTTCTCACGTCGGCTCCGTTTCTATGAAAGTGCACAACTCCCCCTCCCCCTCCTATGGATGGCATCCACAGCAACACAAGTGCTGGCACAGATGCGGCTTTTGCATGACAGATTCGCGACCGATTCTAGTGCAGTTTCGGCTTCGAGAATCTGTCATGCAAGCAGTGCCACCGGGCAAAGGGGGGATTTGGCATTTTGCATGACAAATGAGGGGGAGGGGGAATTATGCACTCCCATAGTTTCCCACCAAGCCGGAAGTGGAGAACTTCTACCTGGAAAACCACTACTATGGTAGTGTCAGGATGGAAATCGACAGAGTTGAAATAATTTGTGATGCATCAAATGCAACCCACAGAATGCCTGTCTTGCAGAGTAGGCAAGGCAGGCAGATTGCAAGCCTGTTGCGGGGTTGTTGAAACTGAGCTGCTAAAGTAGCATGACAAAAGGCGTCTTCCTTACCCAAACAGCATGACAAGCTGGATTTCGGTTCTACCCAAATTTGTCATGCGCCACTTGGAAGCTTGGTTACAACTGGCGTCCATTTTATGCATGGCGAATCATTTCAATTTTGACGATTTCAATCCTGACACTTCCATAGCTACTACGCAAGCGACGACATGGAACTCTCTTCGACCCTCGTGCAGGGCAAAAACGCGGCGCAGAAACCGCTGAAAAACTCGAATTTGCAGCAGACGCACCTCGGCGGAGGCGGGAGCAGTAGTAGTAGCAGTTCTTTCAATATCGCATGAAAAAAGTGTTACAGTTACACATTTGTTGGAATTTCAGCATCACAAAGTTGCTCTGCATGTCAAGGAATAAAACTTGTGATGCGCAGACTATAAGGGAAAACACGAATGAAATGAGGCTGGCAGGCATTTCCTGCATGACAGAGGTTGTCTGTCTTGCTTGTCTTGCATCAGAGTGTGGAACTGTATTAACAATTTTTTCTCACGATATTTAGTGCAGCCTCTTTCATCCAGATTGACGAGAAAGAGGAGCTACCAAATGTAAATATGTCTGGATCTGGAAGATTCCCAGGTTTGTCATGCATATTTTGCATGACCCATGACGCCTGTGATGCATGACCTAGCATCGCAGAGTTTTAGGGGGCTTCCTTATGCCCAATCCGCATGAGAAATATTGCCCGCTCCTTGTAGCAGAAACTGCGCTCCTCTTGCTAGTCATGTATATACAGATTTTTTATTTTTTAGGATTCAAGGAGAGCATCACAAATTGCAATCTTTCAGAGGACCCAGACATATTTGTATTTGATAGGAGCCGCTGCCCTCGGCCGCCAGCGTCCTGGAAAAGAGAAGAAGCGTCGCAGAACTTCTAGTAGAGGACAAGTCCGACTACGATCATGATGATCTTTCGTTTTCGAAGTTACTAGAAGTGGGAACTTCTACAGGTGGCGGTGGACAACAACCTGCGCCACAGCAGGAACATGTGCTGCTGCACAGTACAGCAGGAGAAGGAACAAGCGCGGCGGGAACAACAAATCCTGGAAGTAGAGAAGTTGCGGACCTGATGTCGGGAAAAAGTTCTTCCTCTTTCGCGCAAAGCCGGGCCGCGGTGGGAGTCGCGGATCGTTCGCAGGAGGAGGAGGTCCATCCTGTCATGACAGTGGCAACGACCTTGGCAGAGGACGGGACGGCGACCCTGGACGATTCTTCGGTGCAAAATTTCGAGCAGCGGTTTCTTGCGTCCGCGCTGCAGCGACAGGAGATGAAGGAGCAGAAAATATTAACGGAGGGGACGCAGCATGGAGTAGTACTACAACTACCAGCAGAGAACAACAACAACCTGGCCCCGCGGTCGCGTCTCGCCTCGACGTTTTTGCAACAAAGCAACAAGAGGAACAAAGAGAACAAGTTCAACGACAAGGTTTCGATGGGCAACAAGAACCAAATGAAACCGGGACTTCCGACCGGGTCTTCCTCCAAAATCGCCATGGCATCCTTGTGTAACGGGCAGCCAGCCATGTTTCTCGTATGCATTGCAAATATCGATCTGGGTCTGGAAAGATTCGAACTTGTGATGCGCATTTCACAACGCACACAAATCTCTCATGGATGCATAGGCAGCAAAAGTTAATACCCATTTCCTGTCATCCGAACAATAGAGGACTTCTCATGCGGCTTAGGCATTGCGTATACCTTCTCTAAACCTGTGATGCTAGGGCGTCCATGCCAGACCTTCCGTGTCATGCGAAAACAGCATGACAATCTTGCAGATCTAGACATGCTTGCATTTGATATCTCGATTCAGATGACGAATTTCGGGACGCACTGGGCCACACGGACATCAACCAAATGGATAATTCGGCCGTGATATCCTATGTAAAAACATCCCCACCCCATAGTCAAGATGGGGAATCGGCTAGACAAATCCGCAAGTCTTGGCTGTTTGGCATGACAAATTTGGACTCGTAGTGTAGTGCTGTTTGAGGTAGTTCAGCAGCATTAGAGACCTTGACCTAGTGCATCATGCTGATTGGAGCATGACAAATTCCAAAACACGACTAGAGAATGCTTCTCATGGGGCTGCGCATGAGAAACATTTTCAGCATGCAGATTTGCATTACAGCTATGGGATGGGGACTTTTTTAAATACGATACGTGAAAGAAATTTTGGACGAGCTTGCTTTCATCGCGGGGCAAAAGGGCTGGTCAGCTTGCATGTACATATCAAATGCAAAAATGTCTGGGTCTGGAAGACTGCCAGGTTTGTGTTGCATATTCTGCATCAGCCACGAAGCCTGTAATGCATGGCCTAGCATCACAGATTTTTAGAAGGCTTTGTGATGCCTATTCCGCATGAGAGATACCCTCTCCACGTGGCACAAACTGGCCTCGTCTTGCTGGTCATGCAACACAGATTTGTTTCGAATTGAAAGACAGCATCACAAGTTGGATCCTTCCAGACCCAGACATTTTTACATTTGATAGTACATCGCCGAGGACGACTTCGAGTGCACGGATGACGTGCACTATCCAAGAAGAGAACGTTGTTAGAGTAAATCTGTGATGCGCAATATGCAAAATGATTGCGTCTGTCATGCTTGGCATGCGTCGTAGGGTCCATTAAAGGGCGTTTTCACGTACTATCTGCGCATGACAGTAGTTTTTTGCGGTCATGTCAGACAAAGTTGTAATGCTGTTCCTCCAAAAAAGTTACACCTACATTGTTTTTTTCTTGGATATGCACCCACACCGCATCAGAAGCTACTTGGAGGTATAAAGTAAATGCAGAAAAACAATGTAATTTAGAGTCATGATTTTGCATACTGCATACGACTAATTCTTTGTGTAGATGAAGCAATACCAGCAGGAACCAGGGAAGATCATAGGTTCTTTCTGATTTGTTGCGATCATTCTGACAGGATGTTGAAAAAATATGCAACAAAAATAAACAGTCTACGATGCTGATCACTGGCGTCGTTTTCTCGGCGTACCTATACGACTACTCCGGGCCGTCTTTCTCTGCGGTACGGATTGCAAATGCGTCTGTGGCTGGCGGGGTCGTGCAAACTTGTCATGCTGCTTTTGGATAATGTTAAAAAAAGTCTGTATTGCATGATGAGCAACTACAAGAGGAGTTCAGTTTTTGTGTCGCAGATGAGAGGACAGCCCTTCTCTTCATGCGGGAGAAAAACCGGTGACCATGCTGGGGCACACATCACAGACATCTTGGGTCATGCAAAAGGTGCATGAGAAACGTTGCACTCTTGTTGTCCAGACCCAGACGTACTTAGGTTTGATACCTGGAAGAAAAAGACAAAGTCGTCGCGGCGGAGAAGAAATCAATTTTGGCGAAGGCCTATGCGTTGCAAAAGTATCGTACTCATAGGTACTAATTGCAGATATGCATAGCAAATCGCTTTCCCATGCTAAAACAGCATTGCAAATAATCCCATGATCTGTCATGCTAAGTCTTTGTCTTGCAGGTTAGATACTAGTCCGATGCTTTTGCATTGCATCAGCTCGGCTCGGTTGCGTTTGTGATGCAGAATCAAAACAAACTCGCGGACATCGCCGACGATGGGCTGCCGGTGATATGAGAGTGCACAACTCGTCCCTCCCTCCCTCATTTGTATAGCATGAACGGCAATGCAAGCGCCAGCAAGAATGCCGGTCTTGCATGACAAATTTGCACAGAAGTGTAGTCCTGTTTGGGCTCCTTCCGGAGTTTCTCATGCAAATACTGCCGAGAGGCACAGCCTGGATTTGGTATTTTGCATGACAAATGAGAGGGAGGGGGAGTTGTGCACTGTCATAGGTGAAGAGCTTTCTCTATAAGGTACGTACCTATTTTCTCAGGATCGTAGTTTCATCTCTACTCCTGCTGTTATGAAGCTGTCTACAAATAAGTAGAAAGAGAACTACGCATTGTTATGGCATGACAATGAAACACTCTCAAGCTGTTCAAGATTGATTTTCTCCAAAACATCAGACGCGCAAGGACCTGGACCTGTCCAGTCGCTTCAACCTGGGTTGGTTCTACGTGCTGTGGCCCGATTATCCTGGCGAAGAATACAATTGTACGTCTACTTATTTTTACCCAAAGAATAAGAAACACGGTTGTGACGGATCATGTGGGTGCAGCTTAGTAACCGAAAAAAAGTCAGGTGCTGTCGTGTTTGTCATGCGGCTTGATGACAGACTGTGCAGGTGCATTATCGTGTGAAGAAGCTTGCTGTCTTCACCTTCCGCCTGCCCCGGCAAAAATGAAAGGCGCTGTTTTCTGGTGACAATATTAAATGATGTACAAAAAATTTCCTGTCCATACCGTTGCGGACAACCCAGAATTTTATCAGGCGTGCGAACGGGCAGGGCGAAATCTGGCCGCCATCACGATAAAATATCACAAAACGGTACTACTAGGAAAGATGGGAATTGTTTTCGGCGTTTTATTTTTACCGCGTAGCTGTTGTTGATGCATGTTCATGTAGTACCTAACGTTCTATTGTGTTCTTGTCATCGATCCCATTTCTTGCTGGTACGTCGCGGCGACTGCAGTGACTAGAAGGCTTAGTGGTTGTGGCGCTAAGGAGACATCAGTAAATCAACTGTAAGCACAAAATGCAACCTGTCCAGGTTGCTAAATACCCGCACCTGATTCCGCTGTCCACCCTCCGGCTGCAGTTTCCCGAGCACGTGCGCTCGAATGAGAAGGCGGTTTCGGCCACGTTCAAGGGCTTTCTGGTGCAACTAAAAAACCACTACCCGGAGTCCCTCACGGCGAAAGTTCCGGCGCCCAAGCGCGTCGAAGTGCGCACGGTGACGGAGGTTCACGGCGACAACGCGGAGGATTCCAGCGCCGGAAAGCGACTTAGTGAAGCGGAACTGTACGAGAAAGCTGTCCGGAAAGTGCTGGAGCTAGATTCCATCGACAGTGCAAGCAACGCCTTTCTCCAACCCGCAGGCGCGGCGGGCGGACGGAGTAGTGCTTCATCTGCGGCCCACCACCTCGGGGACGAGGAGGGGACCAGCAGTGGCGAAGCCGGTGACGCTGCAGCCGTCCTATCAAATGTAAAAATGTCTACTGGGTCTGGAAGAATACAAGATTTGTCATGCATGTTTCATATGACCCATGATGCTTGAGATGCATGACCTAGCATCGCAGACATTTAGAGGGCTTCCTGATGCACCTGCCGCATGAGAAATGCCCTGTCCGGGTAGCACAAACTGCACCCCTCTTGCTGGTCATGCAATACAAATTTTTTTACCGTCCAAGAACAGCATGACAAGTTGCATTCTTCCAGACCCAGACATTTTTACATTTGATACGTCCGCACCGGGCACGAAAGCGTGACACAGTTGGGGGACATATCGTGAGTAAAAAAGTCTCCACACCAGAGTCAAGATGGGAAATCTGCTAGACAAATGAAAAAGCTTTGGTTGTTTCGCATGACAAGCCTTTCCCCGTAAAGTGCAGTCCTGCTTAGCTAGTTCCGAAGCATCACAGATCTAGCCCAGCATGCTCATTCGAGCATCACAAATTACAAAACACGACTAGAAAATGGCCCTCATGGGGCGTCGCATGAGAAACTTTTTTGGCATGCAGATTTGCATGACAGCTCTGGGGAGGTGGGGACGTTTTTACTCAGAATAGGACACGGCGTTTACGAACTCGGGCGACGGGAGTCGGTACGCCGAGGCCAGCGAGGAGCCAGACACCATTGAGCCGGCCAGCGACGAAGCGGTGCTCGGTTCTTCATCTCCTGCGAAAGAAGAGCGGGAGAAAAAGGATTCGGTCACGTCGTACTCCGAGCGTCCATTGGGGAAACGCAGCCATCGCCACCGGTAGAAGTGGGAGGAAAGGAGTTTTTGGCAATTATGGGAGGTGACAGGAAAATTAAGTACTATGTGTTTTACCATGGAGGATCATAGTACTCGTGCTCTTGTAAATAACCGCTTCTCCAGTGGTGAAGATTTTTATTAATGTACAATCAAACGATAACGAAACGGAAACGCCGTGGTCGTAGTCTTCGTCATCGACTCGGCGTTGCTAGAATCTTTTATCTTTTACGCAAAATCACATAGAAGATACGCAATACGCAATTCCTAGAAATCAAGAAAAATATCAGATGCAAGAATGAACTCGAATCAAGATGAGAGAAGTGGAAATAGATGGTCTAGTTTTGTTTGCATGCAAAGCCTTCTGAAAGAATTAAATCCTGTATCAAATTTATGTTTCCGGCCGACACGGCTATTCTCGTTTTCTGTTACATATTGTACAAAATGTTTCTCGCTGAAGTCTCGGCTGTGTTGTACCTGTACACGAGACCAAGGAGCCGAAGTATTTGATTCGAACTAGTAGCGGAAATCGCGAAACGACCTGTGTACGCTGATGTCACAACATCTTGATGCTGTGTTGGATACAAAAACGAACGCTGGATAAAAACGAAAAGAAAAGCCAGGAGGAGCAATCCTGTAGTCACGAGTGCAAAAATAAACAAGTTCTTGCACTTAGAAATCTACGAATACACATTTTCAAACTGTTTTTGCTCCTCAGGCTGCTTATCCTGTTGCGCACACTGTGCCAAGTTTTTCCACCCGTGCAGGTTCGCGACCACGATGCAGGAGCATCAACCGGATTTAGGAGAGACACAGGGCAATGAATTTTGAGATCTTCATGTCAGCGCACCTTATTTCCGGATCAGCATCTGACACAAAATGTGAAAACGAGAAACATGCGAATCTTGAGTATGAGTTCCCTTGCACAGGCGGCGACTTCGATGTGGTATTGAGACTGCAGATCACTACGTACGTACTATTTGGAATCCAAAAAAATTGAAAAGAAAAATGTGTTTTCTGTTGATGTTACTACGAAAGAACAACGACTCTGTAGTATGCTGTGTAAAAATTCATGGATTGATTCTGATAAATATGATGCACACATTGTTGACATTAAACTTAAACAGCGACAGCACATACCATGAATCCGGTGTAGGGAATATGAGAAAATAGGTAGACGAAGCAGATTTCAGGTTTTGAGAATCAGCCTCAAGAGGAGCTCCCGGTCCTGCTTCCGGCGTGTCAAAAAATTCGTTCTCTCCACCGGCGCCGTGGAGAGACAGGCGCACGCTGGTCGTACAGCGAGGACTGAGGACAAGTTTTTAGTGCCTCCATGTGCTACTTCTAGAATAAGTAGAACTTCTTGACAAATAAACCACGACATAGATATCACTTGATAAAAATGGACGGCGGCAAAAAGCCGGCCGGCGTGGTGAAGGGCGCCCTGAAGCTGAAGGGCGAGCTGCTGACCGACAAGAAGAAGAAGAAAAAGAAGGACAAAAAGGAGGACAAAGAGGACAAGGAAGAGTATGTGGAACTGAAAAAGGTGGACAACCGGGACTGGATGCGGACCACGCACTACGCCCAGGAGCAGTCGTTCACAACCCTGAAGGACCTGCAAGCGGACGAGGGCGACCTGATATGCATTGCAAAAGTGTCGTACTCGTATAAATGCATTACAAATTTCCGCAGCGTGAGAAATGAAATTTGTGATGCGGATTTAGCTTAAGAAAGAGTAGAGATTTGTAATGCATGATTGCAATACGAGTACGATACTTTTGCACAGCATACCTGACTGGCGAGGGAAACGTGCAGGCGGGGGACATGAAGTCGTCCGCTTCTTCGTCGTCAGCCGTTTATGCAAGGAAAAAAGTGTTTAGAGTTACTACACATTGTGTTGCAGAACGTGCAAGACAGACAATCTCTCTCATGCGGAAAAGGCAACATGCGAGCCAGAGCCTCGTTTCATCCGTGTTCATTTCCCTTAGGATGTCTGCATTGCTGTTTTTCTGTGCAATGCAGAGCAAGTTTGTGGTGCTGAAGTTGCAACATCAAACGTGTAAAGAACTGTAAAACACTTTTTTCTTTGGATACCGTCGTCAAGTTGTCCACCATTATCAAGAAGGAGAACGAGCAGAACAACCCGCAGGGCAGCGGGAACGACCCGGCCAAGCAATTGCTGACCCGGGGACAGCCCCTGCTAACCGAGTCGCAGAAGTCCTTTCTGATCGCGCAAGAGAAGCGGATGGCGGAGCAGACGGAGAAAGCGGTGAAGCTGACGCACCGGGAAAAGATGGACCGGTTCAATCGGCACTTGGGGGCGCTTATCCAGTGCAAATATGTCTGGGTCTGGAAAGAACTTGTGATGCTACGTGGCGATGATTGAGCATACTCCTGAGAGCAGCCAAGCATGACAAATTTTCGGGACGACGGCGCTTCCTCATGTGTTTTGCGCATGAGAAACTGTCTGCGTTTTTGCATGACAAAGAATTCGGGCTTTTGTCGGTCACGCAAGACAGATTTTACAGGGGTGCAAGACAAGCAATACAGATTTACAATTTTGCCAGACCCAGACATATTTGCATTTGATAGCGCTGTCCGAGCACTTCGACATCCCGCGTGTGGGACCGGGTTAAAGAAAAGGACGAGCAGCGGGGAGACTACTTACAGTTTGGGATATTTGGGATTTCAATTTCTTTTGTATTTGTTTGAAGTTTATTGCAACCAAATTATTGCGGGAACGAGGACAAGTGCGACAACGAGCTGTACCAGGATGAGTTTTAAACGACCACAGCAAGAACTAATTGAACCAGTTGGTCTTCTTGCTCTTGGTCAGACGAAACAGCACAGAGTTGTGTGACCTAGCTGCAATACAGATTTTGATCCTGAGCCCGAGAAACAAGTAGTTTTTAGCTGCCAAGGTGACTTGAGAAGACACCGTCATCTTCTATAACCGGAAAGATAGAAGTAGTTCCTTGTCCACCCCAGGTGGACGTAGGTAATATTACGAAAGCGACCTTTCACCTTTCAGCTTTGCCGCTCCTTGACGGGGCCGAGATGAAGAAACGAAACTTTTATTGCCCGCCGGCTGTCTCTGATTTTCCGGATGTCTTTCGAAGAAAATTTTTTCTTTAGCGACCAGGTTGATGCCCACCGTGCGGTAGGGTCCTGTTGTCCTCTGGAAGGGGTCGAACATAATAGGGCTGCTGCAAGTCTACAAAAGTCTAGACTTACAGTTGCCCGTTTGCTTCAAGATGCTTACAAGATGCTTACAATTCTTCACCTCGGTTCTTCACGATTGTGTCGATATCGGTGATCCTCATATGATTCTTGAATACCATCTCATGTACGCCACACAGACGAACAAATATACTACTACTTCTCGGTTTGATATCTTGATCTTCCATTCGCGGGTTTATTTTTCGGTTGCAGTGAAATAATCATCGATAAAACTCGGCTTCTTTCTCTTGTCGCATCTTCAACAACGTCGGTTCAACTACCGATTCGGTTGATTTCGCAAAGATGCTATCGGACGCGGTTTTCAACTGTCTGCGCAGCGAAGTAGTCGGCGCGGTGAAGAAAACAATGTACTTAAAGTAGTTCTAGGCATGGTCTTCACCCTTAGATCAGCGTCGGTTCGTGTTGACAAGCTTGCCTAGTTCGGTGATGTTGCGGCTTTATTTAGCTAGAAACGCAAGCTCCGTTTACTATAAGAGGATGAAGTTGTGGTAGTGCTTAAAACTTGTTTTTCGTCTGTTAGTTTTTTTACTATGCAGTAGTTTTTCATCAGCTGTAGTTCGCAACATCAAAATACAGGCACTCATTCAAGAATTTATGACCCATTTTTCTTTTTGATTGATTGATTTTGGTACTACCAACCCGACTTACCATCTCGAGGTTTTTCTCAATCGGGAAAATGACAAATTACCTCCTTTTTCGCTACTCTGCCTTTCGAAAGAAAAGGCGCAAGAAAGTAATGTCGCTTCTTTTATTCTTTTCTTTCCCCTCGTTTACGTTTTCCATTTACATTTTCTCAACGTATTGTACTACACGACCTGTTGAAGCGGTTGTGTTCGGGCCAAGGCAATTAGACCGCGAGCAGAATTATAACCTAAATCTTGATCGTGATCTTGATGGTGAAACCAGCACCACCAGCGGGAAGGATGTGCTGGATGAAGCCACGACTTATGAGGTCACGGCAGACGAGCACCACGACCCGCAGAGGACTTCTACTTTCCCAGAACATGATGCGGCCATAGTAGAACAGAATGTTGATCTACTCCAGGACGGACAAAGTGTTGTCGTCGCACCGGAGAAGTTATCTGGTGGAAGCATTGAGGATGAGGAAGATGATGTTCTTGAGAAAACCTCTGAACAACGACCAAGTCGAAGAAGTATTTCTACGCCCTCCTCCGCATGGTCCGAGGTGGTCGCGGCCACGTCTACAACTTCGGAGCAATCCGCAGCCAAAAGAACAAAAAAGTTCTTGCAGAAAAAGCGACAGGTTATCGCGAAACTGGAGCGGCAGGAAATTTTTCTCTTTCAACTGACCCCCGCGCTGGGAGGTGGAGAGGAACTGCGCGCACATGACAGCAGCAGGAAGAGCGACGGTGGAGTTGCATCAACAAGAATCATATCACGGTTTGACTACGAGATTGCGATGGCTGGGTTGCGGGGGAACGGGCTTACCTTGTCGGATCTTACCTATTCCTTCGTCATGAATGACCTGCCGGTGCAGGAAGTGCAAAAGGACGTGGAGTTGGACCTGCCGCAAGACCGCCGCGCGGTGTTTTCGGAGGCGGAGTGGTATGAAATGCAAAAATGTCTGGGTCTGGAAGGTTGCAACTTGTGATGCTGTCTTTGGAAGGTAAAAAAGATCTGTATTGCATGACCAGCACGAGGAGTTCAGTTTGTGCTACGTGGAGTGGGCGTTTCTCATGCGGAAAACGCATCAGAAGGCCCTTTAAAAATCTCTGATGCCAGGTCATGCATTACAGGCGTCGTGGGTTATGCAAAATATGCATGACAGTGACAAACCTGGCAATCTTCCAGACGCAGACATTTTTGCACTTGATAAGTGGCTGGAGCTCGCGAAAACCGCTTGCGCCGAGAACGGGTTGGCGCTCCAGTACGTGTTCCCGTTGCACTATGGAAGCGTCAGGATGGAAATCATCAAAGTATGAAAAAATTTGTCATGCATAAAAATGGATGCCAGTTAGAGGCCCAATTTCCAAGCGGCGCATGACAAATTCTCCGACCGCCGGAATCTAATTTGTCATGCTATTTGGGCAAAAGAGACTTCCTTTGTCGTGCTTTGTTTGGCAGCTCAGTATCCAACGACCCCAAACAGGCTAACAATCGGCCTCACTTGCCTTGTCTGCAACACACGTATTTCGCGTCATGGATTTTATGCATGACAAATCATTTGTTCAACTTTGTCGATTTCGATCCTGACACACCCATATGCACCTGCGGTCGAACCGCGACCTGGTGAGGAACTACTGCTTGCAACAGAACGGGCGCGCCCTGAAATACGCGTCGGCGGAGCTGCGGTCGGATCGGGAGATTGTGCAGTACGCGGTCCAACGGGCCGGCACGGCGCTCGCGTTTGCTTCCTGGCACCTGCGACGGGACTTCGACACTGTGCTGCGTGCGGTGATCCAGGACGAGCGGGCGGCTTACGCCATCGCGTTGGAGGAGATTGGAAACGAGTGGTCGACCTTCCTCTACCAAACCGAATTCTGGTATGGAGGCGTCAGAATCGAAATCGACAAAGTTGAACTGATTTGTCATGCATCAAACCGATACCATTTGGGAGCTCTATTTCCCAGCGGCGCATGACAAATTTTCCGAGAATCGGAATCCAATTTGTCATGCTGTTTGAGCATAGAGAAGTGCCTTTGTCATGCTACTTCAGCAGCCCTATGATCGCTATCCCCAAACAGGCTCAGAATCGGCCTCGCTTGCTATCCCTGCAAGACCACGACAGGTATCACAAATTATTTCAACCTTTTCGATTTCAGACCTGGCACTCTCATATCTGGTACAGCGACGAAGAAGACGAAGCGCACCGGTTCGGGATGGCGCAGCTCCAAGACTCCTATCCCAGAAAAAAAGTGTTACTTTTACACATTTGTTGGAATTTCAGATTCAGCATCACAAATTTGCTCTGCTTGGCGAAGAAAACTTGTGATGCGCAGACTATAAGGGAAAACACGAATAGAATGAGGCTGGCAAGCGTTTCCTGCATGACAGAGTTTGTCTCTCTTGCTTGTCTTGCATGAGGGTGTGTAACTGTAACATTTTTTTCTCACGATAACTACGACCCCTTCCCCATTAACGAGGCACGGCAGGAGAAGGGCGCGCAGTTATCTTCATTAAAAACGTAGTACCCACATCAGAGTCAAGATGGGAAATCTGCTAGACAAATCACACGGCTTTGGGTGTTTGGCATGACAAGTTTGGCCTCGTAGTGTAGTCCTGTTTCGCTAGCTCAGAAGCATCGCAGATCTAGCACATCATGCGGATTCTAGCATCACAAATCCCAAGACACGAATAGAAAATGCTTCTCATAGGGCTCCGCATGAGAAACTTTTTTGGCATGCAGAATTGCATGACAGCTCTGGGGTGGGGACGTTTTTACTCAGAATAGCAGTTCTTGCGCATTCTGCTGCAGTTTCTGCGGGAGAAAACGTTGCAGGGACTTTGGCAACTCGAGAACCTCGGATTTCTATCGACTTTGCCACGAGGCTTACCGGAAGATGATGAAGATCCTGACTCTACTTCAGATAGAGAACCACTACCTGACAGCAAGACTACAGAAGACCACACCAACAAGAAGAAGATGAACACAGCAGGAGGTCCTGCTGCACCAGGAGTCGTAACAACAACAGCGACGCAAACGACTACTCACTGGAACAAACGATTTCGGAGCACGCAGTCTCTGAAGGAACAACTCGACTGGCTGATAGAGCGGTGGAGCGTTTCCCGGGAGGACTTCTATTCTCCCATCACGGCTCAGGAAGACGAAGCCGAGGATGCTGAACGAGATGGACCACAGCCGGCCCCTGCTGGGCCAGGAAGTTCCACTTCTAATCCAGAGAAAATGAAATTGAAAGAGGTGGATGTCTCAGGAGAAAGTAGTAGTACGGTCTTAATACCGAGGATGAATGGCACGACTACTAGTGCAGCAGAGCAAGTGGACAATTTATCTACTACTCTCAGAAGACCACGAAGGGAAAAAATCGTAGGGAGAACAAATTCGAATGTGTCTAACCGAAACCACAAGTACCCACTGTATGACCACGAGTACTGGCGAATGGCTGTACGATCAGCACGAGACGACAGAAAAGATGAAAACAGCAGCCACCTACTCCTCCCTGGGCAACTCCACCCAGTAGTAGACACGCACCCCTTTCGGGAATACCCTATCAGTGTGATCACGAAAGAAGAACTGCTTCTGTTGAAGATTGCCTTCGAGCGGCACGGCTGGAATCGGTACTTCGGGGACGTGGAGATGTCGCGCGGCTTCGGGCAGAAATCCACACAGGCGCCGGCAGTTATGGGACATCAACTACTCATCTCGAATGCTACATTGATTTAACATCCTTTGTCATGCAAAGTTAAGTAGCATCAGTTCAGCGGCTTCGTCGTCCACAAGATCAAAGACAAGTTCTCGACGCGCGTAATAGCATGGAATAAATCCGTATCCGTTCCAAATTTGTAAATGCGAGACGCGCGCCAGATGACACTTTCGCTTTCCCCTTTCACTACTTTTGCGAGTGGTCTTGCATCAACACAAAATAAAATTCTTGTATACGGCACTGTCAATGTAGTGATATCAGTTTGATGAGAACCACTCCATATCAGTGACGAACCTTCGCAACGGGATGACGCAGTTGCACGACTTTTTGCAACAAGACAACTACGGGAAGCTGAGAACAAGTTCTACCCCACCCCGGGGAGATGAAAGTGATGCCGTCAGGACCAGAAGTACAACCACTGCAGGGAGGACAAAAAATTATCCTCTCCTCCAGCTTCCGGACCCCCGCGCGCACCCGGACACGGGGTTCTTTCACCCCGGGGGCGAGTTCACCGCGCTGGATCACTCTGGGAGCATCGGGAAGGCAGTAAGCATGACGGCCACGTTTCGCTGGAATCTGGCGTTTTTGCTGAAATTGAAGAAATACTAAGTGCAAAAATGTCTGGGTCTGGAAGAACGCAACTTGTGATGCTGCATCTGGATTCCAAAAAAATCTGTATTGCATAGGTACCAAAGGGAATGTAATTTTTGCTACGCGGAGAGGGCATTTGTCATGCGGAATAGGCGTCAAGAAGCTGAAGCTCTCAAAAAATCTGTGACGCTAGGGCATGCATCGCAGACATCAGGGCTCATGCAAAACGTGCATGACAAGTGTCAGAATCTTCCAGACCACATTTTTACAGTTGATAAGAAAAGAAAAAGCACCACGATAGGTAGTAGCGCAACTACTTCAACATCTAGCACAAGATTTGCTCCTTCTTTAACCACCTCCTCAGCGCCTACGTCCTCCGCGGAAGCTCGAACAACTACCGCACAGACAACATCAGTCTCTGCGACGCAGCCCTTCCTTTGCGGGGAGTTTGTGTATACCCCAACCTACGAGGCCTTGCCCTCCGTGGTGGATATCCCACAGAAAAAAGCCGGCAGGTTTGTAATACAAAAATAAATACACAAAAAAACCTGTCTTGCATATGCTGAATAGCATGCTAGGGGGCCGCCCATGACAGATTTTCCTGTGTATTTATTTTTGCATTACAGATGTGACCTGCCTGCTTTTTTCTCTGGGATAGTGGAACCCTTCTACACGAAAAAGCTGGACCCGATCTTTGAGTTTCTGCAGTGGGAAAAGTTGTACGGTGAGAGCAGTACTACTATATCTGGTGGTCTACTTTCGAACAGTACTAGTTCAACATCTGTGTTCCCCGTGGCCCGCACCAACCCGGCGGATTTTGAACATGTTGCTGCTTTCTTTCAAGCTGGCCCTCTATCCCACGAAAAAACTGTTTCACTGTGATGATTTTGCAAGATCTGCGTCACAAGTTTGTAACACATGACACACAAAATTTGCCATGCGCGCTCTCAAAGGGAAAACACGCTTGAAAATCCAATGTCTTGCAGGTGTAGCAAGACAAATGGTTCTGTGCTCCATTCTATGCATCACAAGTTCACAGCGAAACAGTTTTTTCTTGCGATACCCTCATGGTGTGATTTATTGTCCGGGAGAGGTTGTGCCGGGTGGAGCTGAAGCTACTTCTAGTACCCCTGCTGCTGCTGCTGAGGAGGCCTTCTACACGCCACCTGCAGAAGGTCTTCTCCGTGAAAAGAGCGACACAACGACGTCAAGCCTGCTTCAAGAAGAGGCCCTGTCCACCCGCCCGGAAGGCGGCGGGTTTAAAAATTCCTCGGATCAACATCTTTTGGAAGATGAAACATTACAACATGTTGACCCAGCAGCAGCGCCAGGTGTGGGGCTCGAGCAGGAACGAGAGGACGGTAGCTTTTCGTCACCAGAACAGGATGTTCACGCGGATCATCATGATCCCTTCAACCTGGAACTTTATCCCTACCTGTTCGCGACGGGGCCGCGCGGGCTGGAGCTGTTTTTCCTGCACAGCATCGCACTTCCCTCCCGGCCCACGGTTCGCAACCTGCCGCGCATGGTAAAACAGTTCACGCTCAGCCAGGCGATGAAAGGGAAGTATTCCCGCGCCGAGTTGCGCGCCTCGGATGTGGAGCTAAATCAGCGGGAAGACGCGGCGAGCGGGGATCCGCACTTCGGGCAGTTTATGATCAGACGTGGTGAACAAGGCGAAGGGATGTCGCCTCCGACTGCGGCCACATCGTATCTTCAAAACCGCCACCGCAGGGAACTGCTCCTGGTGCAGAAGTCACTGCTGCGGCAGTGGTCGCGGTCGTCGGCCTACTACCTGCAGGTATCAAATGCAAAAATGTCTGGGTCTGGAAGAATGCAACTTGTAAAGCGTATTTCAGAACACGGAAACGTCTCTCATGCATACGTAGCAAAAGCTCCCACTTTTTGTCAGCAAAATAGGGGACTTGTCATGCGGATTCGGCATTGCGGAAGGTTCTCGAAACCTGTAATGCTAGAGCTTCCATGCTAGACCTTCTGTGTCATGCAAAAACAGCATGACTCTTCCAGACCCAGACATTTTTACAGTTGATAGCAGGCGCTGCTTGACCAGTCCAAGGTGGATGCGATGCAGGATAAAATTGTGGACCAGTATGCCGCCTATCCTTTTTACCGATCGTGCCGGCCGCAGCATGGGTATGAGAGTGCACAACTCCCCCTCCCCCTCACTTGTATGGCATGAACAGCAATTCAAACACCAGCACACGTGGAGGCTATGCATGACAAACTTATGCACATGCGCCTGATGTAGTACTGTTTGGGCTTTCGGAATTTGTCATGCAAACAGTGCCACAGGGCAGCGAATGGATTGGGGGTTTTGCATGACAAATGAGGGGGAGGGGGAGTTGTGTACTCTCATAATGGACGGCCACAGCTCGGCGGCGGAGGTGGAGGCCCGCCTGTAACCGAGCTCCTCCTCTGGCTGGATCCGGGCGAAGCTGGGTTAGCCCTGGGTGGCGACTACTCTTTCCACCGTGGCTATGGAACTGTCAGGATCGAAATCGACAAAGTTGAAAGGATTTGCCATGCATAAAATTGATATCAGTTGGAGCCTCAGTTTGCAAGCGGCGCCGACAAATTTCGGGAGCACCCAAATCCAGTCTGTCAGGCTGTTTGGGCAAAGAAGACTGCTCCTGTCGTGCTACTCTGGCAGCAGCACATTGCACACCCCTAAACAGGCTTGCCATCGGTCTCATTTGCCTGCTCCCCAACACAGGCCACACGGGCCCTACATTTTATGCATTACAAATTATTTCAACTTTGACGATTTCGCGCCTGACGCTTCCATAGTGGCCAGATGGAGAAAAGGTACCGGGAACGCGTAGGCTTAGTATCCCATGAAAAAACTGTTTCACTGTGATGATCTTTCAAGATCTGCATCACAAGTTTGTTACACATGACACAGAAAATTTGCCATGCGCGCTTCCCAAGGGAAAAGACGCTGAAAAATCCAATGTCTTGCAAGTGTAGCAAGACAAATTGTTCTGTGCTCTATTCTCTGCATCACAAGTTCACAGTGAAACAGTTTTTTCTTGCGATACTTAGGGTCAGAAGACCATTGGATCAATCAGCCCATCTCTGCTCCTATCAAATGTAAAAATGTCTGGGTTTGGAAGAGTCACGCTGTTTTTGCATGACACAGAAGGTCTGGCGTGGAAGCTCTAGCATCACAGGTTTCGAGAAGCTTCCGCAATGCCGAATCCGCATGACAAATCCCCCATTTTGGTGACAAAAAGTGAGCGCCTTTTGCTACCAATGCATGAGAGATTTTTCTGTTTTCTGAAATGCGCATCACAAGTTTGGACTCTTCCAGACCCAGACATATTTGCATTCCATAGCCCCCGCAAATAAAGACGCGCCAGGGCCAGCGTGGATTACGGATCATGAAGCCACAATAAATAAGCCCGACCACGACCCGGCGACGCGAGAAGAGGTTGGAGATCAAAGCCCCATGATGTCGTGGTATGGGGCCCCCATACCACACTGGGCCAGCGAGGCGCTAGACAAGGTGCAGGAAACGCACGAGCTCTTCGTTTTGATGCTACAGGGGATTTATCAAATGTAAAAATGTCTGGGTCTGGAAGAATGCCAGGTTTGTCATGCACATTTTGCATGACTCCTGATGTCTGTGATGCATGCCCTAGCATCACAGATTTTGTGAGGGCTTCCTGATGCCTGTACCGCATGACAAATGCTCTTTCCGTGTAGCAAGACCTGGACTCTCTTTGCTGCTCATGCAATACAGATTTTTGTAGAATAGAAAATCAGCATGACAAGTTGGATTCTTCCAGACATCCAGGGATTTTTACAGTTGATAGGATTTATCAGACCCAGTTCGGTTCCACGTTAGTATTATATTACAATGAAAAATGCCCCCACCCCCGAACTTGAAAGCATTTGTATTGCAAACCTTTCCAAATGAAACATTCGCCCTCTTGCATGTATCAGCATCACAGATTTCCGATCGTGAATAACAAAAATTTCTATTGCAAAAGATCCCAGCAAGAGCGGTGCTTGTCATGTAAGCGATGCGAAACACGACTAGAATCTGCATCAGAAAGATTCATACTCCTTTCATGCATGACAAAAAGTTTTCATTTGGAAACTTCGCATCACAAATTTTTGCAACTTTGGGGTGGGGGGCACTTTTCACTGTAATATATTAACGACAGATCAACTTGAACATATTAAACAAGCCACTGTACGACTACAGCTAGAAGCTCCACCTGGAGCAGTAGGGGGTGAAGAAGGCACTACTACTTCCAATGCGGGTCGTCAACCGCTGCTGCTCGACGGGACGATGACAACTGCTATGAGTGGTTTTGCTGCGCCGCCGCCGCGCAACTCCACAACAACAACCGGCGTGATGTCCAGTACCGACACTTTCAATAACCCGGCGCCAGGTCTTCTGCAACCAGAAGGCCTGCTAGAAGTTGAAGACGACGTCGCAGCTGCCGTGGGGCGGTTGTTAGTGCAGGACGTGTTGCGGGCGGGCATGTGGAGGAGAAAGTTCGCAGACGCGCTGCTGCTGTCGCACCCAAGGCTGTTGATGCAGCTTGACAACAACTTGATTCAGGCAGAGAAAAATAAAATGATCGGGATCAAGAACCCAGCGGCCCACGCGAGTGAAGGTTGGGACGAGATGACCCGTCGCAACCGCCGCCATGATGTGCATAACCCCTTTCTGCAGCATATCCTGAGTAAAAACGTACCCACACCAGAGTCAGGATGAGGATTTTGCAACACAAACCTACGAGTTTTGTGAGTCACGCATCACAAGTTGCACCATGCAGTGTAGTGCAGGTTAGCAAGTGCAGCCGCATCACAGATTCATCTGCTCATCCTGTTCACAGCATCACAAATTCCAAAACACGGCTGGAAATGGCTCTCATGGGGATGCGCATTACAAGTCTTCCTGTCTTTGCAAATCTGCATTACAACTCTGGTGTGGGTACGTTTTTACTCAGGATACAGCACGGCATGAGCGTGGGGGGAAAATTCCTGCTGGAAAGCAAAGAGCAAACCGCGGACACGAGTATTTCGGGCCCGCATAATGCCATGGGCCCGGATGGGGAAAGAGCAACAGAGATTTCTCTAGAGATGTTGCATGCCCATGCTGGAAAAGAGCAAGAGCTTATCACGAGAAAAAAAGCATTGTAGGTGTAACTTTTTTGGAGGAACAGCATTACAAATTTGTCTGGCATGACAGCAAAAACCTGTCATGCGCAGACAGTACGTGAAAACGCCCTTTAATGGACCCTACGATGCATGCCAAGCATGACAGACGCAATCATCTTGCATGTTGCGCATCACAAATTTACACTAGCCGCGTTTTTTTCTTGGATAGAGCTGAAAAGCGTGAAACGGAAACGGCTCTGGAGAAGCTGGGTGCTCCGCTTGCTGTATGAGAGTGCACAACTACTCCCCTAGTACCCCTCATTTGTATTGCATGGACAGCAACAGCACACGTCCTGGAATCAACGCAGCTTTTGCATCATGACAAATTCGCGAGGACCGATTCTAGTGCTGTTTCTGCTTCCGAAATTTGTCATGCAAGCAGTGCCAAATGGCAAAGGATGGATTTGCTGTTTTGCATGACAAATGAGGGGGACGAGGGGGAGTTGTGCATTGTCATACTTTGCAAAGACAAGGGTCTTATGAACTGCAAAAGCATCGCACTCGTATAAATGCATTACAAATCTCCTCAGCATGAAAAATAAAATTTGTAATGCTGATTTGCCTTCAGAAAAAAATTGCAAGACTTGCATTTATACGACTACGATAATTTTGCACAGGATAGGTCTATCCTCCGCCCGGTCAAAGGCGGCGAGCCGGCCTTCTTCCTGTGGCGGAAGGCGTATCAAAGTGAAAAAAACCCCCTCTTCATTCTGAAACGGGAATTTCTGTTGCTGGATTTGTGTACACAAATCAGCGCTGTATTGCAGCAAGCGCTTGCAGGCATTTCGTATAAGTAGCGTGATTAGGTATGCAAGAGGCTAGCACTCAGGCATGACAGACAGCCTTGCAGTAGGCAAAAGCGCACGACAGCTTGGCTTTGAAGGCGCCACACGGGTCGCATTTGCCTCACATGCAAGACAAAGCTCACAAATCAGCATCACAAATTTATTCCATTGTGGAGGGGGGATTTTTCCCCACGATAAGGCGGAGGCGTTGTTTCTGCCCCCGATTGGGAACCGGTTTCACAACTACCCAGAGAAGGGGGCCTTTATTGCCGCAGAAGATGCTGAAAATGTTGTTGTTGTTGAAACCAAGAAGCATCCTCGTCCACTGTATGGGCCAGTAAATTCCCTGCCACGAGGACCTGCAGGACCACCTCTACTACCTCCATCTTCGTCGTTCTTGGGCGGGGGCAACATTCAGCAGGCGGACGACGCTCCCGATGTCGTGCTAGAGGTGACCACGCCAAGTAGATTTCTGCAACTGCCACCTCCACCGCCTGAAGTAGCAGAAGATTTTGGCTTGCTGCCTAGAAATGGGGGTCAAGCAGGGGCGACTGCGTCTTTCCTCACTGTAGCGGTTGGTACAACAAAAGCCACACCTTCGAGCGGTGCGGCAGCAGGAGCAGCAGCATCGGCCCGCCCAGACGAGGACACTACTACAGCGAGAGTCAGAGACCGAGCCTGGCTGCAAAAGCAAAACAGCAGAGCCGCAGAAGGGGAAAGGAAAGAAACTTCTACTTCTGTTGCAGATGAAGTCTTCAGCATGGTGCCAGAGGAGGACAAAAAAGCTGCTGCTGCAGTAACACAAGCACCAGCCGCGAGAGAAGGTGCAGAAGAGGGTGCTGAGCAGCCGGAAAATGTTGACATAGGGGAAGAGGGAGGAGGACAGACAAAGAACTACTTCGGGAACGACGAAGAAGACGAGGAAGAATCTGGGCGCCCTCTTTCGCGGCGGCACAACAGCTGGTTGGGAGGGGGGAACATTAACTCGATGGGCGGCTTCCCCGTGGTCGGCCGCGACGCCCGGTTCCGGTCGGAACTCCCACTACAAATCGCGGTGCGGTCCAGTGGGGCAAGCGTGGGAAGTATCCTGTGAGAAAACGTTCCCACAGCATAGTCAAGTTGGTAAATTTGCAACACAAATCTCCAACTTTTGGACACATAGTATATGCATGACAACATTGGACTCGTAGTGTAATCCTGTTTCGGTAGTGCAGCAGTATCACAGATCTAGCGCATCATGCTGCTTGGAGCATGACAAATTCCCAAAGCCGACTAGAAGAAAATGCCTCTCATGGGGCCGCTCCGCATGAGAAATATTTTCAGCATGCAGATTCGCATGGCAACTCTGGAGTGGGGACGTTTTTACAAATGATAGGGAGTGCCGCTTTTTTACTCCCGGTCGAGCGAGACCGGGAGCTCGAGGACGAGGCGGATGAGCAAAACAGCAGGCCTATCAAAATGAAAAAAGCCCCCGCCCCATATCAAAGGGGAAATCTGTGACGCAGGATTTGTGTACACAAATGCGCGCTGTCTTGCAGTACGGCATCGCAGCCAGATCCGCAGCCTAGGGAGGGAAATTGGGTCTAGGTGCTTAGCATTACAAACGGCTGTCCTTTAGGCCCCACAGCTAGTATGCCAAATCGCTTCCATATTGGCGCGGAAGCCTCTGCATTTGTCTTCTTGCAGGACAGACGTGATTTGTGGTCTCAAATCAGCAAGACAAATTTTCGCAAGCATGCCTTTTCGATATGGGGAGGGGGGATTTTTCTTCTCAATAAGGCCCGCCAGGCCCAGGGACCTCGGGGTGCGGTATCCGGATATGCTCGCGAAAGAAGAAGAGCAGTTACGAGAACTCGAGCTCTTCTACCACGCCCGGTACGAGATAATCCACGGCGAACAGCACGCCGTCTCGCTGAAATCCGATTACGAGACAGCCATTGTATCCTGAGTAAAAATGATGTCCCCACACGACCAGAGTTGTCATGCAAATCTGCATGCCAAAGAAGTTTCTCATGCGGAGCCCCATGGGAACCATTTTCTATACCTGTTTTGGAATTTGTAATACTAGAATCAGCATGATAGGCTAGGTCTGTGATGCTTCGGAACTAGCTAAGTAAACAGGATTACACTACGAGGATAAACTTGTCATGCGAAACAACCAGGGGTGGCTGATTTGTCTAGCGGATTCTTTCCCATCTTGACTCTGGGGTGGGGCCGTTTTTGCTCAGGAGACATTGCCGCTCTTCGCCAGGATTGCACGGCTTATCGCTACCTCTCGGTCCCTATCAAATGTAAAAATGTCTGGGTCTGGAAGAATGCAACTTGTGATGCTATTTTTGGAATCCAAAAAAGTCTGTATTGCATGAGCAACAAGAGGCGTCCAGTTTTTACTCCGCGGAGAGGGGATTTCTCATGCGGGATAGGCATCAAGATGCCCGCAAAAAATTTGTGATGCTGGTGCATACATCACAGACATCACGGGTCATGCAAAATGTGCATGACAAACCTGGGAATCTTCCAGACCCAGACATTTTTACATTTCATAATCCCGCTGATGGCCCGACAGGATTTGATCCTGTTGGCGGCACGCCAGGGCTGCGACGATATTCCGCACTACCTGCCGCTCCAGCAACAGCTCAATATGCTGTGCAAAAGTATCGTACTCGTATAAATGCAGGTCTTGCATTACAAATTTCTTTGTCAAGGCAAATCAGCATTGCAAATTTCATTTCTCATGCTGAGAAAATTTGTAATGCATTTATACGAGTACGATGCTTCTGCATTCCATACTCAATTTCACGATGCAATTTACGAACACGGTTCCGCGGTGGCTGAGAGAGGACATTGGCGAGCAGGCGGATCTGCATCTGCTATCCCAGTCTCCGCAGTGGTCGGAGACAATTTTGGATTCGTATTTTGGGCCCAAATTTTTCGCGGAACTCGCCGCTGTGAACGCGAACTGCCTCTTTTCCCTTCTTCGGGTCTCGCGGGTGGACATTCGGTTTTCGCGCTTACTCTCCGTGCTACAAAAGGAGGAGAGCGATCGCGCCGATGTTGAACAGGAGGCCAAGGAGGATCATCAACATCTTGATGTTGATGCTGGTGCAAGAACAACTTCTACTACTGCGAAAGATGGTGCGCCGCAAGAATCGTCTTCTTGGGGATTTCTGCTGCAGAAAGAAGACGCGAGAAATGGCTTCCATACTCGCAGTATCAAATGTAAAAATGTCTGGGTCTGGAAGAGTCATGCTGTTTTTGCATGACACAGAAGGTCTGGCATGGAAGCTCTAGCATTACAAGTTTCGAGAAGCTTCCGCAATGTCGAATCCGCATGACAAATCCCCCACTTTGGTGACAGAAAGTGGGCAGCTTTTGCTACCCATGCATGACAGATTTTTCTGTGTTCTGAAATGTGCATCACAAGTTCGGATTCTTCCAGACCCAGACATTTTTACATTTTATACGCAGCTCCGCGGTGCGGCAAATGGTGCAAAAGGCCGTAGTATCCTGAGTAAAAACGTCCCCACCCCATAGTTGTCATGCAGCTGTGCAATGACAGGACGATTTGTAATGCGCATCCCCATGAGAGGCACTTCCAATCGTGTTTTGGACTTTGTAATGCTGTAAACAGGATGAGAAGCTCACTTTCTCATGCGGCTGCCCTTGCTAAACAGCACTACGCTACAGATGGAAACTTGTCATGCAAAACTCCCAAAACTTGGAGATTTCTGTTGCAGATTTACCAACTTCACTATGGGGTGGGAAGGTTTTTACACAGGATACGTAGCTGGCGCCGGACTGCTGCAGTTTCAGGCGATGCTTGTGCGCAACTACTTTCACTACAAAACGGAGTACCTCCCGGGCCACGCGTATGGAAGCGTCAGGTTTGAAATCGACAAAGTTGGAATGATTTGCCATGCATAAAATGCAAGGCAGGAAGTGCGTGTCTTGCCGGGATGGCAAGTGAGGCCGACTGTCAGCCTGCTTCGGGTTTGAAATAAAACTGCTAAAGTAGCATGACAAAAGCAGTCGTCTGTGCCCAAACAGCATGCCAAATTGGATTCCGGCGCGCCGAAAATTTCTCATGCACCGCTTGGAAATTCTGCTTCCAACTGGTATCGATTTTATGCATTACAACTTTGACAATTTCAGTTCTGACGCTTCCATAACGCGGTCAAGCTGCGCATCGAGGCCGGGGATTTCCGGCAGCTGGAAGTGGCCGCTCGTGGTCTTGAAGCTACTAGTAAAACTGGTAGTCCTGCTTCTAGAATGGCAACTCGAACTACTCTATGAATTGCAAATAGGTATCGTACTCGTATAAAAGCATTGCAAATTTCCTCAGCATGAGAAATGAAATTTGTAATGCGGATTTACCTTGAGAAAAAAACTTGTAATGCATGACTGCGATTACTACGAGTGCGATACTTTTGCACAGGATATACTCCTGCTTCTACGTCGGCGCAACGGTTTTGGCAGCGGCGAATGGAGCTGCTGCAGTATCTTTCCATAGCGACCTATCAAAATGAAAAATCCCCCCTCCCCATATCAAATTGGAAATCTGTGATGCAGGATTTGTGTACACAAATCAGCTTTGTCTTGCAGTAGAGGGCTGCACGCAGATACAACAAAGCCTGGGTTGGGCCTTTTTGGTGGTGGCGCCTAGCAAGGGAGACTTATCCTCTGCACGCCATACAGCATTACAAATTGCCCACAAATTCCGGCGGAGTCTCTGGCTTTGCCCTCTTGCAATACAAGGACGATTTGCGTCCACAAATCAGCATCACACATTTTTCGAAGTATGTCTTTTCAGTATGGGGAGGGGGATTTTTCCATACGATACGACCGGGGAGGACGCTACCGCCCGGCGTCGCAGAGACGTCGCCGTGGATGCGCATCTGTGGGTGGCGGCAGAAGAGGGCTCCGCTGACTATACCGAGGCGCGGTCGGAGAGAATTTTAGAAAAGGGACGATATGGATCGCATCCATATACAACTTCGGCTCCCATCCAGCAGGAAGATCTTCTCCTTGCGCAAGATGGTAAAACTTCTCGACGACGAGGTATCCAAGGAAAAAACTGTTTCACTGTGATGATTTTGCAAGATCCGCATCACAAGTTTGTTACGCATGACACTGAAAATTTGTGATGCGCGCATTTCCCACAGGGAAAAACACGGTTGAAACTCCAATGCTCTATGCAGGTGTAGCAAGACAAATAGTTCTGTGTTGCATTTTTTGCATCACAAGTTCACAGTGAAACAGTTTTTTTTTGCGATACGAGGACCAGTGTTTCCCTTCACGATCGTCTTGCACCGCAACGACTTCTATGCATCGCAAAAATGTCTGGGTCTGGAAGGATGCAACTTGTAATGCTAATTCTGGATCGTGCAAAAATCTGTGCTGCACGAATGCCAAAAGTTGTCCACTTTTGACCAAGTTGGGAGGAGGTTTCTCATGCAGGATAGGCATGATAGGGGTCTCACAGAATCTGTCATGCTAGCTCCTGCATTCCAGACGGCATGGATCATGGAAAATCTGCATGACAAATCTCGCAATTTCCCAGACCCAGACATTTTTGCATTTGATAACTTCTACAACTTTCGATACTTCTATCCGAGTGCACAAGTAGAACTCGCCCTCCGTCTCATTTGGAGTGGAGCATGAACAGCAATTATAAATACAACAAACGCCAGCAGGAGGAGCACCTGCGGAGCTAGTGCATGACAAGTTTATCAGCCGACCGTAGTACTGTTTGGGCTTCAAAAATTTATTGCCATGCAAACATTCAGTGCTACAGGTTCTTGTACAGGCGGGAAGCAACTCGATTCGGCATTTTGCATGACAAATGAGGGGCACCAACATGTTCGGGTGTAAGGAGTTCCGGGCAGTGCTCCGTGCACCCTTGCGACACCACCCCGCATCGCCCCGGGTACTTATGCATGACACATGAGGGGGAGGTGGACTTGGAGTTGTGCACTCGGATAAGTTCAATTTTGATCAGCAGCGGGGCGTGCACGATGGTGCGAATAGCCTGCGGGCGGTATCAAAAGGAAAAATCCCCCCTTCCCATACTGAAAAGGTATATTTTTGGAAATTTGTGATGCTGATTTGTGGTCGCAAATCGTGTCTGTCTTGCAAGAAGGCAACTCCGCAGGCTCCGCCGCATTGCGCGGCCGGTTTGTCATGCTGTTGGGCCTACAGCGTGGCTGTTTTTCGTGCTAAGCGCCTAGGCCAAAGCCTCTCATCTATTCAAACTTGGTATGGGCTTACAGTTCTCTCCGGCAAGACAGCTCGGATCTATGTACACAAATTCAGCATCAGAAGTTTCGTTTTGATATGGGGAGGGGGGATTTTTCCTTTCGATAGGCGGCGGGGGAACGAAAAATCGAAGGCGGGAGGAGCAGAGGCTTCATACAGGGTGATAATACTTCTATGCCCCCACCACCCTGTAATATTAACAAGTCTAACTACTTCTATGAGGATGGTTTTCTCTGGGATTTGAAAGAACAGCGAATTGTTCCAGATCCAGCAGCAACAGAGAATGAAACAATAAAAACCGATGAAACAAGTACAAGTGGCACCACAAATGTTGACCAGGGCAGAACTACTGCCTCTGCTGCACCTTCTTCAAGAACGGAGGTAGACGCCGCGGGTCCTCCCTGCAGGGACGAAGGGCAAGATATTGTGAGGAAAAATGCTCCCTCCCCATATTGGACAGGTATGGTCCTAAAAATTTGTGATGCTGATTTGTGACCACAAATCCTGTCTCTCTTGCAAGGGGGCAAATCCAAAGAATCCGCCGGCCTATGCAGGCGATTTGTAATGCTGTTGCGGCTACATGGCAGGCCTCTGCTATGCTAAGCACGTACATCGAAACAAACCTGCGCAGGCTCAGGCTTTGCCTGCGGTGCCTCACCGCAAGACAGAGCTGATTTGTGTACACAAATCCAGCAACAGACGTTTCAATATGGGGAGGGGGGATTTTTCACTTTGATACAAGAATCTCTACCGCCGGAAGTAGACGATAGAATTATTTCGGGCGGCGGCCCGGAGCCGCTTTTTCACCGATATGCATTGCAAAAATGTCTGGGCCTGGAAGAATGCAGGACGTGTCATGCTTGTCTGGCATGACTCTTGGATCTGTGATGCGTAAGCAGGAACTGGGTCTCCTGCCTGTCATGCAAAAACGCAGTTTGCCATGCAGAAAACGAAGCACATGGCACGTGCGAAAACTTGTCATGCTTGGCTGCATATTGTAATGCGTCCACGATTCACAGATTTGCATCACAAGTTTCCAGACCCAGACATTCTTGCCTTTGATAACCGGCTCAAAGTCACCATTTTGGAGAAAGACGTGCCTGACGTGAACTTGGTCCGACTGCTGAGCAAGGGTGACGCCGAAGATCAGAAAATAGCGTCCGGCCGGTTTGGGCATTCCTACCAGGAGCGACACCAGAAGTGGCGCGGCTTCTTTCTGAACGATATGGATTGCAAAAATGTCTGGGTCTGGAAGATTGCCACGTTTGTCATGCATATTTTGAATGACCCATGATCTCTGTGATGCATGCCCTAGCATCACAGATTTTACGAGGCAGGCACGATGCCTCTACCGCATGAGAAATGCCCTCCCCGCGTAGCACAAACTGGGGTCCTCTTGCTGGTCGTGCAATACAAATTTTTTTAGAATCCAGAGACAGCATCACCAGTTTAGACTTTTCCAGACCCAGACATAGTTGCATTTGATAAACGAGTTGTGCCGGCAGTTTCGGGACTTGTTTTTCGAGAAAATAGACGACGGCAAAAACATGGGGGGGATAAACGACGGGATGAAGAAGAACCACAAGAACCAAAATGACGGCACGCGGCAGGCTGATGAACCAGAAGAAGAAGCAGGCGTAGAAGAAGTAGAAACGACCCCGGACTGCCGGGATTTTGTGGACAGTTTCGTGTTCGGGGAAAGAATTGTGGACGACAAGAAGGACGTCGACCTGCGGATGTTGAACAATGGCGCTGCTGCAAGAACAGCAGAAAGTCCACTTCCTCGTGGACCACGAGATAGAAGTGGTAAAACGAGAACTTCATCTCCAGCAGCTGCCCGCGCGGCCCCCACCAGTCGTGGATACCCATCATCTACTTCGCACCGGTTCTTGTACTACCCCCGGCTGAGTGCGTTTGGAAAGCGCACGTTCGAACAAACAGTCCTCAACCAGGAAGGCCATTCGTGGTGGGACGCCCCGAATCCGCGAGCCCCCTCCTTGGATCTGATTTCGAACCCTTTCCACGGCCGCCGCATCCGCCTGCCCGGAGACGGAATCTTTATCCTGTGTGAAAACGTCCCCACCCCAGAGTTGTCATGATGCACATTTGCAATGATAGGAACGCTTGTAATGCGCTTCCCCATGAGCATGACAGGCATAGATATCCAGTCGTGTTTTGGCATTTATAATGCTGCAAACAGGATAATCAGATGGATTTTTGATGCGGTTGTCCTTGCTAACATGCACGACACTACGGACTGCAACTTGTCATGCGTGACTCCCAAAACTTCTGGATTTGTGTTGCTAACTTGTCAACTTGGCTATGGGATGGGGACCTTTTTACTCAGGATAAGCTTTTCGCAGTTCTCCTTGCGCAACCAGGACTTGTTTCAGGGTGACACGGTGCCGACCGGGAACAGCATCTTCCAGCCCTTTTGGGACTACCATACGGCTCGTCTCACCACCACAGCGGGGGCGAAGAACAAAAATGAGCCGCCTGCGGATAAACAATCTTCGAAAACACCAGCGCGGCACTCTCATCTGTCTGTCTACCAGCGGATTCAACTGGCCTCGAATCCCGTGCGTCATGAGAAGGATCTACTGATTAAACTCGCGCGGAAAGATCCAATTGGGAGTGTGAAGTTAGCCTCGTTTCAGCTGCGAAACTTTGACCCGGAGTTTCAAAAGGCGGTACTGGAAAAGGACGGGCTGGCGTTGCAGTATATGGAAATCGCCCCGCTTTGCGCGGCGCGGCCATGTTCAAACGTTTTGTTTCTTCCGGACTATGTTGCTCCCGGTAGCTCTCGTGAGCAAATGGAAATGAAGAACAGCGCAGGTGGAACAAAAAGTAAAGCATTCTCCTTTATTCCGCGCGGCGCAGCTTCCGGTTCCGACCCCCTCCCAGGGCCGTCGTCGCCGTATCAGGTCGTCGCGCAGCAGCTTCCTCGGGATTTAGCTCTACTCGCGGTGAAAAGTAACGGCCTGGCGCTTCGTTACTTGTCCCCGGAACTGCGGGCCGACGCAGAAGTCGTGAAGATGGCCGTGATTCAAGACGCTGAGGCTTTGCAGTTTGCGCACCCCAGCCTGCGGGTCTACGCGCCCTGGGAAGGTGCGTTTTCCGACGCGGGGATTTGGCCGACGGAGCTGGCAGCTATTCCGGAGCGGGGATCATCTCAAGAACACCCGGGTGGAACATCACCCGTCGTCGCGGGCCGGTGGAAATTAAGCGGGAAACATCCACCCAATGCGAAGCAGATTGCGTTAAAAAATTCGGGGTTCGCAGTGCGCTACATGGGCCTGGACTTGGGCCACGATTACGACAGGTTTGCGAATCCGAATTGGCCGTCGCAGTTCTTGCAGGATGATAAAAAAGGCAAAGTTCCGCTTCCGCAACAATTGCTGTCCAACATTACTCACGTGTCCCGAGTTCGGGAACTACTAGAAAATGCGGTTGAAACGGATGGGGAAGCCTTGCGGTTTGTGACCGCCGAAATGGTGAAAAATCGCTTACTTTTCCCTACTCTGCAGGACTACTTTAACCTCTGCAAGGTGGCGGTGGAAGCGTCTGGCTTGGCGCTGAAACACGTGCATGTGCACATCCGGTTCCCCACGGTTGGCCGTCAGCTGACCAAAGCGGGAAATTCGAATATTAACCAGGCCAAGAAAAAACGACAAGCTATCAACGCAGAACAAAGCAGAAGAAAGAACGCCGGGGGGCAGGAGGAGCAACCGGGAGATGCTGTTGGTTTTGATGTAGTTGACACGACAACTGGAACGATGTTGAAAAATGCTACTCAGAATACATCAGCGGAAGTCGAAGTTGTAGGCCACAACGACCAAAATGCGAATGTCGATAAAAAGGAACAAGCCCCTTCGGAAGGGGCTTCCTTTTTAGGAACATCATCGACGGAAGGAGATTCCGCCAAGAACCAGATCGGTCGGAAGAACAAGTCGCTGTGTGACAAACTGGAGGCCGCCGGCGCACAGCACCAGAACTACTGGGACTTAGCCCTGCGCGCGGTCAAGCAGAACGGCTTTGCTGTCGAATTCGTGCGCCGCGAATGCCTATGCATTGCAAATTATATCTCCTCTGGGGCCTCTGAAAACTTGTGATGCTGAATGGTCATAATTGAACACAGCCATCCTAGTGCAGCCAAACATGACAAATATTTTGATCCGGCGCTCTTTAATGCGTAGCGCGCATTACAACAAACTGAGTTTTTATTGCATGACGCAAAGGGTCGTCGCACTTTTGTTGGTCAAGCAACACAGATTTTACAGGAATGCCAGACAAGCAATACAAGTTCCTCTTTTCCAGACCCAGATCTGTATTTGCACTGCATAATGCCTCCACAAGGGGACGTCGTCCAGCGTGAGGACCAACAATGAGACGGACTATCTTATCAAACGCAAAAATGTCTGGGTCTGGAACAAAGCAACTTGTCATGCTAAATCTGAATCATGTAAAAATCTGTGTTGCATGATTTACCAAAAGTAGCTGTCCACTTTTGACCTAATCGAGAGGCAGTTTCTCATGCAGGATAGGCATGATAGAACTCTCACAGAATCTGTCATGCTATGTCCTACATACCAGACCTCATGGGTCATGAAAAACCTGCATGACAAGTCTGGCATTCTTCCAGACCCAGACACTTTTGCAGTTGATATATGTGTTTGCCCATCTTTTTCAAAGAGTCGCTTTAGTCCAAGCCCAGAACGCGGAGGTGGTGAAAAAATTCTACTCAACGAACCTGAAAGACCAGTCGGGGTTTACCAAGGAAGTGACAGAATATTTACGGACCAAAATGTGGCTGGGGTCCAACGAGCTCGACCACTTATACAGGGGGGAGAAGAACAAGAAGAACGGGATATTAGAGAGCCTGGGCGGCGAGGACGTCCGCGAGTTGCCGAAGCAGTATCCGATTTGGTTCCCGCTTTTGGAGACCGAGAGAACCTATCGTAAGGAAAAATCTCCCCTCCCCATATCGAAAAGGCACGCCTCAGAGAATTTGCGATGCTGACTTGTGACCACAAGCCGCGTCTGTCTTGCAAGAAAGCAACGGCGTAGACTCCGCCCCATTATGCAGGCGGTTTGTAATGGTGTTGGTCCTGCTACAGCATAGACGTCCCTCATGCTAAGCGCCTAGGCCAAAACCTCTCTGCATTCATTGGCATGTTCTGGGCCTGCAGTCCTCTACTGCAAGACAAATCTGATTTGTGTACGCAAATCCAGCATCAGAAATTTCGTTTCGATGTGGGGAGGGGGAATTTTTCATTTTGATAGAACCTTGAGCGATATGCTCACCCTGGACCGCGTCGCGCGGCGCGTCCGGAAAGCGATAGTTCCCAAGGAAGAAACCAAAGTGATCAAGTTTTGGTACATGGACGATAAGGAGCAGGCGCTCGCGGAAAAGTTATCAGATGCAAATAGGTCTGGGTCTGGAATAAACTTGTGATGCTGGGTGGCAATAATTGAGCATACTCCTGTGCGCGGCCAAGCATGACAAATTGTGAGGACGCTTCCTGATGCGTAGCGCGCATTAGAAATTGTGCTTTCGCATGACAAAACAGGGTTCGTTTTATTTGCTGGTCATGCAATAAAGATTTCTCAGGAATCTACACACGCAATACAAGTTCCACTTTTATTTCGGACTCAGACATATTTGCAATGCATAAAAGCTAGAGAACTACAGTGTGGAGCTGGCCTTTGAGCGCCGGTTTCAAAAGCCGGGCGGGGGCAGCAACGGGGTGAGAACAGTAACTACTACTGACCAACATGGAAGGACAACTCAGACGACTTACCCGGAAACGCTGCCACCCGCGCCGGTGCACGCCTCGGAGATGCGCGGGGACCAGATTATCGCCGGGGCCGGAAGCACGCGCTGGACCAGCGATGGCACCCGCGTCGCGGACCCACTTTGGACTCACAACATTCAATTTCTAGATTACAGTGAGAAAAGGCGACGTTCCGGGAAGAAAATTCCCTGGTTTGCTAAGGCACAAGAAGGGGTGGACGAGGAGGTGGACCATGTTGACGATGAAATAGATTCAGATTCACGAGGTGGAGCTGCACCAGGTCCGGCCCAGGGGCATACGCATCGCAAGTATAGTCGAAGCTCTCGATCTGAAAGATGGCAGCTTTGCAAGATTTTACGTATTTGATGATGCATGTCTGATAGTGTGCTGTGTTCAGCTCTATCATGGATTGGCACGAGATCATGTATCACTTAAGTAGATCCTCTTGTCGTTGTCTGCCATAAACGGAATTTATTCGAATTGGAATGTTGTTATGCCAACATGATGCGGAAATAAAATGTGCAACGCATAGCAGCCCAAGAAAACTACGCGTGCTGATGAGTGACTGTGTATTTTTTGCAGTCCTCCTATCAACAACAGAATTTGCAGTTCAGCATCACATCTTTCCAGACCCAGACGTATTTTTTGCAGTTGATAGACCCCGCCGGCGGAGCTCCTGTAGCTGGCTCCGGGGTCGCTGGACCACCAGGAGGCGCTGCACCAGGGGGAGCCAATGCTGGTTTGTTGGGTCCAAGCGAGGACCCAAATAACAAAAACAGTAAGATTAAGCCCTTTCTGGCCGGCGGCGGCGGGAACTACAATGAGTCTGGTAGAGAGCTCTTAACGCGGCCCTCCGCAGGACAGCAGCAGCAACAACAGCAGGAACTCGAACTCCAGCAAGAAACCTGGACACTGGTCGTGTTTGCTTCCACCTTGGGGGTACTGGGTGTCATCGTCCTCACGGTCTGGCTGACGGGCGCGTGTGGGCGACTGGAGCGCGAACAGCAAGAATGGAAGCGTGCGAAGTTGCGAAAACAGCTCTTACGCAAAATGAAGAAGCTGAAGGCCAAAAAATTCGCGTTTGGCAGCGAAGCACAGGCGCCGGGCTTCGCGCAGTATCAGGAAGGGAAACGGAGGAGAAAAGGCCAGCAGGCGAAGATAAGAGCCCTGTCGGAACCCGTTGATAATAATTTTTTGCAGCCCAGGAGCACCGTTCGGGGAGCAGGATCCGGCGCTGGAGAATATAGTAAGGGCATATGGATTGCAAATATGTCTGGGTCTGCAAGATTGCAACTTGTCATCGTAAATCTAAATCATGCAAAAATCTGTGTTGCATGAGTGCCAAAAGCTGTCCACTTTCGACCAAGTTGGGAGGGAGTTTCTCATGCAGGACAGGCATGACAGAGACCTCACAGAGTCTGTCATGCTAGGTCCCGCATTCCACGCCTCATTGATTATGTAAAACCTGCATGACAAGGCTATACTCTTTCAGACTGAGACATATTTGCACTTGATAGGGGAGTAAGAAAGCCAGCGCTTTCACCTCCACGTCCTCCGGCGTTTCACCGATCAAATATCACCACTTTGACGCCTTAGGAGCTGCTTCATCGGGGGGCGAAGATGGTTTTAGTAGTACTTCGGGAGGACCTGGTTCAGCATCATCATCTTCCCAAATGACGGTGGCATCACAACGTCCATCCCAAGTGCGCCGCACGGTCACGCGGACGTCGTCCGCTCCCGGGTTTTTAGAACAACAGCAGAAGTTATCAACTGCAAAAATGTCTGGGTCTGGAAACTTGTGATGCAACGAAGGGAATAGGGAGCTCACTGTAATGCGCTGCCAAGCATGACAAGTTTTTTTCATGGTTCTGAGTTGCGTATTCCGCATGAGAAACTGCGTCTTTGCATGACAGGGAGTAGGAGCTCTTCGCGGCCACGCAATAAAGAGTTCAGAGCCATGCGAGGATAGCATGACAAATCTCGGAATCTTCCAGACCCAGACACTTTTGCATTTGATAGAAGTCATCTGCCACGGATACAACTCCGGTATCCTGTGCAAAAGTATCGTACTCGTACTAATTGCAGACATGCATTACAAATTTTTTTCTGAAGCTAAATCCGCATTACAAATTTTATTTCTCATGCTGAGGAAATTTGTAATGCAATTTATACTAGTACGATACTTTTGCACAGGATATCCGGAAAGCGGCTACGAGTCCCCGCGGGAGCTGCGGCCGAGCCCGCAACAAATTGAGCAAGACCAGCGGCTGCTGCGGCGGGGGAGTTCGGGGCGGCTAGGTGGGAGTGGGAATACAGGGGGAGCTTCTAGTGCCGTGCCGAAGAAGAAGAAGTACCTGCACAATGTGCAATTAAATCAGCAAATGGTGTTGACCCCCGGACAGCACAATTTGGATGAGCGGGAACACAGGAGTTTGTCACCCCCGCTGGAGCTTCCGGACGACGTCGTTATTCGGCCAATCGGTGGGGGGCGGAAGCCGAAGGGAATGGTAACCAATAACAACGTATTAGTACAACGACCGCAGGGCATTGGTGGACTGGCGTTGGCGGACCGTGGTGGCATCTTCGACATAGAAGAAGACGCAGATAATCTGGTGATCAAGCCTATCGGATCGCAGAAGGAGAAAACCAGCGCGCTTTTGTCCTCCTCGGGTTCTTCCGCTATTGGTACTGCTGTTCTTCCCACTAAAATCACGGTCGGCTTAAAGAAAGGCGACGTGGAAGGTACCACTACGGGCGAAAATAACGCTATCAATGTTTCAACATCGGATGAAAAAAAGCGACTTACAAGTAGTCCTGTAACGACTATGCCCCAAATTCCGCCGATGCCCTCGTTGAGTACGCTCGGGCCGGGATCTATCAAATGCAAAAATGTCTGGGTCTGGAAGAATACAAACTTGTGATGCGCATCTCAGAACACAGAAAAATCTCTCATGCATAGGAAGCAAAAGTTGCCCACTTTCTCTCACCAAAATGGGGGAGTTGTCATGCGGATTCGGCATTGCGGAAGCCTCTCGAAACCTGTGATGCTAAAGCTTCCATGCCAGACCTTTTGTGTCATGCAAAAACAGCATGAGTCTTCCAGACCCAGACATTTTTACAATCCATAGGATCCTCGTCCGGCCTACAGGAGTCGCCTTCTACCAAGAATAGTGCTGGGTCGTCGGCAGCATCTTCGGCGCAGGATATTAATTCGCAGGAAAAAAAGAGGGAGGTAATTTTGATACCTGAACTATCCGGAGACGGCTCTACTTCCTACCCGAGCACCGCAGATTCCGCCGCGCAGAAACAACAGAAGGCGAGCAAGAGTCCTCCGGGAACGACGAATAACGCGGCCTCTCCGCCCGCGACGTCCTCTCCGCCCGCGACGGCCTCTCTGGACAAACCGAATACGGACGACCCGGGACGAGCTTCTTCAGTTGTCCTGCCGTCCTCCCAGCAAGACAAGGACAACGCAGTTTTGATGCCCAACGATGACAATAAATCCGGCAAAGCAGCCGAACAAGTAGAGCCAGCGGAGGCCCAGAATCTGAACATCTTTAAAAAGTTGAATGCACCCCGCGGTCGCACCTCTGCAGCGGGGCCTACCGCCTTACTAAACTGAAAAATGTCTGCAGCTAAAAAAATCAAAATTTTTGTATCCTACATTTTCGGGCGCCTGCTTGTGTGTTTATTTTTTTTCACAATGAACAAAAATCAAGGAAATGGCTAGGCCAGGTATTCCGGCAAGGCCTCGGCGGACGAAGCAGAGGAGACAACTCAGCCACCGGGGGACTCGGTACGTCGGTATCGGTGGACGTCGTCCACCCGGGTCCGCAGTTGTAGTTCTTCAAGTTCTCACACTCCCTCCTGCTTCCTGACGATTTACCGAGTGCGTGCCTTGTTTGAGAATGGGTTGAATTTGCTGAAGAAGAGGCTCGCCTTTGGTTTAAACCTCGCGGCCTCCGAGGAGGTCGAAGAGGGGATGAGCTCAAGTTGCAGGCTTTTGCCTGCAAATTGAGCCCGATACAGGTCGGGGCCCTGCGAAAAGGGCGGCCGCAAATTGTCGCCCCGGAGGTCCGCGGCTCGGGACGACTCCGAAGAGGTGTCCAAGGACACCTCATCTGGAGGCCAATTTCGGAGGTGCAGACATTTTTGGCGGCGCAGACAAACACGAGCTATCAGCCTCACTTTCCCCCCCCCTCGCCAAAAACGTCTGCACCTCCACTTGGGGACCTCAGTGGAGAGGTGCAGACGTTTTTGGCGGAGCCACGTTTTGCGTCACAAATCTGAACCCTCACAGCACGGCATTCTGCCGATTCAGGAGCTCAGATTTGTGATGCGGTCCAGAAAGCTGACCCAGAACGGGTCACAAGAAAAGGCCATTTGTAATGCGAGACCTGCATTACAAATTGCCACTTTTGGCGGGAGGGGCTTCACGCCCAAGTACCTGGCTGAGGTTCGCGGCATGCTGGACAGGAGCATGACCAAAGGAACTACTTCCAGAACAAGAAGCCTGAGGACTAGGGCTTGGGCTGACTACTAGGGGGCCTTCAAGCTCGCGCGGGAGCTTCGACCAAACGACGCAGCGGGAATGGAGCACAGCACCTCGGTCAAGTTCCCCAGCATGGAGGCCACGGCGCTCACCAGCGCGCTGCAGTCCGGGCGAGAAGAGAAGGGCGCAAACTGCACTACCAAAAATTTTGATTTTTTTTGCTGCAGACATTTTTCAGTTTAGTAACCTCGTGGTCGCACCTCTGCAGCGGGACCTACCGCCTTGAGTCCCTTCGCGAGGCTGCGAGAAAATAACAAGAACTCGAGTGTATCCTGAGCAAAAACGTCCCCACCCCAGAGTGATAATGGGGATCTCGCAACACAAATCCAGAAGTTTTGGCTGTAGCGCATGACAAGTTGCCGTCCGTAGTGTAGGGCAGGTTAGCAAGGTCATCCGCATTACAAACCCGACTGCTCATCCTGTTTACAGCATCACAAATTTCAAAACACAATTGCAAATGCCTTTCATGGGGATGCGCATCACGTGTTTGCTTGTCCTTGCGAATCTGCATGACAACTATGGTGTGGGGACGTTTTTACTACGGATAGAGTGCTGCAGTTGGTGGCACAGGAGCAACATCTGCCGGAAAAAATACTTCCGACCCGTCAGCGTCTGTCACAAGTGATATTAAAGGACCCCAACGACCGCAGCCGCAGCAGTATAATGTTGTGCAACAACACAACTTCAACATGGCAGGAGCGCCTGTTGCACCCCCCGGCGGGATGTTGATGGGCGGTCCGAATGCGATGCCGGTCGGAGGTCCAGCTAGTACAACAACGATGGGGAACTACAGTACGAGCGGGGCAGCTACAGGTGCACTAAACAGTACTTCTAGTAGTAGCGGCTCCACGACCATGGGGAGCAGTTCTCATGCCGCACGGCCACCACTGCCTACTCCCATCATGGCAAATCCTCAGTTGTACCACCACCACCACCAACCTGGGAAAGGGGGGCAACCTCCCGCAGGCAAGCCGATGATGCAGCAAGTTGGGTTTTCGAAGGATGGCAGGCCGTTGTTCGCTCCTGTGCCGGTTCCGGTGTACAATGGGACAACTCCCGCGGACAAGATGATTGGAAAAGGGAACATATCCTGAGTAAAAACGTCCCCGCCCCAGAGTTGTCATGCAATTCTGCATGCCAAATTCCAAAAAAGTTTCTCATGCGGAGCCCCATGAGAAGCATTTTGTATTCGTAGTTTGGAACTTCAACCTGTGATGCTAGAATCAGCATGCCATGCTAGATCTGTGATGCTTCTGAACTAGCTAAACAGGATTACACCACGAGGGCAAACTTGTCATGCCAGACAACCAAGGCTGACTGATTTGGCTAGCAGCTTCCCCATCTTGCCACTGGTTAGGGGACGTTTTTAATCAGGATAGAAAAAGAAACCCGCGCTGGTGCCGCAGCTTCCCCCGATCGTCCCCTTTCTCGGGCCGGACCGAACTGGGCAGCCGATGACGGCAATCATCGAAGAGAGCGAGTCCAGTAGGAGTAGAAATACAGCAACGGCGACAAGCACGATGGTGCCTACTAATAGCAGAAGCCGCGGTATCACCAGAAAAAAGTGTTACAGTTACACACTTGTTGGAGTTTCTGCATCACAAATTTTCTCTGTGCGGCACAGAAAACTTGTAATGCGAAGATCATAAGGGAAAACAGGAAGGAAACGAGGCTCCCAAGCATTTCCTGCATGAGAAAGGTTGTCTGTGTTGCCGGTCTTGCAACACAGTGTGTAACTGTAACACTTTTTTCTTCCGATACGCGGTGGGGACGAGAATGATCCAAATAGTGGACCTATCCTGAGGAAAAACGTCCCACCCCAGAGTTGTCATGCAAATCTGCATGCCAAAAAAGTCTCTCACGCGGAGCCCCATGAGAGCCACTTTCTAGTCGTGTTTTGGAATTTGTGATGCTAGAATCAGCATGACGTGCTAGATCTGTGATGCTTCGGAACTAGATAAACAGGACTACACTTCTACAAGGACAAACTTGTCATGCGAAACAACCTAAGCTGGTTGATTTGTCTAGCAGATTTCCCATGTTGAGTCTGGTGTGGGGACATTTTTACTCGGGATAGGACTCTCATCGGCAAACTCTTCTATGGACTTCGCCAAAGTTGGGGCGAGCCCGTATGGAAGAGATGGTGACGACGAAGACGATAGCAAGTGTAAAAATGTCTGGGTCTGGAAGAATGCAACTTGTGATGCTGTATTTAGATTCCAAAAAAATCTGTATTGCATGAGTAGCAAATGGAATGCAACTTTTGCTACGCTGAGAAGGCATTTGTCATGCGGAATAGGCATCAAGAAGCCCTCAAAAAATCTGTATTGCTAGGGTATGCATCACAGACATCATGCCTCATGCAAAACGTGCATGACAAGTGTCAGAATCTTCCAGACCCGGACATTTTTGCATTTGATAGACGATCAGTCCCTCAGCCTCAACGGGCATCAGGACCCCATGGACGCGTATGAGGAACAGATGGAGGTATCCTGTGCAAAAGTATCGTACTCGTACTAATTGCAGTTATGCATTACAAATCTTTTTCGCAAGGCAAATCTGCATTACAAATTCAATTTGTAAAAACGCTGAGTAAATTTGTATTGCAATTTCTACTAGTACGATGCTTTTGCAATGCATAGGAGGCGTTCAATGCGTATTACCAAGCATTGGAAGATTTCGGTCGCGAGGAAAATCTCGAGAACCCAAGTGGATTTTTATCCTCCGAAACTGAAGAAGAATACGAGGAGGCGGATGAAGATTTTTCAAGGGAAGCAGAGCAAGGACGGCCCGGCGCCCCACCGGGTTCCTCGTGAGTTGCTTTTTTACGAATGCCGTTTTTCTTGTACGTGTTCGTGTGCCTATTTCAATTTTCTTATTTTTTAGTACGGAAGATGATGTTTTTCTGACTACTTCATTCAACAACTTTATTTTTCCTTTTTTGATTTTTTTATTCACACATTTGAGTGCATAGGTGCACGATGGCACAATTTTTTTCATTTTTACCACGAGGTAGCAACAATATCTACATCTCAGTCTTCAATCGAGTAAGCATTTTTTTTTTCTATGAAACAAGATCAGCGGCGTGATATGAATTTCCGTGTAATAGCATTTTAGGAGCAATCGAATCAAATGCACAGAATCGTTTCCAAGTCCAACAAGCACTGCCAGTTCTTATCGTCCTGAATCTCGACTGCACGGTGGGGGGGCTCAGTCATGTCCTAGTTTGCATTCCGCCGCAACGTCTGTTCCAGTGTATTTCACACTAGGCTCTACTGATTCTTTTTCCTACTACCTCGCTGCCTGTAGCGCGAAGACGTCGCCACAGGTCGGTCGCTTTGCGGCATCAGGTAAAAGTCGTGATAAAGTCTGTGAGCATGAAAACAAAAACACAATCGTGTCAGAAAAGCTATCGGTTGCTGCGCGAGTAAAAATGTGGGGTCGTAGCACAGGAGGTGTGCATGGGTCGCGTACGTGATCCGTAGCCATATTTTCTCGGCTCTCTTTATTCGAATTCGGTCGAATGATTCTTGCTAAAGGTAGGCACAAGATCAAGTAGAAACACAAAAGAGGATACTCTAGCTTCCGTCGGAGCGAAGATTTTCTGTGTGAGGGATCGAACTTGAGAAGAAACATTTGAGCTTGATTTCCCGCAATCGCAGTGCAGATCCACTTAGACAAAAATCATCACCAAATAGGGAACAAAAGGAGAAGTCGTGGTGTAAGATTTTTTTCGATTGAATCAGATTCAGACCAAATTCAACAAATGCCCCGTCAAATTACGCTCCTGGTGGGGCCGCCGGGGTGCGGCAAAACGACCGTTGCCCCCCTGTTAGCGGTATCAACTGTAAAAGTGTCTGGGTCTGGAAGAATTCATGTTTGCAGAATATATTAACTAGCAATATGACACATATTAATCAATATGACATTTGGCAACGACAACGCTCCGAAACCCAAAAAAAGTAGCAATCTCATATTGTTATACTGTCATATTGTCATATAGCATATTGCTCATGAGGGCCTCGCGCATGAAAATTGGGGCCGTCCGAGCTGCTTGCGGACTATACGGCCACTAGGACCGTGCGCGCCGTTGTGCAGTTGTTCGTGCAGATACCGCGCAGATACCCACTAGGCGCCTCCTAGGCTTCTCTCCCGAGCATGGTGGCAACGCCCTACAGCGTTGGGCGCACTCCTCGCGCGGTATTGCTGGCACAGGCACTGTCTCTGCCGGTAGCGGCCCGACTGCGAAGTCATGCACTAGGCTGTCGCTGGCACAGCATCATCGCACCTTGCTTTTTCGGGAACTATTCCCGCGCCCGACCACCTGGCTAAGTAGCTTTGTGCTAATGATAGTCTTGCTGTTTATGAGGGTAGCGCATCTCGTAATCACAGCAAAACTATGCCAAGCCACACTGATTTTTGAGCAGTTTCCGTGTGTTGGTCTCCTAGGAGGCCCGCGGCGACGAATGGGCAGCCGGGGCGAAGACTTTTCTTCGTAAAGCAGCAACAGGGTGACCGACGGTGAGGCTATCGACCGCCCGGGGCGTTTTCGCCAACGAATTAGGCGGGGAGCGAAGATGTCCTGCCACGGCATGCGACAAACGCTGCGCGTCAGGTCATCTCCCGGTCCCCGAAGCCGATGACTCCGGTCATATTGCTCAAAAATCCGCGGTCATATTGACATATTGTAATATTGTCATATGTCATATTGTGAAAAGTGCCCGAATTTTGCTAGTTAATATATTCTGTGTTTGTCATGCTTGTCTGGCATGACTCTTAGTCATGCACGTTACCCAAGAGCTCCGTTTTTCTGTGATGCAGAAGCGCAGTTTGTCATGCAGAATAGGCAACACCTAGGAGCTCAGAAACTTGTCATGCTGAGCCAGCATTTGTAGTCTCATCATGAGACGCTACCCAGCATCACAAGTTTCCAGACCCAGACATTTTTGCATTTGATAAGCGGAAATGTTTGACCGACCACTGCTGGAGTTGGAGAAGCTGATCCAGAAGGAAATCGCCACGGGGTCAGAATCCGGGCAGTACCTGAAGCTCTGCAAGCTGCAAAACCGAACACCAGACGACGTGACGCTCATGAACCTGTTCCGAAACGAAATCTTAAACAACTGTCCCCTCGGCTGCTTCCTCTGTGACTACCCAGTCACGCTGTCACAAGCGCAGGCGCTGGATAGGTACAGATGAAATAGTGTTTTAGGATTTTGCTTTAGTAAGTTGTCCTCCTGCATAGAACATTGGGGAAAGCGTAAGTATTGCTGCGCAGCGCGATTGATGCGCATCTGATGTTTATGCCAGTCGCAGTCTTGGACCTCGTCTGTCATGCGCCAATCCCAATCCACATTATGTGAAAACGAAAACGCTTTGTTCCACCACCACCTCCACGCAGGTTTTTGATCGGTTCCGGCGACAGGCAATCGCTGAAGGTGATCAACCTGACCGCAACGGACGAGGTGTGCGAAGCGAGACTACGGGAAAGATGGGTGCACTTGCCAAGTGGGAGGGTTTACAACAAGGTCAGTTTCCCGCCCAGCAGTATGGCGTCCGAAGAACCGGCGATGCTGGACGATGTCAGTGGGGAGCCCTTGATCCAGATGGAAAAGGACGACAAACTAGTGATCCCGAAAGAGCTATCCTCTGCAAAAGTATCGTACTCGTACTAATGGCTTTTATGCATGACAAATTTTTTTCTTAAGTGAAATCCGCATTACGAATTTCATTTGTAATGCTAAGTCAATTTGTATGGCAATTTCTGCTAGTAGTAGTACGATGCTTTTGCAATCCATAAGAGCTCTTCAAGTACCATTTGGGCTGCGAGCCACAGTTGAACCACTTCGGCAGATACGAAAAAGTCGACTGCCCAGCGGAAAAATCCGTCAAGGACATCGTATACATAGAGAAATTGGGATTATTTTTGTGTGATTTGCGTTGCATGTTGCAGCGTCAGGAACAAATAGGAGGATGTTTTGTGCACATGATGCAAAATCTTCAACGAAGTTTTTGAACTTTATCTTCTTTACCCCTACTCAGGTAACCGAGTGCGCCTTCATCCTGGTAAACTCCACCTTCATATCGATTGCACCTATGGCTGCTGCGTCTGGAAAGTTGTAATGCTAGAAGTGAACGAGAACGATAGAAGCACTGCAATACGCAGCCAAGCGTGACAAATTTTTGGTCAGCTTTGTGTTGCGTATTAATTTCGTTTGGCAAGCTGCATTGTTGCATGACAGGCAAGCGGGCCTTTTCGTGCGCATGCATCACAGTGGCTCGAGCTCGAGGCATGTCCGACATGCATGACAAATCTAGCAAGCTTCCAGACCCAGACTACATATTTGCATTTGATACTTCGCAAGACAGCTGACCTTCGCCGAGCGAAACGCCGAAGCCATGGGCAACGCGCCGCTGCCGATAGTATCGGACGCACCGGTATCAAATGTAAAAATGTCTGGGTCTGGAAGAATGCGCGATTTGTCATGCAGCTTTTCCATGACCCATGAGTTCTGGAATGCAGGACCTAGCATGACAGATTCTGTGCGATCTCTCTCATGCCTATCCTGCATGAGAAACTCCCTCCCGACTTGGTCAAAACTGGACGACTTTTGGTAATCATGCAACACAGATTTTTGCATGCTTCAGATTTAGCATGACAAGTTGCATTCTTCCAGACCCAGACATTTTTACATTTGATAACCGGACGCAGCGACCCGCGTGTACGATCGGGGCGACAGGCTGGAGAGGAAAGCGCCGGTGCTCGACGCTTTCACCAAGAACGGGGGGAAGTTTACCCTGACGAAGTGGCACGAAACCGTGTCGAATTAAGTGACGTAGTGGGGTGTGAGGAGGTGGTGTCAGAGGTAGGGTAGAAAGAGGAGGTAGAGGAGAAATAAACGGGTACTATAGCAAGTCCAAGTTCCTATTTTCGTGAATACAGTTACAGTTTAAGATTACGAATACGATTCTTTTCGACGATTACAGTTTAAGATTACAGCACGATATCTTCTTACGCGGACTTTCAGTTACAGTTGAAACCTAGAATAGCAGGAGAGCAGAGGTACTACTGGTGACCTCGTCAGAGAATATAGAGCAATAGCTTGTGTCGAAACGCGGAGCAATGATTTTTGGTTCAAAACACCGATGTGCGAGATAGTATCGAAACCCAACTTGACGCTACTTGAGTACTGGGAAAGAACAAATGTGACAATGGTACTATGGATCAATGTAAATAAGTAGATCAATGGCCGAAGATCATCCAATAGACCCTATTAACAACTACAGCGCCGGGTGCGTCGGCAAGCTGCTGGTTTGTTTTTTGCCGAGCTGTTGATATTTTCTTTCGCCGGCCCGAGGAACAAGTGTGTTCGAAAAGAAAGTTTTGGAGCCGTCTTTTGGTTAGCGCGGCTAGCTGTATGAGGATAGCTTCATTCACATAGACCGCGGCCCCTGAAAAACGAGACGCAGAAGTGCCCACGTGCGGCGACAGTTGCAGCACTGGCGCCGATCGTGGGCCTTTCGAATCCCAGCCGCGAGCGGAGCCCGCGCCGAAGCAATGCCACCCCCGACGCCCAACCCGGGCGGCTGCTTGCTCTCCCATGTGTTTCGCTAAGGACACGGGAGCAAGACCCGGCCAACGCACGGGGCCCGGCCGCGGGCTGGTGTGCTCCTCCTGTGGCGCCTTTCGCCGATGAGGCCGAGGGACGCGCCGTACAGCGCCGGGCTTTGGAATTTGGACTTGGCCGAGGAAGCGGACGCGAAGGGCTTGAGCGCCCCGCCGGCCTTCGGTTCCATCGCTTCCGAAAATCGCTGGCGTGATATCTCGGACAGGCGCCCGGGGTGCTGTACGCATTGCAACAAACCGGCGCCGGCTAGTCCCTGCGGGGATTGCCGGAGGGGGGTGGCTTCTTGGTGCGTGGCGCACAAGATGGGCAAGGGCGGGAACTTGGTCCGGCTTTCGGCGGCGTCGCAGCCGGGCCGGCGCGGCTTTTGCCTTCGCCCGGCTTTGCAGCCTCGCCCCCCGCTGCAAAAGGGGAGCGGCGAGCGCCTTTCCGTGTGGCCCCTGCCTGGCTATTGGTGGCGACGGGCGCCGCCCTATGCCCAAGGGACGGAGTTGGCCGCCGGCCCGGCCTAGGGCGGGCGCGCATTGGCTGCGCTCCTCCGACGACGTCCCAAAGTGGGCGAGCCCGCAACGACGGAAAGCAAAGCCGTACGCAGGTGCGCGGCCTGCTAGGCTTACCGCGAAGAGAGGGGGGCGGCGGGGGAAAGGCTGCGCCCTGCCCCTTGCCCCAGCGGCGCCGGGGGGTCTCTCCCAGCCAAACAGTGGCCCAGTGGAGTGCAGAAGTCGCCCCACCCCCCGCCCGGGGGGGCGCGTGGTCCTTTGCTTGCGGAGTGCGTCCGCCGGGCGTTGTTGCCCTGCCTCCCCTGGGCCGCCAAGCGGGCCCCCGCCGCCCCCGCCGATTTTGCAGCTATGGGTGGCCAGGGCGGCCCGGTGGATGCGTATCTTCTGTTGGGGCGCCTTGCTTGGAAAAAGGACGGACCTTGGAAGCAGAGGCAGCCCGGGCCATTCGCCGTCTCTTTTCTGACTCTCGCGCTGTCGGCGTACGTAGGTGCGTGCGTGTGTGAGCGCGCGGGCTTGCAGCATGATGTCCAGTGCGGCGCAGGAGCTGCCACGGTTACATTTCGTGTGTATTTATTTTCATTGAGGCGGCCCTCTCGCTCTCTTGGCTGTGGTTGTGGTGTGTTTTGTGTGTGATTGTTTTTGATGGGTGCCTGTATCTAAGAGTGGAGAGCCTGCTTGAGAGGCAAAGTGGCACATCAGCGCATCAAACGGGAGGCAGTAGAAAGAAAATGTGAGCGGGTCGGCGCAAATGCTAATGCGAGCGAATTGCAATTCCCCGTTTTGTTCATGACAGCGATCTTGTACTTGCATGTTGGATATGCAGCAGCTACATTTCTATCCATGGTCTATTGATGCCATAGACCAACTGTAGAGCTTCGCAAGCTCAATTTTCCCACGACCCCGGGGATCTTCCCCACCAGCAAGATCATGGACCCTCCCCTGCCCTGGCGCGGCCGGCTCCGCACGGCGAACACGCTCTACGAGCTGGAAGAAGCGTCAACGACCATCGGTCGCGACCCGCAGAACGACCTGGTCCTGGATTCCCGGGGGATTTCCCGCTTTCACGCCATCCTCACCTTTACCAACACCAGCGGACCCTGTTTGACCGACAAGGGGTCGGCCAACGGGACGTTTGTGAACTCGCACCGGTTGGCGAAGGACACGCCGTTTCGGTTGAACCACGGCGACTTTATCTTTTTCTCCGCGTACGAACGGACGCACTACAGGTTCGAACTCCCGGATGGCGATCTGAACAGCAGCAACATCCTCGGCAACATGCCGGAGTACGTCACCCCGCCCGCGAAGGAACCGCTGATCACAGGCGGGTTTGAAGACGCGCAGGAGATCCGGAAGCGACAGCAGTACCTGGGGGTCGAAAACTTGACCAACGTCGACCACCGCATGGTCACGCCACGGCAACCCTTCGTGGGGGAAAACTCGAACTCAAGGAACAAGATTTACTACGGGAAAAACGACGAGCAGAGGAGAGGACCACAGAGTGGCACAGCTGCCAGAACTAGCGTTAATGCTGGTCGTCGGAACAGCAGCAGTAGCGGAATGCTGGGCGGTGGTGGGGGAAACAACTACATTGAGGAGGAGGAGGAAGACGAAGGTATCAAATGCAAAAATGTCTGGGTCTGGAAGGTTGCAACTTGTAATGCTAGCTCTCCAGCATACCGAGGAAATCTGTACTGCATAGCAAACAAAAGACGCAGCCTTTTTTGTACATGCAAAAACTCATTTTGTCGTGCGGATTTCCTATCAGAAAGCGTTCTGAAAAGTTGACATGCTGTGTTGCATTCGGAACTGTTTCCATCATCCACATTTTAGCAACACAAGTTTCCAGACCCAGACATTTTTGCAATGCATAGAAGGAAACACTTATCAAGACGACCTCTCCGATATTCGTGCTGAGCAGGCGCAGAACCGGATGAGTCAGCGACGCGCAAGTGCAGGAGGAAATAATAGAGCTAGCGGCGTGCAGCAGACCAGGTTAGACGCAGTGGAGAAGCGGTCGACGTCCACGTCACGGGCGATGCTAGGGGGCCGACGAAATAATGATGATGAAAACAACAACGACCTCGAGTTCGAAGACGGGGGTTTTAAGCCACGGAGCAGTAGCTCCACGAGTCTGCGAAATTACAACGCGATGATGAGAAATGACGATGGAGCTGCTGATCCTGCAGCCAACAGCGACGACTGGTCGAGTAATCTGGTGAAAAAGAAGTCTATCGCAACCCCCCCGGCAGTGAAGGAGAGGCTGGATTTCTTGGAAAAGAAACTTTTAGAGACGGAACGGGAGAAGGAGGTGAGTGATGTCATGAATCAAAGCGGGTCCGCCCGCGAAGGAGTTGTTGTACCAGGGGCGAGAGAACATCAAAGCGGCGCTGTTTCCCTGTCTGGGTCGGGGTTAAACAGGAGCAACAGCGCCGGCGGCACGAACAACTTCCCCGAATCCGGATCGGCCGCAGGATCTGCCGCGGCTTCGGGCGGCGGCGGAGGTTTTAATATTCTCGGCGGGTCTGGATCTGGGTCCGGCGGAGTTCTCGTGCCGAATACTGCAAGCAACCCTGCAGACCTCCTAGAATCCTCAACGCTGTTGCAGAGCCCGGATTTCGTGACGGACGTCCACACCCTGCAGCGCGCCTTGGAAATTCTTTCCCGGATTGGGCGGGCAGTGACAAAAGGCTACTCTTCCGCGGCGTCGCAACAAGTAACACCGAGGTTGTTCAACACGACTGTTGGAGCCGCGAACAATAATCTTCAAAACGACGTGACCATGACAAACGCGGGAGATGAACAATCAGGCAAGTATGCCGCGGAAGATCATGCCGTTGCGAAAACGTTAAACCGGACGGATTTTTTCACGGCCTCAATGCTGGATACAAACATGTTTCAGCAACAACAGCAGAATGGAGGTGGTACAGGTAATATTTTCAACACGACGCCGAGAAAAAAGCTCAACATCGACAAGGCGCGAAAGGAAGAGGAGCAGGATCTGCTGGCGGTTCTGGCGAACTTTTTCCGGGGCAAGAACGAGGATTCGAATAATCAAGCAGCAGTGCAGCCGATTGTCCCGACAATTTTGAACACGACAAAAAAACTAGAAAAGCTGTTCCGCGAGACGAAAACCGGCCAGGCGTTTCTGCAAGCCATGTTGCAGGACGAAAGTAGAACTGCAACTGGCTCCAAAATGATAACGACCGGCGATAATTTTGATACAGCAGGAAATAATCTTCAAATGAACGCGGCTCAAAGCGAAGAGGAGTCGGATTTGTCGTTTGGGGACGAGGATGGAAACAATTCGGACAACGACGACCTGGAGAATTTATCCGATAATTCCGATTTCGACGAGGACCGACAAAAGAAACTGCAAAGGATCCGCCGGAGCCGCGGGTATTTGACCCAACTCGTGAAACAGCAGGACATTGAGTTGTCCGAACTCCGCAGTAGGGCGAATTTTTATCAGCAGCTGTTTCCGGATGGCGGACCCGCGACGGGAATGAAGGCCAAAAACTCACTCTTAAAAGCCGACAATCTGACCGCGTGGCGTGACCGGATCAACAACGGCGGTGTAGCAGCTACTACAGGAGCTAGTACTGCAACCGGCGGCCCGGCTCTGCAGAGCTTGAATAACGGGATGCTGCAGCAACTGGAAACCGACCAGTTGATCAAGCTGTCCTACCTCTTAGAAATATGCATTGCAAAAGTATGGTGCTCGTACTAGTTGCAGTGCAGCATAACAGATCTCGTGTCATAGCTAATTCAGCATGACAAATTCCATGCTTCCTACTTCTGGAGAAATTGCGAATTATGCTACTTGTTCTACTAGCACGATACTTTTGCAATGCATAAGCAAACCAGCTGACCAATTCCATCGCGAAAGAGCAAACCAACGAGAACAGCCGGCACTGGAAGCAACTTTTGCTAGAATCCGAGTTTTTCAAGTCCCGCATTTTCCGCGCGCAGCAGAATCTGAAAAATCTCCGGGCGAAAAACCAGGTGAACGCGAAGGAGGTGTTGGCTCTTACGCATGAGAAAAAAGCATCTTCGCACTAAGGAGCACCAATTGCATATACAAACTTTTTCAGGCTGTTGAAAGACATCACAATGTGCCATACTAGATCAGCATCACCAGGTAGCGCAAGACATTTGTCATGCTGTACTACTGCAGTTAGCACGATATTGCGATGATTTTCCATAGGATAACGCTTCGGAGTAAACAGTACTCGGAGGAAATGGAAGTCGAGGGGATCTACGCAAACGCGGAGGTGGTCGGCGAGAGCGACCGACAAAGGGCGCGGAACAACTTTAACTTGGAAGAGGAGCAGCAGGCCTTTTCGTTGAAACTGTCAGACGAAAACGAGAAGTTGGGGAAAATGAAGGAGTTCGTCTTGCAGGAAAAATTGCGGCTCCAGGAAGCAGAGGACTTGGTGTTCAACGGATCTTACGCAAGTGTAGAAAGTTTTTCAAGTGTAATATCGCTGTCGCTGTAATTTTAATTTGCCATGCAGATTCAGGTTCAGATACGCAGGGCCCGCATCTGTAGTCCTGCATGCGATGCCGCTATAGTACGATCTCGATATTACGAGTCCAACTTTTGCACTGGATAGATCTACTGGAGTGTCATCAAGCGCCACAACTACGAGTACTACAGCGAACAATGCAGAAAATAACCTCCTCCAGCAAACTTATGCATTGCAAAAGTATCGTAATCGTACAAATGCATTACAAATTTCCTCAGCGTAAGAAATAAAGTTTGTAATGCTGATTTGCCTCAAGAAAAAAATTTCTAATGCGTGATTGCAATACCAATACGAGCGCGATACTTTTGCACAGGATAGAACTTCTCTCCTAGCGATTTCGAACCTTCTCGAGGAGATCAAAAACGCGGGGACGTTGTATGATCTGCTCAAACGTTACAATCTCAAACGTTCCAATAGAATCTGGGATGTGTCTTGCATATATGAGCATGACAGACTCGCAGACCATTCCACTTTCTGCAGCACAGATTTCGGCACATTTTTGTAGTGCGGTTTGGGGCTCCGGAACTTGTCATGCGCAGTCCTATGAGAATTGGCTAGATCATGCACCTCTTGCATCACAGATTTCCAAATTCTATTGCAACGTTTGAGATTGTATCGTTTGAGCAGGTCATACGTTGGAACGGGTGGTCGAGCTGGAGAACTGCGCGCGGTTTCTGTACTGGAAACTGCTCCACTTGGAGAAAGCGACGCGGAACGCAAATCGGTTGACGGAATTTCAACTCCGGGAGCAACAGCAGCAACAGCAAAATGACATCCTGAAAACGAAAGACAAGGACCCGCTGTCCGCACGGGCGAGGCGAAAGCAGACAGGATGGAATTTGCAGGAGCGGCTTTTTGGAGGCGATCCCGTTGGGGGAAGTAGTACAACTGGGAAGAAGTTTTTGAAGCTGAAGCCCTCCGCAGTTCCTCCGGTACCGAAAACGGTGCAGGACGTAATTGGAGTGAACGTCCAGGAAATTGTCGCGAACCATCGGAGTGCAGCTCCTTCGTCAAGGCTGCGCGCACCAGGACCAGGTTCGGATCAAAGCGGCACGAGAAGCGCACCGACTGGTGGTGCAGCGAACAATGCAAGCAAAAGTAGTATCGCAAACAACAGTAACTCCAAACGCATGGAGGATTGCATTGCGGAGGCGCTGAGACAGCACAACGTCGAGCAAGCCCGGATGTTGAAGCAATTGTGGCGGGAGAAGGAGACGAAGGAAAAGCAGCTGAAGGCGGAAAAGGAGAGACAGGTAAGTACGTATTGTGGTGCGTTTGCCAGCATGAGATAAGTGAGGTCTTGTACAAGTTTTGCATGAGAAAAAGCTGTAAACATCCCTTTAAATAAAACCTGTCAGGAGCAAGAAGCCGCGACCGCGCGTGCGAAGAAGGAGGAGGAGGCCCGACTGGAGCAGGAGCGGATTAACGCGGGCAAATCGGAGTTGGACGCCGCCTTTTTGGAAAACGTGAACGGGAAGTCCATGTTTGGCGTGAAATTCCACTCGCAAAACGTGAACCCAAACACCATGGTGTCGTCCTCTGCGAGTGGGAATGTTGTGATGGAGGAACAGCAAGAACAGCAGCAAGTTTCATTCCCCTCAGGAGGTGGTGGACCCGTACTACCCGACTTCAGTAACAACGTCAAAAATCTCACCGTTGGCAGCGCGGCGAGCTTCCTGCCGGGCGACCAGAAACTCCAGCTTACCCCTCGAGGGGCGGGCTCCTCGTCGGTACAAAACACGATCCGGGGGCCCCAGGACTTGAACAGTTACAGTCGGAATCTGCATGCGAGGATGAACAACTACAACGACCCAGTTTTCGCGGACGGGACGAGTGCGAATTATGAACAACCGGAGGATTTGGAAGATAAGATACGGCACCCGCAGAAATACGTGCCGCAAATTCTGGTGGAGCTGCCAGATGATTGAAGGAAGTAGAAAGAGATTGTCTGCAGTACTTTCTTTATCAGAAGATAAGATGCAAGGAGGTACATAAGCTGCAAGATTCGTTTGTCCACAACTCGCGAACGCGACTCGAATGAGAATTTACCTACGATCATAAAGACAAAAAGCTTTTTTGTTGAACATGAAATTGGAAGTGTAACTGCGCCAAGACTATATGCGCTGAAGACCTGCAGCGAGCTGCGCTAATTTTTTGATGCAGCGACCACACACTCGTCTGGCTCTCAATTTTACAGAGGCCCCTCTAGTTGTTCTGCGTCGAAGATCCGAGTCAGAGTGCGCACGTTTTCTGATCCAATGAAGGGCCTTGGAGCTTTTCCCGAATTAACCAACCAAGAAGCGCAGCAGTGCCGGAGAAACGGGGCGCGCCGATGAGCGCGGGGGCGCGCCTTGGTGGTGCGCGGCTGCGTGCGCACGCCCGGCAAATGGCGAACGCTTGCAAGCGTTGGCCCAAGATGCCGGGCGCTTTGCCTCGGGTGCCGCCGTGAAGCCCTGCAGGGAATCGGTGGGGGCGCCGCCGCGAAGGCGGCAACTGAAGGCAAGGCGGCAAGGCCTTCCCAGGGTATTTGAATGCGCGGCGGCGACAGCGACAGAGCGACGATTCGCGGCAGCATCACATAGAGAAGCAACGCGAGCGGGAGCGTCAGAGACTGACTCCCTTCCGATTTTCCCCAGGGGCCTAGGTCTTGCCGATGGATGCCCGCGCGGGGCCGCGCCAAACAGGCGGCGGGGATTCATTGGGGCAGCGGCAGCAGCAGGCGCGGAGAGGAGGCGGCCGCGCCGGGGCCCCTGCCCTGTCTGCAGCCGACCGCGGCCCCCGGGCGGGCGGCCGTTGCTATGCGCGCAGGCACGAGAATTTCCCGAGCAAGTGGCCCCCCCGCGCTGAGGGAAATTTCGAAAGGCATAGAAATCGAGGGCATCATGGACCACGGCGCCTATCTCCTCGCGAAAGAGATCCTGCTGTGGGCCCACAGCCCGCCCCGTCTTTTGGGCGTGTGGAAGGTGACCCAGCGCGCGTTCGCGCGGAATTCGAGAGCACGTCAGACGCCCAGACCAAAAAGGCGGCGTGGTCGCTGCCCACCGCCTTGACTTTTTCACGCAGGCCCAGCGGCCGCGCCTACAGACGCGGGCGGGCGGGCGGGCGGGCGCCCGCCCGAAGGCGCGCGGCTGGCGGCCCGGGGCGGTGGCGACACAGGTGCCGCCCGTGGCCCCCGTGTGTCTCCCTATGCCGTCCTTGGGGTGGCGCCACCCATCCGTCCGCGGGGGCGGGCCTGGTTGGCGCCAGAAGCTTTGCGCGCCGGCCTCGCTCTCTCACCCTCGCTCTGCCACGGGGCTGGTTTGTGGAGTCGTAATCCTTTATCTATGCTCGCGGCCGCTCTTGCGTCCCGCATCCGCGAGCGAAGACACGGATGGCGCCCGCGAGCCCGGTTTCGCGTGCGGCCGCGGAAATGCGTGTGGGCGTCGCGCTTTATAATTTTTGCGTCTTGCATTGGAAAACTCAATGACTGACTAGCACCGCTTTGCCCGGACTATCGGGTGTGGGGTTCGTGATGGCGTATAATTTTGGCGGGGCTGTAGTTGTTCTCCTTTTCTGAGCAGGAGGTTGTAGGATCAGCTCTTTTTGATGTGATCGCAGTTGTACTTACTACAAGGAGCTGTAGGATCATGTCTTTTGATGCTACTAGGTCAGTGACTCTTGTTGTTTCTTTCTTACGAGCAAGCCGACCAGTTCCTCATATTACATTTTACCAAGGATCATCATTATGCTCAGGACGGCCAGGATTGCTGAGACACTGCCCGGCACAGGAGAAAATTTGTAGTCGAGCTTTCCAACAAATCCCTCAGCAACGTTGACATAATTTGGATGTAGTGCCATGTTGTTCGAAGGCCCGCCGAACTAGGACACGCGAAAATGTAGTTAAAGGAACAAGTTCAAGTTGCAATTACAAAGCAAACTAGAATAGCGAACTAGTGCGTGGACCACAGTACAGTCTTCTTTTAATCCTCCGACGTTAGAACATCAGACCAGATACAGTAGAAACAAGGAACATCGCCTCAGAGAATCAATTGTTGAAGCCAAAAACAAAGAAAAATGTCATCCCTGGCCACCTCCTTCGGGATCCAATTGTACTGCGGGTACAAGTGGTTCGTTAACTACCTCTGGGACGGCAACTCCAGCTCTCCGGTGGATCAATCGGCCCCTGCTATCAAAGCGCGGAAGAAACAGGAGTATAAACTGGATCAAGACTTGTACGACAGTGAGGAGGATACGGATTTCGATTCGGACGACGTCTACGACAATCTCGGGGAAAGAGCGGATCGTGGCCGCGACGGTTTTTTCTTCGACCAAAGCGGATCCTCGTCCTCTTCGGGGAGCGAAGTGGAGGTTGAGAATCATGCTGGTGCAATTACCTCCTCTGACGGGCACGGGCTGTATCCCTCGGGGCGCGCGCGGGATGAAATTGTGTGAACGTCGGGTGTAGTAATGCACGAGTGGTTTTCCATCTCCCGCGCCAGGACCAGGAGGTTGCAGTGGATCATAGCGAATCAAGTCCTGGCCCGTCTTTGACCTGGTTCTTTTTTTTGTTGATGAGAATATAGCCGAGTGATTTGATGTTATAACAGTGTAATCGGAATAAAATCCGAATCGGATCTGGCCACGAGCAGGAATTCAGTCCCATTGAGCTTCATATTTTGAATCAGAACGTTCTAGTCATGATGATAGATAAATCCAGCAAGAGATCATGCCCAGTATTTCTGAGCAGGTAGGCCCAAACTAGATAAAGCTCGATTTGGACGAACCGTCAAATAATTTAACTTTAAGACAGGACGACCAAGCTGGCGACCGTCTTTGATCTTTCTGGATTCCGAGAAATCTTCAGAAGTTATCCGGTGTTCAGCGCTTGTTTCTTAAGTACCCTTTTTTCAGTTCATATTTTGCAAGTACTAGGCACGGCTGCTGGAATTACAGTTACACAGACCAGATCTCGAGGATCTTCCCGTTTTGCATGCAATTCAGAACTACCTCGCGCCAGCACAAGGTCATCCCTTTTTTCGCAGATGAGGATCTTCTACGCCAGCGAGTTATAACGAAAGTAGATCATCACGTTTGGTCCGACGATTCTGGTACTGAATTAGAGTCGAATCGGCAAGAAAAAGCACCGCAAGTTCCTCTTCCCTCCTGCCGTAGGACGAAGGTTCAGCAAAGGAAAAGGAGATCAGTCGAGATCGCTTATTTCAACATGTACTAGAGTTTACACATGCTTTCTTCAGAGCGCCTGTAGTCGGGATCATTTTATTTCCACCGGCAGCTCCTTGCCGCCATTTTTTGCATATTGCTCTAGTAGTACCTAGCTTTTTCATTTTCTTGAACTCACTGGCGTGCGGCACTAAACCCATTGTGGGGCGTCAGAAGTTTTCTTGTTATTTGAATTTTCGTCGACGACTTTTTCGATTTCGTTTTCAGCAGCGACAGGCACTAGCAAAACGCTAACGCGGAGAGTAGGTTGTAGCACCCATTTTTTTACACATGGAAGCAAGAGTCGTCAGGTAGGTAGTGACCACACTCCTCCGTGCCGTGCTGGTAAGTAAGTACCCTTTCATCTCACCATTGTTCCCCCTAATTATCGTTCCCTAGCGACAGACTTCACGACCCCTCTACAAAAAAAATGGGCATCCTTGAGAAAATTGCCGAGATTGAGGCCGAAATGGCCCGCACCCAGAAAAACAAGGCGACAGAATACCATTTGGGGCTTCTCCGGGGGATATCAAATGCAAAAGTGTCTGGGTCTGGAAGAATGCGCGATTTGTCATGCAGCTTTTCCATGACCCATGAGGTCTGGAATGCAGGACCTAGCATGACAGATTCTGCGCGACCTCTCTCATGCCTATCCTGCATGAGAAACTCCCTGGCGACTTGGTCAAAACTGGACGACTTTGGGTAATCATGCAACACAGATTTTTGCATGCTCCAGATTTAGCACGACAAGTTGCAGTCTTCCAGACCCAGACATTTTGACATTTGATAGGGGAAGCTCGCAAAGCTGAAGACCCAGCTCCTCGAACCCTCTAAATCCGGCGGCACGCACGCGGGCTTCGAAGTGGGGAGGTACGGAGACGCGCGGGTGGCGATCATGGGTTTTCCCTCGGTCGGAAAATCCTCCCTGCTCGCGGAGCTTACCGGGGTAAAGTCCGAGGTTGCCGCGTATCAACTGTAAAAATGTCTGGGTCTGGAAGAATTCACGTTTGTCATGCTTGTCTGGCATGACTCTTAAATCTGTCATGCATGTTACCCAAGAGCTCCGTTTTTCTGTGATGCAGAAGCGCAGTTTGTCATGCAGAATAGGCAACACCTAGGAGCTCAGAAACTTGCCATGCTGAGCCAGCATTTGTAGCGTCATCATGAGACGCCACCCAGCATCACAAGTTTCCAGACCCAGACATTTTTACAGTTGATACCGCGTACGAATTTACCACGTTGACCTGCATCCCCGGGGTGATTTACCACAACGACGCAAAGATCCAGCTGCTCGATCTTCCCGGAATCATCGACGGGGCGGCGCAGGGGCGGGGCCGCGGCAGGCAGGTGATTTCCACGGCGAAGTCCGCGGATTTGATTCTAGTAGTGCTCTATCAAATGCAAAAAAGTCTGGGTCTGGGAAGTTGCGAGATTTGTCATGCTACTCCGGCACGACTTTGAACTCTATGTTGCGTCACCGCAAGGAGCTCCTCTTGCCTGTCATGCAAAAACGCAGTTTCATCTCATGCGGAGTACGCAACTCAGAACCAAGGAAAAACTTGTCATGCTTGGCAGCGCATTACAGTGTCGTGTGCTCACTATTCCCTTCCTTGCATCACAAGCTTCCATACCCAGACATTTTTGCAGTTGATATGCTCGATGCGACCAAGGACGACAGTCAGAAAAAGCGGTTAGAGGCGGAGATGGAATCCGTTGGCATTCGGTTGAACAAAACGCCGCCGAACATAAAGGTGACGAAGAAGCTATCTTTTGCAAGAACGTCCCCGTCCCCAGCCCGGAGTCAAGATGGCGACTGTGCTACAGAAAGCAGCAAGTTTTGGCTGTTGCGCATGACAAGTTTGGGTCTCTGGTGTAGTCGTGGCTGGCTAGTGAAGCCACAACAGAAATGCAGCGCCTCATCCTGATTCGAGCATGACAAAGTCCCAGGCAGCATAAGAAAATCAAAATGCTCCTCATGGGGTTGCGCATGAGAAACATTTTAGGGATGCCATTTTGCATGACAACTCCGGGCTGGGGGCGTTTTTGCACAGGATAGAAGCCGGCCGGGGGGGTCCGGATCAACGCCAGTTGCAAGCTATCCTGTGCAAAAGTATCGTACTCGTATCGCAATCATGCATTACAAATTTTTTTCTAAAGGTAAATCCACATTACAAATTTTATTTCTCATGCTGAGGAAATTTGTAATGCATTTATACGAGTACGATACTTTTGCAATCCATACAAGCGGAGTCAGCTTATGCATGGCAAATATTGGTCTGGGTCTGGACGACCTGCAGGGAAGCAGACATTTGGCATGCAGTTTTTGCATCTGCAAGAAAGATTGGAATGTGCACAGAGCATGACAAACTCTGGGACACCAGCTCTTCTAAGCCGGGTCTGCATGAGAAATCGACCCACTCCGGGACAGGCAGAAATCGGATAAGTATCTTTTGCTGACTCTCCAACACAGATTTTCGCCCGTTCCAGAATCCGCATTACAAGTTTGCGCCCTTCCAGAGGACCCAGACATAATATTGCATTGCATAAAGCTCGACGATAAGTTGATCGAGGGACTGTTGCGGGAATACAGAATATTCAATGCGGATGTGATCATAAGGGAGGACGCTAGTGCAGAGGATTTTATCGACGTTTTGGAGGGAAATCGGAAATACGTATTTTACATTTTTGTTGAAGCTCACCTGATTTTTACCCCACGATTTTTTTGTCATGCGCGGCTAGATCGATGAGGATTCGACTTTCACTTTCTCATGCCCATATGCTGCGTACTGATACATAGTACAACACTTCTACGAAACAAAAACTTCTATCAAAGGTCCGGTGTGTCTATTGTTACAACAAAATCGACATGCTCTCCGTCGAGCAGATAGAGGCCTTGGCCCGGCTCCCGCACTCGCACGTAATGAGCTGTAATTTGAAGCTCAACCTCGACCGACTGAAGGATAGAATATGGGAGGAATTGAGTATGGTCCGGGTGTACACGAAAAAGAAGGGGCAATTTCCGGAATTCAGCAACCCGCTTGTGATAACACCACAAAGAGGAACGAAAGAATGCAATGTGGAAAACGCGGTATGATACATAGTTTTTGACAAGATGAGGAGTTCTTTATCTCCTGTACTATTTTCATGAACTCGTTTTTCTATATAGAACTGTCGGACAGTGAAGATGCAAGTATTTATCAGGACTACATCACTGCGTCAGCATGACGAAGAAGTTGCAGAGCCTCTAAAAACAGCACACCTCTTATGCATGATCAAAAGCACGCTCACGCATGAAAATGACATTGAAATTGATAATCAACGGACCAAACATCAACTAACGGTACGTACATTATCTATCACAGGTGACTCTCCTGCACAAAGACCTCCTTAACGATTTCAAGTGCGCGTTAGTATGGGGAACGTCAGTGAAGTCCAGTCCGGCCACCGCAGTATCACATGCAAATATGTCATCTGGGAGCTGGAAACTTGTGAAGTAAGTAGATGCGGAGTTGATGTAAATGACTGGAACATGTTTAGTTGTGTAGTGGCAGCCAACAAGCATCAGAAGTTTTTTGCGCGCTCTCTTAAGCCTACGCTGTATCTATGATGTGTCAACTGACACGTCGAGAAGGGGCACTTGTGTCGGTCCTGTTCCAGGAGTGCTAGATGAAAAGCTGGCATGACCACGAGCTTCCACTTATTTTCCAGATCGCCAGACCTATTTGCAACTTGCATATCCCGGGCTGAAGCACTATTTGCAGGACGAGGACGTGATCCAAATCCAGAAGCTCACCGCGGCGGAAAAGCAGAAGAAAATGCACGGGAAAAAAACCGGGACCACAGAGGCCGGCACGGGGAATTTGATAGACCCGAAAAAATATCAAGTGCAAAAGTGTCTGGGTCTGGAAGAGTGCATGTTTGTCATGCTCGTCTGGCATGACTCTTAAATCTGTCATGCACGTGACCCAAGAGCTCCATTTTTCTGTGATGATGCAGAAACGCGGTCTCTCATGCAGAATAGGCAACACCTAGAAGCTCAGCAACTTGTCATGCTGAGCCAGCATTTGTGGCCTCATCATGAGACGCCACCCAGCATCACAAGTTTCCAGACCCAGACATTTTTACACTTGATAAAAAACAGCTAGAGAAGAAGCAGAATAAAACAGGGCCGAGAAGTTGATGAGCCGTACTGCTGGTGTGAGAAGTTGTTGTAAGTAAGTACTACTGGGAGGTCGGCGTGGTCGAGGTCGTCGGCCTGAGGTGACGAAATTGGAAAACGATGAAATTGTGAACCATTTTCATTTTTTCCTGTGTGATCTTCATGGACATTAACCGAGACGACGCAGAGCCGAGCTTCATCCTTCTGCTGTGAACTATGTGTAAAAAGTCGTACTATCATTGTGTACATCGTCAACTCACGACGCACCATGGTCCAGCATCGCATGATTAGGGGCGCGCAACCTCGTCATGAAGCTTCTGGGTAAAAACAGTAGAGATGTTGATACAACTTGAGTAGTTTGAATCTGTTCTACTTGTGCAGTTCCCTGACGGTCGTGTAAGGAGGTGTCCTCGTGCCAGGAGGTGGTAGCACGTACTACTGGTACAACAGGTTTTAGTGACAGGCACGACTTTGATGATGCCATTTCTAGTTGAAAACTTATCTGTCGATATTAGGCGGTCCGTCGATCAGTACGGGCCCCCGTCCGATAGATTCAATTGTCCAATTCTATATCTAATGAAGAATTAGAATGTCCATGTCGGTCGTTGTTGCTGTACCAATCGGACTTGCATCTTCTCGGTTTGTTAACTGAAAATGATTCATGCTGTTGCTGATTTATCAGGTCAATTTCGGTGCCTGAATAATTAAAGAAGATGAATACTCGTGGTGCGGCAGCGGCGTGGTCTGGTTCTAGATTTCTGAATCATGATGTCGGTTGCGGTTTTCCTCAACAAGAATCCAATCGGTTCTTGATGTTCGACTCCAATCGGTAATAGCGGGCCGATAGAAGTTGTACTCCGACTTATAGTCAACATATTGGCGTCATGTTTTGTCGGATCCCACGACGCTAGCATTGCTCTAGTACTCTGATCGGTGGAAGATGAAACTGCTTATAATTATGTGAGTCCCAAAAGTGCCAGCATGTTGATTTTTGGCATCTTCATCGACTTCGAGTATCACAATCATTAATCGCAATAATTATGGGGCACCAGCAGGCGTCTTCAGATGTTCCCGAAAACTTTTCTCGCGAAATCAAGGTATAATTATTCCCCACAACTGTACTAAAAAAAAATACTACTAATTATCCTGCAATAAGATAGATCTTCTTCTCACAGTACATACAACCAACAGACATAAAAAAATTGAAAATAATATGGGTCCTCAGGGTCGTGGTTACACTTACAATCGCGCAAGCCGGGTGGTCGTTTGCGTGGTCTTCTACGCGACATTGGGACCGCGCCCTCACTGGGCAACAAGTCTTTTGTCGTCTCGTGAACACCACAAGCACGGGGCGTGCGAGGGTACAACTTGCAACGCCGCGTGTACACATACTAGAATATGTCAGAAGCAGGTCGCGCTCACGCAGTTGGTTTTGGACCCGATCTTTGGAGGAACTACCGTATGATTCACAAAAAAAGAGGACCCATCTTCCCTATCTTCCAAGTTGTTGTGCAAAACATGCATATACGAAAGTCCTGTGTCGCTGTTGTGTGTGATGCAAAAAATGATGGATGGGGAGTCTGTTTTTTTTTTTCTGTGGATACTTATTACGCCGCGGATGTGTTCGCACGCGAAGATGAGCTACAGGGTCAAGAAAAAAACGGAACAAATGCTGTTGGTGCTTCGAACAAGAGGATGAACAGCACGACTTCTCCCAGTATTGCAGCGACGCTAGACGCAATGAGCTGGAGCGGCGTGTTGATGCCGGAGAAGCTTTCGCTCGCCTCCGGTCACTATCAACTGCAAATATGTCTTGGTCGGGAAAGAATGAGATTTGTGTTGCTTTCTGTCGATCACACAAAAATGTGTATTCTTGCAAGAGAGGCAAAAGTAGACACTCAGATTCTTGCCACCCGGAGAGGGCACTTCTCATGCTGGATAGGTATGAGAAAAGCTTTGCGAAAGCTGTGATGCTACAGCATGCATCACAGGCATCGGGAGCCATGTACAATTTGCATGACAAACTCCCCAAACTTTGTTCCAAGCCCAGACACTTTTTGCCATGCATAGTCACCTTGCGCCAGGCGGTCATTGCTTGTTCACAAGGGCGGCCGGCGGAACGAAGATCCTGGCAGGCGGGCGCACCGTATCGTAAGGAAAAATCCCCCCTCTCCATATCGAAAAGGCACGCCTCAGAGAATTTGTCATGCTGATTTGTGACGACCTCGACCACAAATCGCGTCTGTCTTGCAAGAAAGCAACGGCATTGGCTTCGCTCCATTATGCAGGCGGTTGGTAGAAATGTTGTTGGGCCTACAGCATAGACGTTCCGCATGCTAAGCGCCTAGGCCAAAGCCTCATCCCTACATTGACATGATATGGGCCTGCGGTCCTCTACTGCAAGACAAATCCGATCTGTGCACGCAAATCCAGCATGAGAAGTTTTGTTTTGATGTGCTGGGGAGGAGGGATTTTTCATTTTGATACACCGAACGCGTTGTCGGGACTTGGGAAACTGGGTTTTCTGTGCCGAGACTTTGCAATGGTGATCAGAGTATGCATTGCAAATTATATGTCTGGGTCTGGAAACTTGTGATGCTAATTTATGAATTGTGGGGACACTACAATAAGCAGCCACGCATGACAAGTTTCTGGGCTCCTATGTGTTTCGCTTTCCGCATGACAAACTACATTTTTCTTGCAAGACAGGCAAGAGGGTCTTTTCCTGCTCACGCATTACAGGTTCAAGAGTCAACATGTGAGACAAACATGACAAACCTGCATTCTTCCAGACCCAGACATATTTGCATCTGCTTACTCGCGCTACGCGAGGGAGTTTGATGTGATTGAACGTGCGGTATTCCAATGAAAAATGCCCACACCCCTGAACTTGGGAGCATTTGTATTGCAAACCTTTCCAAGTGAAACACTCGCCTTCTTGCATATCTTAGCATCACATGCTGAATAGGTCAAATTTGTGTTGCAAAGAAGCTCAACAGTAGCCGGGTCTGTTATGCAAAAGATGCCTTGCGCACCTAGATTCTGCATCAGAAAGGCTCATAGTCCTGTCATGCAAGACAAAGATCTTGCTCTTGCATTTGGAAACTTTGCATGAGAAACTTTTGCGAATCCGAATTCCGGGGTGGGGGCATTTTTCATTGGAATACGCGGTCCTCATGAAGAAGCAGACTATTCCACCTGCGGCTCCTCACGAACTGCGCGTTGCCGGAACAACAAGCACGGAAACGAATGAAAGGAACGAACCCAATATTGAAAGGAAAAATCTCCCCTCCCCATATCGAAAAGGTTTGTTTCCGAAAATTTGTGTTGCTGATTTGAGACCACAAATCATGTCTGTCTTGCAAGAAGACCAGTGCAGCCGGTTCCGCGCCATTATGGAAGTGATTTGGCATGCTGTTGGGCCTAGGGGACAGCCGTTTGCAATGCTGAACAACAAGACCCAAACGCCCCCGCCTAGGCTGCGGATCTGGCTGCGAAGCCTTACTGCAAGACTGCGCGCATTTGTGTGCAGAAATCCAGCATCAGAAACTTCGTCTCGATATGGGGAGGGGGGATTTTTCCGTACGATACCCAACAAAAAACGTCTACCCGGTGTGGCCTACTTGCTGCTGACGGGCGACGGGGAAGCCTTTGACCAAGCGGCCCTGTGGCGGCAGTACTTCCGAACGTGTGACCCCACCCGTGCCACGGCCAATCTGTACGTGCACACCTACAAAAAAACGTTTGACCCCGAAACCCTGACGGTGAGCGGCGCTGTGGATGAGAAGGCAAAAGCCTGGAAAAACCTGTTCGACACCGAACCGGGGCTCGGGTCGGTCCACTTTGTTCCCCGCATCCACACCGCGTGGGGCGAGCTGGTGCCGGTCATGTGGTGGCTGGTTGTGAATGCATTGCAAGAGGACCACGGCGGCGGTAAAAACGAACAGTTTGTCTTTCTCAGCGAGGGACACGTACCACTGAAAAACTGCACATTCGTGCACGAGGTATCGCAAGAAAAAACTGTTTCACTGTGAACTTGTGATGCAGAGATGAACGAAGCACCAAGGTGTTTGTCTTGCTACACCTGCATAGAGCATTGGAGTTCCAGCCGTGTTTTCCCCTATGGGAAATGCGCGCATGGCAAGTTTTCCGCGCCATGTGTAGCAAACTTGTGATGCAGATATTGCACAATCATCACAGTGAAACAGTTTTTCGTGGGATACGAGGAATTGCTGGAACAACGAGAAAAAAAAGCGGCATTCGGCCTGAAAAAACAAAAGCAAGAGCAGGAACTGCAAGCGCAATCAGGATCAGCTTTGCAGTATCCTGAGTAAAAATGTCCCCACACCAGAGTCAAGATTGGAAATCCGCTAGACAAATCAGCCACCTCTGGTTGTTTCGCATGACAAGCTCCTTATCCTCGTAGTGTAATCCTGTTTAGCTAGTTGCGAAGCGTCACAGATGTAGAATATCATGCTGAGTCTAGCATCACAAATTCCAAAACAGGATTAGAAAATGGCTCTCATGGTTCTCCGCATGAGAAACTTTTTTGGCATGCACATTTGCAGGACAACTCTGGGGTGGGGACATTTTTACTCAGGATATGCAGCAAGCGTCGAAAAGCGGGTTCCTGGAAGCGGACCAGCACGGCCCGGGCCGCGGGGGGGAGACGTTGGCCAAAAATTCATCTTCCGCGTCCGCAACCGGAACCGGAACTGGACCCGTATGCATTGCAAAAGTATCGTACTCGTAGTAATTGCAGTCCTGCATGGCAAATCTGATTGTGATTCCATAGCTCATTCACCATTACAAATACCATTTTTCCTTCTGGAAAAATTTGTAATGCTATTTAAACTATAACTAGTACGATACTTCTTGTGCAATGCATAACCCGCCCGTAATGACGATGTTGATCTGAAGGAAGTTGACGAGGAACCGCAGGTATCAAATGCAAAAACGTCTGGGTCTGGAAGATTCTGAGACTTGTCATGCATGTTTTGCATGACCCAGGATTGTGTGTGATGCATGCCCTACCATCACAGACTTTTGGAGCCCTTCCTGATGCCTACTGCGCATGACAAACGCGCTCCCCGCGTAGCACGAACTAGACTCCTCTTGCTGGTCATGCAATACAGAATTTTTTAGAGTCCAGAGTTAGCATCACAAGTTCCAACCTTCCAGACCCAGACACTTTTGCATTTGATAACAGGTCGAAGAAGTTTCAAGGACCAGCAGCAAAGTGTGCATGGTGCCCGAGCAAGCGGTTGAGACGATGGATCCCGGCACGGAGAGTGGCTGCATATTTGTGCAGTCGCTCGAGTTATCAAATGTAAAAATGTCTGGGTCTGGAAGAATGCGCGATTTGTCATGCAGCTTTTCCATGACCCATGAGGTCTGGAATGCAGGACCTAGGATGACAGATTCTTTGCGATCTCTCTCATGCCTATCCTGCATGACAAACTCCCTCCCGACTTGGTCAAAACTGGACGACTTTTGAGAATCATGCAACACAGCTTTTTGCATGCTTGAGATTTAGCATGACAAGTTGCAATCTTCCAGACCCAGACATTTTTACATTTGATACGAGTCCCAAGTGCCGCGCCATCACCAGTGGGGCACGTTGTCGCGCCCGGACGCGGAACTTTTCAAGAAGTACATCTTGCTGGGCTTAAACCTGTACTTCGCAAACTTGGTGCATCAAAAGGTATTACAAATCATGCATACTTGCATTGCCTTGGCATAGGAAGTATTTTGTTTGCTGTGCTAGTATATTGCAAGCAATTCGTGTTCAGCGCCAGGTCGTTGAAAGCAATGCGCCTCCAAGAGAAGGGGTCGCCCAGCAGCTGCCACACTCTAGCCTTTCGGAATTGCGTTCCCAAGGTTTGCCGGAAATCCTGGGAGCACATTTCGGCAAGGCCCCCACGTCGGCTTTGTGCTCTGGCCGGCAGTAGGTCTGAAGTCCTCGCGAAAAATCATCCGACGTCGGGGAGATAAAGAAATGCGCCCCTGGGATTTTCGCCGCGTCGAGACCTGGGATCATAGTTCTGCAAAGCCCCCTCGTAAGATGATGTTGCGCGGGTTTTTCTGTGTTTCAAGGTCAGAACACAAACTCGAGTAGCACTCTCGTGCTCTGGCTTGCAGAACTGTGCTCCTAAGATTTGCTGACATCGAACTCAAGTCCGATTTGTGGTTTGATCGGCAATGCCTACGCAGGTGAGTTACAGATATTGGCTCGCAGGATTTCCGCCGCATCGCGAAATTCTTGACGCAGCGAAGATCCTCGGAAATAATTTCTGTAAGTTACTTACCTGCGTAAGATTTGTCTTCTCACTGGTAATACCGATCTGGGCACAAATCTTATGCAGGAAACTTACAGAGATTAGTTCCCGGGATTTGCGTGCTGCGTCTCCAATCGCCTCACTTGGACACGAGGATCATCAGTGTGTCCAAGTGTGGCGAGATCCGAGATCAGGGTGTCCAAGTGTGTCCAAGTGTGTCCAAGCTCACATCCGAGAACTTCGCGGATGTGAGCTGTCAGAGAACTTTCACACGCAAAGTGCCAAAGTTTGCCCCCCTGCTCGTGAAAGTTCGATCCACGTGTCCGAACGAGGCGATTGTAGAAAAAAAGCGGAAATCCTGGGAACCAATTTCTGTAAGTCGCGTGCGTAGGATTTGCACTCAGGTCGCGATTACCGGTCGAAACGCAGATCCTACGCAACCTACTTACTTACAGAAATTAGTTCCCAGGATCCCACATCCGAGAATTCCTCGGATGTCAGCTCCCATCCGGGAAGTTCGCGGAAGTGAGCTGCCAGAGACCTTTCACACGCAAAGGGCCGAACTTTGGCGCCCTGCTCGTGAAAGTTCGATCCGCGTGTCCAAATGAGGTGACTGCAGAAAAAACACGGAAATCCTGGGAACTAATTGCTGTAAGTCGCGTGCGTAGGGCGTGTAGTCAGACCGGGACTACCGGTCGAAACGTAGAGCCTGCGCACCTGCTTCAAAATTTTTGAAAACCGAAGCTTTTAGGAACTGCTCTGGGAACTAATTTCTGAAAGCTCTAACTTAAACCTGTACTTCGCAAACTTGGTGCATCAAAAGGTGGGCACCACCACGTACGACGCGGCCAACATTGGCGCGAGCGATGAATTCATTTTCGGTTCCACCCTGCTGATCGCGAACATGATTCAGCAGAGAAAAACCTTCGAGTCCTTCTACAACGTGTCCGAGACGTATGGATGTTGTGTGAGGATTGAAATCGACAAAGTTGAAATTATAACTTGTAATTCATAAAGTGAATGAAAGTTGTAACCCAGATTTTTCCAAGTGGCGCATGACAAATTTGGTTAGATCCGAAATCCAGTTTGTCATGCTGTTTGGGTCGTAAGGAAGACGCCTTTTGTCATGCTACTTTCGCGGCTCAGTTTCTACCCCTCAACAGGCTTACAATCTGCCTCACTTGCCTACTCTGCAAGACAGGCGCTTTGTGGGCTGCATTTCATGCATGACAAACTATTTCAACTTTAACGATTTCAATCCTGACACTTCCATAATACGAACGCGAAAGCCGGAGTCGTGCAGGTCTCTTCGCGGAAGCGTTTCCTGCTGGAGAACGTATCGAAGAAAAAAACATTGTTAGTGTAACTTTGTGAAGATGCGCAACATGCAAGATGGGCGACGTCTGTCATGCTGGTCATGCATTGCAAGGTCCACCATTCAAGCGCGTTTTGCCGTGCTATCTGCGCATGACAGGTTTTTGCTCTCATGCCAAACGGATTTGTAATGCTGTTCTTCCAAAAAAGTTACACCTACAAGTTTTTTTCCTTGGATAGAACGGTGTGAAGTCGGACTGTACTACATTTTTGCACTGGCGCCGATGCCTTGCCGGAACGGGTTTGGAGCAGCCCTATGTGTCCGAGGTGGTGCTCGTTGGTGGAGGAGCGGCTCGCATATTGTGAGGAAAAATCTCCCGCCCTCCCCATATCGAAAAAGAAATTTCTGATGCTGATTTGTGGCCACAAATCAGTTTTGTCTTGCGTACAAGGCTGCAAACGGCACCCATGGGGCGCATTGTCCAACGAGTCTGTCATGCGTTTTCGCCTATGTCAGACTTTTTTCTCATGCTCAGCAGCTGCTCGGTCGCCGGATGCGCTCCAAAATGGGCTCAGAATATTATGCCGACAAGCTCTTGCTGCAATGCAAAGCGCATTTGTGTAAGTACGCAAATCCAGCAACACAAGTTGTCTTTTGAATGTGGGGCCGCGGGGGCTTCTTTCACTTTGATATCGCACCGCGTGGCAGCACGCGCGTGGCAGCACAAGCGAAGAACCGCGGTCGATCTGGGACAGAATGAATCCTTTTTCCCGGGCGCACCAAAAAGTCAAGGGCGTGGCGACCCTAGCCTTTGATGCCGCCACCGCCCCAGGGAAGGAGGTTTCCAACGACTACCCGCGGGACTTGCACCTTGCTGATGAGTGGCGTTTCAACGAGCCACAGATGCTATGCATTGCAAAAATGTCTGGCTCTGGAAGGTTGCAACTTGTAATGCTGTGTTTGGATTCTATAAAAGATTTGTATTGCATGACCAGGAAGAGGAATCCATTTTGTGCTAGGCGGGACGTTCGCATTTGTCATGCGGAAAAGGCATCAGGATGCCCTCTAAAAGTATGTGATGCTAGGCCATTCTTTACAAGCATCATGGGTCATGCAAAATATGCATGACAAGCCTGGAAATCTTCCAGACCCAGACATATTTGCACTTGATAGATGCGGGCCCTGGTGCAGCACACCGGCCTTCTTTTTGCCCGGAAAATGGGAAAAACCAAAAGCAACAAGAAGGCGGAGCTGAAATTCGACCTCGCCAAAGAGGCGTACCCCCGCACGTTTCCCTTCGAACAAGTTGACTCCCTTCCCGCCCTGTGGGGTCAGGTAACGGTGAGGGCCAGTAGAAATACTGCCGACGGAGGTCAAGAACATCGTGATGCTGATGCAGCTATGCATTGAAAATATGTCTGGGTCTGGAAGGTTGGAACTTGTTACGCTAACTTTGGACTCTAAGTAAAAAAACTGTATTTTTGCATGACCAGCAAGAGGAGTCCAGTTTGTGCTACGCGAGGAGGACATTTGTCATGCGGAAAAGGCATTAGGAAGGCCTCTAAAAATATGTGATGCTAGATCATGCATTACAGAGATCCTGACTCCTGCAAAATATTATGCATGACAAACCTGGCAAGAACCTTCGAGACCCAGACATATTTGCATTTGATAGCAGCTCTTGAGTCAACCTCCTACAACGCGACGGAGCACTTCCGCCCAGAGGTGCTCGATGTCGGCCGCGACGAGAATGGAAATGTCTTGTTTACGTCCGCGGTGCGCGACGCGTGCGCGTTTGTTGCGGCCAAGCAGAAGAACAATAAAGGGCCCGTATCCTGATTAAAAACGTCCCCACACCAGAGTCAAGATCATGGGAACTCTGCTAGACAAATCAGCCAGCTTTGGTTGTTTCGCATGACAATTCTGTCCTCGTAGTGTAGTCCTGTTTTGCTAGTTCAGCAGCATCACAGATTCTAGCAGCGTCACAGATCTAGCGAAAATGCTTCTCGTAGGGCTCCGCATGGGAAACTTTTTTGGCATGCAAAATTGCATGACACTTCTGGGGTGGGGACGCTTTTACAAACAATAGGCCGGCCAATTATTACGCAAAGTCTTCCAAAAGACAGCTTCGTACGTGGGTGGGCGCACTCCGGTGTGCCCCGAGCTGGAGATGTGACGGGAGGAACTGCTACGCGGGGCCTGAGAGATTCTTTTTTTCGGAACAAAAAATATCAAAATGATTTTCGGAGCCACATTATTTATACTTAGTCATGATGCCAGCTCGTAGATTAAGATGAAAATTATGATTACTTATCCTCACGACCCAGATTCCGTGTAATATGAACAGACAAACAAACAGAATTACTTATATCGCTGGTGATTGTGGTACTACTACTACTTCTACAACAAGTATTTTTGACAACAAAAACGACCTGGGATGCACCATAAGCACTTGGTGGCCCTCCAAATTTAAATTTTAGGAGATCTGAACCCCACCTGGCTTTGGAATTGTGATACTCGAGTCGCAAGCGACAATCTCTGGGTCCTCTTCAACGTGCCTAATGGACAACAATTTTGCAGACCACATGTTCATCTCGAGGACGTGATCAGGAGATGAACAAGGTCTATGTTTATGCTCTATAAATCTGAGCAGCCGCAAAAAAAAAAATGTTGACATAGCAGCTCAATAATAAAGTTGACGATCAGTCTACTTCTGTGGGATTTTTCTCAACATCTTTGTTCTCAAGCAATCATATTTATAATTTCCAAGAGCGTCTGGCACGCCCTGGTCGTCGTGTTCGTAAATGCAATTGCTCTGCGGGGCTTATCATCTTAACGTTTGTCTGTTTCTCAGCGGAATGGAGAGGAGAAGGGAGGGTTTTCTTTTTCTGATCCCCATCGGGTGCTCGTTGATTGCGCACAGGGTGTGAAGGATGATTTCTTCAGAAGTGGCCCCGCGGAAGGCCCCCGACATCCTGCACCGGTCCGCAATGAATTTTATAAATTCAATGCGGCGCTCGTTCTTGCCGCACTGCCAGTGGGCTTGACTGCTCGTGACGAGATACTCGACCAGGAAACCGGTCACAAACCGCCATACCCGGTGGTTAAAAAATTCCGGTCCTTCGTCGGTGAGCATACGCCGCGTCGGGTTCCCGTGCAGCCGCAAGAGCGTGAGAAAGCGGATGGTGGTTGTTGCGCAAGGCGGACCCGTTTACATGCATCTGCTGAACGCCGAAAAATGGTTCACGTGAGATGAAATTTGTTCATTTGCGATTTCGTTTCGCGGAAGAGAAATTCTTCTTTCTCTTTCTCTTTTCCCATCGTGGAAAAAACATTTTCTTCGTCACAAAAAACAAAACAAGAATTTGTTTTCTCTTCACGATTCAGTGTGGCAACACAGAGAGGAGACGAGAGGGTTTTTTTTTTCTGATGGACCAGAAGCAGCAGAATAAACCGTTTTTCATCTTTTTTGTTTTTTCGAGCGATAGAGGCCAGAGCAGCTTGTTACACTTTTTTTTCCGAGAGACAGGGGGAATGATTATTATGCTGTGTACTTACAATTAGTAGCTGTAGCGCATGTGTAAGAACTACGCAGCTCGATTCCAACATTCGGGTGTGGAAGTGGATCATCTAAGGAGTGGATTAGCTGTACACTGCTACTGCAATTTATGAAACTAGTACGTCTATATGTTTTTTATCGTGCTGTCGTGTAGTTTGAATTTTCGTTTATTTTATTTAAAAGGGCGACTGATTTGGTCCATGATTGTCCCGTTCTTGTTTCAGGTTCTTTTCGTGGCGTCTTCAAGTAGTAGAATCGAGTAAGAACAAAAGCACGACCATGTTGTATCTTTCTTTTTCGCCGTCCACTTATCATGCAACACCTGTGGGCCCGTTGCAGCGAGCATTTGACGAGGACAACTTCAACTACATTGCCGAGTAACTACATCAACGATTGCAGCTGCAGCTCTTTCGACAACTCACACGGAGCTGCAGTCGTGGAAGTAGAAACAAGAACTTCCTCTCCTTCACTATCATCTTTCTTTACCTGCGGAGCAACGGGTGGTCGTACTACAGCGACAACCAGAGACGAAGAACAGCCCCCCCGGCGACGTCCAGCTGGAAGTAGAGATCCTCGGATAAAAATTCGGGATGAAGCTGCTCGTGCTGAGAATCATTCCCTTTCTTTTTCCGACTGTGGTTCTTCATCAGCCTCCGAAGACGAAGAAAATCAGCACGAGTTTTTGGTGGTAGAGAAAACAAATAGAACTTCCACTTTCACGTCGGGAAAGGAACTACAAGCCACGGGAGGTCGTGGTCATTCATCATCATCCCGCCGCGACGAGAGCAGGAGGAACCGGTGGTTTTTCAATTTCGACAACAACACTACAGGTACAACTGCTACAGGACCACCTCATCATCATCATCAAGAAGATTCTCACCTTTCCTTTGATGTAGGTCAAGGACACAGCACTTGTTCTCGTCGTGCTCAAAATTATCCTAAAACCTTTTCCCCGCCAAGCCGTCGGTTACTACGCCCGGCGAATTATTTGCAGCGGATTTTAAGAATAGCTTCTTCCAATAAAAAGACCACGGCGAGGAGGACCATGCTGCAAGGTGGAGCATCAAACCAAAATACTGCCGCGCCGCCTGGCGGCGCAGGACCAGGCGCGACGCAGCAGTACAACACGCGAAGACGGCGGCATTCGGTGGACGGGCGGGGAACCAGTGAAAAGTTGATGACGAAGATCAAGAACGAGTATCCTGTGTAAAAGCGTCCCCACGACCCCAGAGTTGTCATACAACTCTGCATGCCAAATCCAAAAAGAAAAAAGTTTTTCATGCGGAGCCCCATGAGAAGCATCTTCTAGTTGTCGTGTTTTGGGAATTTGTGATGCTATAATCAGCATTATATGCTAGATCTGTGATGCTTCTGAACTACCTCAACAGGATTTTTACACTACGAGGACAAACCTGTCATGCGAAACAACCAAAGCTGGCTAATTTGTCTAGCAGATTCCCCATCTTGACTCTGACTCTGGTGACGTTTTTACACAGGATAACGAGACGAATTTATTGATCAAGAAATTCAAGGAGTTAAAACCACTAGCAGACCGGCACTGGCGGGGTAGTAGTAGTGGAGTACCATCATCTGGTCAACAACATCAAAGCGAGACTGCGAACAATACTGCTTCTTCTTCCACAGCTAGTGAAAACAATAAGACCGCCAACAAACAAAATCTGGACAGTCTCGAGCTCGGCACACTGAAACTAGAGTTGAAGCTATCCAAGAGAAAAACGTTGTAGGTGTAACTTTTTTGGAGGAACAGCATCACAAATTTGTCTGGCATGACAGCAAAGACCTGTCCTGCGCAGATAGTAAGTGAAAACGCTCTTCAATGGACCCCACGACGCATGCCAAGCATGACAGACGCAATCATCTTGCATGTTGCGCATCACAAATTTACACGAACAACGTCTTTTTCTTGAATAGGAGCGGCTGCAGCAAGACTGTTCCACCGTGGTGGATTTGATTCAGGTGCTGGACGCGGGTCAGAATTTACGCCGGTGGGTATTGAGAGGAAAAATCCCCCCTCTCCATATCGAAATGGAAATCTGTGATGCGGGATTTGTGTACACAAATCGACTTGTAATGCTAGAACGCCGAGAGACGCAGCTGTGGCCTCGTTTGCAGGCAATTTGTCGTGCTGTTTCCCACTTCCAGCTGCCCCCTGTCATGCTGAAGATGCAAGGCTTTCCCACGCCAACCAGCACTACAGTCCGCATCTTTTCCCTTCTAGCATGACAAACGTGGCCACAAATCTGCATCACAAGTTTCTAGTTTGAGTATGGGGCGGTGGGGGGATTTTCCCTTTTGATAGTGGGCTGAAGCGCACATGTTGATGATCTCCGTTTTGGCCAAAAGATTTCACGCGCAATTGGAACAACAACAGCAACAGTATCAAAGAAAAAAAGTTCGTCACGATCACTCATGCGCATTTTTGCAATACAAAAGTGTTTGTCATGCGTAAAAATGCATCACAGCCCAACTTCATTAGGGATTTCCCTAGTGTTTCTGCAGTACAAGGAAAATGTGTGATGCTAAGAAAATTTGTAATGCAAAACCTGCAAGTTAGTGACTGTGACAAACTTTTTTCTCTCCATATGCAGCAGGCGTTGTCTAGTACCAGCGCAACAACTACGGGAGCAGGTGGACAGACATCTACTAATGCCGGCACTTCCGGTATGGATGTGTCAGGTTTGAAATCGTCAAAGTTGAAATAGTTTGTCATGCATAAAACGGATACCAGTATAGGCCTGCAGTTTGTAGTCGGTGCGTGACGAATTTTCCCGGTCCTGGAAGCGAGTCTGTCATTCGGTTTAGGGCAAAAGAGCTGCCTTCTGTCATGCTAGTCAGCAGTCCAACTTTTGACCCTTCCCAGGACTATGATCTGCCTTCCGTGCGTCCTCTGCAATAGAGTCACTTTTTGTATCGCAAACTATGCATGACAAATCATTTTAACTCTGACGATTTCAATCCTGGCACCCCCATATCCGGAGAGCCGAAGAAACCCTTTGTCGCGACCAAGTACTGCGAAGCCAGTAGTGAGCTGCTCCTCGTTATCAACTGCAAATATGTAGTCTGGGTCTGGAAACTTGTAATGCTAAAAAAGTGGATGATAGCCGGACTGCAATACGCAGCCAAACATGACAAATTTTTGAGCTGTGATGTGTTGCGTATTCCGCATGAGAAACAACGTTTTTGCTCAACGACGACGACGATGACAGATAGGAGAACCGTTTCGTGCCCGTGCATCACAGATTCTCGAGTCATGTCAGACATGCATGACAAATGTAAGGATCTTCCAGACCCAGGCATGTTTGCAATGCATACTCGGGACCGGGCCCTACGACGGCTTGGCGTTTGATGTGAAGTTGAAAGACCGCCTATCAAAAGGTAAAATCCCCCCTCCCCAAGTCGAAAACGAAATTTGTGTTGCTATATTTGAGTACACAAATCACGTTTGTCTTGCAGTAGAGGACTGCAGGCCTATGCTAAGCCTGAGTAGGGAGGTTTTGGGCTAGGCGCTGAGCATGGCAAACGTCTAGGCTGTATGGCCAACAGCATCACAAACGGCCTGCAGAGTGCGGCGGAGCCTGTGGAGTTGCGTTCTTGCAAGACAGAGACGATTTGTGGTCACAAATCAGCACTACAAATCTTCTGAGACGTACCTCTTCGATATGGGGAGGGGGGATCTTTCCTTACGATGCCGCCAGTTGTTGGAAAAATTGCTGAACAGCGGTGCGTATGCATTGCAAATATTTCCGGGTCTGGAAAAGTGGAACTTGTATTGCGTGGTCAGGATTCCAGAAAAATCTGTATCGCATAAAAGTACCAAGAGCGCCGCATTTTCGATTTCGTCATGAGATGAAAGCGCAGTTTGTAATGCGCGATAAGCATGAGAAAGTGTCTGAAAAACTTGTCATGCTCCACTGCTGTTACAGGCGCAGTCACTCATGGCCATTCAGCATTACAGGTGTCCAGACCCAGACACATTTGCACTTGATAGCGCGGATCCGATGGTGAAGGATATTGAATTCGGGAAAACTTGTATCGCAGGAAAAAACTGTTTCACTGTGAACTTGTGATGCAGAGAATGGAGCGCAGAACGAATTGTCTCGTCACACCTGCAAGACCTTGACTCTTTAACGGTGTTTTCCCTTTCGAAGCGCGCATGGCAAATTTTCTGTGTCATGTGTAGCAAACTTGTGATGCAAATCTTGCAAAGTCATCACAGCGAAACAGTTTTTTCGTAGGATAACTTGTGCGCACGATTTGGCGCTAAGCGGAATTCTGCCCTTCCACACCGATGCCTGGTATAAAGTATGCAGCGTATGGATCAAATCATAAAGGAAAGAGCAAGAGGATTTTCGCATTGTATTACTTCGTGGGATTTCGATTTTGCGGAGCACGTGGCCGTCGCCCGAGCTTTCCGTGCTGCTGTAAAGCATTTGCTATTTTAGCGTTGTACGAGCAGCAGAAATGAAATCAGGGTGATATTTTTAAATCGGTTCGGAAAATGAAATAGAAATACACCTACTTTTTTAGGCACGCTGTCCGCCTCCAGTCGCTGAAGAAACGGGGTGCAGATTTGCGCACCTGCCGCGATTTGTACGGACGGACGCCTTATCAATTGCAAAAATGTCTGGGTCTGCAAGATTGCAACTTGTCATGCTAAATCGAAATCGTGCAAAAATCTGTGTTGCATGATTACCAAAAGAGGGCCACTTTTGAACAAGTTCAGAGGCAGTTTGTCATGCAGAATAGGCATGAAAGAGTTCTCACAGACTCTGTCATGCTAGGTCCCGCATTCCAGACCTCGAGGGTTATGGAAAACCTGCATGACAAGTTCACACTCTTCCAGACCCAGACATTTTTGCATTTGATACGCCTATTCTGATTGCCTTGGAAGAGTTCAACGTGGCGTTTCTCCGGGCCATTCTGAAGGTGGAGCTAGGCGAGGAGTGGGGCATGCGGATTTTCCGGAAGATGCCGCCTTACAAGGATATCGCATAGAAAAATATAAACGGCGTCAGTGTACTTGTACGTAGTAGCTTTGTGATGCAGACGAGGATCTGAGACAGTTTCAAGTGCATTTTTTGTGAGCTGCACGGTGCTGCTCCTGCTGGATCGATATGCATCACTTCAAGCGGGTTCTTTCCACTTGCTACCTACGCATCGCAGGTGTTAGGTTTTTGTCATGCAAAGGAATAGCAGCCAAAATCAAAAAGGTTACACTAACGCGGTTTCATTTTTCCGCTTGATAAAGAAGAATGGCCGGCTGATGAAAACTACGTTACAGATCCAACAGCTGGTGAAACAAACGATGCCGGTGAAGCTCGCAGAGTTTAAGCAGAAGCGGGAGGAATTGGAATTTTTGATGAAGAAGTCCCCTCTGTATCAAAAGGAAAAATCCCCCCTCGCCATATCAAAACGAAGCCTCTAATGCTGGATTTGCTTACACAAATCAGATTTGTCTTGCTGGAGAGGACTGCAGGCCTATAGTAAGCCTGAGTAGGGAGATTTGGGACTAGGCGTTAAGCATGGCAAACGTCTAGTCTGTAGGGCCAACAGCATCACAAGCCGCCTGGTGAATGCGGCGGACGACCGGCGGCGTTGCGTTCTTGCAAGACAGAGACGACTTGTGGCAACAAATCAGCATTGCAAATTTTTTGAGACGTACCTTTTCGATATGGGGGGAGGGATTTTTGTTTTTCCTTGCGATACTCTGTTCGCCGAAAACGCCGGGCTCGGAAGTGGGGAACTGAACAACGACACGGGAGACGGCGCGGGAAACAACGCGGCTACAACTGGTGCCTCGCCGCTCGACAGCAACAAAGATCGCAAGAAAACGCGCCGCGGTATTCCGTATAGACACGTCCCCACCTCCACAGACTTGTCATGCAGATTTGCGATCACAGGAACATTTGTAATGCGCATCCCCAAGATAAAGAGGCATTTCCAATAGTGTTTTGGCATTTGTAATGCTGCAAACAGGATAAGCAGACCAGATGGATTTGTGCTGCGGTTATCCTTGCTAAAAACCTGGACCACACTACGGACTGCAACTTGTTATGCGTGGCTCCCAAAAGTAGAACTTCTGGATTTGTTTTGCTAGTAAGTTCCCAACTTGAAGACAACTACGAGGTGGGGACGGTTTTACTTGTCATGCGCGGGACGGTGGCCCTACCCTCGGCGGGGGGCCTGTTGGGGGGTACTAGTCCGGTGGTGGAAAAGAGGACGGATGTATCGCAAGAAAAAACTGTTTCACTGTGAACTTGTGATGCATAGAATGGAACACAGAACTATTTGTCTTGCTACACCTGCAAGGCATTGGATTTTTAAGCGTGTTTTCCCTTGGAAAGCGCGCATGGCAAATTTTCTGTGGCATGTGTAGCAAACTTGTAATGCGGATCTTGCAAAACCATCACAGTGAAACAGTTTTTTCGTGGGATAGGACGCACAGCAACTGTATTTGGACGAGTTGCGGGTGTACATGCTGGAGTTGATGCCGAAACTTTTTCCAAGGAGCATCACACTAGGTATCAAATGTAAAAATGTCTGGGTCTGGAAACTTGTGATGCTGGGTGGCGTGTCATGATGAGGCTAGAAATGCTGGCTCAGCATGACGAGTTTCTGAGCTCCTAGGTGAAGCCTATTCTGCATGACAAACTGCGCTTCTGCATCACAGAAAAACGGAGCTCTATGGGTAACGTGCACGACAGATTTAAGAGTCATGCCAGACAAGCATGACAAACATGAATTCTTCCAGACCCAGACATTTTTACAATTGATACTAGGTAAGAAGTGATTATCCACGCCGCTTTTCTTCCATTTTTTGTGTTTGTCATGCAGATCCACGAGTAGAATATGGGTTTGGGTACTACCATGACTATGCGCTCGGTCTTTTATTACCACGCAGTAAAACCACCAGATTCAGATTCACTTTCACAACCAAGCATAATGAATTACCAGGCGGCTCGTCGTCCCTGCTCACCTTCGGTCCGTATCACATGCAAATATGTCTGGGTCTGGAAATTCAAATTTGTGATGCTCAACTATTTGGATAAGACTGACGCTCTCAAGTGCAGCCAAGCATGACAAATGTACTTGACGCCGTCTGATGCGTAGCACGCATTACAAACTGCGTTTTTGCAGGACGAAAAAGTACTAGTGCCTCTCTTGCTGGCTTTGCAACGCAGATTTTTCAGGAATGCAAGACATGCAACACAAGTTCCACTTTTCCAGACCCAGACATACATTTTTGCAATGCATAGCCCGTTGCACCGTGCGATTTTGGAATCCGACACGGAATCTATCCTCTGCCAGATCTATCAAAAGGAAAAATCCCCCCTCCCCATATCGAAATGGAAATCTGTGATGCGGGATTTGTGTACACAAATCGGCTTTCTCTTGCAGTAGAGGATTGCAGGCAGATACAAAGCGGGAGGAGGGGCGTCTTTGTGTAGGCGCCTAGCAAGGCAGGCATGTCCTCCGTAGGCCATAAAGCATCACAAATTGCCTGCAGAACGCGGCCAGGTTTTTGGAGTTGTCTCCTTGCAATACAGAGGCGATTTGTGGTCTCAGATTAGCATCGCAAATTTTCAGAAGTATCCCGCTTTGGTATGGGGAGGGGGGATTTTTCCTCACGATAAGATCGCCATGATAGCCTCCGACGTGACCGGCCTGCAGGGGTATCCTGTGCACAAGTGTCATACTCGTAATAATTGCAAACAGGCATTACAAATCTTGCTCTTAAGGTAAATCCGCATTACAAATTTTCTTTCTCATGCTGAGGAAATTTGTAATGCATTTATGCGAGTGCGATACTTCTGCAATGCATGAGGGCCAGCAGCCGACGACAAACTCGCTGAATTTGAACATTTCGAATTGTCCGAACCTGCTGGCATCTAGCGGGACCACGAGCAGTGGTTCAACATCGGAGCTTATCAAATGTAAAAGTGTCTGGGTCTGGAAGAACGCAAGTTTGTCATGCTAATTTTGGATTCTAGAAAAATCTGTATTGCATGACCAGCAAGAGGAGCCCAGTTTCTGCTACGCGGGGAGGCCATTTGTCATGCGGAATAGGCATCAAGAAGCACTCAGAAAATCTGTGATGCCAGGGAATACATCACAGACGTCACGGGCCATGTAAAATCGGCATGACAAGTTCGCATTCTTCCAGACCCAGACATTTTTACATTTGATAGAGCTGGTTCTCCTTGCGCCGAGTAGCCAGGTGGATCACAACATCGAAAAGTGGAATATGGCGTTCTCAAATGTTTCATTCTCAACTGTTACATGATTTGTCATGCAAAATGACCACGATTCGCACGACGATCAAGCTGCTTCGCATGACAAATCATCGAATGGCTAAACAGCATCTAAATCCGTCCCAAATTTGTGATGCAAGACTTGCAAGCTTTCCCCTTTCCCTATTGCTGGTTTTGCATGACAAATCCATGTAACAGTTGAGAATGTAACAGTTGAGAACGCCATACGGAAGTTGATTCTCCAGGAGTTTCTGGATGTCTTCGAATTTCACGGAGTCAAGCTCCAGCCGGACTACCCGGAGTGCTACCACAGTACTAGCGGCGGGAAGGGTAGTACTAGTTTGAAGAAGAAGTCGATTTTCTGGGAATTTCCAAAGCTCTACGAGTGCTACAAGAAGCTGGTGCACGAAATTTCCACGGGCGAAAAAGCGGAAAAAATCGGCGGCGGAGTGGTGGTATTGATTTATTTCGTATACTACGTGTAAATCGTGAACGAGCTCCCGTTCCGCATGTAAGGTAGGTGTGAGTTTGGCTTTCGTGCTGAGTTGTGTAGCATGATGACCAGGTCCAGGTCGAGAAATTGGCTGTATGAAATGGAAACACCACCAAGCACCATCATGACAAATCAAATCTACGTATATTGAAAAATCCCCAGTCCACCGTGGCTTTGGTGGTGAAAGAGCTCGCGTTCGTCCACTCAGAAACCCCGTTGCATATTGCGGTCCGCTATCAAATGTAAAAATGTCTGGGTCTGGAAGAGTCGGGGCTTGTCATGCACATTTAGCATCACCCGTGAAGGTCTGTGATGCTGGTGCTAGCATCACAGATGTTTTGAGAGCTTCTTGATGCTAATTACGCATGAGAAATGCCCTCTCCGCGTACCAAGGACTGACTCCTCTTGCTGCTCATGCAACACAGATATTTGTAGAATCCGCTGACAGCATTACAAGTTCGGATTCTTCCAGACCCAGACATTTTTGCATTTGGTATCCGCGAGCAAAATTTCGACATGCTCAAACTCTTGCTCCGCCTGCACTGCTCCCCAGACTTCACAAACAACCCGCTTGCCCACCTGTTTCTGGTCAGTTATCCAAGAAAAAAAGATTGTAGGTCGTGTACTTACTTTTCTTGGAGGATTAGCATGACAATAGATATCTCATGCGTGACAGCATAAACCTGTCATGCGCAGATTGTACGCGAAAACGCCCTTGGATGGGCCCTACAATGCAGGCACAACATGACAGACGCTATCGATTTACATGTTGCGCATCACAGATTTACACTAACTCTAACAACGTTTGTTTCTTGGATATCAGTCAGGCGAAGTTTAACGAGTTGGTTGAAGAAGAAGAGCTATGCACTGCAAAAGTACTTATTGCAGTCATGCATTTTTAGTATCACAAATCTAGTTGCTAAGGCAAATCCGCATTACAATTGCCTTTGTAATGCTGAGTCAATTTGTAATGCAATTTACGCTAGGACTAGTTGTGCGATAGTACAACTTTTGCAATGCATGAGAGCGCGACGACGAGGTGGTGTACTACGGATTGGGCGTCACCGCCCACGGCGCATCCCATTCCGCGTCCAGGATAAGCAAGAGGGTGAGTACGAACTCGCGCATGGGGATATGCATTGGAACATTGTCCGGGTCTGGAAAATCGAAACTTGTGATGCTGGTCTTACATTCGTGTGAAATCTGTGATGTTGCATGACCAACAAAAGTCGCGGCCTCTTTTGTTACTTATACAAAAACGCAGGTCTTTGTCATGCGGGCTGCGTATGAGCAAGCGTTCCGCAGACTTGTCATGCTTGGCTGCATTCGGAAGCGTTCTCATCATCCACATTTCAGCATCACAAATTTACAGACCCAGACATAGTTGCAGTTGATACGGGAGCTCCCGCGACGATTCGAACTCCTCAAGCAGGAAAGTCTCGGGGACCGGGCAGGGAGGTACTTGTACGTAAAAGGCTTTCTGTTTCTTCTACAGAGGCATTGTACTAAAAGGTTCTTTGACTTTGTCATGCGTAGCAACAGTAAGTGAGATACTATGGCTACGCAAAGAGAAAGACCTAGTGCTGCAGCTTCTCAGGCTATAAAAGTCTCGTCCCACATGAACATGATGAACATGTTAATGTTTGTGACAGAGAAACCGAACCCGATCTTTTATTTTATCAGAAACAAGTGCCGCGACGACCCGGAACTCAACGTCAAACGCACTTTATGCAATGCAAATATGATGTCTGGGTCGGGAAGGTTCTAAACTTGTGGTGCAGTAGTTTCTGGATTCTGAAAAAATTTGTATGGCAACATGATTAATAGCAAGAGGCAGGACTCCAGTTTGTGCTAGGCGGAGAGGGCATTTCTCATGCTTTAGAGGCATGGCGTTGGCGAAAGCCTCTAAAAATCTGATGTGATGCTAGGGCATGCATCACAGACATCAGGGGCCATGCAAAATGTGCTGGTAATCTTCCGGACCCAGACATATTTGCATTGCATACATTTTCCCCAAACAAGCCGGAGCGGTCCCCGGTTCCGAGCAAAAGCTCGCCGGCGATGGTGCTGACGCCCAGAACGCATATGCATGGCAAAAGTATCGCACTCGTATTCATGATCGCGGTCATGCATCACAAAAACAAATCTCAATCCCAAGGTAGATCAGCAGGACAAATTCCATCTTTTATGCTGAGCTAATTTCCAATGCGACTAGTACTACTAGTCCTAGTAGTGGGATATTACTTTTGCAATGCATAACGCAGCTGCTGCAGCAACAGGCACTTAATACGGGTGACCAGAATGCGTATCAAAATATGGCATTCTCAAACGTTACATTCTCAACTGTTACATGCGTTTGTGATGCAAGAACAGCAACAGTGAAATCGTCAAGCTTGCAACTCTCGCATCACAAATTTCGAACAGATTTTAATGCTGTTTAGCCCTTCCAGAATTTGCCATGCGAAGTAACCTTGGTCGTCTGGCGGCTTATGGCACTTTTGCATGACAAATCATGTAACATTTGAGAATGTAACAGTTGAGAACGCCATACAAAACCTACCGAACACCGTGAACCAGCAGCCCAGCACCTCGGCGTCGCTAGCTGCGGGAGAATATGCATTGCAAAAGGATTTCTTCGTATGAAGTAGGAACTGCATGACAAATGAATTTGATAAGAAATCAAGTTTGTAGTGCTGATTTCGCTACACGAAAGGAATTTCTATTGCAGTAAAGCAAAGGCAATCTCTACGATAGTACCTTTGCGCTGCATACGGAACTAGTGCATTCAACTTTGCTGCCGACCTCCTCCCAGCAAATTGTCGCACCGGGAGGTACTAGTGCATCAGCCGCATCAGGAATGGGCAATAGCAAGACAAATCCCGCTCACGCCTCCCAGTCTTCCAGTAAGGAAAGCGCGAGCGGACAGTCGAAGCTATCCAGCAGCATTGGCGGGAACATCAACTCCCGACAGCAATACAACCTGTTCGCGCCGAGCGGCGTTCTTGCAGGTGAAAGTGGCGGAGGTGCAGGATCATTATTTAGCACTTCGTACACAATGACTCCAACAGCAGCAGGGCTAAACCACGCAGGGGCATCAACAGCTTCGGATCTGAATCTGGAACTGCTGCGCTTTTCTCCGGCGAAGTGTCACGAAATCTGGTTGAAGGAAAACCAAGTAGCTCTCGCCACCGGTTGTACTAGTAGTTCCAGTGCCACGACATTGGTGACTTCGGCTGGTGCAATGTTGAATAAAGCAACTGCAGTTGTCGCAGCAGGCGGAAATGCAAGTGCAACAGCCGCTGCTGCGTCTTCAACTTCATCCCAAACTACAGCACAAGAAGTGCGGCAGCTGCTGCAGCTACACAGCAGTAGTTCAAGTTGTAGCCATTTGGCAAGTACTGGCACTGGTACTACTGGCGGCTCGAAGATGAACACCACCATTCTCACGCAACAGAAAAAGTCGTCGAGTAAACAGCAGCCGAAGCTGCTAAGCCAGGTGTTGCAAGAAGTGAATATCTCCTTTTCCGAGTGTCAACTGGTGCAGTGGGACGCCGTGTATGCGGTGGCCGATTTGCTGGAGAGTGAGAATTATCAAATGTAAAAATGTCGGTCTGGAAGAATTCGAACTTGTGATGCTGCATTTGGATTCTAAAAAAATCTGTATTGCATGACCAGCAAAGGGAGTGCAATTTTGGCTACGCGGCGAGGGCATTTGTCATGCGGAATAGGGATCACGAAGCCCTCAAAAAGTCTGTGATGCTAGGGCATGCATCACAGACATCGTGGCCTATGCAAAACGTGCATGACAACTTTCAGAATCTTCCAGACCCAGACATTTTTACATTTGATAAGAATTTGAACTTTCTCGCAACCGACAATCTGCGAACGTTTCTTTCCGGACAACAGCAAGCTGCGAGTCTCGCGCAGCACGATACAGCAGCTTCAGCGAACCCAGGAGCACCGACCTACACCTTGGAAGACTTCTGTTCCTGGTACCACTCTCTTGCCGCGAAGCCGTACCAGCGCGTCGCGAAATTTTGGCGGTTTTACCAGGAGAAACAGCAGGCAGGCGGGAACAACGTCGGCCTGATCAATAACATCGGAGGAGGTGCGGGGACGATCTTGCCGGGCGGGGCAGGTGGAGCGACGAACAGCAATCTTCCTCTCGGCGGCGGGGGCATGTTGAGCGGAGCTGGGGGCGTCGGCGGTTTTTTTTCCAGCGCTTTTGGCGGCGGCGGGGGAGGAGGGAAGGGAGGTGCAACTATTACTACTACTACATCGGGGCCAGCTGCAGCAGCAGCGGCAAGTACAAATATAACCACGACTACAACAACAGCTCCTCCAGCTCCAGGCGGGACCACCACCACCGCTGCTGCACCAAAGCCGCCAGCAACTCCCGCTGCTGCGCCAGTACCTGCGGCTGCTACTCCGAAGGCGGCCCCGCCGGCCCCTAGCAGTGCTGCGTCCTCCGCGAATACAGTTGTTGCGCGGGAAGAAAACAAAATCACATCGGCAACAGCTCCTGTGGCACTTATTTCTGCGGAAGAAGGGGACGAGCTACATGATGACAAGCAGCCGCCGTCCCTGGGCTTGCTGGCTGTGACGTCGACTAGTAGCGTCCGGGACACGGTGATGGTAGAGGATGACGAAGTTGGAACGATGCAGTCGCCGGAAGCGATGAACTTACGCAGTTCAATATCCCACAAAAACATGTATAAAGTGTTGCAGTTCTTTAGTACACATTTTCTGTTTAAATAAAAACTTCAGCAACGCAGACAGTCTCTGCATGACCGAAAGAAAAGGGATTTTTACAGGGATGGCCACATCTATCAATCCTGGGAATAAAAGACGTATGAAACTGGGTCACTGAAGAGCATGATGCCCGGTACTAGCATGACAGAACTTGATGTGTGTCTTGCTCCACTACTTGTGCAGTGCAAGACAGTGTGTACTACTCAAAAAATGCAAGAACACTTGAAGCTTTTTGATATGATACTGCGTCCTCGAGAATTCAGACTCTTTCGGCGAGTCCGAAGCCGACGAGTATGCATTGCAAAAGCATCGTACTAGTATAAATTGCAATACAAATTTGCGCAGCATTACAAATTGAATTTGTGATGCGGATTTGCCTTTAGGAAAAGATTTGTAATGCATAAAAGCAATTAGTACGAGTGCGATACTTTTGCACAGGATAACGAGCACCTGCCAGTGATCAACAAAGTGCCGTCCAGCTATCAAATGGAAATATGTCTGGGTCCGGAAGGATGCAAGGTTTGCCATGCACATTTTGCATGACCCCTGATGTCTGTGATGCATGCCCTAGCATCACAGATTTTGTGAGGGCTTTCTGATGCCTATACCGCTTGAGAAATGCCCTCTTGCCGTCGCAAAAACTGGAGCTTTTTTGCTGTTCATGCAATACAGATTTTTGTAAAATCCAAACGCAGCATCACAAGTTGCATCCTTCCAGACCCAGACACTTTTGCATTTGATACCAGCCGGGATACCACGATTCGGGATTCCATCGAGGGATAGAAGATTTAACGAGAAAGATAAGTGATGCGGAAAACGGTAGCCATCGCCTGTTGGTAATAGTACGCTACGTACAAATTCGAAAATGCATAATATATCTCGCAGAACGACAACACGATTACATCAGTAGACCACAAAAAAAATCATAGTCCACAGTATCGCTCAAAGAAAAGGAAAAGGAAAAGTTGAGAGACCGTTTACTTTCGTCGATAATGTGCTCCATTTTTTCAGTAAAGAACCTATGAAGTGTTTATGCTAGGATAAGTGATTCACGAAAACAAGCTCTCGAGCGGTGGAAAACTGCTCAAAAGAGAAACGTACTGGAAGCTCGTTGTGAAGAAATAAACGTCCTTGCTTCATTACAGGAAAAAAAAAAGTTTTTCAAGACGTTGCAGCTTTTACCCACGAAGACGAATAAAAGCGGAAGCAAATTCCTCACGATTGGTGTCGATTTAGTACTAGGTTTCGAAGCGTTTCACCGATAGAACATTATGGCATGATAGCAAGATGATTATTCCACTTTGGTGCACCGACCTGTACAATGTGATGAAAGAGAAACCAGTTTACTTTATATATTTCCATGATTGCACCACACGAAAAGGAAAAAGTAAACCGAAAGCGAAGTGAGGAAACACACATGGAAAAGGGGAGCCGATACAATACCTTTGTTTGAATGAAGACAGAAAAAAATAATCGATGAACCCCAAGGACCACCACGGGGCGAAAGATTGACGTGCTTCTCTCTTTTTCTTCTTCTCTTCGTACTGATGGTCACTCATCTGCTCGTCCAGCTCCAGTGTCCGTAAACTGTTCGTTCATCGTACACCGTACTGTAGGCGTCCATCGTACTTCGTATAACTTACTTACTACTTAGCATGCTCCTTCTGTAGATGAAAAATTGTTCTCGTTGCGGTTGTAGACCCTAGTAGACCACATAGGAGGACTTGTCGTGTCTGTCACAGGACTACTTGACACTAGCAAGTAGAATGTGCTTCTCGCGTTTTTCTTTGATATATCGTCGACGACGCTGAGAAAAAAAAAAAAATAAACCTGAGAAGATTGAGATTCTGAAGGAAAGATATACTTGCAAAAGCACATGCGAGAGACGAAAACGATGAGCAGACCGACTAAGAAAGAACTCTCCGACAAGGATAATACATAGCGTGCGCAAATGGATGAATGTGGTGCAACATCGCTGTTAATATGAAACCAAAAGCACCTTCTCGATTGTCGTTTCCCCATCTTCAAACTAGCACGGATAGTACGTACTAGTGCCTGTTTTGCACCATGGCAGTATTGCTCCGTTTTTCGTTGTCGTTTAGTGTTTTCGTGGCTGTTGCATCTTCGTCAGCTTTTGTCTCTTAATGTTCCACAACTCGGCAGGTCCTCCCAAGAAGTCGCTTGGAGAAATAGAGTACTTAGAATTTCTTGCAATAATTGTTGGTGTTTTGAACTTCATAAGGTCGTGGCTCTGGTTTTTATTCTTTGAATTATTTATTACTTTTCCCCTTCTGACCAAGATAAAGATTTGAATTTGATCGACGATGATGCACAACGAATCTCCCGCCCCTTCTGATCGCCGAAGATGAGCCACAACGAAGATCTTTGGACCTCAAGAAAAATCGAGGACAGCAAGGACTCAGACCACATGCTGGGCACCACGATGATATCAAACGGAAAAATCCCCCCTCCCCACATCGAAATGGAAATCTGTGATGCAGGATTTGAGGTACCAAATCGACTTGTCATGCTAGAAGGCCAAGAGCCGCAGTCGTGGTCTCGTCTGCAGGCAATTTGTCATGCTGTTTCCCACTCTCAGCTGCCTCCTATCATGCTGAAGATGCAAGGCTCCCCCACGCCACCCAGCACTACAGTCCGCATCTTTTCCCGTGTAGCATGACATAGCTGATTTGTGACCACAAATCTGCATCACAGATTTCCGCTTTGATATGGGGAGGGGGGATTTTTCTTCTTGATAGATGAACTTCAGCTACACGCGAGACCAGATGCTGCACCTTCGTCTATCAAATGTCAAAATGTCTGGGTCTCGGTCTGGGAGGATGCAACTTGTCATGCTTGTCTGGCATGACTCGAGAATCTGTGTTGCATAGGCACGAAAAGGCCCTCTTACCTGTCACGCAAAAACGCAGTTTGCCATGCGGAATGCGTAAGACACGGGGGCCAAAAAATTTGTCATGCATAGCTGCGTATTGCAGTCCGTCTACCATTCACTTTTAGCATCACAAGTTTCCAGACCCAGACATTTTTGCATTCGATATCGTCCTTCGTCTGACAACATGATCTTGGGCGAACGAACGCTCACGACCGTGGAGAGACCGCCGACCCCGGAAGGCTTCGGATCTCGGAAGAAGGCGAAGCAAGAAAGGAAAAGATTGCTAGCGCAGCAGCAAGAGGAGCTGGCAGCCAGTACTACCGCAGCAGCTGAGACCGCTGTCGAGAAGATGTATTTTTACACGAGAGACCAGATGCTGCACCTTCGTTCCTCGTACGAAGACTTGGGCGAACGAACGCTGACGACCTGGGAGAGACCGCCGCCCCCAGTAGGCTTCGGAAGTCGGAAGAAGGCGAACCAAGAAAGACAAAGATTGCTAGCGCTGCAGGAGCAGGAGATCCTGGCAGCAGCTCTGACGGCAGCTAGTAGAAGTACGACCGCTGTAGTCGAGAAGACGGATTACACGAACGTATTGTCAAGCCCGCCCCCTCCTTCTGCTGGACACAAGCATCATCTACTTCCACCGCCGCCGCTGCCTTCCGTCCTTCCGCCGCCTGCAAGAAGTTCTCTCCAGCCGCCTTATCACGATAGCCACCAGCGGTACACGTACAACTCCGGTAGTAGATCCAGGTCGGCGTTTTTGGAGGATCAACCGCCGACGTTGCCGCAGTACAACTGGGAGCATCAACAACATCAGCTGCACCAGCCACCGACGTTGCCGCAGTGGTTCTTGCAGCAGCAACAACCGCTGCACCAAAGTTACTTCGCAAGAAGAACATGATTGATTCCACCCTGTCTTAGAACGGCGCTCTGAGCAGTGTATAACTTCTTAGCTTTCCCGCCTCTACTCCGCGGTGTAGTTTATTGTTTTTGCCTATGAAGTAGATTTGTTTCTGCATCTGCTCTCCACCAGGAAGTACACCGGATAGTTTGATGCGCTTACTTTTTGGAAGAAAAAAGCCCGGAGCTGAAAGCAGAATTGGCCCCATTTGCTTTCTAGCTTGTTGAAGGTGAAGATCTACTTTGACTTTCCGCATAACACTCGATCTCGACCAGGAAAGCATTGTTTATTCGGTGAAATAAGCAACAAACCGTACTACAGGTACAACAGCGTTCTCTATAGAGTTGTTGTGCTGGTTTTGATTCTTCAAATGCAGTTTGTGCAAATCCAAGTACTCAAGGAAGATTTTGATTTTGTTGGCAACTACTAGCGCAGACGAGGAAAGAATTACTCAAGGGCGAAGACGAGAGTTTGAAGCTGTGTCGGTGTTCATAATTGTCCTGTGGGGGTGTCGGTAGTTCGCGTCGGCTTTAAATATTCGTCCTTCTCAGGCACTACAAGATTTACGTACACATCATGACATTTTAACAGCTTGTACTATTCGTGCGCCATCTAGTACCAAGCCAACCGTCGTTCGTTCATCTCGTCGTTCTCTGGTGCCTAGAAGAACAACAAGTGCCGTCGTTTTTACAACATGATCTTTGTCGTGTTAATATTGTCGTGGTCTATGTCTATCTCTATCTCATCTATGTTGAATGCAAGGTAAGACAAAAGTAGCTCATCGTCGTCCATCCATACCAGCACGTCTTGTCGTGCCTGTGTTGTGTTCTTGCTCTCGTGTACTATTTCGTCGTCGGTTTGTGTAGTTTTTGTGGCTCTTATTGCATCTCGTGATCTACCACCCGTAAGATGACATGAGCTTTAGTTGTCCCTCGTCCCACAACTCAGGAGCACGTCGTGGCCCCGACTAGTACTCACTTCCAGAAGTATCAAATCTTCTCGTACCTGTTTCGCTTCTCTTTCAATCATTTACTATCGTATTCGCCCGAGCAAAGTTTACATTTAGAACTAGAACTGGAACAAGTTCAACGATTTTGTAGAAGAACAAAAAGCAACTAGGTGTAGGTTTTCATTTTCCAGCTTCTTCTTTTCCAAAAAAAAAAGCAAAACATCAAAATGACTGTTTCTCCTCGCCGAAACAAGAAGAACCACTTCGGCGCTGCGAGCACGCTTGTCGCCTCGTGCAGCTTCTTGCAGCAGAGTCTACTACCTTTCGTGGAACAGCAGCACCGCTTTTTTTCCTACGGATTGCAGCTGACCGCACACAATAGTAAACAAAAAAGCCTCCACCTGCTGCACCAGAAGCGGCCCACTGCCAAGCAGCGCCCCTCTCACCCGCAGGGCAGCACGACAAGCGGTCCCCCTGTCAAGCCTCTGCCCTACAACCCTTCGGGCGGCGCAAGCGGTTCTCAAGGTCCCACGGAAGGAGATGATCAACACCATGGAGCAGTTAGTTACTCCTTCCCCGACCCTGTCGACGTGCTCCGTCAGGTGCAGAATTTGCCGGCCGGCAGTACTCCTGAGGAACAGGCCACAGTCTGTGCGAATGTGATGACCGTCCTTATGAGTGTTTGAGGCGTCGTGCCAAAAAGCGTCGGACTTGCACGCCGCTATGCGGAGACAAATCGCAGATCTGCCAATCGATGTGGGGACCGTTTTCAATTGCAGTCCGGAACTCGGAGGATTTGGGCCGGACATCGCTACTGCCTTCTGTAAGAACGTTGATGATACGTTGTCGCCGACGGACTGAGCTCTAGCTACAGTTGTGGCCGACGCGGTGAACGCCGCTGGCGAACTGAGCAGCTACCAGGAGCCACCCCTTCAATTGGTGCACGACGCCTGCGAGAAGGTCGGGACTGCTATTCTTTTTGCCGTGGGTGTGTGCTGCAACCTGGTTGACGACACATGGTACACTTCTTCTATGCCGGACCCTGGTGACCACCAAGATCACCCGGCTGGCCACGCGGACGACTGCGCGTCTCTGACCAACGCCGTGATCACGGTGAGCGGAAAAATTCCCTTGTTCTCCCCCTCGAATGGAGAAGTCACACATGATCCCTGTGCCGGGCTGTCCTTCATCGGCGCCGGAGACCTCAACCCGCTGAACGCTTATTGCGCCTCTGTATCCTCCGGTTGAAAAAAAACGTGTTTCCACGACCCCATGGGACGTGGAACATTGCATTAAGTGTACACGACGACCCAGAAGTTGTGTTGGGATAGATAGTCACTGACATGGCAAGAAGTAAGTAGGTTTTGGGTTGTATATAAAAGTCTGCCAGATGCGTAGCTAAGTGAAAATGTAACCGCATCTTCACAAATGCAAATCGACGCCCCTATGCTAATAAACAAGATTTTTAGAAAATGTCTCTCATGTAGTTGCTGCTGGTCAGCTGCGTGTAAAAAGAGATTTTGCCCGCACGCAGATTTGCATTGGGGTCGTTGGGACCACGTACAACTTTTTACGCCGGATATTAGGGAGGCGGGGGTGAAGATCCGAATTTCGATCATTACATGGACCAGATTGCGCTTGCCGGCAATTTTTCCGCAGAAGTTTTTGGCGAGCCAGGAGGTTTTGACGCGGTTGCAGAAAAAATCACGGTCGATATCATATGCAAAAACGTCCCCACCCCATAGTCAAGATTGATGGGAACGTAGCAACACAAATCCAGAAGTTTTTGGAGCCACGCATGACAAGTTGCAGTCCGTAGCGTGGTGCATGTTAGCAAGGACAGCCGCATCACAAATACATCTGTTTATACTGTTTGCAGCATTACAAACAAGGTCATGGCGCGGGGACAGAGTCCCCGCGCTGCGACCTTGCGGCGAAGAAGGGCCACCCGCGGTGGCTTTTCTTGCCCATGATGCGGCAGGTTTTTTTTTTTGCGACAGAACGGGGTGGCTTGGCGCCCGTGGTGCCGGCGCCCCCCCTGGAAAAATGCGGCTTTTTCTGCGCCCCTGGGCGGGGCGCCCCCCCCAAAGGACTACCCACGACCAACCGAGGGCGCGGCCGTCCGGGAGGTTGTTCTCCCGAACCAGGGCGCGCGGGCCTGTTTCTGCGCCCCTCCGCGGGGCGCCTCCCCCAATGGACTACCCAAGACCAACCGAGGGCGCGGCCTTACCTCCAGGGCGCGTGGACCTGTTTCTGCGCCCCTTGGCGGGGCGCCCCCCCCAAAGGACTACCCACGACCAACCGAGGGCGCGGCCGTCCTGGAGGTTGTTCTCCCGAACCAGGGCGCGCGGGCCTGTTTCTGCGCCCCTCGGCGGGGCGCCCCCCCAAAGGACTACCCAAGACCAACCGAGGGCGCGGCCTTACCAGGGCGCGTGGACCTGTTTCTGCGCCGCTGGGCGGGGCGCCCCCCCCGAAGGACTACCCGCTACCAACCGAGGGCGCGGCCTTCGTGGAGCCTGTTCTCCCGAACCAGGGTGGGCGCGCGGACCTGTTTCTCTCTGCGCCCCGGGGCGGGGCGCCCCCCCCAAAGGACTACCCAAGACCAACCGAGGGCGCGGCCTTCCCAGGGCGCGTGGACCTGTTTCTGTGCCCCTGGGCGGAGCGCCCCCCCCAAAGGACTACCCACGACCAACCGAGGGCGCGGCCTACCTGGAGCCTGTTCATTCTCCCGAACCAGGGTGGGCGCGCGGACCTGTTTCTGCGCCCCTGGGCGGGGCGCCCCCCCAAAGGACTACCCACGATCATGTGAGGGGGGGCGCGGCCACCTTCCTGGGGCCTGTTCTCCCGAACCAGGGCGCACAGACCTGTTTCTGCGCCCCTGGGCGGGGCGCCCCCCCCAATGAATAGGCAGCCAACCTTTGGCCCCCGGGGTCGGGCCTGACTCTTGAAAAGCGGCCCCCGGGGTCGGATGTTCCTTTTCCGAAGTCGGGTGGGGGGCATGTTTTGAGTTGTGCAGGAGGTTTTTGCCGATTCAGGTCGTGTTTGTTTGATACCCCGGAACAGGGGTCGGAACATACCCCGGAACACACCCCAGAACACACCCCGAAACACACCCCAGACCATGCCCCGAAAGCCACTTTCCGACAGTCAGGTCCGGGGTCGGGCCCGACTCTCGAAAAGTGACCTCCGGGGCCGGGTGTCACTTTTCCGGAGTCAGGTGTGGGGTATGTTTTGGGGGGTGCATGAGGAAATGGCCGAGTTAGGTCGTGATTGATACCCCGGAACATGGGTCGGAACATACCCCGGAACACCCCCCAAGTGATCACTTTTGGGCAGTTGCTGCAGTTTAAATAGTAATGCCAAAAGACGATAGGAAATGCCTCCCTTGGGGACGCGCATTACAAATGTTCCTGTAATTGCATATCTGCAGGACAGCTCTGGGGTGGGGACGTTTTTACACAGGATAGTCGATCAGGCTGCTCTCATGATTGTAGCCTTGAACGAGACAACCGACCAATTTGTGGCGCAGCTCATGGTTGGCCTTGTGATGCAAATGTCGGTATACAAAGTGATGCCCTTCTGTTGCACAGATGGCAGCTGGCTGCCGAAAAGAACTTTTGCCGGCGAAAATTATAAAGCCGACGTTGACTGTGGAAAGATGGCAGATGCCGTTGCGGCGCTGCAGGAGAAGATGCAGCAGCCGCCGCTGGTTAACACGGAGATGGGGCAGGAGTTCAGGAATAGGACTATCGCGATATGGATTGCAAAAATGTCTGGGTCTGGAAGATTGCCAGGTTTGTCATGCAGGTTTTCCATAACCCATGAGGTCTGGTATGTAGGACATAGCATGACAGATTCTGCGAAGCCTTTCCAATGCCTATCCTGCGTGAGAAACTGCCTCTCGATTAGGTCAAAAGTGCACAACCTTTGGCAATCATGCAACACAGTTTTTTGCCTGATTCAGATTTAGCATGACAAGTTGCATTCTTCCAGACCCAGACATTTTTGCATTTGATACGCGAAGGAGATTTGCAATTCTGCGCCCGAAATTCACATTGCCGAGATGGCTTTGGATGCGGTGGAGGACAAACAACCAGGCGCTACCGCCGACGCTGCCTGCCTTTTCGTGAAAAACGCGGCCTTGGCCAACGCCAACAAGTGTTGCGAAGGAGCGCCGAGCAACACGTGGCGGGTCGTTTCGCAAGAAGACGGAGACGCTGAAAACTCCGCCGAGGGAAATGAAATCGGTGGAGACGAGGATGATTTTTATACAAGCCGCACCTGCGGCGCCGTTTTCGAACTGCACTTTCGCATGAAAACGCACATCGAGAACGAAAAAGCAAACAGCGGAAAAAACAAACGAGGATCAAGAACATACCCTTGACGGACACTGCAAGCTGAGTGCTGACGGGGTTTTGGACCCCTTCGTGTTTCCGTCCTCGCTTAGTTGGCTGTGCACGGAGAAGTATGATGTTGCGGCACTCCATGATGTCGGGACGGTTTTGGCAATTGTGGAGGACGATGATCTACTTCCTGAAGATCCTGCCGCGGCGGGGGGAGACACAAACAACGACGACCACAAAACAAGCACCACAAACTCATTTTCGCTGGATGTTGCGTGCCGGTCGTTGCAGAATGTGGTTAACGCAAAGTCTGCCACCTGTTGCAAGGACAATGAGTGGAAGGTGGATACTAGTACAACCACTGCGGCGGCGGGGGACGAATACGAAAGCGCTGAACAATACGAAGCCAAGATTTGTGGAGAAGTGAAAAAAGCGTATGAACACGGTTAGTCCGTCCTTCCGACGTGCAGTGTGGCGAAAGTGGAGCTCAATGCTGCTTGCGCCCTTCCTCCGCCCGCCAAGGAGGAGCCGCCTGCACTGGGCGGAGCATCCGAGGACGAGCGCTCCACATCCGGAACAAAGACCACTTCTGTTGAACCGCCTACCTCCACCCCCCAGCATCCTGACAACGATATCAAATGTGGAAACTACATGGGGTCTCTGGTGGGTGTGGAAGAATGCACATATAATACGGAAAATTTGCCTTGTTGAGTCTTGCATTTATTTGGTAGACGGGCAGTAGCGCATCTTCATAAAAAATGTGGATGTTTCGTGGCTGATTTTCGCAGATTTACTCGTACTGAGTCGCATGATAACCGCAACTCTGCCCTCTAGTGTGAGAAACAAGCCCGCTGGTCTTTGTCGTCAATGCAATACAACTCAGAGCCGTCTTGTCGGACGAGTCTGGCATGGCATTACAAATCCATCCCGCCAGAATCACATTTGCAATGTCCATAGAACTCCTTTCCGCGTCGAAGGCTAACACGAAGATGGAGGAGGAGGACGAGGGAACCTTCCTTCTCAACTGCTGCTAGATGTTGAACCAGTAGCGAGACGAAAAGAGGACAACTATGTGACCACACGAAGCGATCGATGGCAAAAAAAAAAACTTCTAGTTTACGAATTACTAATCGGCGACGCATATTAGCTCCTGTCTTCAGAGGATGTGGCTTTCTGCATAGTTTAGTCATTTGGACAAGGAGTTTTGGTTTTGGATTCTGCGACAACATTTTGAACGATCATATCATACCTTCTGTTTTAGTTTTTTCTGGCTCCATATTAAGTACTTAAGTAATTACTCCTCCGTGTTTTGCATGTTTGAGTTTGCTTGCGTTTCACTTGTATCATTTGAAACAGGCACTTGCCCCTTGAATACTTTCTTTTCGCATTTTTACAAATTCAAAGCTCTCGTCTGGTTCCTTTTTTTGCATTTTCTTCTGGATAGTCGTACGATGTAACCCCTGCATAAGGAAGTGGATCAGGAACAAAAGATAACCCCCAGTTTCACGACCCCATACACCCAAAAATAAACTTTCACAAACTCAGCGTCCTCGCTCCACAAAAAGCAGATAGTACAGCAAATGCAAAGGCAGTAGCTGGCGAGAAGTAGATGTCGACTTTTTGGTATTTTGCTCTTCTGGCTCTTGTTTTCGGTGAAGGTCGGTATGGAGTTGGCGCTGAATAGATGGAACGGATTTTCTTGATTGTTTATCAATGAGTGTCGCTCACGTTGTAAATGTAATGCACATGATGATGGTTGGATGTAAGTTTTGAGATGTAACATGATGGTTGGCCGGTTATTCTCTCTCACGCTCTTGTTCTTTCTGGTTTGTTATTGAAAAACGTTTTCGTCTGCTTGGTTTTCTACAACCTCGACGTTGTGCCGATATGACGGTGGATGTGGCTGGGGCACCGAGCAACCATCTCACACCTTCCTACCCGCAGCCGCAGATTCAAAAGCAGCAGCATGCGGCTAGCAACCCGGGCACTTTGAACCGAATGTTACCTATTGGAGATCATGACGGCGGCAAATCCAATTTTCAGCAAAGCACCCCGCTGCAGCATGCACAGGGGAACTACATACAGAACGACAACAATAACTACTACGGGAAGCAAATGCACATGAATTCCTCTGGAGGCGGGGCAAGCGCCCACACGCTCGCTATGGCGCAGAAACAGCTCGGGCCGCCTACCTACCACAACATCTCCACACCTGCTAATGCGAGGCAGGGCGGGCAACCACACGGGAAAGGGGGACAGCAGCGACAGTTCCGCCCGAAACCAGTGCCGAATGTGCCGGTGGTTTACAAACGCGATGATAGCGGCCGGGTTACTGGTTTGCTTGTGAATTACCTCCACACGTCCCAAGTCGGGTGGATTAAACCGCAGTACCAGCCCGCACCGGAAGACGGGACTGGTCAGCTAGTCGACCCTGGATTAGGCGAAGCATATTTTAACGAGTCGATGCTGCGCCCGGACTGCGATAACTTGAACATGCCGAAGCAGTTCAACATGTTGTGTAGTTTCGTCCCGGCATTTGGCACCCATCCCAGAAGTGGCAAGCCGTGTATCAACGCCTCTGACGTCATCATCCACGGTCACATCAAGAAGACTACTGACGAGCCTGGTTGTGGGGCTGAGGAGTTGAGGGCTATCGCGGAGGAAGCAGCACAGGCGAAGGTCGCCCCGTTTCAGGCTCAGCTCACGGCGATCGGCGGTAAGGTTGACGGGCCAACCTTGACATCTTCTTTTCGGTGAAGGTCGGTATGGAGTTGTCGCATTCAAGATCGTCGCTTGTCCTCCATTCAGGATCGTGGTTTGACCGATTCAGAAAGGTGTTTGTCGGTTTCAGGAAATTGTTTGTCGGTTAGAAGAAGTAAAGTTTCTCGGTATGAAGTATGCAAATTTCGGTTTGGTATAAAAAACAAAAAAAGTGAAGTAAAACAAAAAAATGCAGCTCGAAAAGCTACAGCATCGAGGTTTTGTTTTTTCTGGATCAAGCCGGTGCCAGCGGTCTACTTTACTAATTTGGTCCTTCATACTTCTTTTTCCCAAAGAACAGGTTTGTGTCTTCTTCTTCACCTCAACATCGAGTTGCGGGCACCCGCCATCAAGTCTGAACTGGAGCGGACAGTAAGTGAGTATCTTCTGCAGGGGTTTCTTTGCAATTGCATCCTGCAAAAAATTCATTTAGCGCCATTTTCAAAAGGAGACGACCTCTGAAATAGAGTATAAACGGACCGGAAGCGAAGTAAGTTTAGTAGACCTAAACAGCACCTGCTTTTCCCTCCAAAAATGAAAATCTACGTGTTCATGAAGACTCCTTGCCCTGTCGGCCGTTCTGCCGCCGCGGCGGCGTTTTTTATCACTATTGCGCTACAGGATCACGTGGTGAAGTTTTCCAGCGGACTGCGGGTGCAAGAAGTTGCGCGGCGGGCGGTGGCGCACGAAGTAGATGAAGAGCATGCTGGGAAGCAGGTTCTTCCCGGAGCACCAGCATTGGGCGTTGCCACCAGTCCAGCCTATCCAGACAACCTGGTAAACGCTGTGAGTGCCGCGGATGAAAAAGTAAAAAAAATTGACGTCGCCGACGGCGTATGAGAGTGCACAACTCCCCCTCCCCCTCATTTGTAATGCAAAAGCGTAAATCCAAGTGCTTCCCTGTGGCACTGTATGCATGAGAGATTTTTCCGGTAGCCCAAAGAGCACTACACTAGGTGCATGAACTTGTCATGCTCAGGCTCCACGTGTGCTGGTGTTTGTATTGCTGTTCATGCAGTACAAATGAGGGGGCGGGGGGGGGGTTGTGCACTGTCATACGGCGCTACCCTAGCTGCAGCCTCTCATGCGGTACACCAAGCCGTACCAAATGTAAAAATGTCTGGGTCTGGAAACTTGTGATGCTGGGTGGCATATCATGAGGAAACCACAAGTGCTGGCTCAGCATGAGAAGTTTCTAAGCTTCTAGGTATTGCCTATTCTGCATGACAAACTGCGTTTCTGCATGACAGAAAAGTGGCGCTCTTGGGTAACGTGCATGACAGATTTGAGAGTCATGCCAGACACGCATGACAAACATGGACTCTTCCAGACCCAGACATTTTTACATTTGATAGGCCGGCGACGAAAACGACGCGTCGGCACGCGCTGGGGAGCCAAATTGTTGCAACGTCGAAGGAGTAGACCACCGCACGACCTGGAAGGCAACCGATGGTGCTTCCTGCCAGACGCTTTTCACTGCCCTCAACACGTTGAAAACGGCCTGGAATACGCTTTCTCAAAAGGATATGGATGTGTCCGGATCGAAATCGACAAAATCGAAAAATTTGTAATGCCTAGAATGTAGGGCAAGTAAGGCCTGTGTTGGGGAGCAGGCAAATGAGACCGACTGCAAGCCTGTTTAGGGGAAGGCGATGCGCTGCCAAAGTAGCACGACAGGAGCAGTCTTCTTTGCCCAAACAGCATGACAGACTGGATTTTGGTGCTCCCGAAATTTGTCATGCGCCACTTGGAAACTGAGGCCCCAAGTGGTATCGATTTTATGCATCACAAATTATTTCGATTTTGTTGATTTCGATCCTGACACTCCCATAAGAGAAAAGGGCAACGCTTTGAATGCCGGTTCCGGCGTGCCCGTCGACCTCGATCTGGCGGAAAAGTTTTGCAGAGAAGCGTATCAAATGCAAATGTGTCTGGGTCTGGAAAAGTGGAGCAAACTTGTAATGCGTGTCTGGTATTCCTAGAAAATCTGTGTTGCGTGAGCAGCAGAAGAGCCGCTTCCTTTGTCATGCAAAAACGCGATTTGTTTATGCTTGTTAGACATCAGAAAGCGTTACAAAAACTCGTCATGCTTGGCTGCCATTGCAAGCGTTGCAATCAGCTGCAAATCAGCATCACATGTTTCCAGACCCAGACATATTAGCAACGCATAAAGCGGTACTTGCGAACGTCCGAGTCCTGGTGCGCGACCTGGATGCCACGGCTAATGCAACCGCTCAGGGGAATGCCTGCACGGCGGTCACGAATGTTATCCGTCGGACTAAGAACTGGTGTTGCCATTATGATACAGACGGCATTACGACTATCTGGTCGGACCCAACGGACAGAGCAGGGTCGCCTCTGAGCACATTGTGCGCCAGGATCGCCTCTGAGCAGAGCAACATGGAGGCAAAAATCAGCAATCTTGGGGGTGTATCAAATGCAAAGATGTCTGGGTGTGGAAGATTGCCAGGTTTGTCATGCTTGTCTGGCATGACCAAAAAGTTTGTGATGCGTGTCCAAGAAGAGACCCTTTTGCCTGTCATGCAAAAACGCAGTCTGTCATGCGAAAAACGCAACACAAGGAAGCGCAGATATTTCTCATGCTTGCCTATGCATTACAGAGCATTCACTATTGCCAACGCAGCATTACAAGTTTCGGTTTCCAGACCCAGACATTTTTACATTTGATAGGGTGGCATCCCCATCGATAGAAATGCGGTTCCGCAGTGTGGGGATTATCCCACGAAAAAAGTGTTACAGTTACACATTTGTTGGAACTTCAGCAACACAAGCTTGCTCTAGTACATTACAGAGAAAACTTGCAATGCAGTGATCCTAAGGGAAAACGTGTATGAAACGAGGCTCGCATGGCTGAGGCTTTCCGGCATGAGAGAGGTTGTCTGTCATGCGCGTTCTGCAACGCAATGTGTAGCTGTGATACTTTTTTCTTTGCATAGGGATGGTATCCCTTTTGAAATTGCACGCTTCATTACTAAGACCGAACTGGGTGCAGTGTGCGAGGCCTTCTTCATGTGCCATATAATGCACCTCCCTGAAGACGAAGTCAATGATGATGATGATGATGATGATGACAGTGCCGAGTCCGAGATGTTGCCAGATGGCAGGGTGATGCCTGACAGTGCCGCGAACAAGGTGGAGCTCGATGCTGCTTGCGCACTTCCACTTCCGCCCGCGGAGAAGATCCCCGCTGCAGTAGAGCATGAGGGGAACAAGGTTCTTTCCGGAGCACCAGCATTGAGCGTTCTTGCCAGTCCAGCCTATCCAGACAACCTGGTAAACGCTTATGACCCGCTCAGACGTTACAATCTCTAATCGGTTACCATAGAATCTGGAGTTTGTATTGCATGATGAGCATGACAGATTCGGGTTCTGCCAGCATTCCACTTTCTGTAATACAAATTTTGCCAGATAAAAATTGTAGTGCGGTTCGGGACTCCGACTCCGGAACTTGTCATGCGCAATCCTATAGGATGTGGCTAGATAATGCATTTCTTGCATCACAGATTTCCATATTCTATGGTAACCGATTTGAGATAGAGATTGTAACACCTGAGCAGGTTATGACGCTGTGAGTGCCGCGGATGAAAAAGTAAAAGAAATTGACGTCGCCGACGGCGTATGAGAGTGCACAACTCCCCCTCCCCGTCATTTGTAATGCAAAAGCCTAAATCCAAGTGCTTCCCTGTGGCACTGTATGCATGAGAGATTTTTCCGGAAGCCTAAAGAGTACTACACTAGGTCCATGAACTTGTCGTGCACAGGCTCCACGTGTGCTGGTATTTGTATTGCTGTTGATGCAGTACAAATGAGGGGGCGGGGGGGGGGTTGTGCACTGTCACACGGCGCTACCCTAGCTGCTGCCTCTCGTGCGGTAGTGCAAGCCGGCGACGAAAACGATGCGTCGGCACGCGCTGGGGAGCCAAATTGTTGCAACTACGAAAAAGACCACTCTATCACCTGGAAGGCAACCGATGGTGCTTCCTGCCAGACGCTTTTCACTGCCTTCAACACGTTAAAAACGGCGTGGGATACGGCTCCAGAAAGCGAAAAGGGCAATGCTTTCTTGCATTTCGGTGCCGTCGTGGGAACGGATCTGGCGAAATCGTTTTGCACAGAAGCGTATGCATTGCAAAAGTATCTTCGCACTCGTATAAAGAAAATGCGTCACAAACTATTTCCTCAGCATGAGAAATGAAATTTGTAATGCGGATTTAGCTTGAGTAGAGCAAGGGCATTATAACTGCGAGTACTTACTACGAGTGCGATACTTTTGCACAGGATAAAGCGGCACTTGCGAACGCCCAACAACTGGTAGGCAACCTGGATGCCACGGCTAATGCAACCGCTCAGGGGAATGCCTGCACGGCGGTCACGAACGTTATCCATCTATCCAAGATGAAAAAAACTGTGTAAGTGTAACTTTGATGTGTTGCAGAAGAAAATGCAAACCTGTTTTTAATACACTTGTCATGCTGCACATGCATCCTCGGTAGAGGCTATTTATTTCGTACTTGTTGTTTTCAAGTACTTGCTACGCATGTATTTTCTGTGTCATGCAGAGCAAAGAACTATGTGAAGATCATGCTATTTTTCCTCGTCCATAGAAGCTTACGCGTACGCAGTTTTTTCTTGCATACCATCGGACTAAGAACTACTGTTGCAGAGAGGATACAGACGGGACTAATGATGCACAGAGGATGCGGGATAAGCTGCTCGGACCCGTCGGGTACCTCGGCACTGTCTGGTCGGACCCGACGGGCAGCAGCACATTGTGCGCCAGGGTTGCCTCTGAGCAGAGCAAGATGGAGGCAAAAATCAGCAATCTTGGGGATAGCATCACCTCCATCGATAAAAATGCGGTTCCGCAGTGCGACTCCCCGCCCTTTATTGCTAAGAGACTACTGGCCGGCGCATCTGCCTTAACACTGTGCGGGGCCACCTTGGAGGGGATGAAGGAACTTTCTTGGCGAAGAAGAAAGTCCGCTTCGAGGCCGTACGATGTAGTTTTCTCCTCGGAGGGGCCTTTCATTCCTCTGGGAGACGGAAGACGACGATGAAGGGACCTTTCTTCTCAATTGCTGTTAGATGTAGGAACACGATGTGTCAGTCAATCTCGTGCTCGTCATTCCTGGCGCCTTAGACCGCTCGGCCAAACTGTCGTCGACATCCCCTATGGAGTACGTAGAACTCGGCCGCTCTTCGTTCACGATCCTTCATTTTTCTTCTGCGACCATCGATCTTGAAATTAGTAGTGCGCAAATTTTTCTTATACCACATCACTTGTGCAGATACTTAGGAAAGTTTTCCTCCGGTCGTTATTTCACTACTAGTACATCTCATCATTTCATACGCGCGACTGACGTCACATCATGACGCGCTAACATTCGACATTATTCCTCAACCTTGACTACAAGTGTCATAGTCATAGAAGTCATAGTGGATATAATATCGATGGTGATGCTACAATTTTGTATACACTCAGTGTCTATACACGACCACTCGCCTAGAGCATGTTTCTATCGCGTCAGTTGCACATCACAAGACAGCTGACAGGACCTCTTTTTTTTTGGCTCGCAGTCTGGTGGGTAAAGACACAACTTAACTTCGCATTGGATAAGACACATCGATCCAGCCGCAAGTTTTTTCTCCTCCTTTTCACTTTCGGTGTTCGTTCCTTGGCGGTCGCGCTTCGCGGCCGTATGTTCATCCACAACTGTGTCGTGGGGTTCTCGTAGTACGCGGCTCACGCATGGGCACCGCTCAACACGCGCCATTCGTATTGATGTCTGTCGTAGTTGCTTAAGGGCGAGGGCGAGGACCGCCCGATTGCTCTTGTATTTGTGTTTCGTCGTCATGGAACATCGGTATTGTCGTACAACATGCTGTCGTTCAGAACGTAGTTTTACAGTTGGTCGCTCGGAACCAAAGTCTTGTCGTTCTTCTACGCTCGACTTGAAGTCGTGGAATTGTATTCGTTTTCATTTCATCATCCGTACGTGCACGTCTACGTTCACGCTCTGCTTCCCATCAGTCTCGATGAAAACTGAATGAAGAATCGTTGTTTCGTCACATACCTTTTTGCACACAGCACACAAGGAAAAAAATCCAGCAGATTTATTGTGTCGTCTCCACGCACCTCATCTAGTCGGGATCTCCAACTCAGAAATCAAGCTGACGGTTGTAAGTGAGTACCTTTTATTTTAGGAGGTTCCTCGTAGTTGCATCCTGTAAAAATTCTACGCGCCATTTTTCAAACCACCTTCGGAATAAAGTATAAACGAAAGCGAGGTTGTATTAAGTGCGACGAGTTTAGTAGACGGACAGCACCAAATCCAAAAACCAAAAATCTACGTCATGAAGACTCCTTGCCCTCCTGTCCGTGGCCGTTTTCCCACCGCGGGGGCGTTTTTTGCCGCTGTCTCGCTACAAGATCAGGTGGTGAAGTTTTCCAGCGGACTGCGGCTCGTGCAAGAAGTTGCACGTCGGGTGGCGCACGAAGAGCATGCGGGGAAGGTTCTTTCCGGAGTAGCATTGGCGGATGTTGTGGATGCAGCTGGCGCGAAAGCAGCAGCGGAAGATGTGGAAGACGCTACCTCGGCAGGAGACGCTTGTGTAGGCATCACCACATTTGCAGGCACGCTAGACGACGAATTATGTTGCTCCGGCCAGACCTGGGACGTTTCCAATGGCGACGACTGCGAGAAACTCAGTCAAGCGTTTACGATTTTGAAACTGAACGTGAAAGGCATGCCAGGGAATCCCCCGCAGACTTGCAGCCCATTACGTTTGACCACTGAGACGTCGACGGCGGACGTCTGGTGTGAGGGCGTTGCCAGTGCGGATTCGGACGCGGACTCGTCCGATACTGCCACTCCCGGGGAGTTAGATGTCAGCGGCATTTTAGCCGTGGCGGCAAACACCACCGAAGTGGCCGACGCTTGCATGTCGTATCGGAGAGAAAAAAGGAAGTAGTGTGATGGTACAGGACCACTTGTCTTTGTCAAGCACCCCAAGGTCGTCGGGACAGAAACAGAAAACTATTTTTGCATCTTGATCATACAGTGCTGGACTTCTATCACGGTGCAATGAATGTCATTGGCCCGCCCATGATAGACCCTGTCAATAATCTCGCTTTCTCGCACTTTTCTCTGTGATACGTCCCTGAAGAGTCGGATGGCGGAGAATTCTGCTACGTGTTGCGGCGAAAACGGGTGGAATGCCACTGCCGACGCGATTTGTCAAGACCTGAAAGCCGCCCACGACCACGTGAAGAACATTCGGGACCAAAGCCAACCGAGCCCGGACATGTGTCAAGAGAACGTGATTGGCGCGACAGCGGGTGCGTTGGAATGCGCCGCACCAGTCGTAGGACCGGAGTTGACCTATGAGGCCCTTGAGGCGGCGACTCCGGGCGGGGGCACCAACCCCGAAACGCAGATCGCGTTCTGCACGTGGGTGGCGCCGATGTTGATCAGCGCGCAGGTATGCCTTACAAGTATGTCTGGGTCTGGATAAAAAGATTCATGCTGTTGAGTCTTGCTCTTGCATGACGAAGCAGCCTTGCGTACAGCGTGAGCGCATGCACTAATACAATTTTATTTTTGGGCCATCTCTTTGCCTTTGCGAGTTCATCTTCATTCGTACTCAGCGCGACAAACTGCCTTTACGAAAAGCTGGCCAACCCTCCTCGTCATGAACCACAGGCACAGATCTTCTTGGCACCATCTGTTAGCTTTCGCATCGCAAAAAATTCAGAGCCAGATACCATATTTGCGATGCATAAGAGGAGATCTGCTGTACGGACCAGGATGAATGGGACACTAACAAAGGCGGGGACGTAACGCTGGCCGACGCCTCCACACGGCCCCTCTGCGACCACCTTGAGAGGCATTTTGTGCATATTAATGGAAAAGGTTGGCCGGCCGCGGAGTGTACAAAACCCGAGTTGTTCCCCTTTCCCCTGAATTCGGCTTGCACCATGGCCCTCCCGGAGGTTCCCGGCGACCTCAACGCGGCAGGAATTCTAGCGGTGCAGGTGCTTGACCTTTTTCGGATCCAGAGCGCCTGCAAGTCCCTGGCCCGTCTGATGAAAGCCACCAGCGCGGAAGAGTGCTGCGACTCGCAGACTGGTGAGTGGCAGTACTCAGCAAAGCCGCCGACCTGCCAAGAAATCACAGACGCGCACAGCCATGCTCTGACCCTGCGCTTGGGCAGCGCGGGGCCGGAGGCCGGTCTCTGTGCCGACGAGCTGATTGGCGGTCAGGGTCCGGGGGAAGTGGTTTGTGCTTCATCCGAGATCGTTGTGACTGAGACGCCACAGAACGGGACAAATTCGGGCAACCAGACCACGACCACTACTACCACCACGACCGAAGACGAGGCGGTGAATATCGACGCAAAAAACGAATCGGTCTCCAACAGCACCACGTCGGCCCCAGAGGCCTCCCTTCACCTCCAGTGTTGCTAGAAAGAGGTGTGGGGAGAAATGGTCCTGCAGCTAGAAGAGGTTATGTTGACCACATGACAACGAAAACTACTACTAACTTCTACAAAGATCTAGCTCATCGTACCAAGAAGCAGGAAAGGTTTTTATCACTACAGCACTACAACTCGTAAATGCCGCTGAATATCACTCGTTGCACTACATCTTGCCGCTCGGGTGTAGTAAGTACCAAAGCGCGTACTAGTCCGTCAATAAGAGTGGTGAAGAAAAATACAGGTTTTTTTTTGTTGTATGAAAATTTCGTCACAAGTTTCGTGTGCACCATTACGACTTTTACACAAATTAGTAGCCCGAGGACAGTTACTCGCTCCTGTTTTAGTACAGGACAGTACACCATGTCCTGTTTTAGCTCTCTCCACGAGAAGTGAATCGCACGACTCGCCACGTGCGTCCGAGATTTTTTCATCACCCTTTCAAATTTACATACTCTTCAGCTCTTTTAGAAAAACTTTTAGAAAAACTTTTTTTTTTGGCTATCGAAATGTATCTTTTCCATTCTATTTCTTCCGCATTTCCCTTTCGTGCAAGAAGAAGAACGCCAAACCAGAGAAAAATCGCTTTAGAGTTGTGCCCGCCCAACTTCCATTTCCCTATGACAAAAGCAAGACGTTTTTCAATCAGCAGCGCGCTTTTCAAATCTTGACCGCCCCCTTCAGCTGCTCCCCAAATTTTTTCCCGTGATGCAACTACTTAGTTTCTAGCTCCCCGCTACGATTGCGACCCGTGAAGATACTGAAACTCCCCTTCCGCCCACGGCTACCGATGTTGAAACTCCAGCTCGAGTTTCATCGGCGGATCGGCTTTGCCTTTAGTTCTACTCGTCAGAGGAAGCAAATGGTCCTGGTCCTCTCGTTGAGCAGACAGAAAAACGAGTACAGGAAGGTATAGTACCTAACAAGTCGTGGTCAACCAAGAGCAACTACAAAAATCTTTTGTGTAGTACTTTTCGTTCTTCATAATCCGTGCGCCCGAAATAAATCCTCGTTTGGCAAAAGATAATATGAGTTGCGTGGTCACTCCACCTGATTGGCACAAAAAAATCGTTCACCTGGAGGTCGTTCTTTGGAAGATGATGTTACCCCCCGCATGTTGTCGTTTCTCACCGACGTCGTGGTTCTCTTTCTGGAAGGAAAGAAGAACTTTTATAGCAGAAGCCAAGGGCCTCGTACTTTATTTGCTCTCTTGCATCGTTCTTCGACGCCGTCGTACATGTAGTTTTTTTCTTCGTGACCGAGGAGGGTCATTCTTAATAAATACACTCCCAGGTTTAATAAACACTAAGTTTTGGCATTGGCGCCCCCCCGGACTACTCCCCCTGCAGTGCTAGACCGATGCAATCGTTCCACCGAAAACGACCATATGGGCGATAAGACTACAACTTGACCTGATTTTCTTATATCGAAGATGAACCAATAGTTCACAACTCTTATCTTTTATTTCTTTGCACAAAGTATACTTTTTTGTGTTTTTTTTTCAATCAAGGCAAAAAAATGTGGAAGAAGCGGGAGCAGCGCAGCAGCTTGTCCCGGTCGTGCGGCTCGAAGCCCTGGGCAGGACTACGAGCACGTTTCACCCTCTTGTTTGCTCCACTCCTCACCTCCGCGCTGCAACTCCAGGTGGTCTCTCGGAACAAGAAGAAGACGAGCCGGGATCTTCACGTTGCGGACCACAAGAATGATCAGCGGAAGGTGTTGAAGAAGAATATTAAAGCCACGACAGCTCCTTCTCCTTTGCACGGTGGTGGACTAGATGGTAGTAAAAATGAACAACCAGAAAGAGCAAGCAGCTCCTTGTCCTTGTCGTCACCGACTACAGCAGCTTCCGAACAAGAAGAACATGTTCATCAGAAGAAGATCCTCGGCGAAGAAGAAGAAGAAGAAGAAGTGGAGCAGCAAGAGCAACTCTCCCGTCGCTTGACGGCGGAGCCGCGACTGGATGAACGGGATGTTGATCCAGCTGAAGGCGAACAAGAAATGTTGAGCCGGACGAGGACGTCGTTCACCTCCAAAAAGATGTTGACCAGCACCGCCGTCGCTGCGCGTCGAGAAAACAAGTCTACTAAACAGGCACGAGGACACCAGCACGCGATGATGGGGCGGACCACGGCGAGCCGCGGTCTTCGACAGCAAGAAGTTGTATCGGATCGACGCGTGCAGTATCAAGTGCAAATATGTCTGTGTCTGGAAAGTTGTGATGCAGGTCACTGAATCTTCATAGCCACACTGTATCTATGTAATGCGCCGCCGAGGCATGACAAGTTTGTTTATGCTTCTGTGTTGCGTATTCCGCATGAGAGAGACACTGCGTGTAGTTTGCATGACAGGCAAGAGGAGCTCTTGGTTGCCACGCAATACAGATCCCAGAGTCAACATGCCAGACTAGCATGACAAATCTCGCAAGCTCCCAGCCCCAGACATAATATTTGCAATCCATATGCAGTCGTCGACAAGGGCGGAACCGGAAGACGATCCCAATATCAAAAAGAAAAATTCCCCCCCATATCGGAAACGAAATTTGTGATGCTGAATTTGAGTACACAAATCGACTTGTATTGCTAGAAGGACAAGAGACGCACTTGCGGCCTGAATTGCAGGCAATTTGTCATGCTGTTTCCCACTGCCAGTTGCCTCGCGTCATGCTGGAGATGCAATACTTTCCCACGCTAGCTAGCACTACAGTCCGCATCTTTTGCCTTCTAGCATCGCAAAGCTGATTTGTGACCACAAATCTGCATCACAGATTTCCGTTTTGATATGGGGAGGGGGGATTTTTGTTCTTGATACACGATAGCTGCTTCTTCGAGGAGGGCGAATACCGGAGCACATGTACCTTATCCTAAGTAAAAACGTCCCCACCCCATTACTATCTATTATATTCATGCGAAAATATTGGCTAGAGAGGGTAAACGAGAGGTGGCCGGGAGGTCAAAAAGAGGTCAAAAAGAGGTCGACAGAGGTGGAGAGGTGGCGCGGGAGGTAGTTCGGGAGGGTGGCCGAGAGGTGGCGCGAGTATAGCCCGCCGAAGGGGTCGCCCTTTGGGGCCGCTAAGCGGCACGGAGGTGGCCGAGAGGTAAAAAAGAGGGCGCGCGAGAGGTGGGCAGAGGTGCCGAGAGGTTGCGCGAATAAGGGCGAACCTCTCGCGCACCCTCTGGGCCACCTCTCGGCCACCTCTGTCGACCTCTACCGGCGAGTATAGCCGGATTATTCGCAACACCTCTCGGAGAAGGTGAAAAAGAGGGTCTGCGAGAGGGGTGCAAAAACTCGAATCCGCCCGGCACGCGGCCAATTTTGCTTGGGCCTTTTCATCGCGCAGGCCCGCACCCTTTCGCGCCACCCTCCCGCGCTACCCTCTCGCGCCACCCTTTCGCGCCACCCTCTCGCGCCACCCTCTCGCGCCAGCGATTTCCGCCGAGAAGCAAATAGGGCGGGGGCGGGTGGGTGATCAAAAAAGGGCATTGCGGCCCCCGTTCTGTTTCCTTCGGCATCTATGTCGGAGCGGCTTCTCTTCGCCCCCAAGCTTCGCTGCAGCTGCTCCCTGCGCATAGCGCCTGAAGGCGCGGGAAGCGCGCAGGAGGCCCAGCGGGTTGAGATGGCGCAAACCGGCGCCAGTATTTCCTTCGAACTATCACGCCATGCGCAAAGCTCTGGCGCTGTGGCGCGATCCGCAAATAGTCCTGCCCCGCCACAACAGCCGCTCGCCCCGGCGTCAGCCGGGGCATGGCTGGTAGCTGTCATGCAGATTTGCAGTGACAGGAAGATTTGTTTTTGTAATGCGCATTCCCATGAGAGGCATTGATTTCCAATCGGGTAGTTTTGGACTTCGTAATGCTCGTATACAGGATGAGTAGATGGATTTGTCGTGTTGCAGCTTTACTTATCTAAACTGCACTACAATATACAGAGACGAACTTGTCATGCTGGATTCCCAAAACTTGTCGATTTGTGTTGCGAGATCCCCATCTTGACTCCCGGGCGGGGACGTTTTTGCTCAGGATATACTTACGCTGATGTTGTGCGATTCACGGGCGTCGACGTGGATCTAAACAGTGAGGCACTGGTATCGAGTGTAAATATTTCTGGGTCTGGAAGGTTGGATCTGTATTGCATGTTTCGCATTCCTAAAAAATCTGCATTGCATGAGCACCAAACAAACTGCCACGCTTTCCTCGTGCAAAAGCGCAGTTCGTAGTGCGTTCTGCGTATCATGAGAAAGCGTTTGAAACCTTTGTGATGCTGCACTGCGCCTAGAGGCACAGTCAATCATGACCATTCAGCATTACAAGTTTCCAGACAAATATTTGCAATCCATAAGTGGACGGCGTACTTGGCTGGTACCCGACCCCCGACCTGATCGAAGCTTGCTGTATGGCCTGCTCAAACGTTACAATCTCAACAAACGTTACAGTAGAATCTGGGTTTTGTGTTGCATGATGAGCATGACCATAGACGCGCACAGCGTCCCACTTTTTGCAATACAAATTTCGCCAGATTCTAGTGCGGACTGGGGCTCCAGAACTTGTCATGTGCAATCCTGTGGGAGTAGAGTAGATCATGCACTTCTTGCATCACAGATTTTCATATTCTATGGTAACGTTTGAGATGATTGTAACAGCTGAGCAGGTTATATGCTACAATGTGCTCTTCGAGATGCAAAAGGCCGAACATAAGTGCTGTACTGCGAAGACGGACGCGAACAAGTTAGGCGTTTGGGAGGATTTTTGGCAGGGTCAGGGCCACGATCTGGCTATACGCATTGCAAATATGGTTGGGTCTGGAAGATTGCAACTTGTGAGGCTAACCTTGGACTCAAAAAAAATTTGTATAGCATGAGGTGCAAGAGGACTCCAGTTGTTGCTATGCGGAAACGGCATTTCTCATGCGGGATCAATAGGCATCAAGAAGCCCGTAAAAAACCTGTGATGCTAGGGCATTCATCACAAACATTATAATGGGTCATGCAAAATGTGCATGACAAACGTTCCACTCTTCCAGACCCAGACATATTTGCAGTTGATAGGCTACCCCGGGGATCAACGTGGCCCAGCTTCGCGACGCAGTTGAAGCCAAGGTGGAGGAGATCGGGTCGGGCTTCCCGGACGATCTAGCAAAAGGTATAGACTACGTCGTCAGTGAGTTCCTGCGTCCGGCCAAGAGTATGAAGTTGCTCGACGAAGGCGCTGCAGGGGTTTTAACCGCGGAGCTGGTCAAAGCGTACACAACGCAGGATGGCACTGCAGACGAGCGGGCCCAGAACCAGGCGTTGCACCTCCTCCTCGTGGCCAAACTAGTCACCCCGAAGCACCCCGATGCGGAAACCATCAAGGGGAAATTTGCCGAGGCAGACAGCGTCTGCGCGGGGTTCAAAGCCACCGGCTTGAGGTTGCTCGAGATGGGAGATTCAAAGTACCCAAACGATTCCAAGTTGGACGAGAACCAAAAAAGCGCCGCGTGGCTGAAGTGCCGAAAGCTCAGGGAAAAGTCGGTGGACCGCGGCCACGCGTGTTTCGACACGGAATCCCGAATCCGCGATCTGTATGCACTGCAAATATGTGATCTGGGTCTCCTGGAAAGTTCCCAGGTTTGTCATGCAGACTTAGCATGACCACCCATGACGCCTGCAATGCATGACGTAGCATCACAGATTTTTCGAGGGCTTCCTGATGCCTACTCTGCATGAGAAATGCCCTCTCCAAGGGGTACGCTCTGGGGTTGTCCGTCATCGTGATAGGATCACCGGGCTTGATCAGTAGACCCCCAGTATATTTTTTTAGCGCGCAGCCGGTCACAAAAGTAAGACGGAGACCAAGTTTGTAAGACTATCCCGCCAAGGCCACACTGGAGCTCCACCGTGCTCGCGGGCTCGGATGGTAAGTCAGGTTTGCCACACGTAGCGCCCACTGGCCGTAGTTACGCGTAAGCAATCGATAGCGGTTTTGTGGATGCGGTCAGGTGGTAGTTAGGAAGAGGATCGGGTATCCACCTAGGGGTGTTGGCAGAGGCTAAATCTGTTCTAGCGCCCAGGTATTGGCAGAGGCTAAATCTGTTCTAACGCCCACCCGCCAGGAGTAAAATGGTCACTACTACTACGACTACTACCAACATGTAGCACAAACGGGACCGCTATCGCTGGTCATGCAACACAGATTTTTTTCCAGTCCGAAGACAGAATGACAAGTTGCAACCTTGTTCCAGATCCAGACATATTTTTGCAATGCATAAACTGCGAACCGGAGGCGGTGGCCTGCCCGAGGAAGCGGAGGACTACGCTGAGCTCATGTTTGCCGTCAACTCCATGATGTTCATTAACGGGATGACAGTGCCCGAGGACAAGGCCCTTGATGAATTTGGCTTGGTGAATGGTGTGGATTACGACGTGATTTTGAAAGACTCCGGCTGGGACAACGATGCTGCGAACGTTTGGTGCCAGATAGCACTGGACAAAATTCGGAAAACGGACGACTGCTGCGCACCTCCGGCGGACGACTCCGTGGATGTCTCGCTCTATGAACTGCAAAAGTATCGTACTACTTAGTATAAATTGCAATACAAATTTCCTCAGCATGAGAAATAAAATTTGTAATGCCGATTTGCCTTGGAAACAAGATTTGTAATGCAAGACTTGCATTAGCATTTGTACGATTGCGATACTTTTGCACAGGATTCGCTCGTCTGGTACACGGACGAGAAGTATCAGATGCAAATATGTCTGGGTCTGGAAACTTGTGATGCTGTTTGGCGAATCATGTGGATGCCTTCATTGGCAGCCAAGCATGGCAAGTTTTGGAGTTGCTATAGTGTTGCCTATCTGCATGACAAACTGCGTTTTTCTGTTTGCATGGCAGAGAAATGTGGCTTTTGGGTGGCGTGCATGACAGACTTGAGAGCTGCCTTGCTAGCCGCGCATGACAAACCTTGCATTCATCTTCCAGACCCAGACATGCAATTTGCATTTGATAAGAAGCCTGGCTGCAGGCAACTGAAAAAAGACGCGGAAAACCTGCTGCGCATTTACCTGCCGGACGAGGGCGAGAAGGACCCGACCAAACTGCCGCCCGAGGTTGTGCAGAGCATGGGAAACGACTGCCAACGCTATTACAGTGAAAAGTGCCCCCCAGAGCTGAAAATGCAAAAATTTGTGATGCGAAGTTTCCCAATGAAAACTTGCATGAAAGGAGTATGAATCTTTCTGATGCAGAGTGTAGGCGTGTATCGCATCGATTGCATGACAAGCGCCGCTCTTGCTGGGGTCTTTTGCAATACAAATTTTTGCTATTCACGATTGGAAAAAACGCGTGATGCTGATAGATGCAAGAGGGCGAGTTGTGTATCATTTGGAAAGGTTTGCAATACAAATGCTCCCAACAAGTTCGGGGGTGGGGGCATTTTTCATTGTAATAAACGCTTGTACAACCCCGATGAGTGGAAGGCTGAAAAAGGAGTTCTGCCGGACATTTGCACAGCCCCGCTCGACTCGTGGAAACGGATTGCGGGCCAGCTGTTTCTGAACTTCAAGTGGAAAGGAGTGACGTACGGAGTTGGCGATCCAGCCAACTCGAAAGTGTTAAACCCAGAATTCTACAAAGAAGATTCGCTTGACAAGACCAAGCCCGCGAGCCCTGAGGCAAAGGTGTGGTGTGACACCGTGCTGTGGGCTATCCAGGCTACCGAAAATGTCTCCGACCCGTGTTGCCCACACACACCGGGCGAAGACTGGCCGCAAGGAACCGATGACTCCCTCCCAAACGATGTTTGCGCGCAGCTCAAGCGTATCAAATGTAAAAATGTCTGGGTCTGGAAGATTACGAGATTTGTCATGCATATTTCGGATCACGCAAATGGCGTCTGATGCAGGCAAAAGCATCACAGGTTTTGAGCACGCCTCATGATGCCTGTCCCGCATGAGAAACTTCCTACCTGCCGACCAAGAAGTGGACAGGTTTTGGCGCTCATGCAACACAAGGTTTTGCGTGTTCCAGAGTTTGCATCACAAGTTCCAACTCTTCCAGACCTAGACACTTTTACAGTTGATAAAGCGGACCGGGAACAAACTGACCGACCGGCCACTGACCGACCGGAATGGGGACGAACTGCCCTATCAAATGTAAAAATGTCTGGGTCTGGAAGAATCCGAAATTTGTTATGCTGTTTTTGCATGACACAGAATGTCTGTCATGGAAGCCGTAGCATCACAGATTTTTAGAGGCCTTCCTGATGCCTACTCCGCATGACAGATGCCCTCCACGCCTAGCACAAACCGGACTCCTCCTGCTGGTCATGCAATACAGAATTTTTTAGAGTCCAAAGTTAGCGTCACAAGTTCCAACCTTCCAGACCCAGACATTTTTGCAATCCATATGCCCGGCACCAAGCTGATGATCGGCATTGACGACCCCGAAATTGCGCCAGTAAAGTGGCCGATCTGCCACCGCCTCTACTCTCAGCCGGAATTCTACCCCAACGAAGGATGGGACGTTATGGCGTTCTCAAGTGTTACATTCTCAACTGTTACATGAATTTGTCATGCAAAAACAGCAATAGGGAAAGGGGAAAGCTTGCAAGTCTTGCATCACAAGTTTGGCACGGATTTAGATGCTGTTTAGCACTTCGATAATTTGCCATGCGAAGCAGCTTGATCGTCTTGCGGCTCATGGTCATTTTGCATGACAAATCATGTAACAGTTGAGAATGTAACGTTTGAGAGCGCCATAGACGTGTACAAGACGGGGGATGTGTGCAAATCGGACAAAGAGATCGAGAAGAATCTCGACTGCGTGCCCTGAGTAAAAATGTCCCCACACGACCAGAGTCAAGAAGATGCGAAATCTGCTATACAAATCCACCAGCTTTGGTTATTTCGCATGACAAGTTTGTGTCCGTAGTGTAATCCTGTTTAGCTAGATCAGAAGCATCACAGATCCAGAATATGATGCTGATTCTAGCATCACAAATTCCCAAATACGAACAGAAAACGCTTCTCATGGGGCTTAGCATGAGAAACGTTCTTGGCATGCAGGTTGGCATGACAACTCTGGGGTCGCATTTTGTTTAGCATGACAACTCTGAGGTGGGGACATTTTTCCTCACAATACTGCGACCTCCACGAGAGCGAACCAGGCAACCCACTGAACTGCCATTACTACAAGTCGTACACGAATGTGCTGGCCTCCTTCATGACAGCGACCGAAGCGCATATGGAAGTGTCAGGATCGAAATCGTCAAAGTTGAAATAGTCTGTAATTAAACGTACTCGGAACCGATACCAGCTGGAGCCCTAAATAATCTGTAATGCAAAAAAACGATACCAGCTGGAGCCCAATTTACAAGTGGCGCATGACAAAGGTACAAGGAGGAACCAGGTACCCTACCGAACCAGGTACCCGGGACCAGGTACCCGGGACCAGGTACCCAGGACCAGGTACCCCGGACCAGGGACCCTGGGACCAGGTACCCGGGGACCAGGTACCCTGGGGCCAGGTACCCAGAAAACAACCCCCTCCCCAACCTGCCTCGACGAAGCTGCCCACCAGGCTGTCTTCGCGAAAACCAAAATCGACACACTCCGTCGCAGTCCGGAACGACGCCGCCGAGTATGTCTGCGCTGCAGACTTGTCTGGGTCTGGAAGGTTGCCATGCTTGACCAGCGGTGACGTTGGCACCCGGACCGGTACCCACATCCGGGCATCCACATCTGCGCACCGGGTGCCCCCCGCCGGGCACCCGGGTCCGGAGATGTGGGCACCCGGTGCCCCGATGTGGATATCCAGATGTGAAACCGCTTGACTTTTCGCGTCGCTTTCTGCTAGCTAAAGTTGAAGAGGTGGGCTCCCACATTCGGCGGGCGCGAGGTGCTCACATCCTGGTACTCACATCTAGGCACCAGGCGCCCAAAGCCACAGCCGATATCCACATCTGGGCACCGGGTGCCCACATGCGGGCACCGCTACCCATATCCGGCCATCTACATCTGCGTACCGGGTGCCCACATCCGGGAACCCGGGGACGGAGATGCGGGCAGCCGGTGCCCAGGTGTGGACGTCCAGACGTGAAACCGCTTGAGTTTTCGTGTGACTTTTTTTTTTCAACTCAAAGTTGAAAAGGTGCCCACATCCGGGTATCCGCATCTCCGGTCCGGGTGCCCACATCCGGAGTACCCGGGTACCTGGTCCCAGGGTACCCGGTCCCAGGGTACCTGGTCCCAGGGTACCTGGTCCCGGGTACCTGGTCCCAGGGTACCTGGTCCCGGGTACCTGGTTCCTACCTCTACCCATGACAAACTTTGGCAGCGCGGCAATCCAATTCGTCATGCTCTTTGAGCAGAGACGACTGCTTTTGTCATGCTATTTTAGCAGCTCTGTCTCTAAGATCTCACACCCCAAGCAGGCTTATGATCGGCCTCAGTTGCCCTTGCCCTTGCCTGCTCTGCAAGACAGGGGCTTTGCGTCTAGCATTTTATGCATGACAAACTATTTCAACTTTGACGAGTTCGGTCCTGACGCTTCCATAGCACCACAAGACTTTCTCCAAACGGCCCCGCTGGACGAATCTGTATTCAAGAAAAAAATACCATCAGAATCACTATTGCGGTTTTTTGCAATACAAAAATTTTTGTCATGCGCAGAAATGCATCACAGACAAGATTTATACGGGATTTCCCTTATGTTTTCGCAATACAAGAAAAATTTAAAAATTTCACTACGAGACACATTTCTGATGCAAAAACTCCTAAACGTGATTGTGATGGTGTTTTTTTCTTGGATACTCTGGGAAGCCGTTCGAATATGCGAAGGTGATTGTGATTACGGCCTGCGCAACCTTGCGCGAGGAGCTGCGCATCATCGAGACTTACGGCCGGTGCTGCAACCTGCAAGAGCAGTTTTTGCCGAACCAGCGTCCTTCCAGCGAGGCAGATCCGTGCCGCGACGCCTTATGAAATGCAAAAATGTCTGGGTCTGGAAGAGTGTTAAACTTGTCATGCAGGTTTTCCATAACCCATGAGGTCTGGAATGCGGGACCTAGCATGACAGAGTCTGTGAGGTCTCTGCCATGCCTCTCCTGCATGAGAAACTCCCTCCCAACTTCGTCGAAAGTGGACAGCTTTATTTGGCCCTCGTGCAACACAGATTTTCGCACTATTCGGATTTAGCATGACAAGTTGCAATCTTCCAGACCCAGACACTTTTGCAATCCATACGCCTACAAGCTGAGCAACAAGCTGCACACCCTGGCGAGCAAGCCGGAAATCAACCTGCCAAAAACGGTATCCTGTGCAAAAGTATCGTACTCGTACAAATGCAAGTCTTGCATTACAATTCTTGTTCCCAAGGCAAATCTGCATTACAAATTTTATTTCTCATGCGGAGGAAATTTGTAATGCATTTATACGAGTACGATACTTTTGCAATTCATAAACGGTTCGGGACGAGTGCCTGAAGCTGCAGCTCAGCAACAAAGACAACCACGTATGGAATGCAAATATTTTTATCATGTCTGGGTGGGACGTCGTGGTTCACTAGACAAACCACGCAGATGCTTGTAGTGCGAATTTTGTTTTTGCATGACAAAATTTTCATACAATGATGACTTCACGAGCACGATGTGGTCTGGGACGATGAACATGCATGCCCCAGTTGTATCAACACTGGTTATTTCTCGCGGACGTCTATTCGTGCCTAAAAATATCGTGCATGACGAGAAATGTGGCTCTGCCGTGCTCGCGATTCGTCAGGAGCTGCCAAAGTGGCTTGCTGGTTCAGCTCTGCTCCATGGTGCAGCTGGTACACATCAGATGTTCATCTTGATTTTCGTATGGTGCAGCTCCCGGGTAAGAAAGAGTAACTAAGTACCTTCACAAAAATTCTAGCGCAAGCAACTACAACTAACTTCCCAAACGACCCAGATACAAGATATTTGCCCTGCATACCACTCTGCTGTGTGCACTGCCATGGAGGCCGGTCTCCCCGGGGCGAACACCGAATTTGTGAAAGACGGATGCTGCTAGGAGTGAGCATGTTCTTTTCAAAAGCATTTTTACCATTTACACTATTACACTAAGAAGTATTTTCATCTCGACGCGTTTTTCTTTTTAAACAAAGTGCCGGACGCTCGAGTTTTTGATTGAAGTTCATTTGAGTTGATGTTTTAGCACATGTCTTTGAGTTGTTCTACTTGTTTTGAATCGTCACGCATTTAGTACTTACTTTACCGCACAATATCCACACTTGCTTTTTTTACTACTTGCTTTACCGCGTATGCAAACCTTTAACTTTTCTTGTAGCGTATTTTTAATTATGATGGTCGTTTTTCCGTTTTGCTTTTCAAGTTTATTTCTTGTACAATTTCATTGGCAAAATTATTTACATAAATTTCCATACTCAACGTCAGCATTACCCCGATGAGACAGGTTTTTGGGACACGAAACCTCACCGAGTATTTCGATGTTGTTCTTGCCTCAAATTGAGAACAAAAGAATAAGTCCCAGCTCCTTTGAGCCAAAGAAGCCTGAGAACAAAAGCCTACAAGTAGTTGCATGCATAGAAAAAGAAAAGCTTCGGAACAATTCAACTCTTCATCTTCCTGCAGGTAATTTTACGTGTAGCAGTACCTCCCCCCTTGTTCTGCTACCTTTTGAAATCGATATCGAGGCCGAACAAAAGTCTTCTTTTCCCAAGCGAAAGAAGGACCAGCAGCATCTCGTATTTCCGATTTCTGAAAATAACCTGACGAGAAGAAAAGGAGGAAAAAGTAGAACAGGAACGGTATAACTTCCCCGGGTAATTCAGAAAGCATGCTGAAAAATAAGTGCACCTTCCTCGTCTTCGGAAGCCGAGTAAAGGCGAAGAGTGTAGTGGATTGTTTTCGCTGTTCTTCATCTTCTAGAAGGAACATGAAATGCGCAACAGGTCGGCCACAGGAAAGCTGGCGATTACACGAACTAAGTACAACATTTAAAAATGTTGCATTTTATTGAGAACATCAAACATATTAAAGTGAGAGCAGAATCGGAGAGACGACCGAGCAAGGAAGTTGAGTTGGGGCAACTGCGTTTTCAAGCCGACCAAATATAGAAGCCCTCTTGCCGTATATCCACACAGTGTGTTATTTCGACAGCATATCTGTACTGAGAAAAGAAAAAGTTGCGAAGTCGTACTTCTAGAATCCTGCCGCTTGAGTTGTAATAAAAAGTGACTCGCCACGTCAAAGAAAGAATTACTCCTGTGCGAACAAGCGCTGGGGCAGAGATGATGAAAGCAAACGTGTGTTATCTTCAAATGGAATTTTTCAAAGCAGGTGTGAGTCGAGTGTTTGTATTTGTCGCGACTTGGTCATGGTCTGGATGTCGCCAGCGTCAGTGCGTGTGTGTGTGTTGCGAGCGTTCAAACAAAGCAACGCGCACTTTCTTGTTGTTTGAAAAACTTCTTCTGTGCTGTCATACTAGAAAGCGTGGTGCCATAGAAATTGAATTTGAAACCAAATAAAAATATCATAGCTAGGGCATTGTTCCTGTTTATTCCGCTCATTTTCATCGTCAATGCACGAGTTGAGCGCATGTATTTTCAAGGAACACAGCTGTAGTGTGAGCGTCCATTGTTTTTTGGCAGTTCAGTTTACGGAAGCAGGCACGTGATGTTCTTTCGCTAAACGATGGATGTCGACGATTCTTATCCTGGTTCATTTTCGTTCACCAGCAACAGGCCCGTTGACAGTACTTCATCAAACAACAACAACCTGAGCCTCCTCAAGGTGACGCCCGGGAGTCTCGTGTTCTCCGCCTTTCAACCTTGTGGACCAGCAGCAGCGGCTAGCGGAACGTCAAGTTCTACTGTTTCTGCTGCAGCGGCCGCACCATCTAATGTCTTCGTGTCTACTGCTCCGAAACAGCAGGCACGTACACTGATTCTCGAAAACGTTTCAGAAGACGCGCCTATCGTCGATCTGGGAATTGCGGTCGTCACGAACAGTGACCGGTACGAGATCTCTATTGAAAGTGAAAAAAACTACTGCAGCTTGGAGGTCTCCGCGACTGGGGAACAGAAAAACCGAACGACTGTGATGTAGTCAGCACATCAAATCCAAGCGTTACTAGTCTGTAAAAGGAAAGAAAGGTTGTCATGCATACATCTACATTCGTTATCGTTATGCAATACAACACATCTTCGCCACATGAGAACCACAAGTGTCCAACCCGTAGTTTTATTCCACCGGATACCCTTACCTTCCCCGGTGATCAAGGTCCTCCAGCCGCGGGAGAAGAGGAAAATTACCGTGGTTTGTCATGCGCAAGCAGGAGTAGGACATCAAGGGTTGTCGTGTCAAGGCAAAGTACAACCGCAGAACGGTGCGACCTCCCAGTCCCAACCGAAGAAGGACATCCTGCAATTTAAAACGGATTACTTCACGCAGAAGCTCTTCGTTTTCCACGACACAGCATCATCTGGTGGCACGACGAGCACTAATAGTACTACATCAGGCGGCGCAAGAACATCTTTAGTACGAGCTTCCTCTGGTTCGGGTTCTAAGCCGGCGGAGGGTCTTCAACAAGAACAGGTCGATTCTAATATCCACAACGATGGCGCGGCTGTTGTATTCCCCGATCAAGTTGTAGAAGGTCGTGAAGGGAAGCAAGTGAACTACATGACAACTTCTCCACCTCCGCCAACGAATGTTATTAACGAGGCACCGCACCAGCACCAGGAGGAAGTAAGTTTCGGGAATCCTGAGACTCTGGTACAGGAAATGGAAGCGATGGAGGATGTGGCCCTCCATGGACGACACACGACGACCCGAAGTCGCTCCGTGTCGCCCTGCACACGACCAGGAACGGCGAGTGCGACAGGTGCAGCACAAAAATCTTCGTCAAATCATAATCTGAACAACGGTAATATCAAAGCTAGAAGTGGAAGCGCATCGAGGACTCCTGCTTCTTCGAAGATAACATCTGCACTGAACCACGACAAAAACAATTCCATGATGTTCCGGACCAGCAGCAGTTCTCCGCGCTTCCAGTCGGAGATTTGCCAAGCACTGCGCGAACGGGTGCAGATGCTAGAGCGGGAGTTGGAAGTGTGCAACAATTTTGGAGGGGCACCAATCGTGAAGAACGGGAAAATGATCATAAACGATAGAGCAAGTAGTCCTGGTGGTATACCACCGTCTTCTTTTCCTTCAACCAAACAGAAAAAGGAGTACGAGCTGGAGATCATCAATTTGAACTCCGAGATTGAGCAGCTGAAGCAATGGAAGCAGTACTCTGTTACGATTGATTCCAAACTGACCGAGTTGAACTCCGAGTGGTCCGAATTTGTGGAACTTCGGCAGCAAACGGACCTGAAGCAGATGGAGATCCAGAACGAGATATTGCATGTCAAAACGTCCCCACCCCAGAGTCAAGATAGTGAGTTTGCTACACAAAACCAGCATATTTTTGCTGGCGCGCATGACAAAGTTTGGGCTCGCAGTGTCATCGCATTTAGCTATGGTAGCTGCATCGCAAATCGATCCCCTTATGCTGATTCTAGCATGACAAACTGCCAGACAGCATTATTTGCAGAATGCTTCTCGCGGGGCCCTGCATGACAAACGTTGGAGGCTTGCAGATTTGCATGACAAGAGCTATGGGGTGGGGAGGTCTTTCCTCAGGATACGAGAAGGTTTTGAAAATTCTCCAGTTGAAGGATAAAGAGAAGGAGGATTTGGAATTTGAAAAAGACAAAATGATATCAAATGCAAGTATGTCTGGGTCTGGAAACTTGTGATGCTGAGTTGTGAGTAGTGAATGCTCTGTAATGCACAGCCAAGCATGAGAAATATTTACGCGACTCAGTGTTCCGCTTTCTGCATGACAAACTACGGTTTTGCATGACAAGCAGAGCGCTCTCGTCTTGGATACGCAACACAAACTCTTCAGCTATGCCAGACAAGCATGACAGACCTTGCATCCTTCCAGACCCACACACATTCGCAGTGCATAAATGAAGAAGCTGTACGAAATGAAGGCGACGGAGTTGGCGAAGTGCGAGCAATATCGTGTGCAAAAGTATCGTACTCGTATTGCAATCATGCGTATACAAATCTTTTTCGTAATGTAAATCAGCATTACAAATTTATATGTCTCATGCTGAGGAAATTTGCAAATTTATACGAGTCCGATTCCGAGCGCGATACTTTTGCAGTTCATAAGCAACGACAGCAGGAGATGCTTTTGGATTTACAAGAACTCGAAAAATTGCGCGTGGCGGAAAAGGACTTTGTGTTGAAGCAGAAGGAGAAGATGAAACAGTTGGATGAGGAATTCCACGCAGAAAAAATCAAAATCGAAGAAAAAACGAAAAAAGACGCAAAAGAATCCTTCGACGCGGATTTGGAAAAGAAAAAGAAGCAATTTTCGAAAAAGGAGCAAGAACTAACCTCGGAAATCGAAAGACTGAAAGCCTTGAACAGTAATGCGGGCACGGAAATTCAAAAACTGGTGCGGGAAATGGGGGAAAAGGATGACCAAATCGAGAAATACCTCCGAGGCTTTCGCATGGAAGAAGCAGAAGCTGCTGTGTCGAAGGAGCAAAACATCATGTCACCTTTATCTCCGTCGAAAGTTATAGCGGCAGGCAGTTGTAGCAGTATCAGCAACGCGATGCTGATTGAAGAGCAAACGAAGCTGAAGGAGGAAGTGAGCCGGCTGAATATCATGAGGCAAAATCAACCCTCCCCATGTCGAAAAGAAAACTTGTGATGCTGATTTGTGACCACAAATCAGCTCTGTCTTGCATCTGGGGCAAATGGGAGCCGTTTGGCGCATTCCACAGCCAATCTGTGAAGCGCTTTTGCATACTGCAAAGGTGTCTGCCATGCCCAACTGCTAAGTAGCCTGTTGCATACCCAATCAGGCTTAGAAGGAAGTGCCTCCAAGCGCCTTCTGCAATACAGCGCTGATTTGAGTACAGAAATCCAGCAACAGAAATTTCCTTCGTTCTATGGGGTGGAGGCTTTTTTCACTTTGATACTGAAACTCGCTTTAGAAAAGTCGCAGGAAGATTTGGCAGCCAGCGAGCGGCTGCTGGAGAAGCAGTTTTTGGAGATGGACAAGAAGGAAGAGGCTATTCAAGGTGGCGCTGAGAGGACGACAGAAGTTGTAACAGAATCAGCAGTGCTGAAAAGGAACCAAAAAGATGAACCCTCGCAAGAACACACCACTAACAGCGGCACCATCGCGGACTTGAAGCAGATCGCGTCTCTGAAATCCGAGCTGTCGAAATCCGAATCAGCGAAGGAAACTTTGGAACAAACTGTGGCCGAGTTGGAACAGAAGTTATCCGAAATCAAATCCGATAAGCTCTTCGTGAAGGAAAAGTTAGACGTGTTTACCGAATGCAAAAATGTCTGGGTCTGGAAGGATGTAACTTGTGATGCTACCTTTGGACTCTACATAAAATCTGTATTGCATGAACAGCAAAAGAGCTGTAATTTGTGCTCCGCGGAGGGAGCATTTATCGTGCGGTATGAGCATCAGGAAGGCGTCGCAAAATCTCTGATGCTAGGGCATGCATCACGGACCTCATGCGTCATGCAAAATCTGCATGACGCACTCCTGCATTCTTCCAGACCCAGACATTTTTGCAATCCATAGTGTTTGAAACGAAGCAATCTTCAGCCTGTAGCACGGAGACGCAAACGCCAGACACGTTTTGGAAAGAGGTGGAAACCTTGCGGGAAAAAAGTATAATTCCGATTGATTTTATTTTTCGAGTTTAAGTGCTTTGTCATGCTCGGTAGAAACGTGCTTTCGCGAACCTAAACGTCGAAGATGCTGTAGTTCTGTTGAAAAGTTTATTCCACGTTGTAAATAAGTCTCTCCTCATCCTCTTCACTGCAGGTATCCAATTATCGTACGAAAAAAGTGTTTCACTGTAAGGATTTTGCAAGTTTTGCATCACAAGTTCGTCCTACATCACAGAGAAAATTTGCCATGCGAGATTCCTAAGGGAAAACACGGCTAAAAATCCATTGTCTTGCATGTGTAGCAAGACAAACACTTCTCAGATGCATTTTCTGCATTACAAGTTTGCAGTGAAACAGTTTTTTCTTGCGATACCAATCCCTCGCCTACGAGTTTCAACTGGAGCGGACTTCCCTGGAGCAGACCATCACCGATCTGAGACTGGACCTCACGGCCCTCACAGCCTCGTTCGAGAAAAAACTTCACGACGCGGAAAACGACTTGAAATCGCAGCAGAAAGAAACGGAATTAATCAACTTGGACTTCAAGCAGCTGCAAGAGCAAGCGGAGTTGGACTTTCAAGAGAATCAGGATGCGAAGGAATTGTTGGAGGAGAAACAAAATCAATTACAGCAGGAACTGAAGCATGTCCTAGAACAAACCGCGGAGAAGGAGAAGAGTTTTATGGCAGAAAAGGTGAAATTGCAAGAAGAAAACAGGAAGTTCGAAGCCAAACTCCGCGAACGGCACGGACAGCTGTGTGAGGCGCTGGCAAGCTTGGAAGCGGCGACCAACGTTGCAGGAATTATCAGAAGCTCTTCATCTTCCGGAGGACCTGCTTCCGCTGCGCTAGCTGGTCCTGTGGTCAGAAATGCAGCTGGTACGAACAACAATAATTCTATGACCGCGGAAGAGAAGAAGCAAGAGCAAGACAATTCGCTGCAAACACCCACGATGGACCTGCGCGGCGGCGGGGGCAACGCAACCTACGAAGATGAGAACAATGTAGAGATGAATTTGCTAAATTTCGAGAACAACACTGATTGCAGCGCGAACTACGGAGCTCCTGCTGGTGCAACTGCAGTTGGCGGACTTGTACTACAGCAAGCATCTCTAGAACACCAGCAGTACCAACTCGGTGATCTTCTCCGTCGATTATCCGAATTAACTGCGAAAAACCTGGCGTTTACGAAAAAGCAGCTCACCCAGGATTTGGAATTAACCCAGCTGAAAGACGAATACGAGAAGAAAGTGACAATCTTAACAGTTGAAGCTGAAAGCGCGAAAAAAGCCAAATCGGACTTGCGGCTTTTCCAAGCTCGGGAGGAAACAACAACAAAGCAGACTGTGAAATCGCTCCGGAAGGAAATATCGGAGTTGAAGAAAGAGTTGAAGAAATCGGAACAGCTGAAGAAAAAAAATTGGCGGGAAAGAATCCATTCCCTCGAAGAAACGCAGAAGTGGCGGACAATCGTGGAGCGGGAAAGGCTTGAGAGGGAAGCGGACAGGAAGAAATTTGTGAGGGAACTGAGGGAAGAAAGGGAACGATTGGAGGCGGAGAATTCTTTTTTCCGAAATTTGATCACGAACTGCGAAGCAGATACAACAAGTATGACACCAGCAGGACACATTCAGACGGAGATAACGTCAAGCCAAGCACGACCACCCGCAGGAGCCGCAACACCGCTCCCCTCGTCTTGGACAAGTTCGGGCACTTTGAAACACCTGGAGCAGGCGATGACTGCTGGTGCAGAACAACTACATGCGGGTCAACACGTCTTTTTTAGCCCGTACGCGAGTTTACCGCCGATTCAGGAGGATGACATGAATCACTTGAATCAGCAGGAGCCAGGTAATATGGCGGCGACTTTGTCCTCTGGAAATCTGTCAAACACCGGCGCGGGAGCAGTAGATCAGAGCATGATGTCGCAAATCTCCGCTGTGGATTGTAGTAGTGCGAATTCCTCCGTGATGTCTACCGACAGCAATTTTCAACCTGCGGGGGGAATAAATGCAAGTAGAACTACTACAGCTGCAGCAGTTAGTAACAGCAATACCAAGGGCCACCTTGCAGCAGCTTCCAAAAAGCCCCCGCCAGCCCCGCGTGGGCCGCCCCCGGCGAGTGCGAGCAGTTCGAGTGTCAGTCGGAGTAGGGCGTCGTCAAGGACCGGGACTGGTACTGGTGCGGGTACAACTGGGGTAAACAGTAAGCGGGTCACATCTACTACGTCATCAAACCCAGGCGCATCGTCGCTAAACAACAGCAGAACAGGTTCTCCTTCGAAGGTAGTAGTCAATGTTGCAACTTCGACGCAACATAATAGTGGTACACCGCAGCAGTTGCAACAGCAGCGGCCAACGGTCGTCGCGCAACAGCAGCCACATCTAACGGCGCCAGTCGGTTTAACTAGTGTAGTCCACCGCGCGGCGGGAGCAGGACCACACGTCCCGGTCGTGATGTCCTCGAGAAAGACCGATGCTGCTACCACTCAGGTGGAAACTTTACTCCGAGAGGTGAGAAATGTGTTGAAGCACGTGGTGACAACAGCAAATACAGGTACAACAAGTGCTTGTTCAACAAGCACAACAGGAACTGCAGATAATTCATCCGGTAGTTCCGGCGCCAATAATACAACTTCAACTGTTGTCGACCCCTGCGTGGAGAAGGTTACGACTATGTACGTGAATTTGGTGAAGAAGTTCTTCATCTCTGAGAAGCAAAGAGTGTGGGCGGAGTTGCGGCACGACAGGGTGAGGAATCAGCTAGCGGAGAAGGCGGTGGGTGGAGTTGTTGCTGGTGTTTCAAGCAGTGCAGCGCAACGTGCTGAAGCAACTGCGCCGAGCTTGCTTCCACCTGTTGTGCAGATGAAAAACGAGACAGCTAAGGGAACTGCAGCTGTCGCCATGCCCATGGGAGAAAAAACTGCAGAAAATAAACTTTCGTCCGAGCAACTTCTAGATCCAGCCCCGAACGCCGCCGATTTCCACGTCGCTATCAATGAATTAGAGAAATCATTGGCGGAAAAATCCAGAGTGTTAGAAGCCTTGAAGCAAAACTCCTTCTTGTTAGAAGCGAATCTGAGCGACAAGACACTTCAGTTAGAAATGGAAAGGGAAAAAGCGGAGGGATTAAACCGCGAGTTGGTAGTTTTAAAAACCGGCATGAACAAGGAGATGGAGGAGGCGAAACAGAAGATGGAAGAATCTGTGATGGTGAAGCTTGGGGGGTGGAAAGAAGCGCTTTTGGAAAAAGTGGTGGACTTCGCGATGATTAGTGGCAGTGGTCCCCTTGGGATGAATAACGCCAACGCGCAAAATGACCACCGTCACCTCCAAACGTCGATCCCCGCCAACCCGCGGACAAAAGACACGATCAGCACCAAAGCGAGTCCCACCGCGGAGTGCTCTCCTGCGGATCATACTGGCACCGCGTTGCAGCATGGTGTAGCTTCTGGAACACATCAACCTGCCTCTCTTCAGCAAGCCGCGCACGCGTCGCTCTTGCAAAAGCACTGCTGGTCTTTGGAAATCGCTTTGCAAGAACTGTCCGAGGAGTTGGGGAAGCAGAAAGTATTGGCGTCCACCGTGTTTCAACAAAACGCACAGTTAAAGGCGGCAATAGAGAATACATCACACGACTCTACTACTGCGATGGCGCGAGACACCACCGCCATGATGGGTACCAACTCTGCCACGACGCTTCTGCAGGATAATACCAAACTAACCAAGTCCCTCACACGCCTACTTTCCAACATCGAAGACCGATCAACCACTATCAAATGTAAAAATGTCTGGGTCTGGAAACTTGTGATGCTGCGCGGCGTCTCATGATGAGGTCACAAATGCTGGCTCAGCATGACAAGTTTCTGAGATTCTAGGTGTTGCCTATTCTGCATGACAAACTTCGTTTCTGCATCACAGAAAAATGGAGCTCATGGGTAACGTGCATGACAGATTTATAGAGTTATGCTAGACAAGCATGACAAACATGCACTCTTCCAGACCCAGACACTCTTACATTTGATAACCACTTTCCTCGAGCAGAACATTTACGAAACCAATCCGGCCTTGAAATCGCGGAAGTGCACCGAATATCAAAAGAAAAAAGTTCGTCACGATCACTCATGGGCATTTTTGCAATACAAAATTGTCTGTCATGCGTAAAAATGCATCACAGCCGCACTTCATAAGGGATTTCCCTAGTGTTTCTGCAATACAAGGAGAAACTGTGATGCTAAAAGAGTTGTAATGCAAAACCTGCAAGTTAGTGACTGTGACAAACTTTTTTCTTTCCATGCCGAACTCACCGCTTTCAACAAAAAGCTGGAGTCGAAATTGAACGACTTGCAACTGAAACTGGACCAGAAACAGTTGGAAAACACGCAGTTAGAAGCGATAATCGAGTCTAAAACCTCGATTTTGGAGCAAAAGTTGAAGGATAAAGACTTAGAAGCGAAGCAGGAGTTAGACATCGCCGAGCAGGAACGGATATCCTGTGCAAAAGTATCGTACTCGATTAATTGCAAATATGCATGACAAATCTTCTTCCTAAGGTAAAACAGCATTACAAATTCTGCTTCTCTTCTTGCCAAAATTTGTATATGCGATTTATACTAGTACGATAATTTTGCAATGCATAACGGAGAAGACTAGCAGAGAACTTACAAACCAACGAGCAGAGACTGCAGGAAGCGAACAGAACGAACTCGGAGCAGGAAAAGATGATAAGCAACCAGCACGACGAGCAGAAGGTGTTAAGGGAGAAGTTGTTGCAGTTAGAATTCGAGAAGAAGGATCTCCAGTCGGAATTCGAGATCGAAACGATGAAGCTGAATATCACAGGAAAAAGCTTTTTCACTGTAAACTTGTAATGCAGAAAATCTATGGCAGAAGCGGTTGTGTTGCTACAGATTGCAGGACAGTTGATTCTTAGGCGTGTTTTGCCCTAGGAAGCTCGCATGGCAAGTTTTGTTTGTGATGTAGAACAAACTTGTGATGCGAAGCCTGCAATTTACCTACAGCGAAACAGTTTTTGTGTGGGATACTGAAGCAGCACAACTGTCGCTCACTCACCGACTTGAAGCAAGGCCAATCCGAGGTGGTGAAAAAGTTCGAAAACGAGAAAAATGAGCTGGAACTCCTGATTACTGATATGCGGAAGGAGTTTTTCCAGTTGGAGCAGAAGTGCAGCACGCTGCAGGATGAAAACGTGATTTTGCAGAATTTGGTGACGCAGCTAAAGGAAAGTTCGAGTGGGAGTTCGTCGTCGTCAGTGGAAGTGAACGTCGGGATGACTAATGCAATCGACCGCGAACACAACACTTGGGACCTCTCCTACTCCTCCGCGGGCGGTGGAGCAGAGGGTTCACACGGCGGGGAAAGAACGTTAGACGAACTGCCTTCCAGTCACTTTCTTCGACCCCCGAGCTACCGGCACTACACGCTCGATAGTACGACGGGAGATGTTGGGGAGATGAGTTCAGAATTTTTTGCAGAAGATCGACAGAATTACACCAAGCGGTCCACTAGCGCCGGAGCGTCTTTGAAAAGAGGAAAAACTTCTACAGCAGGGCACAAGAAGGGGAAAAAGAGTAAGACGTCGACGAAAGCGGTAGCTGGTGTTGGCGCATCATCTGCAAATAAACGGAGTCGATCTTCTGATCACCATGTCGCTAGCATTTCCCGCGCTGGTAGAACTCGCAGCACGAGCAGCAAGCGAGCGAGGTTTGAAGACGACGAAAATAATAGTGATCGCGTCGGGCTTCCAAACTTCCCCAGTGCCCGATCGCAGCTGGGGCAACAAGAAGGTACCCAAGGGACTGACAAGCACCAGCATCTCCGCCTCTACACGGCTCGGGACCATTATGAGAGTCCACAACTCCCCCTCCTCCTCAATTGTCATGCAAAATTCCATATCCACTCTTTGCCTGTTAGCACTGTTTGCATGACAGATTCCGGAATCTAAAACAGCAGTGCAATCGTCCAGGAATCTGTCATACAAAAGCTGCATTTTTGCCAGCGCTTGTGTTGCTGTTCATGCAACACAAATGAGGGTGAGTTGTGCACTGTCATAACCATATGCTCCGCAGCTCGATTTCCAGAACGAAAACGAGGGAAAACCAGTATGACCTGCTCAAACGCTACAATCTCAAGCGTTACAATAGAGTCTGGAATTTGTCTTGCATATATGAGCATGACAGACTCGCAGACCATTCCACTTTCTGCAATACAAATTTCGCCCGATTGTAGTGCGGTTTGGGACTCCGGAACTTGTCATGCGCAGTCCTATGAGACTTCCTTGGCTAGATCATGCACTTCTTGCATCACAGATTTCCAAATTCTATTGTAACGTTTGAGATCATTGTAACGTTTGAGCAGGTCATAACCAGGAATGCCAAACCGAAGTAACAGGGTTACTTCACCGAGGAGCTGCTGCAACTGGCGCAGCCTATTTCTCCCCAACGCATTCCGATCTAGCACTCGACCAATACTTGCAGCAAATCGAGACCGGCGAATTGTACCTGCAGAACTCCAAGCTTTTCATCGACCCCGTGGAGCACCAGCAGATCATTCTCAAATTGCAGAAAAGGCTGAAGAAATTCGAGACAGAGAAAACAGAAAACGAAAAGCAGCACGAGCAGTCCACTATGGAGAATGAGAAAGAGCAGCAGGAATTGTTCTCCCGGTTGGAAACGTTATTGACCGCGCAGAAGCAGCTGCAGGGGAAATATTTCAAATTGAAGGATTCGAAGAAACAGTTGCAGGAGAGAGTCGCAGAGTTGGAAGAGAATGCAAAATTGAACCAGATGTTGCTAGAAAACGACAAACAAGAACGGGAAATGGAAAGAGAAGAATTGGAAGAGAGATTGCGTAGGGAAATCAGCATGAGAATCAATAATGCTGATGTTGGAGGAGGTGCTGTCTCTACTGTCAACAACCAGCATAAAAATCAGACTTCGTACAACGTCGGAGAAGTAGATGAATTTCATCCCGGGTTCGAACCCATCCCCCTGATAACAGAGGGAGAGCAACAGCGACACAGAGGTCAACTACAGGTGCCGACACTCTGTCCCTCGCCCGGCGCGGAGTCGGTGTGCGTGGATGACGCGAAACGACAGCTGGAGGCGGTTTTAGAGATCTCGGATTACAACATCCAAGACGACGCGGAGATCGCTGCCGTCGAAGGAGCGCACGGTCCGACCGCTGCAGGCGTGGGAGTGCCGAGCGCAACTCTGTTCGGCGGTTCCGCACACGATTTGAACGACGCACAACTGGCGTTAGATGTAGACATTACAAGCAAAATGAAGCGTGTAGTTGTCAAGAACACGACCAAGAAGTTAGAAATCGCTCACCTCCCTCCAGTATTGCTCGCTCCGGATCTTCAAGTAGAGAACAAGAAGCCGATTTCTAATACATCTGATTCCGGGACGCAAGTGGAAGCAAAGAAGCTGCAACTGTCCCTCCGCCCCGCCGGCGACCTTTCTTCCGTGATCAGTATTTTCCCAGATCCAGACTTCGCGCTGAAGCAGAAGGCCATAGAGGAGTTCGAGTTTGATATTTCGGGAAAGAGAACCACGTCGGCCGAACCTGGTTGTACAGCCGCAGGAGAAGGTTTGCAGCAGCTGCCAGGAGCTCCGGAAAGAGCGCAGCAGGGGGGCAATATCCAGGTTGTTGGTGTATCGGACAGTGCACATCAACATCACAAAGTACAAGGAGCGACTACAGCTTCTACCGTCCCGCAGCAAGGAGAAATACTAGCCATGACGACGAGCAAGATTACCGCTCAACACAAAGACCCTCCTTCCCTTGCGGAGGTGAATGGGCTGCTGTACGACGTGCAATTGGAGAAGAAAAAATGCGACACGAACAGCACGCTGCGGTTAGAATTAGAAGCCCTCCGCTACGACCACAGCTGCAATCTGGACGCACGGAAGCGCTTGGAGCATGAGAGGGGAGTTTTGCTGCGGGAGCTGGCTTCTGTGCAGGAGGAACGGAGTAAAGTTTTGGCGTCGATCGGCGCAGGCGACAGCCAGCATCAGACGGTGGTCACACAGAAACTTGCTATGCCTGGTGTACAACACCTAGCCGCTGCTGCTGCACCAGCAGGAGGTGCGACCACTGCGCCAGCATTGGTGGATAGCACGGAAACGGTGGTCGACAGCCAGCAAGGAGCGACGCTGCCGCACGGTGCAGCAGCTCCATCCTCTGCGCATCTAGTACTCTCTGCGCGCGGCGGGGGAACATCATCAAATGTTAAAGTCATCACCGAGGAGCAAGAGCAATCCCGGCTCCGCAAGCACAATGAGGAATTGAGGCAGTTGCTCGCATCCTCGCAGTATCAACTGCAAAGATGTTTGGGTCTGGAAACTTCTCATGCTAATACATGAATGACAAACTACTGAAACTGATTGCATATGCGAAGCTGCACATGACAAGTTTTCCTAGCGATCCTGTAGTACTACGTCACGCGCATCAGAAACAACGCTTTTGCATCACAGAGGAGCAGTGCTATTCATCCGCACCATGCATTACAGGATTCAGAAGGATAGGTGTTCAGCATTACAAGTCTTGCGATCTTGCAGACACAGACACATTTGCAATGCATACGCAGAACAGATTTGAGGAACTGCGGCAGATTTGCGAATCGTCCGAGGAATTGCAGGTGCAATTGAAATATCCTGTCCAAAAGTATCGTACTCGTATTGCAGTCATGCATTACAAATCTATTCCCTAAGGTAAATCAGCATTACAAATTTTCTTTCTCATGCTGAGGAAATTTGTAATGCATTTATACGAGTACTACGATTCTTTTGCCGTTCATATGAAAAACGCGGCGAATCGGGAGAACGTTTTGACCAACCAGTTGGAAATCGCTTTGAATGAGCAGACGGTTTTGCGGGAGGAACTACGGTTAAAATCGGAGGAGATGATGGAATTACGCTACCGGGTTTTGCATCAAATGCAAAAACGTCTGGGTCTGGAAGGTTGGAACTTGTGATGCTAACTTTGGACTCTAAAAAAATCTGTATTGCATGAGCATGACCAGCAAGAGGAGTCTAGTTCGTGCGACGCGGGGAGGGCATTTCTCATGCGGAGTAGGCATCAGGAAGCCCTCTAGAAATCTGTGATGCTAGGTCGTGCATTACAGACATCCTAGGTCATGCAAAACATGCATGACATTGACAAGTCTCAGAATCTTCCAGACCCAGACATTTTTGCATTTGATATTTTGGAATATGAGGAAGCGTTTTTGGAAGGGAAAAAGATCGGGTACTTCAACTTCCGGCCGGTGGGGAGGGAGCTGCAGGCTCACATTAACGGTCGAAAACGTAGCAGGAGTTTGAACGGCGGAACTACGGGGAGTAGTGGCAAGACGAAAAATGCAAACAACAGCAGCAGTAGAAAACGGAACAGCTCCGGCCCATCGGCGGTCAGACAAAGATCCAATTCCCGGTCTCCTGTCAAAGAACATCAAAGCAAGCTGCAGCGCACGACCAGGGGAGAGCTACAAGATCCGGACAGTACGAATTATGCGGAGATGAGCAACATGCAAAACTCCGCGAAAAAAGCCTCAAAAGCCGCAGCGCAGCACGCTGCGAGCGTAAAGCGTTTGCGGCAGCAAGTTTCTCGGGAGAAAGAGCGCGCGGATCAACTGAAGCAGAAGAATGAGCAATTGCAGTCGGAAAGGGACCTGCTTGCGGAGAGGCAGAAGGATATGGCAAACAGTTTGAAACTGGGGAAGGCGGAGTTGGAGTGCAAAAAACAGTTACTGCTATCGTTGCAGAGCAAAGAACAGAACGGAGCGACCGGCGCGGGAGAAAACACAGCTACTGGTAGCGGACAGGGTCAACATCCTGCTGACGCGACAGAAGCTGCATCAAGTGTTCAATCCCAGCTGAAAGCAGTGGAGGAAAAATCAGCTAAACTGGAGGAGAAAGTGCAGAAGCAGATAAAGGAATTGAAGAACAAGGAGGAGTTGCTTCGGTCTTGGAAGGAAAAGGAAAAGTCCGCAGCGGAAAAAGTTACCGATCTAGCACGAAAACTTTCCACAGAAGAGGAGAAATCGAAACGGTTCAAGTCCGAAGTGGACAGGAAGGAGCAAATGCTGAAAGGGAAGGTGGCGCAGATGGAAAAGCTCAACGAAGAAGCGGAGCAGGTGAAACAGAAATTAGCGGAAAAGCAGAAACAAGTCGCGAAACTGCAGGAAGAAGGGGTAAAATTGAGAAATCTGCTCACCGCCGCAGTCGAATCGCCGGGGGGGATTGATTCGGAGGTTTTGGTCAGCAGTAAGTTGTTGACCAAAACCTCTTCGTCGCGCGGCGGAGCGACGACTTCGGACCATCATCTTCCAGGCCCGGGTGGACAACTTCTACAAGGTACTGTTCTGTCGTCCGCTCGAGGCGTAGCTGGCGGACCGCAGAATATGGCGGGAGTTGTGTCGGCGAAGCTGGGCAGCAAAAGTGGTGGGGGCGATGCTGTTACGGAGGAGAAAATTATGCAGACACTGGTGAAAATGAACTTGGTTGTTCCGAGCAGTGCATCCAGTCCGGCGGCGACTTCGGGAGCAATGCCCATGCCGCAACCGCAAATGCACACTGGTGCCGCAGGCACGTTTACCACCGCGGCCCCTGAGGCGCCAGCAAGTGCACGCACAGGGAACAACAGTAACGCCTCCTACACAGCGACAGCGCAGATGACGCAACAACCCGACTCGCAGTCGCAACACGACATCGAAATGCGTTCGCCCTCGCGCAGTCTCTCCGCTTCGAGGCGAAGTAGAGTGGTCTTTAACAATAGCGCTAAGACAACGTCGACGACAACTACAAGTGCCGAACAGCAGCAGAGTCAAGACCAAACTCGTCGGGACCTGTCCCGTAGTCGCAGCCCAGCAACACAGCGATTGCAGCTTGGAGGTACTCGTGGGCATCAAAAAAATCCCAATGTGTTATCCGCCCGTAACGAGCGGAGCCGGGCAAGCGCGGCGCAGGAATTATTCGCAGAGATGGAAGTGGAGGAGGACGACGATGAGCTTATCCCGGCGAAGGTTGTAGTGCCCGCGTCCGCACGGACGAGACAAGAGGACAATTACAGTCGGGAGGAAAGCGGGCAGTATGTGGTCCGATCGGGATCTTCGTATCAGTCCGGGCAAGGAGGTACTTACTTTATTCTTTCGTCGTGTTCAATTTACCATTGTCATCTCTATGTCTTGATGCAGTCGAAGCAAGAACATCACAGATGCGTCTGTAGCTGTACGATGGATCATAGTTTTGCTTTTTCCACTTTACAAATCTGAATCATCACTATGATTTACCTTTTCGTTTTTGCTAACTCCAGGTCCCCCTTCCACCTCCACCGCCACGACCAATCACAACACGACTTCCAATGCTTTGACCAGTTCCCGCCCGGGCCTCCGCCTGGACAACGAAGATAGCAGTAGGGAACACGAGCAAAATCCCATGTTATCCGAAAGTCACAGCACGGTGAGATTCAGCAGGGACAACAATTTCGTGGAAAACATAAACCTCCGCACCAGTAATTCTTCTACCTCTCAAAGGCAGAGCCGTGAGTCAAGCTCAAAGGCAAACAACAAGCAAACCAACAGTCGCGAAAACTCGTCCAAGCTGCTCACGGAATCCGAGGAGCTGTTCGGGAAATCGTTTAACTTACGGGACTATCTACAGCAAAAGCATCGTCCTAGTAGAAATGGCATCACAAAGTTGGTCAGCGTGAAGAATGGAATTTGATATGCTGGTTAGCGTACAAAGATTGAGCTGTTTTGCGTGACTGTCATTATCACGAGTGCAATATTTTTGCAATGCATAGGGACCGGCTGTCCGACAAAATGAAATTGGACGCGGCGGTCTTGGACTCTTTGTCCATTTTGAATTTGACACTGGAAGACGTTCCGGCTTTTCTGGGGGGTAGTGGAGGTGGACACGACAATCGGGGGACGAACGGTAATTCTGCGATGAACCACACCGGGTCTTCTTCTAGCTTAGAATACAGTAGGGACGAGTGAATTTTACTCAAACAACGGTTATATACGAATCACTTTGAAAGAACTATCAGACAACTTTTACAGATGATATGACTGGTAGTTGTAGTCAAATATTTTCAGAGAAAAGCAAAAATCGGAAAACTTCATTAGCCAGGTTTTTTACAGAATTAACTTTTAGCAAATTTGATCGCACCAGAGTGAATCAGGATGTTTTATTGAATCGAGACTACGCGAGGACTTACTGCTCGCAGCTGAACCACAGGTTTATTTGAATCAAAGCTGATACAGCTAGAGCTACGAAAGCTACTGCTCCTGTTGTGCGATACATTTACAAGTGCAAGTTATAGGTACTGACTTGCTAATGATATATGAAGTTTAGAAATAAAATGCATGGTTGAAGATATGCAGAAGGAAACGCGGTTTTTTAGGTATGGTCATGATGTCTGATAATTACGAATGCACGCGAGCTATGTGTGCACAGATTTTTACAAGAATGTCAGAAGGATCGATAAACCGCAATGTGTGGCCACGGTCCGTGATCGAACAGCAGTGTGGGAAGCAAGAAAGTTGTTCGTAAAGATCTCTGCAGACAGTGACACCTTCGCTTTCGGTATGCCAGCTTTTCAACAGTATTCGGCTTTCTTGGAATATCGTCGGTTGTGATTCAACGAAAAGCCCGGCCCCTGTCGGAGCCTAAAAAAATTCATAATCGTTCTGCATTGAAGTACATCCACATCGTACCTGCGCGCTGGCAAGCTACAGAATAAAATCGGTCCTCCGTCCAAATTGTCTGCATGTAGTAGAGCAAAACGTCCACTGTACTAAGGATAACTCGTCTTCTGTTCGTCCTCGAATCTCGTATTCATTTTCATTAAATCGGTCGTCGTGACCTTCACAACCTTTGATGTTCTTCGCGTTTATACCAGCTACAGGCCCTTTCCACTTAGACTTAACCTTATCCTACTTACTTCCCCCTGCGTACTTACGTAAAGGTAATTTCACTTAGCCGTACCCCGGCTTCATGAAGGTTGACGTTGATAGTATGATCGTTTCGCAAATTTTTCTCATTGCTGTAATGTCATTAACCCTCATGTTGACCCACAATCACAAAGAATTTTCCTCGAGTTCTACAGATACCTAAGCTCCTCTTTCAGCGCAACTGCGCTTTCTACTTGATCCTCACTTGTTGTTGTCCAACTTCACGCTCACCCCCCCTGTTTGCCCCGTATTAATTTCATTAAAATGGACGGCCTTTTAAAAACCATGAATGTGTCGGCGAAAAAGAAGATCGCGCCCGCCGGCACAAACAACGACGAAAAGGGCGACGAATTGTCCGAAATGGCAAAAATTCAGAGCATGATGAATCGACTAGGAGAGATCCAGCAGGAACGGGCAGGAGCAAATGCACCGGAGGAGAAGCTTACCCTCAATATGCCGACATTACTTCCTCAGAAGAAAAATAAAGACCACAAAGCTTCTTCCTCCACCAAGCCTAGCAAGTTCGAATCCGTGGACGCGACCTTGGATGCGCAACAGGCGTTAAGGAATCTGCGCACAACCACGACTAATTTATTCGACACCGAGAACAAAGAGGTTTTGCTGGACGAAAATGGCAACCCGATGGAATCGTCAGGAAAAGCCAGGTCCCGCTGGTTGAAGATTAAAATGGGGGTGAAAGTTGCCTCCACCTTCAAGGGCGATTTAGCCGAGCAAGAGAAGCGCGCGGACCGGATTAAAATGGCGGAATTGGAACGGGACATCATCTATGCATTGCAAATATGTCTGAGTCTGGCAAGTTGTGATGCTAATGACCGCATGATGCGCAACCTGTATTGCGTGGGCGCGCATGACAAGTTTTGGAGCGGCTATGTCTAGCGTTAATCGCATGAGAAATCGCCTTTTTGCATGACAAACAAGTGACGCTGTAGCACAAGAAGCATGCCAGCCTTTTCTGTCTTGTCGGCCAAGCATGACAAACTTACCTTCTTCCAGACGCACACATATTTGCACTTGATATCATGAAAAAGGACGAGGAGTTGTTCAACGCGAGGTTGTATCCTGTGCAAAAGTATCGTACTCGTATAAATGCAAGTCTTGCATCACAAATTTTTGTCTGAAGGCTAATCAGCATTACAAATTTTATTTTTCATGCTGAGGAAATTTGTAATGCATTTATACGAGTACGATACTTTTGCAGTTCATAGGTTGGAGTTGAAGGAAAAAATCGCGTTTTTTGATAAGGAACGGATGGCCACCCACACATTAGTGTCGAACGCGGTCGAAAGGTACCGGGAAGCGGAACTGCAAGCCAAGCAGACGCGGGACCTGCTGAAGCAGTCGATTCGCGACCACGAACAGATGCAAGAAGAGTACGAGCTGCTGGAAAAGCAGAAGGCGGCTTTGGAAGCGAAAGTGAAGATGTATTTCGACGTGATGGAGCAACAGAAATTAAAAATCCGGGAGTTATCTGTCGCTGTCGACCCCTTGACAGAAAAAATCGAAGAGATGGAAAGGGAAGCGACGAAAATGGAGAACCGCATCAAGGAGGACATGGAAGAACCCAAGGACGTCTCAAAATTAGACCGTATCCTGAGTAAAAACGTCCCCACCCCAGAGTTGTCATGCAAATGCGCAATGACAGGAACATCTGTAATGCGCAGCTCCATGAGAGCAGGCATTTCCAGTCGTGTTTTGGAATTTGTAATGCTGCGAAAAGGGTGAGAAAGTGGCTTTCTCATGCGGCTTCCCTTGCCAACCAGCACTACACTTCTGCAGAGGGCTACTTGTCATGCACAGCTACCAAAACTTGGAGATTTGTGTTGCCAGATTCCCAACTTGAGTATGGGGTGGGGACATTTTTGCTTAGGATAGACCGGGACCAGCTGGAAGCGGAGCTGCAGAAGTACTATTGAGAGGAAAAATCCCCCCTCCCCATATTGAAAACGCATCCGTCTGAAAATTTGTGATGCAGATTTGAGGTCACAGATCCTGTCTGTCTTGCAAGAAGGCAAAGCCGGAGAGTCCGCCGCATTATGCCGGCGGTTTGTGATGCTGTTGGGCTTACAGAGCCGACATCTGTCATGCTAGTCCCCTACGCCAAAGCCTCTCGATCCAGGCTTGTCATATGCCTGCAGTCCTCTCCAGCAAGACAGACCTGATTTGTGTACGCAAATCCAGCATCAGAAGCTTTGTTTCGATATGGGGAGGGGGGATTTTTCCTTTTGATAAGTACGCACTGAAACCCAACCGAAACCCAAATTTGTCCGAGAAGAAGATCTATCAACTGCAAATATGTCTGGGTCTGGAATGTGGCAACTTGTCATGGTAAATCTGAAGCATGCAAAAATCTGTGTTGCATGAGTGCCAAAAGCTGGTGCCCACTTTTGACCATAGATGGAAGGCAGTTTCTCACGCAGGATAGGTATGGAAGAGACCACCTCGCAGAGTCTGTCATGCTAAGTCCCGCATGTCACACCTCATGGGTCATGGAAAATCTGCATGACAAGTTTACACTTTTCCAGACCCAGACATTTTTGCATTTGATAAGGTCGACAAGGAGCTGCTGAACTTCGACGACGAATCGCGAAAAATTGTCGTGGAACAGCTGATATGCATTGCAAAAGCATCGTTCTAGCAGTACTTGCATTACAAATTTGCTTAGCATTACAAACGAAATTTGTAATGCTCTTTTATCGATTAGGGAAGGAGATTTGTCATGCATAGCAGCAATTACTGCTATTACGATGCTTTTGCAATTCATAGCTGAAGTGCCTCGTGCGGTTACAGAAGTTCAAAGACGAGGATATCGATTATCAACGGGACATCCACGAGAAGGGGGTGATTCTCACGGGAGAGATCGACGAGGAAAAGGTCATGAATGGAATCGACGAGGAGCACTGCATATCAAATGTAAAAATGTCTGGGTCTCCTGGAAGATTCTGAGACTTGTCATGCATGTTTAGTTTTGTATGACCCAGAATGTCTGTAATGCACGACCTAGCATCACAGCATTTTTAGAGGGCTTCCTGATGCCTATTCCGCATTACAAATGCCCTCTCCACGTAGCACAGTCTGGGCTCCTTTTCCTGGTCATGCAAGACAGATTTTTTTAGAGTCCAAAGATAGCTGCATGACAAGTTTGGATCCTTCCAGACCCAGAGAGACATTTTTACATTTGATACCGCAGGGGGGTCACGGTCTCGACGAATCCGAAAATGGTCAAGGATTTTGCCCGCTTTCTCGTCAACGCGTACCGACGGAACCATATGAAATGCAAAAGTATCAGTATCTTACTCGTAGTATTGCAACACAAATTAGCTCAGCATGACAAATGGAATTTGTCATGCTGATTTGGCTTGAAAAAGAAATTTGTCTTGCATGACTGCAAGTCGTACGAGTACGATGCTTTTGCACAGGATAAACCAAGATAATTTTTCCGAATTGAACGCGGAAATGCTGCGGTCGCTGCACGGGAGTTACCGAGATTTCCAGTGGAACGTCACCTGCGGCTACGCCTTGGTCCCGTGCCCGAAGCATTTGTGCACGTATTCTTTCTACACGAGGTTACCCCACAACTTCTGCTTCCACATTTTCTCCACGCCGGTGCCGTTGTGATAGATAAGTAGATAAACTAGGACACGATAAGCTATCCGAGAATGGAAAGTTCTTTGATGATATCATGTCACACAACTACATCACCAGGGCACAATTTAGTAAGTCAAAAGTGTCAAACTGCTCAAACAGGCGTACACCACTAAGTACGGACGAAAAGAAAAATGATTATGCCACGAAAATGGCCTCCTCTGGGCACAAACACGCAAATTGTACGAACCATGAACAGGTGTATTGGACGAACTTACCGGCTTTGCTAGCCTAGAAAACGGGGACGGTGACTTGTTGCTAGTGTCCCTCACCCGGTGCGCAGCGAGTCGCAATTGAGTTTTTCTGTTCTTTTTGAGAACGCAAGTTATGCGCTTCTGCACTGCTTGCTACCTAGCTCCGGCAGCCGTGCGTATAAATTTCCACCTGCATCTGCTCGCGATATCATTATTAACTTGATCGAGCACAACAAACGCAGCGCCGCTTGAAAGGTCTCTAGGTATACAACGAATGTCCTTTTTGGCCTGCAATCACTGTTTGAAGATCGACCAAGCGGCTGTGGCGCAGCAGTTTCTTCGGTGCATCATGATCTATCATTGTACGGAGCTTGATCTTGCGGCGTTTTTCTGTTTTCAGATCTTCATCCGCGTTGCGATAACTGGAAGTTTTCGCCTTTTGGGCGGCGATGTGTGGATTTGAGTAGTTTGTTGACTTTTTTTTTGTGCATCATCAGGGATAGGAAGAACAAGTAGACTCTCTCACTTTTTTAGTGAAGCCAAATTCGGTACTCCATCAGTTCTGCTATCTCGTAAGTGTGTACTTGACTGCGGTCGTGCTCAATTTTTTGCAATTGCACCTAGCCTAGAAAAATTTTTATTTTACACGTTTATAAATTTGGATTTCGGTTTCATACAACTACATTTTGCCATCCAAGATGATGTTCCACTCGCGAAAATCCCCAAAATGCCCGCGGCACCCCACATTGGCGGCAGCATCAAAGCGGTCCTCCTCCCAACACCGCATGTTGACGTTTCGACCGGTGCAGCTTCGGCTCCTATCGTCGACGGCGCTCCTCTACAGCTTCTTCGCAACTTCTCCCGTCGTGCAGGCTATCGCGTCGACAAACACAGACTATCAGCTGCGTAACAATTTCCAGACGAGTGAGGCGAGTTTCTTGCGGAACAGCACGCTCGCAAATTTTGACGGCAAGAACCTACTGAATTCGGCATCACCTTCGAGCTACCAAAAAATTCGAGTAGGACCTCAGCAGGTCGTCCAAGAACCAGCCCAAACTTCTTTTCTCGGCCTTCCGAAGCGGCCCGATCATCTCATCCCTAGTTCTCTCAAATACCCCATCATCACCGGGTTCGCCGCGTCTATCTATGGCTTGGTGAACGCCCGCCGGGAGCAGATGCGCCGGCGGGAAAACCGGCTGAAAAGGCGGGAGCAAACACGACGGAACAGATACAATTTCCTGACAGGAGCAGCTGGAGCCCCTACAGCCCCCGCGCCGCCGGGCGCCGGTGACCTTACTGGCATGGTTTTCTATCCTCGCGGCGCGCGGGGCGCACTGTGGAACCCGTTTTTTCACGAAAATTATAACAACCTCCTCGCGCGCGGTAGTGGACATACACATAACGCAGTACACGGAGTCGCAGAGCCCCGAAGGATCAACATGCGGGATTTTCTGACCGCTTCCAACGCATCCTCCACCACCTCGGCGTCTGCCTCAAACTTGGTTTTATCCAGCTCTTCACCGCCATCCCGGTCTCGAACCATCTCGGGGTCCTCGGCCGGGTCGGCTTATTCCGAGGACGTCGGAGGTTTGTTCAGTGGTGGTGGTGGTGCGGCTGCTGGGAGTAGTACTAGCCCTGCTGGAGCTTTTGACAATACTTCTCTGCGTCTACTTCTGCCTGGAGCAGTTGGTAGTTCTGTAAGCAGTAAGACACAAAAATCTGCAGTCCAACCGTTTGAAAGGAACTATCACACCGCGGCAGGAACAGCAAGCTCCCTTGAGCAGCAGCAGCAGCAACATCCGACGTACTACAACGTCCACCACCACCCGGGGCCGACTACTTTTCCCGGTGTGGAACAACATCAGAAGAAGCACGGTTGCGACTTTGCAGCTCATCGTAGTACTACAACTGGAGGACAGCAAGACGGAATCCTCGATAGTAGAAACGACAGCAGCGGGGCCCATAGCCGAAGCAATTCCATGGAAGTAGATGTCAACACGACGATGCTGCACCCTCCTCCCTCCTCTTCCGCTGGAGCCTCCCGCAGCTCGTGCACATTCGTGTCTGCGGACGGAGGGGGCTCTAGTGCGGCAACACTGCCAGAACAGCAAATGAATTTTCGTGCCGCAGCCGGAGCCGCGACTTCTTTCGCGACGGCGCAGAATGAGGAAGATGACGGGAGGACCTTGCAAGTAGAAGCCAGAACGCCTGCGACCAACAGCTTTCATTCCGTGCAAGAAGGAGGAGGTGGCACTCCTGTAGTACAACAAGCAGGAGGTGCTTATGCGCACGCAGGAAGGAGCTCTTTCGAAGATTTTTCCGAGTCGTTAGCCATAGCGGGGCTCGATGTGGTTGTTGCTCCACCTCCGCTGCCAGTCTTGCAAGATGTTTTCGCAGGAGATGTTCCAGGTGGTGGCTTCTACTCCGAGCGGGTCGACGACGACGACGACGACGACGACGACGAGGGGTCTCACGCAGATTTCATGGACGATGAGGACCACATCGAACACAGCAGGGGTATCAACAGGAACCGTGAAATGTTTTACGGCGAGGACAGTGTGCCGTGGTTTCACCATCTGCTGCGAATCAACGACATCTCAGTGCCAACTACGGGAAGTAGAACGACATCAGCAGGTGCAAGTAGAGGACCAACAACTACTGCAGGGTCATCAACTACTGGAACTGCTGCTGCTGCTGCTGCTGCCACTCCCGAAACCTCGGCCGCGGCGACCATGCGGAGTTTCACCAATGCAGCGAGCTATTCGTACAGCTGTTTACCCCCCTGTTGATGTGGACTTAGGTGGATAATCAGGGATGGAATGCAACTACTAGAGGAGAAAATGCAGTGTATGTTCAAGGTCTTCATGTTGAGGTAGAAGTACTAGTAGAACTAGAACGTCGGGGCTTTCGTGCTATAGGTTTCTTCACGAGAAGATGAGAATGACGAGGGATGGTGCAGCAGCACCCCTCGAAATGCAAATGCACACAGGAAATCATGCTTCTAAGGAGAAGTTTTTGATGTCGATATAGATGTGAATGCATTCAGATTGAATCTCTTCAATGAAAGACGAAGAATATTAGTACGTCGAAAATGTTTGTTTCTACTCCGCAGCAAAATGTACTTTTCCCCTTGCTTTTCTAGTACGGGCACCGGTACGCACGTTCGTTGTTCGCAGCATTTCGTACCACTGTTCTCCTTTTTCATGGTCGTAGAAATCCCCACGTAGTTTTCCGCAAGATGAAGGTGGCATTGACTTGTAGCATGGAAAGCATGTTAGATACATTTTTTGCTTATTGCACATCTTTAGGTGCAAGAGCTAGAGCATGAACTAAACCCCGTCCTCGTCCACTCAATCTACCTCCCCTTTCGGCTTACAAAGGAAACTGAAGAACTTCGTCCTCGTTGTACATCAAAGAAGCACAAACCAGAAATCATGCTGTCGGTATGATATTTGCATTCCAAATATTGAAGATTTTCGGCGCTGCTCCTTCGCTATCGTCCAAAAGGAAAAAAAAATGAATTGCGTGCACCGTCGTGGGTCGTACATCGTCCTCTCGTTCTTCTCCGTAGATCGGTTGCGTTTTTATGGAAAATAACATTTTGAACGTACAATGAAACGTACCTATCGGTCGTCATTCGTCCATCAAGCTGTTCGTCCACACGACCGTCGTACCACAACTATCATAGCTTGCTACAAGAAGCGATTTTTATATACGGTTATTTTCATGATGCGTGTATGATGATAGATGACTTTGACGACTTCACCTATGTTGATTCCGACAACGTTTATTCCAGGTTAACAACCCAATCTGTGAACAAGACTTCGAGTTCTTACACTCTAAACACCACCACTACTCCTCGTTTTTTTCTCTCGAGAAATCAACAACTCCGACTTTTCTGTCTTCTGACAACAACCACTACTGCTCCTCGTTTTTTTCTCTCGAGAAATCAACAACTCCGACTTTTCTGTCTTCTGACAACAAAAGTTTTCAACATCAACTGCGCTCAACAAGTTAAAGCATCTGCTTAAGCTTGTTGCAAAACCAAGAACTTTTTCGTTCCCCCTACAACCAGTTCTAAAACCACTGTTCGCGTTCTCGCAAACACACAACCCCATCAAAATGGTTCTCACTGCCCAGAAGCTTCGCATCGCGGCTTTGGCCGCCGTTGCGCTCGAAGACCAGCGGACCCTGCACGCCTGGGCCGCGGCTTTGACGCGTGGCCGTCAAACGACCTCTCTCCGCCACGGCCGTGGGTCGCTGTTGCGTGAGTCCCGCGCCCGTCGCGAGCAGCTGGCCTCCGAATTCATCCTGGTCAAAAAGCACACGAAGGCGCTAGAGGCGGGCGCTCTGACTGACCTGAAGACCGCGGTTGCGGCCGCTATGGATACACGCGATCAGACGGATGACGCTAATGCGACGGATGACGAGAAAACCACTGCCGATGCTGATCTGCTCGCTGCTGTGACAACTGCAGTTGACGCCGCGTACCAGGCTGCGATCGACGCTAAGCAGATCACGGAGGCCGTCCCCGCCGAAGTGACACAACACATCACCGACATTATTACTGCCCGGGTTGCTGGCGAGGCCGGCGGCGGCGCGGCAGTCACCGCTGCCATCGACGCGCTGTCCGCTTCGATTCCGGATGTTGTTGCACAACCCACGACGCTGGCCGAACAGTATCCAGGGGAAAAGTGCACCAGATGGTAGTTTTCACAAGTACTTAAGTGTTCATCCTGGCTGTGGAGGTGTTGCTGGATACGACTAGCACTATGTAAAATTGTGAATTTCAATATAGAATTATCGGTGCAAGGCGCACCCGCACGCGCAGGTCAGGACCAGGAGCTCGACGTGTACGCAGTTTGTCACCTGCTATGTAGTTCTGCTATATGGCCACTGACGCTATTGATTTACATGTTCAGCATGTCGCGCTTTTACTTTTTTATAGATACTGTATCAGGATGCATGAGCATGTTGCAATCTTCTGTCCAGCACTACTTACAGGAGACAGAGACAGTGACACAGACAGACGACAGTGGCTACTCTTGTCAGCAACCGGTGCAAAAAATAAAAAACTAAAGTCTCTGCTTTCGCATTTTCCGGATTTCATACTTGAAAAAAGGATTTATACATTTAGATATGTTCTTGGAAGTGGAACTAGAGCATCGGTGCACTTTTGCTCTGGACAGCCCTGCTGACACTCTCGCGACCACGATTGTGGATGCCGGCACCGACGATACGGCGGGTGCGGTCACCGCCGCGGTGGGAACGGCCTTAGACTCCCTCGTCGACAAGGAAATCGATGGCACTACAATCACCCAAGAAATGGTCGACGCCGCCAAGGCTGACGTCGTTACCGCAGCGACCACCGCTAATGCAGACGCAGGCGCTATTTCAACGGCGATCCAAACTGCCGTCCAAACGGCCATTGACGATGCTGCAACTGCGGCACCAACTTTTACGCCGACGGCGGACCCTACCAGCACGGCTTTGGTGAAGGACTTTGTCACCGGCAATACCGAAACTGAACTTGATGACATCAAGACCGCACTGGGATCGGTTCTGTCTGTATCATAAGGAAGAATTCCCTCACTCCGTAGTTGTACTCGAAGTACAGATCATCTTAGGTGCAGCACCAGCACATGATGCTGCGTGATGTGGTACGCAATTGCAATGAGGCAGGGTTCTTCATTCATTTCGTATACGATGCATAAACTATTTCGCTTGCCTGTTTATCGTTTTTTAGTTAGAGCCACGGGCGCAGCATGTCTGTGTAATAGGCGGGACTAGAAGAGTCGAGCTGCTATTAGCAATCTGGGACGTCGAGACGTCTCTTTTACATTAACTATAGCCGCAAGTAATTATGACGAAGACAAAGACTAGAGAAAAAGAAATGATCGCAATCGCTGTTTTTCTTTTTGTTTTTACAAAGTAAGACGAAGCGCCCGCCGCGCTCGTTTCCATTCATGCCGGACAGCAACCTCAGTCCTGCCCATCAAAACGCACAACTCGTGATGTAGTAGGTTAGATCGCGCAACAAGAACATCTATACATAGTTCATGGTTCTCGCAACGGTCTGCTTCGAGTAAATGCGGGGGGGGGGAGAGTTTTGCTAGTGACAGACCACGGCTGGCGTCCCCGCTGAGGCGGAAGGCTTGGACGACAAGATCACTACTCTCGCGGATTTGGTTAAAGCGGGTACCACCGTATGCATCACAAATGATATGTCTGGGTCTGGAGCAGTAGTTTTGCCATAAGGTGAAGATGTGAGTAAAGCTGGATCATAGGAGGACAGTAGAAAAAGCTGTGTTGCGGATCAACAAGAAGAGCAAACACTTACAGTTGCACACCTTGTATGCTGTTCTCTTGGTGGTACGTACCTGTACGCAGTGAGCGATTTTGTAGTTTTTGAAAAGCGTACACCTACTTACTGTAAACTTGTAATGCTCTTGTGCGAATTTCAATTTTCGCACAAACCTTTACCTAAAAAACGCATCACAAACAAGCGCACGTTTCCAGCTCTAGACATATTTGCAGTTGATACGCGGAGGGCGACGCCTATGAGGAGGCGGTCGACGCCCTGGCGCTGCTTGTGGACGCGGCTAAAAAAGCGGCGGCGGATGCTATCCTCAGTAAAAACGTGCATTCCAGCACTCCATGATATTGATTTGTCATGCAAATGACCTGCATGTTGATATGATGTTCCACATGTGCATGTCGATTTTTCTACTCATGCGCAGTCCCATGAGGCATGCTTTCCAATGTTGCAGCTGTGGAATTCGACAATGCAGGAGCTGTGCCCTAATCAGGATCGATAAGAGGGGCAACGCCAATCTATATCTGTGGCGCGGCTTTTAATATAGCCACGCACGACCACTTCTTCGCCTGCGTTGTCGAAATGTGAAGATGTCATGCGGAAATCACAAAGCTTTTGGATTTGTCTAGCAGATTCCCCATCTTGTTAGCTCTGGTGGGGTGCGGACGTTTTTACACAGGATAGTGGCGTCGACCACGGACGCCCCGGTAAACGGCAGCGACGTTAACGCCACTATGCATTGCAAATATGTCTTGTCCTGGGTCTGAAACTGAATTATTAGCATGAATGCAAATGTTCGGTCTGCAGGTTTCGCTTTATTCGCATCACCTTTCCAGAGGGCCGCTCCTCGGAATCAATGCGGGTTGTTCTAGCATCACAAATTCTATTGTTCAGAAGGTCTTTCCTCTTTGATCTTGATGCCTAGCTGTATCCTGCATGACCAATGTTGCCTCCTCGGGTGACGAAGAGTGGGCGCTTGTTTTGCTGTGTCCACGACAAAAATGTACAGGTTTATTCTACTATGATGTGGTCCACCACCACCACGACCAGACCTAGCATCACAAAGAACTTGCCATCAAAGTCTTTCAGATGAGGACCCAGACACCTATTTGCAGTGGATAGTCACCACCACAGCTGCACCAGCGGCCGAAGCACCTTCCTGCTAAGCGGTGGAGCACGAATTATTTCATCAGGAACAAGAAGCTGTGGAAGTAAATGAAACGGAGGCCTCCTCGTGTGGTCGCAGCATTTTCCACAAGGTACCTAATTCATTCCCAATCTAGGGGGCATCGCATTCGAGACACCAAATTCTAAGCATCACACATCACATAGGACTAGGTCGCGCAGTCAGACCAGCGCGAACCTCGTGAGGGCCGGAATGGGTTAACCACCTCTGTGGCCCCATTTTTGTTCTCCCGTGGCCAGCCCCTGCCTACAAAAATGGTCTACGCCGTGGGAGTGCAGGAAGGGGACACACAGCCGTTGCCAACGCCAATGCCCGCCACGCCCATAACGATGCACGACCTGGAAAGAAGATGAAGATGGCGCGCACGCATGCTAGAGAAGCATGCGCGGCTTATTCTCGCTCACCTCTTTTTTATGTTCACACACTAGAAAGGCACATCCTGACGTCTATGATGCGAATATGTAGAATCTAGCGGGCTCGTAGCCCCTCTCTCCGGCGACGTGGTGGCCGAGCAAGCTATGTGGGGGCACTCGCCTCTCGTAGCGAGCCGTCACCACTCGCTAGCGACCTCTGTTGGGGAGGGTCCGGGACTTGTTGCAGCCTCTGTTGCACCCGGCGTTGATACCTCTTTGCGCAGTGCTGGAGCACGGTTCGACCCACGTCTGTGGGCGGACAAGTGGGACGTCCCGCAGCCACCTCTGTGGCGCGGGCGTTGCGGTGCGGTCCCTGTTGCGCGCCCCGCGACTGCATTTAGTTGTACATAGGACGCTGCGACACTGCATTTAGTTGTACATAGGACGACTGCATTTAGTTGTACATAGGTTTTGTGTTTCACTCTATATGCGTGGCGTGATCTCTCATGATGTCGTCCGGGCAGCAGAGCTCTTGATGGCAAGTCGGCCCGCCTCATCCTTGGATTAAGGTACGGAGGTGAAGAATGCAGCGCCCTTGCCTCTTATCTTCCTCTGCTCGAGATATTTTTCCTACCAGTGTGTAACTATTCTCCAAGCCAGGAGGTAGCAGCATGGACGGCACGTAATGGAGCGAACACAAGACACGACAAACATGCAAATTCTTGAGCAGAGATTTGGGCGCAGGCACTGTTTTCTTCACTTGTGTGCATAGGATCAACTCTGGTCCTCCAGAGTGTCTGCGTTCGCAGCGTGGTGTCCTGATCTCATTCCGGCACTCCTCGTCTGTCCTATCTGACTGCCTCCCTCTTCCTCCTCACTAGTACACTTTAGGGTGGTGAGAAGATCGCATCTCCTCGTACTATCGTTGTGGTAGAGCAACTCGAACATCGTCTATCCCGCAACACGTTTCACAACTCATTCTGACCGATGACCGGTTCCCAGTCTCCTTCTTTTCATGTTCATTTTCATATCAATACTTTCCATCATGTTCATTTTGCATCTGAAGCTCCAAAAACAAATTATACACCTAACAAAAAATATCAAGTACTATCGCCCTTGCAGTACAACCAGTTGCATTTATACGAATCGGAGAAATTCATTCTCCGAAACGTGAAAAATGAAAACTGTCAAACGGATTCAGAGACCGCAGCACACTTCTGTCATGCATGAAATTTTGCAACTAGTGTAGTACGAGCTAATTCGATACTTTTACACTGGATATCCCGTAGTTGCCCCCAAACCCGCTCATTGTGCTGTGCAACCCGAAGTTCTTCGGTTTGAACTTAAACGGCTTCATGTGCTTGGTTTGGTTCTTGGCATGGATTGGTGGGAGGTTTGTTTTCGCCTGCGCCTGGTCATGGTGTGTGCTTTCGTGGTGTCGGTCTGTATCGTGGTTGTCTGACACCGTGGACTGGTTCCCGCCCGTGCGATAGAATGTGCTTGTCGGCGCTTGCTCGATGCTGTTCGTGTGCAGTGGCACCGTGCGCTCTGGGACCTCTTCGAAGTAGGGGGAAAGCAACCCGCGACTGCATTTAGTTGTACATAGGACGCTGCGACAAAGCAGCACGGATACACTTTTCTACAGAACCCTAGTCCGCCACTGAGAAGGGTGTGGCCTTGACCTTTTGTTAAGAACATTCGGACTAGAGCTGCGACCCCATGCGGCCGCAGAGCTGCGGGGATTTGGGAATTTGTGTTCGCCTCACGATGACCAAAATGCTACCCAAATCACATCATGGATCAGGTATCAACAGGGCGGAAGCTGTGGAAGTAAACGAAACGGAGGCCTCGTCGTGTGGTCGCAGCATTTTTCCAGAAAACGTTTTTTCACCGATAATTACATTATCCTGTGCAAAAGTATCTTATACTCGTACTAAAGTTTTGCAGTGAGTTGTTCCACTTCTACGTACTGCATGACAATAAAGCTGCGTCAGTGGTCACGGTTCTCCAATTTAGCATTGTAGGCAGCATTTTCTTCCCCCCTGAGATTTTTTGTCATGCGATAAGTACTTGATAGCAGTAGCACCAGGACCACTCAGTGTAATATCCACATCCAGGAGAGGACCACTCACTGTCACCCGATTAGTACGAAGGAGGTACGACTTTGCATCAATGCATAACCGATCACGACGAAGGACGACTTCCGCACGGAAAAAAAGGAGAAGACCACCACGTGAGCATCTACGTCTAAAGAAAACTGCTTTTCTCATATGAATTTTACTTAATGTTTAACTTTAACTTTAGTACAAATTTACAACCAAAGCGCCTCACTTCTCTCGTTCTTTCACGAAGATTTACAATAATTTCATTTTTCACCGTTTTTAGCAAGAATTTATTTGACTGTCATCACTTCACATGATCTAATATTTTTCAGAAGCATATGTCACAACATCAGTTTCGTCGAGGAAGTCAACTGTTTTTAATTTCCAAGTTTAACGTTATTTTCCAATGTGATTCACAACTCAGCGTTTAGAAGTTTAAGTTTTACAACATACTCAACATGGTCCAGCACATCGGACGAAAATTTTTTGTTTCCATGATTTCAGATCCATTTTTAGCACATCATATTCTTTCAAGTAGTAGTTCCCCTAACGTACATTAAATATTTTTCCCCCCCGGTCGTCCTCGTGGCCCTTCCGCTCTGCCTGTGGCTCCCTCTGGAGCAGCTTCGGAGTAAGTAGCTAGAAGTAGTAGAGCATCGATTTGATGTTCTCCACCTCTACTACAACTCCTGCTGCGCACTAAAAAAATCGCAGGTAGACAAGAAGGCCTGGAAGGGTCCAAGAGGCAAGCCGCAAACTTCTCGTGATTGCTTTTAACAATCCTCTTCAAATGCTTGTTTCAGCGCGATAATTATCGGATCCCGATAAATACTTAAGAACTAGGAAGAAAAATAAAAAAAAGTCCAAGTAAGAATACAAATAGTATAGCTGTACCCCAGTTTTTACTATCAGTTTCTGTTTCACTCCTTGAACTTTATCCCTGTTTCACTACTAGTTTCCCAAGAACGGAGGTGGCTGTTGCAACATAAAGCAAGCTCGACGGAACAACGTACAAAATTACGACTAGAAGAGGTACTAGTCGAGAGCGACTTCTTGTTGTGTACAAATCGTCATTCACAGGCTTGTACGTACGCTAGATCTACTTCATGTAGCGGGGAATAGAAAGAAAGGATGAACATACGCCGTGCCCAACCAGGCATAAACATCATAAATAATTTCGTCCACGCGCCGGCCGGGCGAGACTGAGGCTGAGACACCAAAAGCGCCGCCCGAAGTCATATGCTACAAGAACTCTAGCGGCCGTTAGAAATTTGCGGATCCCGTAATTTTCTGTTGCAACATCATGCTGCTGAACATGAAATAAATTTTTTCCCCCAAAACTACTATTTTAGAAAAAAGTAAAAAAACATCGCGGCAACGGCAAGCAGTACAAGTGCAACACGTTGTAGTACGAGAGCTGCTTTTAGTCCGTTTGCTTCTCGTTGTGCACCAGCAGCGACCTGTTCCTCCCTGTTTGATATTTCCGGACGGGGGAGGTGCAGCTGCTGGAGCGTTCTGTTCTCGACTGTGGTGTGTAGTTGTTCAGATCTTCAAAGTCATATTCGTCCGCCTCTCGTTCGATGGAACTACTACAAGCAGGTCGTTTATTTTCCTCGTTTCGCTACACTATTCATCGTTCACATCTCTATAACTTCTACGCTCAGCGATTCGTTCTCGCGTCGTTTGTTTCTTTGTTCAAGTTCGTGGATAGTTTGAAATTTTCGTTCGTCCGCATGACAAAAGTCGTTTTTTTGCGTAATGCATTATGGCAGCACATCAAACCCGCAGCACGGTGTTTAGAACACTTTATTTGCATATGATTATCGTAAAAATGTTTCGAGAATAAAGGGTTGCACTTGCTGCTGGAGCGATGAATTTCTTGCCGATTTACACATTGTCTTGTCCCGATAGTTGTACTTACTCTACGTGGTATTTTGATTTATTAATGTGAACAGGTTATGTGTTGCGCTTGCGACGAAGTTTCAGTTTGGTAGGTATCGATTTATCATCCCGTATGGATAATTCGCACTTCCCTGCAGATCTGTAACCAACGCCTCTATAACAAACTCCCTGTAAGAAGAATCGGAGGAGGAATCTTGCTTATTCCTCGTCCCAGCTCCTAGGAAACTGCTTCACACGTCAACATAAAACTTTCAAGCATAAAACTACGGATCGCAACGAACAGTACAACTACAAGTACATCATCGCAGCACGACGACGAAGTAGTCCACGACGTCGCGAGAACAACAACAACAACCTTCAATCATGCTCAGTTCCGCGTCGAATTTCAAACGCCACCCTCGCGTCGTCACGGCCGCCCTCGCGGTTGTGGCAGACGTCGTGAGTTTTCAACAACATGTGCTGCAGTCCTCGGCCGTCGCTTTGTCCTCCTCGTCCTCCTCGACACTCGTAAGGATCAAGACGAGCATGAGCAGCAGAAAAGGTGTAGTACCTGCGGCTGGTCCCAGCATCCGTGGAAGTAGAAGGACAACAAGAAAAACTCCGCCTTCGCTGCTGCAAAGGTATTTTTACGCGAAGATGAGGCATCATTCCTCGTCGTTGTTGCCCAGGACGAGTCGGGGACCCCACGATTTCTATGAGAAGATGACTTCTACACCCGGCCAGTTTTTGTCCGTGAAGGAGAAGAACTACAGCAAGGGTCAGAAGATGACTTCTACCACTTTGCTGTCGACGAGCGACTCATTTCCGGGTACGAAGGCGAGCGACGAGAGCACGAAAGAAGTCCAATATGCCGTGGCTTCGAGCGGTAAGTTTTCTCGGTGTACAACTCTTCAATGGGATGACCCGTCTGCTGTGCCCGCATGCGCAGAGGAGGCGAGGGATGACTTCAAGATACTACTGGCTGAACAAGCGGGGTTCGGGATTGTTGACATACAGGGGATGGTCGACAAGATTGCGACGCTTGTGGATGCCCGGATTGTTCAATGTTCGTACACTTGCAACCATTCTGCTACATTCGGCAACGGAGGAGCCAATTCGGAAAGACAGGATGAAATCAACGCGTACGTCCTAGCGGTGAACGACGTCGCTCTGCTCCTGGACGAGGCTAAACAGGCTTTGACTCCGGTTGCCGCACCTCCCCCAGCGACGCTGGCCTTGTTTTATCCCAAGGAAAAGAAGTTCCCCACGTCCACCCAGGGTTTACTTACAAAGGTCATGCAACGATCAAAATCGTCGTGTACTTGCAAGTGCAACCTGGAGGCACTGCTGCATTCCATTGGTTCAACGCGAAAACTGTAGGCCCTCGTAGCAGCGAGACGAGGGACAACTCTGTTTTGCTTGTGCGGGGTTTCGCTTCTTATATTTTTCTGTCGCGTATGCAAATTTTCATTTTTAACTGCGTACAACTATTAGTATTACTGTTACTGTAACAGGAAAGCCAAGTAGAAACATTTTGATCTTGCGACTTCCCGATAAATTAGGGTGGCTATCGCTATTTCAGAAAAATAGTCTTAGCAATTCCATCGGTCGTGGCTGAAGATTTTACTTTTAGTCACTGTCGCTTTGTAAAGTAAAGTCGGAGACGAGGGGAACGAAGTCACTCAGATTCAATCGATGCAAATATATGCATGTGAAAAGCCTAAATCGGATTTGATCGACAATGGTTTTACACTTGTGCTAGCTCCTCTGGGTGGGCTACTTTTATTGTTCTTTTCGATAGCGCTGCGGAGCTGACAGCGAAGGAGCTGTTCGGAATGAAAGACGAAGACGAAGATACCCTGACAACCAAAGTGACCAATGCCTTGACCGCCATTGTGGGCCAAAAGTACACTGCTGATGAAGTTGAAATCACCGCGGACATCGTTGCTGCTGTCGACACGAATGCCATCGTTGCTGCAGTGATGGCTGATGATGCAGATGAAGCCAGCATTCAAAAGGCGATCACGGACGCCGTCACGAAGGCCATTGACGATGCTGCCGGTGCTGGTTCCACTTTCCAAAAGACCGCGTCCGATGAGAGCACCAAGACGGTCCAAGATGCCATTGACAATCTCGCCACCGACGCTAATACTTCTAACGCCATCGCGGAGGCAATCAAGTCGGCTCTGACCACCGCGGGCGTCGAAGCTGACGCGGTGACCGCCGCGGACGCGGAGATCCAAAATCTGGCCGCTCTTGTTGCTGATAGCAACACCAAGGGCGACGACTACGCGAAGGCGGTCGACGCCTTGGCGCTGCTTGTGGACGAGGCGAAAAAAGCGGCGGCGGATGCTATCCTCAGTAAAAGCGTTCATTCCAGCACCCCATGATACAATATTGATTTGTCATGCGAATGACCACGACCTGCATGTTGATGTTCGGATGTGGTGCATGTAGAAGATGTCTCTACTCATCCTGCGCAGTCCACCCAGGACCAGGAGGGTACTTAAGAGGGGCAACACGAATCTATATCTGTGGTGCGGCTTTTGATATAGCCGACCACGACCACTCCCTCTCCTGCGTTGTCGAAATGTGAAGATGTCATGCGGAGATCTTCACAAAGCTTCTGGATTTGTCTAGCAGATTCCCCATCTTGTTAGCTCTGGTGGGGTGCGGACGTTTTTACACAGGATAGTGGCGACCACGGACGCCCCGGTAAACGACACCGACGTTAACGCCACTATGCATTGCAAATATTTCTTGTCCTGGGTCTGAAACTGAATTATTAGCATGAATGCAAATGTTCGGTCTGCAGGTTGCGCTTTATTCGCATCACCGTTCCAGAGGGCCGCTCCTCGGAATGCGGGTTGTTCTAGCATCACAAATTCTATTGTTCAGAAGGTCTTTCCTCTTTGATCTTGATGCCTAGCTGTATCCTGCATGAGCAAAAATGTTGCCTCCTCGGGTGACGAAGAGTGGGCGCTTGTTTTGCTGTGTGTACGACAAAAATGTTGTACAGGTTTATTCTACTATGACGTGGTCCACCACGACCACGACCAGACGTAGCATCACAAAGAACTTGCTAAAGTCTCTCAGATGAGGACCCAGACACCTATTTGCAGTGGATAATCACCACCACAGCTGCACCAGCGGCCGATGCTCCTTCCTGCTAAGCGGTGGAGCGCGAATTATTTCATCAGGAACAAGAAGCTGTGGAAGGAAACGAAACGGAGGCCTCCTCGTGTGGTCGCAGCATTTTCCACAAGGTACCTAATTCATTCCCAATCTAGGGGGCATCGCATTCGAGACATCACATTCTAGGCATCACAGATAGGACTAGGTCGCGCAGTCAGACCAGCGCGAACCTCGTGAGGGCCGGAATGGGTTAACCACCTCTGTGGTCCCATTTTTGTTCTCCCGTGGCCAGCCCCTGCCTACAAAAATGGTGTACACCGTGGGAGTGCAGGAAGGGGACACACAGCCGTTGCCAACGCTAATGCCCGCCACGCCCATAACGATGCACGACCTGGAAAGAAGATGAAGATGGCGCGCGCGCATGCTAGAGAAGCATGCGCGGCTTATTCTCGCTCACCTCTTTTTTATGTTCACACACTAGAAAGGCACATCCTGACGTCTATGACGCGAATATGTAGAATCTAGCGGGCTCGTAGCCCCTCTCTCCGGCGACGTGGTGGCCGAGCAAGCTATGTGGGGGCACTCGCCTCTCGTAGCGAGCCGTCACCACTCGCTAGCGACCTCTGTTGGGGAGGGTCCGGGACTTGTTGCAGCCTCTGTTGCACCCGGCGTTGTTGCCTCTTTGTGCAGTGCTGGAGCACGGTTCGACCCACGTCTGTGGGCGGACAAGTGGGACGTCCCGCAGCCACCTCTGTGGCGCGGGCGTTGCGGTGCGGTCCCTGTTGCGCGCCCCGCGACTGCATTTAGTTGTACATAGGACGACTGCATTTAGTTGTACATAGGTTTTGTGTTTCACTCTATATGCGTGGCGTGATCTCTCATGATGTCCTCCGGGCAGCAGAGCTCTTGATGGCAAGTCGGCCCGCCTCATCCTTGGATTAAGGTATGGAGGTGAAGAATGCAGCGCCCTTGCCTCTTATCTTCCTCTGCTCGAGATATTTTTCCTACCAGTGTGTAACTATTCTCCAAGCCAGGAGGTAGCAGCATGGACGGCACGTAATGGAGCGAACACAAGACACGACAAACATGCAAATTCTTGAGCAGAGATTTGGGCGCAGGCACTGTTTTCTTCACTTGTGTGCATAGGATCAACTCTGGTCCTCCAGAGTGTCTGCGTTCGCAGCGTGGTGTCCTGATCTCATTCCGGCACTCCTCGTCTGTCCTATCTGACTGCCTCCCTCTTCCTCCTCACTAGTACACTTTAGGGTGGTGAGAAGATCGCATCTCCTCGTACTATCGTTGTGGTAGAGCAACTCGAACATCGTCTATCCCGCAACACGTTTCACAACTCATTCTGACCGATGACCGGTTCCCAGTCTCCTTCTTTTCATGTTCATTTTCATATCAATACTTTCCATCATGTTCATTTTGCATCTGAAGCTCCAAAAACAAATTATACACCTAACAAAAAATATCAAGTACTATCGCCCTTGCAGTACAACCAGTTGCATTTATACGAATCGGAGAAATTCATTCTCCGAAACGTGAAAAATGAAAACTGTCAAACGGATTCAGAGACCGCAGCACACTTCTGTCATGCATGAAATTTTGCAACTAGTGTAGTACGAGCTAATTCGATACTTTTACACTGGATATCCCGTAGTTGCCCCCAAACCCGCTCATTGTGCTGTGCAACCCGAAGTTCTTCGGTTTGAACTTAAACGGCTTCATGTGCTTGGTTTGGTTCTTGGCATGGATTGGTGGGAGGTTTGTTTTCGCCTGCGCCTGGTCATGGTGTGTGCTTTCGTGGTGTCGGTCTGTATCGTGGTTGTCTGACACCGTGGACTGGTTCCCGCCCGTGCGATAGAATGTGCTTGTCGGCGCTTGCTCGATGCTGTTCGTGTGCAGTGGCACCGTGCGCTCTGGGACCTCTTCGAAGTAGGGGGAAAGCAACCCGCGACTGCATTTAGTTGTACATAGGACGCTGCGACAAAGCAGCACGGATACACTTTTCTACAGAACCCTAGTCCGCCACTGAGAAGGGTGTGGCCTTGACCTTTTGTTAAGAACATTCGGACTAGAGCTGCGACCCCATGCGGCCGCAGAGCTGCGGGGATTTGGGAATTTGTGTTCGCCTCACGATGACCAAAATGCTACCCAAATCACATCATGGATCAGGTATCAACAGGGCGGAAGCTGTGGAAGTAAACGAAACGGAGGCCTCGTCGTGTGGTCGCAGCATTTTTCCAGAAAACGTTTTTTCACCGATAATTACATTATCCTGTGCAAAAGTATCTTATACTCGTACTAAAGTTTTGCAGTGAGTTGTTCCACTTCTACGTACTGCATGACAATAAAGCTGCGTCAGTGGTCACGGTTCTCCAATTTAGCATTGTAGGCAGCATTTTCTTCCCCCCTGAGATTTTTTGTCATGCGATAAGTACTTGATAGCAGTAGCACCAGGACCACTCAGTGTAATATCCACATCCAGGAGAGGACCACTCACTGTCACCCGATTAGTACGAAGGAGGTACGACTTTGCATCAATGCATAACCGATCACGACGAAGGACGACTTCCGCACGGAAAAAAAGGAGAAGACCACCACGTGAGCATCTACGTCTAAAGAAAACTGCTTTTCTCATATGAATTTTACTTAATGTTTAACTTTAACTTTAGTACAAATTTACAACCAAAGCGCCTCACTTCTCTCGTTCTTTCACGAAGATTTACAATAATTTCATTTTTCACCGTTTTTAGCAAGAATTTATTTGACTGTCATCACTTCACATGATCTAATATTTTTCAGAAGCATATGTCACAACATCAGTTTCGTCGAGGAAGTCAACTGTTTTTAATTTCCAAGTTTAACGTTATTTTCCAATGTGATTCACAACTCAGCGTTTAGAAGTTTAAGTTTTACAACATACTCAACATGGTCCAGCACATCGGACGAAAATTTTTTGTTTCCATGATTTCAGATCCATTTTTAGCACATCATATTCTTTCAAGTAGTAGTTCCCCTAACGTACATTAAATATTTTTCCCCCCCGGTCGTCCTCGTGGCCCTTCCGCTCTGCCTGTGGCTCCCTCTGGAGCAGCTTCGGAGTAAGTAGCTAGAAGTAGTAGAGCATCGATTTGATGTTCTCCACCTCTACTACAACTCCTGCTGCGCACTAAAAAAATCGCAGGTAGACAAGAAGGCCTGGAAGGGTCCAAGAGGCAAGCCGCAAACTTCTCGTGATTGCTTTTAACAATCCTCTTCAAATGCTTGTTTCAGCGCGATAATTATCGGATCCCGATAAATACTTAAGAACTAGGAAGAAAAATAAAAAAAAGTCCAAGTAAGAATACAAATAGTATAGCTGTACCCCAGTTTTTACTATCAGTTTCTGTTTCACTCCTTGAACTTTATCCCTGTTTCACTACTAGTTTCCCAAGAACGGAGGTGGCTGTTGCAACATAAAGCAAGCTCAACGGTTGGAACAACTACAATGTTACGACTAGTAGAAGAGGTAGTCGAGAGCGACTTCTTGTTCTTTACAAATCGTCACTCACATCAGGCTTGTACGTACGCTAGATCCACTTCATGTAGCGGAGAATAGACGTAAAGGATGAACTACATACGCTGTGCCCAACTAGGCATAAACATCATAAATAATTTCGTCCACGCGCCGGCCGGGCGAGACTGAGACTGAGACACAAAGAGCGCCCGAAGTCATATGCTACAACTCTAGCGGCCGTTAGAAATTTGCGGATCCCGTGATTTTCTGTTGCAACATCATGCTGCTGAACATGAAATAAAATTTTTCCCCCAAAACTACTATTTTAGAAAAAAGTAGTAGGTCATATAAATTTGGCTCAAGGTCATATAGGTCATATAAATTTGTATTGGATTGATCGATGTATATAAAAGTAGGCTCAAAAGATTATCATTGATTAATTGATTGATGGAAGAAAATGATGGCGTCGCCCCCCTCACTGACAGCGCCGCTGCAGCACGGGCCACCGAATAGCCCCGTCGTGGAGTTAGATAGAAGGCTCCGGATAGAGTAGTAAATAAAAAGTAGCAGTAAGACTAGCGGCTGGAGACACAAGCTCGGTGATACGCGAGGCGTGCCCGCCAACCTTGGACCCGCATCCCCTCCCCCCCCGCGGGATATCGTGGAAAAGAGGCATAGAACCCAAACAGCAGACTAGCCGCGGTGTGCCATGAGGGCCGGCGCGGATGGGGACCGGAAGGGGGGAGTCGTGCACCAGGCACCGAAGATGCATGCTTGCCCGCCGCCACAGGAGTCGGCATGATGTCATGTATGAGCGGAGGTGCCAACTGCGCTAGGCAGTGGAAGGGCGTACGGATACAAATACTCACTTAGATTGCACAGATACAACTTTGAAAAAGAGACTTCTCAGGCTTGAGAAATTGCATAGTGCATTGATCCCCTCCGATGGCCCCGGCACACTGCAGGCACGGGTACGGAAACTGCCGCCCGCGATCACAGCGCAGGCGCGTGTCGAAGGCATTTACTTTACCTTACGCGTTTTCCTTTTACCAAAACCAAAACAGAAGACTAGTAACCGGGCCTACGAAATAGCGACTAGTAGTAAGTAACACACTCCACCGCCGCGCCCGCCGTGGTCGTGACCTTCGTGCCGTGATCGAGCGACGCGACAAGGGCCTGCGCTTTTCTTAGGGACGAGGGCGCAGGACATGTCAGTGAGGGGAACCCGTGGGCTTGTCCTCGTCGATCTTTTTCCGTTCCCCTGGTTATTCCTCTGATTCCACCCAGGCCATCTTTCTTTGTGCATCAGCACAGCCAGCTTGCCCGAGAACAGCGCCCTTCTTAACGACGTCGGAAGTGGACGCGCCTACACGCGCGACAGAACGACCTCCGCCAACGACGGGGGAAGGGTAACCGAGGATCGGCGACGGGGGAGCTTTCTCAACTACGTCGGATCGGGCGACGTACTATCAGCATTCTGCATTACTTCATGGCGACTGCGGAGGGACTACAAATCCTCTGCAGCGGGCGGCACGCGACGGGTAACTCTACCTCGGGTGTCCTCACAACTAACCGTCGCAGTGGCTCACTTCTTCCTACCGCGGTGACGAATAAGTCCCCTCAGGGGCAACCTGGCATCCCTTGGCCACGGCGGCTTCGGCTGCCCACCCTTGGGTAGTCAGAACGTCACAAAACTAAGATCCAGCGGCAGATCACAACTATATCAACACGTCGACCGATCTACAGAGCCACTGCAAAAAGCAGCGAAGACGACAAAGGACACTCGTGAGTAGACCTGCTGAGGGGGTCGCATACCAGCCGAGAGAGACAACCGGCTGAAACTACCTGGAAAGTTGAAGCGTTGCAAACCATCGGCAGGCAGCACCTAGTCCCAGCGAAAATCTTTCCTATGGTTAGCTTACACAGAGAGAGTAGCTTAGTAGTTAGAAGCTGACTGTAGAGTTTATTCCTCCTCCTCCTCCTATTTTAGAAAAAAGTAAAAAAACATCGCGGCAACGGCAAGCAGTACAAGTGCAACACGTTGTAGTACGAGAGCCGCTTTTAGTCCGTTTGTTTCTCGTTGTGCACCAGCAGCGACCTGTTCTTCCCTGTTTGATATTTCCGGACGGGGGAGGTGCAGCTGCTGGAGCGTTCTGTTCTCGACTGTGGTGCGTAGTTGTTCAGATCAAAGTCATTTTCGTCCGCCTCTCGTTGTTCGACGGAACTAGGACAAGCAGGTCGTTTTTTCTCGTTCCGCTACACTATTCATCGTTCACATCTCATTCTCTACGCCCACTACAAAACTGAAAAAATCGTCGTGTGGTTCTTCGTTCCGTGCACAATTCAAAATGTTCGTTCGTCCACATGACAAAAGTCGTTTTGTTGCGTCTCACTTTATCTGTAACCGTACGAGCCCACTGCCCCAGGAGGGTGCTTAGAACGCTGTTGCATAAATGATGCTTCGCGAATAAAAGATTGCTGGAGCGATGAAATTTTAGCCGCTTGTTTACATGTTGTCTTGCTCTAGTTGTGATACTTTCTTGTTTCTTGATGTGAACAGGTTCTTCTTATCAATTTGTTACGACGAAGTTTGATACGAACCCTTGATTGATTGATACCGATTTATGTTTATCATCCCATTTGCATAATTTGCACGACGACCCTGAAGAACTGTGACTAACATGTAGCCAACATCTCTACAACTCTGTGCAAGAAGAATCGTAGGTAGCACTTATAATTCGTCGTCCCAGCTAGGTGGAAACTGCTTTAGTACTCGACATCAAAAAACATGTCAGCATAAAACTACAGATCGCAACGAGGAGTTGTGCAGGGACATCGTGCAGAATTAATTTTCAGAACAACGTTCAATCATGCTCAGTTCCACACCGAATACGAAGCGCCGCCCTCTCGTCGTCACCGCCGCTCTCGCGGTTGTGGCAGACGTCGTGAGTTTTCAACAACATGTGCTGCAGTCCGCGGCCGTCGCTTTGTCCTCCTCGTCCTCCTCGACACTGGTAAGGATCAAGACGAGCATGAGCAGCAGAAAAAGTGTAGTACCTGCGGCTGGATCCAGCATCCGTGGAAGTAGAAGGACAACAAGAAATAAAACTCCGCCGTCGCTGCTGCAAAGGTATTTTTACGCGAAGAAACATCATTCCTCGTCGTTGTTGCCCAGGACGAGTCGGGGGCCCTACGATTTGGGGAAGATGACTTCTACCCCCGGCCAGTTTTTGTCCGTGAAGGAGAACAAGAACTACAGCAGGGGTCAGAGGATGTCGACTACCACTTTGCTGTCGACAAGCGACTCTTCATTTCCGGGTACGAAGGCGAGCGACGAGAGCACGGAAGCGGTCGTCCGTGCCGTTTTTGCTACCGGAGGCGCTAGCTGTGCTATCTCCAAAGCTAAAAACGATTCTGAAAAATACCCGGCATGTGTAGAAGAGTTGGAGAGTGCAATAAAGTCGGAGTTGGCTGAACAACCGGGCATTGACACGCCTGGGATGGGGGCTAAGATCAAAGATCTTGTCGATGCTCGTATTACTCAATGTGAGTACTCTTGCGACCCCAACGCGAAATTTGGCGACGAAGACAATCCCAATATGGAAGAAGTCAACGCGTACGTGCTAGCGGTGAACGACGTGGCTCTGCTCCTGGACGAGGCTAAAGCGGCTTCGACTACGGTGGCCCCAACTCCCCCAGCGACGCTGGCCTTGTTTTATCCCAGGGACGAAAAGAAGTTCCCCACGTCCACCCAGGGTTTACTTACAGAGGTCATGCAACGATCAAAGTCATCGTGTCCTTGTTGCAAGTGCAACCTGGAGGCACTGCTGCATTCCATTGGTTCAACGCGAAAACTGTAGGCTCTCATGGCAGTGAGACGAGGAACTCGGTTTTGCTTTTGCGGATTTTCGCTTCTTATTACTTGTGTCGTGTATTATTAAAGTACAACTAACTTCTACAACAACAACAGGAAAGCCGCTGCAGAGAAACATTATGAATACAACTCTTGCGACTGACCGAGTAATTAATAGGGAGGCTATAATTCGAATAGGATTATTCTTGGCGACTCCATTTGTCGCGGCTGATTGCAATCGCGGCTCCTTTCGCGGCTTTGTAATAAAGTCGCAGAGGTGAAGTGATTTAGATTCAATCGAAAAGAAAATATAATATGCGCTTGTGCTTGCTCGGAGTCGGTGTCGGAGTCCTCTGGGTGGACCATTTTTGTTCTTTTCCATAGCGCTGCCGAGATGACAGCGGCGGATCTGCTCAAGATGAAAGACGCAGAAGCCTCGGTGTTGACAACCGAAGTAACTGAAGCTTTGAACGCTATTGTGGGCCAAAACTACGGTGGTGTAAACGATGACCAGGTTGAAATCACCGAGACGATTGTGACTGCTGTTGACACGGATGTTATTGTTGCTGCAGTGAAGAAAGCGGAATCAACTGCAGAGTCCATTCAAAAGGCGATCACGGACGCCGTCACGAAGGCCATTGCGGAAGATGCCGCCGGTACTAGTACTCCTGCTGCTGCTGGCACTTTCCAAGCGACTGCGACGGAGGAGAGCACGAAGGCGGTACAAGCTGCCGTGGACAGTCTCGGAGGTGGCGCTAGTACACCTTCTGCGGACCACATCGTGGACTTGATCAAGACGGCTCTGACCAGCGGGGGCGCGGGTACTATCGGCAATGACGCGTTGACCGCTGCGGCCGATGAGCTCCAGGCTCTGGCAGCTCTTGTTGCCGCCGAAATCACCTCGGGCGATAAATACGCGAAGGCGGTCGATGACTTGGCGAAGCGCGTGGACGAGGCGAAAAAAGAAGCGGCGGAAGCTCGTATCCTCAGTAGAAACGTGCGCTCCATTCGATATGTGTCATGTACTTAGGTTTGCATGTCATTGTCGTGCCCGGATGTCTCTCATGCGCAGTGGTCCCGTGAGGTAGAGTATCATGCTCTATTTTTAGCAGGATGAGATAAGGGCCAAGAACACCACTAGGGCGCAGCTTTTATAACGAGCCAAGCCCGAACGGCGCGTTCCGCCGCGTCGAAAATCTTGAGGTGCTTCTGGATTATTTAGCACCAGGTCGTTTCCAAACATCTTGACTGTGGGGTCGGGACGTAGTTTTTACACTGGATACTAGCGGTGCTGGGGGGTGGCGCCGCGCAAAACGACGCGAACGTGACCACCACAAGCCCGTCCGCACCCTCCGCCACAGATGGTTCTTGCTAGGCGGGACAACAAAACAAGAAGTAGAACCGAGTAGAAGAATGCGGAAAATAAAGGAAGTAGAAAACGCCGGAGGTGCGTGTTCGTTGAATTTCCGCAAAATTCAAAAGTACCCGATAAACATCCCGTTTTGTTCTAGAAGAAGTACTGCTGCAGGGCGTCCCAAAAATTTTTAGCATTGTAGGTAGCATTTCCATGATTTTCTGTCATTTGTTCCCAATTTGTGTTTTAGCATTGTAGGTAGCGTAGTCTTCCTGGCTGCTCATCAAGATTTCAATCTCATCTGTTTCGTACTTACTACATAGCACTCATCAGAAGACCTACTGTCACTCCAGGAGTCCGTTCTCATCTCAGGTTGTGCAATCGACATATAGAAAAGATATCACGAAATAAACGCGGCATCTGTGATTTAACCTCGGCATGATCTGTGAGTGCGGCATCCGTGCCGGACGTCCCCCTTGTGATAGTACCATACTAACATTTTATCAAGATTTTAATTCCTGGCTTGCATTATCTTCATGTTATGATTTTGTTTTTGACTTCTCTTCCATTTTCGGCATACTATACTCATACTCCTATCGAATTCGAATGCATTGAGTATTCCCCCCCGCCTTGTTCGTCCTCGTGACCCTTGTTTCCTCTTTGCCTGTGGCTCCTTCCTGACTCTGGATGGATCATGTCGTGTGTAGTTGTTCAGAAAGTCATTCTTGTTCACCTCTCGTTCGATGGAAGCAAGTACGACAAGCACTAGATTGTTTTACTTATTCACCCGCTACATCCTCGTCAGTCTCTGTCTCAGTCATCGTACGGCCACATTTCTACTGCAAGCAGCTTTTCGTTCGCCCTCTATCTCGCTTCTTGCGTTTTTTCGTTCAAGATCGTCGTCGTGGACAAAGCTTCGTGCATCCATCTCAAGACTATTTTAGAGCGTTGTTTCTTTTTGCGTTTGTACTTATAGCCATGCATACTGCAGAAAGGCGCTGTTGCTCCTTTACTTACGCCCTTGCATATTAATGTCGTACTTAATGCTTGTTCGAGAATGAACAAACTAAAATTATCATTATGAAGAAGGGCAAGGAGTTGGTGTGGGCGATTTTTACTTGTCTTGTCCTCGTCCCATAAAGATGTAAAGTCAAATAGTCTATATTTTTCTCCTGTTATTTGAAGGTGTTACATACGCGACCGGGTTGTGTTTTGTTAGGGTTGGTAGATCGTCTTCACGATTTGTCATCTTCTCATTTTTCAGCATCCCATTCTGAGAAAATATTAGAAATTAACTGTATCCAATAGCGATCTGCGCGTCAGTGTCCGTGTATATATCGTAGCGGTACCTAACATTTTCTCTAGCTAGAAACAGCTTTCCCTTTCGAGCACCAAACTCGAAAAAATTCTACACATCAGTACATTGTACCAGGACGAACATAACAAGTCGCTAGTGAAGATCCTCGTCAGGGACAACAATCAGAACCACGGGCAATCATGATGTTTCTGATGCGCGGCACTCGTGTCACCTCGATGATGAACAAACGCCGCCCTCTCCTCGCAGCCGGCCTCGCGGTCGTGGCAGAGGTGAGTCAACACCAGGGGCGCCAGCACCTCCTCCAGGGCGTTTCCGCGGTCGCCTTTTATGCATTGCAAATATGTAGTCTGGGTCTGGATCTGGAAGGATCCAGTCATGCTTGTCTGGCATGACTGGAGAGTTTGTGTTGCGTGTCCAAGAAGAGACCCTGTTGCCTGTCATGCAAAACGCAGTTTGTCATGCGGAAAGCGCAACACTAAGCAGCGCGAATATTTCTCATGCTTGGCAGCTGTGCATTACAGAGAATTCACTACTCACAACTGAGCATTACAAGTTTCCAGACCTCCCAGACTGACATATTTGCATTTGATATCTTTTACTCCTCTATCAAGTCCTCGTCGAAATCGAAATTAAGTGTGAAGAAGAGCAGAAAGGCTGTGGCGACTGCTCCACCTCACTCGCTGCTGCAAAATTACAACGCGAAAAACAAACTATCTTCGACGTTGCAGAGGACGAAAATTGTAAACCAGGAGAAAAGCAACGCCCAGTTTCTGTTTGTGAAGGAGAGCAGCCAGAAGAACAAGAAAAAGCACACGGCGGCCCTGGGAAGTGGGCTTGCGAGAAGTACCATTGCTCGCGAGAACTCAACCACGGCCGACGCCGTCACACTGTCGTGGGAAGACGTCCGCTCCGCCGCCGACGATGCTGCGGTCGAGACGCTGGTCAACCAGGCATTCGCGGATGCTATTGCCGCAAACCTCACGACGCAGGACGCCGTCACCGCGAAAATTCCTGCTATCGTCGACGCCAAAAATGCCCTCGCCGGCGCGGCGGCGGATGGAGGTTCCGACGACATTGCGGGGCTCGAATCGGCTCTGCAAGCAGCGATCAAAGCGGCGACGGATTTGGTGTCTACTAGTAGTACCATATGCATTGCAAATATGTTGTCTGGGTCTGGAAGGTTCTAAACTTGTTATGCATGTTTTCCATGACTGACCCATGGCCATGAGGTCTGGAATGCGGGACCTAGCATGACAGACTCTGCGAGGTCGTTGTCATGCCTATCCTGCATGAGAAACTCCTCGTTCCTAACTCGGTCGAAAGTGGACAGCTTTTGGCACTCATGCAACACGGATTTTTGCATGATTCGGATTTGGCATGACAAGTTGCAAGAATCTTCTAGACCCAGACATTTTTGCGATCCATATACCACCAGCTCCACGTCCCCTCCGGGCTCGGGCACATTGACATGGGACCCCCAGATCACTGCCGCCGAGATCCAGGCGGTGGTTGACGCTGTCGATCCGGCCCTGACCGGGGACCAGAAACAGGCGGCGATCAAGGCCGCAGTGTCCGATCTCCTTCGCAGCGTCATGCCTATCAAATGCAAATATGTCTGGGTCTGGAAATAACTTGTGATGCAAGTCAGTGAACAATAAGCAAACTGCAATGTGCAGCAAAGCATGACAAGTTTTTTCGTGCTTCTGTGCTGCGCGTTCCGCATGGGAAACTGCGTTTCTGCATGACAGAAATGAGAGGCGAGAGAGGCTGTTCTTGCCCCCGCAATACAGAGTACAGAGTCATGCCAGACTAGCATGACAAATCTTGCAATCTTCCAGACCGCCAAACATATTTGCAGTGGATAATAACGCAGTTGGTCGCTGACAAAGCGGCACAGCAGGTCGCGGACGCAGCCTGCGCAGACCCCTTCGTGCAGGCCGATCTCATATCAAATGCAAATATGTGTGGGTCTCCTGGGAGATTGCGAGATTTGTCACGCTAGTCTGACATGACTCCGACCTCTGTATTGCGTGGCCGCGAAGAGCCCCTCTCGCCTGGGATGCAAAAACGCAGTTTCTCTTTCATTTCTCATGCGGGGTACTTAAGCAACTCAGAACCACACAAAAACTTGCCATGCTTGGCTTTGGCAGAGCATCTCCGTGTGCTCACTATTCCCTTCTATGCATGATCACAAGTTCTTTCCAGACCCAGACATATTTGCAATCCATATCTCACCGCCGCCATTGCAGCCGCCGCGGGCATGACGGTGGTGGGTATCCCGGAAGGTGCGGAGGAGGCGCTATCCGGAGGAAAAACGTCCCCACAACAGAGTCAAGATCTTCATGGGGACTTTGCAACACAAACCTAGAAGTTTTGGGAGTCACGCGTGACAAGTTGCAGTTCGTAGTGTAGTGGTACAGGTTGGCAAGGACAGTGCCGCATTACAAATCCATCTCCTGCTTATCCTGTTTACAGCATTACAAATTTTATTTCTAAAACGTGATTGGCAATGCCTAGCATGGGGATGTTGTGCGTCAGAAATGTTCCCGCCATTGCGAATCTGCATGAGAACTCTGGGAGCAGGGGTGGGGGCGTTTTTCCTTAGGATATGCGCTCGCGGATGTTCAGTCCGTCGTTGTTTCGGTCCTGAACAATGCCACACTCACGGCGGAAGAGAAGCGCGCGGAGCTGACGAAGCATATGACAATGCACAACTCCCCCTCCCCCTCATTTGTATAGCATGAACGGCAATACAAGCTAGCTGCATCCGCAAGAATATCGGTTTTGCATGACAAATTTGCACTGAATTGTAGTGCTCTATGGGCTTCCAGGATGTGTCATGCAAACAGTGCTAGAAGGCAGCAGCTGGATTTCGGATTTTGCATTACAAATGAGGGGGAGGGGGAGTTGTCCACTTTCATAAAGCAGTTGACGGACCTCATGACTCGTTTCGGGGTGATATCAAATGCAAAAGCGTCTGGGTCTGGAAGAATGCAACTTGTGATGCTGTATTAGGATGTCTGAAAAATTTGTGTTGCATGAGCAGCAGAAGGCTTCTAATGTTTGCTGCGCGGAGAGGGCATTCGCATTTGTCATGCGGAATAGGCATCAAGAATCCCTCAAAAAACCTGTGATGCTAGGGCACGCATCACAGACATCATGGCTCCTGCAAACCGTGCATGACAAGGCTCAGAATTTGCCAGACCCAGACACTTTTGCACTTGATAGGTGAAAGACGACAATCCTCTCCTGCATCAGGGGCTTGAGGACTTCGTCTGGTGTGCGGCACCAGATGACCCGGCGACTGTGGACGGAGAAACGGTGGAGACTCAGATGAAAAACATTGCTATTGAGCTGGCGAGGATTTTTATGACACTGCACAACTCCCCCTCGTTCTCATTTCTCAGGCAAAGTCCACAATTCCAGTTGTTCCCTTGCGTCACTATTATGCATGACAAATTCCGGAAGCCCAAACAGTACTACACTAGGCACCCAAATTTGTCATGCATAGGCTCCGCGTGTGGTGGTGTTTGTACTATAATTTTTGCTGTCCAACATGCTATACAAATGAGGGGGAGGGAGAGTTGTGCACTATTATAATTTTGAAGGAGCAGACGCAGGGGGAAACGACCAGACCCCCGCTACCACCGGGAGTGAGCCCCGGAGTGAGCCCTGTAACTGACACTGGCTGCTTAGGCACGGGAGGCATGGTATCCTGAGCAAAAACGTCCCCACCCCATAGTACTTAAGTTGGACGAAAATCTGCTAGACAAATCAACCGGCTTTCGCTGTTGCGCATGACAAGAACAAGTTCGGCCTCGGTGTAGTACGTGTAATTCTGTTTTTTAGCTAGTTCATCAGCATGATCACAGATCGAGCGCATTAATTTATTATCATACTGCTGCGAGCATCACAAATTACAAAATACCACCAAAAAATGCTTCCCATACGGCTTCTCCGCAGGAGAAACATTTATAAGCATGTTGCAGATTTGCATGACAGCGCTGGAGTGGGGACGTTTTTACTCACGAGACATCGTGGAGTTGCTTCTTCTCGGCGGCGTGCCCGTGCTGCTGTTACTCTGCGTCGCTGGCATCATCCTCTGCTACTGCTGCGGCGTCTTGTGTATGAACTGCAAAAGTATCGTACTCGTATAAATTGCATTACAAATCTTGGTAAGAAGAGAAATGGAATTTGTAATGCTGTTTTACCTTAGGAGGAAGATTTGTCATGCGTATTTGCAATTAGTACGAGTGCGATACTTTTGCACAGCATATTGTGTTTCAAGAAGAATGACTCCACTACTTCTGCCGGTCGCGGTCGCGCCGCCGCCCCGGGCACAACCACCGCGGCCCGAAAATCCGCCGGGCAGCAGGTGGCTGCTCCACTGGCGGGCGCTGGCGCCGCCGTCCGGCAGTCCGCGGCCCAGGCCGCTGATGCGCAGGCAGCCGGTGCGCCGCCGGACGCGCTTGCGGCGGCTCGCCAGTCCACCGGCGGCCAGGCTGCGGCGGTGGGCCAGGTGGCGCCGGGTGCTGCGGCTGATGTTGCACGGCAGTCCGCGGGACAGGCTGCGGCGCCGGAAATGGGCGGAGATGCTGCTGCTGCGGTGGCGCCTCAGCCGGCGGGTGGGGGTGAAGAAATTACGCCGGCGCCGACCTCGGAGGAAGAAGGTTAAGAATGCGGAGTTTGTTGTGGCGGAAACGGTTCTCATGTTGGCGTACCAGCGTCGTAGTTCTTCGGCTTCTCGACGAGGACGATGCAACGCCGTTCAACAGCAGGGAAAAGCTCGCTTAAAGAAGAGCTGCGCTTCTTGCTTCGCGCACTTCTAAAAAGCTGAAGAGGAGGTCTTTCTCAGTAAGTACTCGATTCACAAATTTGTTAAGTTGCCTTTTTTTACCTAATAGAAATACTAACTTGCGTACATTTTTTCCGTTGGTATTGGTTTTGCTTTCGAATGTTTTCAAATCACATCAAAATCACTTGTCAAATACTTCAAACACTTGCATTCGTAATTCAGTTATTTTCAAGAAAATGAGTAAGCTTTTTTTGCTTTGTAGCACTGCCCGCGATTTAATTTTATTATTTTCACGTATACAACATAAACATTCCAAGATCAAGAACACTCTTATTCCACTTTCGGTATCCCCGAAAGAACGACACTAAAGCTACTTTTTGGCAGCGGTCAAAGGGCGGACCTTCGAAGAGGATGAGAAGCTCTTTGTTTGCTTGCTCTCTCTTGCATCTCTTTGATGCAGCAACGTAAAACATAGAAAAAAATTTTATCTCTTTCTCTTCGGCCAAAAGAAAACTAAAACAAGATTTAGAAATATTAAACCGGTGAAGAAAAGCCGCGGATAGCGCCCTTGCATCGATATCTTCGGTCGCAGCTTGCCATTCCACTGTTTGTCCCATGTATCGGCGTGCAGTAGCAGCAAGAAAAACCACAAAGAAGTAAACCGAAAGAACAAGAAGCAAAATGGTATCCCCATGAGCTGCTATGCCTTCTTTCACAGCCGCCTCGAATAACTTAACGTCTATAGTAGATGCATAGCATGCATGGATGTAAGATGAGAATGGCTGGCGGCACAAGAAGGCGCACGGAGCTGGAAAAGGAAATCAGGCAATGGAGCGTACAAAGGCCAAGGGAAATATCATGCATCAAGCGCTAGCTCTAGCTCAACCTCTAGCACCCTTCCCCTCACCAGAAAGAGAAATCAACCCGTTCCCCCTCAGTACTACAAACGCACTCAGCTTTGCTTTGAGAAAAAACAACTGCGCAACTTGTTGCCCTTCATCTGAATGAACATTCGAAGGTCCTCGGGCAGGCTTCATGTCATTTGCGTGTTCTAACTTCGTAGCATAGTGTAAATCTGCCACTTTAACAAGGGATGGAGGGTAGTACGGTATTTCGAGGTGAACTAGCATCATCTGAATAGCAAGAATACTGGCCTAGCCTGTACTAGCTCGCTCCTGTGGACGATGTCTCACGATGTTGCCAAGAAGCAGTTCTCGGTTAATATGCTACCACCCTCGTCACTTGATGATGGTCCTCCAACTCTCGATGTTTCTACGTGTTTTTCTCACCGCAGGAGTGCTCTTCTCCGGAAAACATTTTGCTGCTGCCGTACGCTTTGGGGCGGGACCGGGAGCGGGTCGTCTTTCCCCCAGTAGAGCGTTGTTGGAACAACAACGTGCGGGAGACGACGAAGATAATCAACAACCGGTTTTATTTGACGATGAAACGGTGCTGACCAAGGCGGTCCCTGTAGACCCGGCCGATAATGAAGAAAGCACAGCTGCTGGAAGTTTGTGTACCCCCAGGGAGGTCATCTCGTCTCTTTGCACCACCAATAGACGACCTGTACACGACTCTGATGGGTATCTGCGTCCAACATCGTCAGCGGCCTCTTCATCATCCTGCACGAAGAAAGACGCTTTACTTGTTCCAGACGAAGATACTTCTTCATCAACCTGCTGCACAACTCCTAAAAAGAACAAAAGTCTTCTTCTACTTGCGCACAAAGAAAGAGAAAGTAGAGAAAGTGATCTGCGACAGAGGATAAACTTTGCAAAGACCGACCTTGACCGGAAAAAGTCCGCCGTGTTTCACCGGAAACTGGGACTTTTCCGTCGAAAAACACTCCACGTGTTGAAATTCTACGCTCCCGCCGTTTTGGCTTTTCTTGCCGGGGTTTATTATGATTGCGGTTACAACTTCTACACGGGACGAAATTTTTGGGAAGCGGGTCAGGCTTCGGCTGTTTCTACCACGACGTCGGGTGCGGGAGCTGCTACGGGAAATAAAGCGGGACAAGAAGCTGCATTTCATGAATTGGATGCTGCGCTCCTCGTCGCAGCTGCGGAGCTCTATTGCAGGCACAGCCTCGTCGTCAGATCCATCAACGACCACTGGGGCGTGGGCGCCTCAGGACGAAGTCGACGCGGGGAATCCTAGTAGGGCTAGTAGTACTGGTACAACTACCCGTGCTGGTGGTACAACTTCTAGACGAGATGCACCAAGCGGCTCTGGAAGAAGTACTAGCGCCGGAGCTGCTACATTGGGGTCGTCCGCCTCCTCGACAGCAGAAGATCTGATTTTTCTCCCGTCTTTCGTCGAGCAGGGTGAAATTCGAGTGTTCCGATCCTTGTTCGCTGACTTTCTGGAAAACAAAACCTCCTCTAGTCTCTCTGCCGCCTTGCACGAGCAAATGCTGGCGGAACAAGCGAGAGTCCGAAATGAAGACCCGGTCCAGCGTATGAAGAGAGTGCGCAACTCCCCCTCCCCCTCATTTGTAATGAAAAAGGCAAAACTTCCCAAGTGCTTCCCTGTGGCACTGTATGCATGAGAGATTCCGGAAGTCCAAACAGTAGTACACTAGGCGCATGAACTTGATGTCATGCACAGGCTCTACGTGTGCTGGTGTTTGTATTGCTGTTCATGCAGTACAAATGAGGGGGAGGGGGAGTTGTGCACTGTCATACAGAGGTTCGCTCAGCAATACGTGTGCGCGACCTGTATGGACTCCCCACTGCAATTGCCGCAGGAGGTTCAGCAAATGTCGGGCGCTGCTGGAGACACGAGGAACTCCGGTGCTGCTTACGAGACGAAAAGGCTAGCGGTGTTGCCTTGTGGGCACACCTTCTGTGAGGGTTGCATCACACAGTGGACGCACAATCGCCCCGATTGCCCCTCCTGTCGCCGTAGCGTTCCCCGTATGAGATCAATGCACAGCCCCCATTTGATGTTGTTCCCCGCTTTATGTAAATATATTAGTTTGGATTTGGTTTTGGAAGAAAAGCAACCGCAAGAATTTTTGCAGCTCCTGCATGCCAAATTAAGTATATGCGCGCGGCCTGTAGTAAGGAAGAGGATAGACATAGATACAAGTGTTTGGTTTTTCCTGTTGATGAGAGGCTGCACTAGTATCTGCAGTTGCGTTTTTGCATGACGACAAAGGTGGGACCCCCGGACATGGGGAGTTGTGCGCTCGGATACCCCGTGCCCTTCATACCCGGCGCCACGGTGCCAGCACGTTTCACTTTCGTCCGCGCGACCTCTACAATGAGAGCTGTGTTCCACGTTACGAGGCACCAAGAGGTCAAGGGCAACAAGCAGGCCTTGGTCGTGTTGTACCCTTGACGTTCAATATCTACACGCGCGACACGGAAGTTATGGTTTTCTCAACTGTTGCATTCTCAACTGGTCGCGTTACATGGATTTGTCGTGCAAAACTGTTTTACCTTAGGCCGCCAGACGATCAAGCTGCTTCGCATGACAAACCATCTCCGAAGGGCTATACAGCATGGACATCTGTAACAAATCCCTGATGCGAAAGCAGCAAGCTTGCCTCTACTTTGATTCTTGTGGTTCTTTCATTACAAATTCATGCAACAGTGTCCGGAATAATGTAACGTTTGAGAACGGGATAGAATTAGGAGATGATCCTCGTCCCAGGGGGTACGTGGAATTGGTGCAGCCAAACGCGGATCCAAGTGGCGAGTACGCATTGCAAATATGTCTAGGTCAGGAAAGCTGGAAGTTGTGATGCTGGTTTTGGATTCCAAAAAATGCTGTCTTGCCTGAGCAGCTTTTTGTTACGCGAACAGGGCATTTGTCATCCTCATCCGGCGGGATAGGCATCAAGAAGCACTCAGAGAGTCTGTGACGCTAGGGAAAAATGCATCACAGACGTCATGGGTCATGTAAAATCTGCATGACAAGTTGCACCCTTCCACCAGACCCAGATCGATATTTGCAATGCATAGCGCCACAGGTGGAAGGATTCCATTTACACCGAAAGTTGAAATTATCGAAGAGGGAGCCGCTTCGTCAGCGGACCAGGCCAGTCGTGGACCTGCGGTTGTGCAGCACACTGGTATCTTAAAAAAAAAAATCTCCCCTCCCCATATCGAAAAGGCATCCTTTTGAAAATTTGTGATGCTGATTTGAGGTCACAAACCAGGTCTGTCGTGCAAGAAAGCAAAGCCAGGGCTTCCGCCGCTTTACGCGGGCGATTTGTAATGCTGTTGCGCCAACAGGGCAGACGGCTACCATGCTCAGCGCCCACTTCTAGCCAGCCCTTTCCAGGTTTTGCATCTGCCTGCAGTCAGGCCCGACCCCGGGAGCCACAGGCTGGCTGCCTATTCATTTGGGGGGGCGCCCCGCCCAGGGGCGCAGAAACAGGTCCGCGCGGCCTGATTCGGGAGTGCGAAGCGAACTAACAGCCCCCAGGAACGAAATTTTTGGGAAGCGGGTCAGGCTTCGGCTGTTTCTACCACGACGTCGGGTGCGGGAGCTGCTACGGGAAAAGCGAGGCAAGAAACCGCAATTACAAATGCCTGCAATTCATCGTGCGCTGTCGCACCTACTAATTCTTGTACCGCCAGCACACCAGTGAAACAAAGCCTCGCAGCACCAGTAGATCGGATCCGAGCTTCTTCTACTTCGCGAGCTTTGTTGAAAGAGAAAGCAACGTTGTCTCCTTCGATTTCTGTTAGCGCAGGAGCCTCAGAGAAGTCGGGGACGAGCAAGGCGACGAGTTGTCATTTATTCTCTGCGCCCGCGGCGGCACAACAGCGAGATACTAAGAACGGCTCATCTTCAAAAATCTGGCGGAAATTCTTTGTACCACTCCCCGTGGCGTCATCTGCAACTACACCAGGACCATTATCAGCTTGTGCCACGACTCCTGTTTCGACCACGACGACGACGACAAACCACGTATGCAAGAAAAAAGCTGTGTAAGTCTAACTCTGTACCTGTAGGAAGAGCAGCATAGCAAATTCGTTTTGCATTACAGGGAAAACCTGTCATGCGCAGCTAGCACATGGAAACACGTAAGGTCTGAGGTTGTGACGCACACCCAGCATGACAAGCGTGAGGACAGTCTTGCATCATCCGCAACACAAACTTACAGTTACACAGTTTTTTTCTTGCATACCACGGAGGACAACTCGTTGACTACCTCATTGACATGCGGTGGTGGTCCATGAAGATGACCCCCACCGCGGAGGACCTTGTCTTCTGGGCGTTTCTGCAACTCCTCCTCTCCACCGGAAGCTTCGTGTGCAACCGACTCCCGGGCACCACGGCCGGGCTGCTGGTTGCGGGGAGTCTGTTCGGCCAATGTGATAGGGCAAGGGAAAGGGAAGAGGTTTTGTTGGAGCGTATGCAGGATGAACTGAAGTGCTTGGTTGATGAGGTGGCGGAAAAGGATGAGGATTTGAAACAAGCGGTCGCGGAATTGCGGGAGATGTTGCTGTGGGCCGGCGACATTAAAGGGGGAGAAATAAACTGCTGTCCCGGAGGAGAAAAGTTCAGTGACCTCCAGGAGTTGCTGGACGCAGGTCGTAGTGGTTGTACTTCTAGCAGTGGCTGGACAACATCGACTCGTGTGGTTGACCGGCAGTGCGTGAGAAAAATCGTCAAAGACGCTGCTGCGAAAATTTGGAATGCAATATCAGGCGGTGGACGAAGCAGGTGTATAGTAGAAGAGAAATCCTCGTCTTCTGCCTGCTGAAAAGAAGTAAAACCAGAACAATGATAAAGCAATCCCGCTCGTTCTTCGGCGCCATATAGTTAAGTGACATCGAAAGAAGTATATAAATATCCTTTTTCGCGCTACGGTTTTCAACATATTTTCACCCCTGGCCGATTTTGAACGACGAGGCCTCGAAGTGCTCGAAGTCGAGTACATCTGAGAATTTAGATTTTTTCGCTTTGATCCAGCGTTCTCGTAAGATGACGTCGACGTCGTCACTTTTCTTGTGCAAAATAATGAACCACAACCATGCTTGCTTGATGATTATTTCTTTGATTTGCATTTTCGTCCCGTGCGCCCAAACCCAAAGTTTCATACGTGCACTTATTTGGAATCAAGGAGTTGTCCTTGTCGTTTGCCAACCGTTCTTCTGCAAAATGAATCAAGAATGTCTAATCTAGAAAAGAAACTAGCATGAGAAGCAAATAAAAAAAGACCGGCAGAAGCATTCTTCTATGGCACCACTGCTGGTGCTGCCTGCTGTTGCGAGAAACCCTACGTATTTACTCCAATTATTATACGCAGCATTTCTGCAACTCGTTGATGAAATTGTTCGTAGAAGAAAATCGCTCATCGAAGTCGTCTCGTGACATGCAGCATGTCTCGTCGTCACGTCGTTTTGAGTAGCATGATATGCGAGTAAAAATAATCGTCATTCTCATTTCGTCCAGATTCGTGCCTCGTGGGTCCTCGTACAAATAGATCATTACTCTAGATGAAGTTCTAAAATCGTCTCTACTCACGCCATAAGACAACTCCTCTCGAAACAAGAGGAAAAGCTAGACTCCAAAAAATCTGAATTTCGTTTCAAAAATCGCAGGAAGTTTTGTTTTTTCCACGGGGAAAGAAATAATCATACCCAAAACCACAATTACCTGTGCCTCGGTGTACTGCGTAGTGGTCGGAAGAAAGTCCAAAACTAGAAGCACACTTCTCTGTCGCAAATAAGAAAGCTTGTTGCTTTTTTGCTGCTTTCTCAACAAGTAATCTCCACCAGTTAGTTCGGTGTAGAGCCCAGCACAAAACAACCCAAAACCATGAAAACGTTTGCGAAAATCGGAGCGGCGACCACCTTCACTCCCCTGGCTGGGGGGGGGGTCGTGTTTGCGGCGATGCAGGAGAAGAAATCCGCCGCGACCACCCACGAGTGGGCGGGCAGCGAGACCTCGCCGCAAGGTTTTGTCGAAGTCGACCCTCGTGTGCGCGCTGAAGTTGACCGTCGTGCCCGCGTGGATTCCAAGAAGAAGGAGAAGATACGTTGGGTAAAATCATACCTCGTCGGCTTCTGTGGTAAGAGCATGGCGTTTCTTGCGAAATGAAAATGGTGTGTGAACGCGCTCATGTTTCTACATGTAGTCAGTGCCTGATATTCTGCTGCGCGGATCACAAAATCCAAACCGCTTTCCCTATGCAGTTTTTCCGACTGATATTGATTCCGATTGCCTTGCTTCTTCATATCATGAATTGTAGAGCCATGGTGATCGTCGAGCTCGCGTTCACTTTCAAGATTTGTCAACGCGGCCTCAGTCTCTGCGAGGAAGTCAATGCGTCGCAATGGTGATGCACCGGCGTCACTTCCGCAAAGTAATAGATACATAAGGTGCCATTTATTCTTGCAAGCGCGCGAGGGTGATTTTTTTTCGTGATGCGTAGAAAACAGTCACGGGAAGAAAGTCGAAAACACGAAGGAGCCTGCTGGTCGTGCTGAGCCGAGAGAGCTACTGGGCCCATTGCACATGCACTCAGGCATGTTCGACGGAAAAAAAGAAGCCGCTGCGAAGGCGCAAGCCGCTGCGAAGGCGGATGCTGATGAACAAAACAACGAAAACCGCAACAAAAACGACCCACACGGTTTGGTCACGATGCTCCCACAAGGACAAGAGGGCGACCAGAAATAAGTCGTCCGCTACGGGCGATTGCATCCCATGGACGGCGATTTTTCTTTAGATTCAGTAAAATGTAAATATCTATATCTGCAGATTTTGACAGACACACAGATGTGTAGCAAGATTTTCAACAAACAAACTAACAAACAAACAAGTAAATCGCATATAACTCTACATCTGCTTACAACCACAACATCGGCCGCGCTCCAGGATTGGAGTAGGCATTTTGTTCGAACACGTCTCATCACAAGAACTTTCATTAATTTGCACGCGTCAACAAACTCTACTTTTTATACTTTTCAGCAGCTAGACCGACTTATTGCACTTCCACGTATACCTGTTTCTGTGTCTCGCGTGGTTTCTGTATTGGACAACTCTGTATCAATTATAGTTTTCACTTTTTTTTGAACATACTTACTACTATTTACGTACTCGTCGCATCTTCTACGCCTACCCACTTTTTGTTTCTCATCGTTTTCCCCTATTTTGCCGATCGAAGCGAAGCTTTCACATTTTCCGAAAGTTTGTTGACATTCCTTGAGATAACGTGGATCGATGCAGATTTACATTCTGATCTTTCCCATGTATTTCCATATACGACCACAGTGTTAGAATCTCAGCCACTCACTCATTGAGCGTCTTTGTCGATCATCCTGGAACAACCCATATAGTTCAAGCACAACTAGAAATGAAAAGCAATGGTCAACATAAGAGCATCGTAGCCCGATCGATTCTGCTTCCCGTGAGATGGCTTTAATTTCAGGTCTGCATTTTCCTCCCAGAATAAAGAAAGATGAGCAGGGAGTTGCTAGGCGAAACGCTTTTGTGATAGCAAAATCGCAGGAGGCGCAGATACTAAGCGCGACGACTTGCTCAAGCTCACTTCTACACAAAACTTGATAGAGAGTAAGCGAATAAGAAAGCGAACAGTAATTTTCACATAGTACAGCTAGTAAAATAATCTTGCTCAGGCTCACTTCTACGCAAAACGGATGCTCAGGCTCACTTCCCTCTGGGACTCATTTTACTTTTCAGTATAAAACAAAAACTGCTTTCACGAGAACAACCGGCTGGCACCTCGCGGAGCCGAAAAAAGGAAAACGGCCACGCTTGGAAATACATCCTCGAGGACAACGAACTTGAAACTCATTCGCTTTTAGACTGTACAAGAACAATTTTGTTGGGATACACAACGACACAAAAACAAAGACATAAAGAAACCACGGACGGATGTTGACTCCGAATCCGATGACTCAGATCATCAGGATTGTGTCCGTTCTACTTCGGCACACGAATGGTGTGGTCTTCGTTCCCGAATTTTTCCGGAAGCAAAAGTACAAGTATCTAATATCCCGGTCGTGGTCGCAGTACAAGCACTTGCACGTACGTGCTGCTGCGTCTCGACGCGCAGCTCGTCATCAGGAAGAAGATGATGACCAACATCCTCACTTTCTTGTGCATCCGATTTCTACGGAAGTGATGATCTTCCATGACACTACATCAGAAACAAGAAGATCCTTCTATTTTTTTATTTTTACACTGACCGAGGCAGAGTCGATGATCATCTCGATCTCAGATTTCTAGTAATTTCGATGAGTCAGTCACGACGACGATCTTCATCAAGGACAGCAGTCAGCGGTCTCAACAGCAAAAGATCTTCCTAGAGTGTCCGTAGTTCTTGTACATCTTAGCTTTTAGCGAACAACTACGCAGATCGTGGATCCCTACTGCGCTTGTTCGTGCGCAGCTGAAGCTCGCCTCGTCACTACCGCAGCAGCTGTTTTCGGTTCAGCTCTGCTCCACAAGGTTTTCCTGTCCGTCAGCACGAGGACAATGTTCACAGCACCGCCCGTGGTCTCCGCGTCCATGATGCAGCCGCCGAAGACTTCCGCTTTGGACCTCCCGGCGCAGCTCAGACGAGAGATCTCACGGACACCACGGCCTAAGGATACTGTCGTTAGTGGTCAGTACAGCGGGTCAACAAGATGACAAAAGATCGGGACTCTTCTATTGGATCAGTCTGTAGATGCAATGGAGACTGCTGAGCATGATCCGACCGTCGAAGTAGAGAGTCTGAAAAGATCCTTCTGCTCTGGATCAGACTTTTTTGCACAGGTTCCTGCTCATAACACAAGCAAGGAGCGCAAGTACTTAATTGATCCAGCATCACGCATCTTTTCCAAGGTTGGCTTGAGTAAAGTTACTACGACAGTTTTGATTTTTACCTCCGCCTAAAGAAGCGAGCACACAATTGATTTTCACTCGCTCGCCTAAAGAAGCGAGCACACAATTGATTTTTACCTCCGATTTGTCGGAAAAAACAACTTTCGAAAGCTCAAACACAAAACTCAGGACGGCAAAAATATAACCATCCGTTTATTTATACAGCTTGTAGTATTTTCTGATCAACATCGTACGGTACTGCATAATTTTAATTTTTAGGATAGCTACTTTACACCTAAGAAAAGGTACACTCCATGATATTATCTCTACAATTGCGATCGACACAAATAAGAAACTGAAACGAACGAACAAAACACAAAAAGTTTTGTGCGCTTTGAACACCATCAACATTTAATCTTGTCGCGTTTTGATCAAAGCGAACTAACTGTAAAAACCATTTGTAAAATCCACACAACCATGCGGAAGTCCAACCGTTGCTCGTCCGCGCCGTTGCTCGGGCGCCAGCACCAGCGTAGAAGTTCCAATACTTCTAGTAGCCTGAGGAATATCTTCACTACCGCAACAGCTGTTTTCGGTTCTGCTCTGCTCCACGTTCTCGTTCCTGGCGTGACAATCACACCCGTGGTCTCCGCGTCCATGATGCAGCCCCCGAAAACTTCCGTTTTGGACCTCCCGCCGGCGCAGTACAGTTCCGGCGCACTCGTAGATGGGACCACGAACAACAGTCTGACCGAAATCCAGCGGAAGCAAGAGGAAAAGAAGGCCGCATTGCGGAAGCAAGTGACGCAGCTGAAGTGGCGCTTGCTGCAGAATCTGCACAAGAAAAAGCTCGGCTATTTGGAAAGCAACCTAATGCGGAGGGACATTGGAGCGGAAGAGAAGAAGTTGCGGGAAACGCAAGTTTCACTCTTCCAACGAGGGCTGAAGCGGCACCGCGAGGGAAAGTTGGAGGTTATCAAATGCAAAAATGTCTGGGTCGGGAAGGATACAACTTGTGATGCTGCGTTTCGATTCCAAAGAAAAGCTCTGCATGAGCAGCCAATGAAGTCCTGTTTTTGCTACGCGGAGAGGGCATTTGTCATGTGGATTAGGGATGAGGTTGAGGAAGCCCTCAAAACATCTGCGATGCTAGGGCATGCATCACAGACATCATGGGTCATGCATAACGTGCATGCCAAACAAGTGCACTCTTCCAGACCCAGACATTTTTGCAATTCATAGTCCTCTTGCCCGCGCATTTACTCTTGTCCAGTAGCAACGGGACGACGAATACCGCAAGAAGAAACTGTTTCACTGTGAACTTGTGATGCAGAAAACGAAAAGCCAAAGCGTTTGTCTTGCTAGACCTGCAAGACGTTTGAATTTCCGCCGTGTTTTCCCTTGGGAAGCGCGCATGGCAAATTTTCTGTTTCATGTGTAACAAACCTGTGATGCACATTTTGCAAAACAATCGCAGTGAAACACTTTTTTCGTGGGATAATGAATGACGGTGCTGTAGTATCCGCGGTGGAGCTTCTGAAAGCCGCGGTGAGACGCGAAAGCGAGTTGATGGTCAATTGCCTGGAGCTGGAGATTATGCATTACAAAAGCATCCGTACTCGTATAAATGCATTACAAATGTTTTTTAAAAGAAAACTGGAATTTGTAATGCTGATTTTCCTAAGATGGGCAATTTGTCATGCACGATTACAATTACTACGAGTGTGATGCTTTTGCAATGCATAGAGACCCACACGGAAGTGACGGACAATGCGCGGGAGAAGTACGTATCCTGTGCAAAAGTATCGTACTCGTATTGCAAGCATGCATTACAAATCTTTTTTTCAAGGTGAATCCGCATTACATCATGCTGAGGAAATTTGTAATGCATTTGTACGAGTGCGATACTTTTGCAATTCATAATACGCGCTCTATTTCAAGGAGAAGGCCGAGCGGCTGAAAAGAAGGGCAAGCTCGGCGTTTGTTTCGAAGCGGATTAAGGCTGATGTAGTTCCAATGGACAAGCAGTTCAGAAGCGAGCGGGCCTCGAGTAGTGGTCCTCGTCGTGCCGGAGTAGAGCGGGCTGGCGCTCCTCCTGCGTCTTCAGGTAGTTCCTCTTCGTCCCCCCGGCGGCTGGACGAAAGTACGAGAACTCTTCCAAAAGGTGGAGCAACACCACCATCTCGGTATTGGACCGCGGATGTGAAAAAGCGCATGCTCCAGTACGCCAGAATTGAGCGGCAGAACAAAAATAACAAGTTTTTCTTCCTGCTCAACGACAAGTATTCTACGAAGCTTTTCACATACGAGAAAACGCTGGACGTGCAACAACTTATTGAAGGTGGAGGGCTCGTTGTCCCTTCGGATGATGGTCATCCCGTCGAGGTTTTGTCTTCATCTGCAAGTTCTTCGTCCGGGGCCGCGGAAGGAGGCGCAACATCATCCAGAAGGCCGCGGGCCAGTACGACCTCTGAAGGTGATGACGCCGGCGCATCTTCTCGTAGAGGTGGAGGCCGCCGGGCGAATAAAAGGCGTCGACGCACCGAACAAAGTGGCACAGCTGCAGGATCCCATCAGGGGGGGCATCATCAACATCAACATACAGCATCTGCATCGTCGTCGGCCAATTCCTCCGGCGCAACTTCTAGAGGTGGGGCAGGCCGTGCAAGAACCAGTGCCAGCCAGCAACGGAACCAGCGCGGGCGGTCTCGCTCGCGGTCCTCGCGCTCGTCCCCAACAAGGCTATTTACTTCCGCGGCTGGAGGTGGAAGTAGACACGGCACAACTCTCCAGAGAGACACGGAGCAAGCACGTCGAGAGGACGATAGCAAAGATGTCCGGTCCGCGATTTTGGCCCGGCTGGACATGCGATTTGTCGCCTCGGCCAAGGTCCTGAAAGAGGTGCTTCAGGGGCACCCGGATGTCGAGGCTGGCATCGACGACCATGAGCAAGACTCTGTGTTCGCACTGGCCGACTCGGTGAAGGACATTCCCTTTTGCGCAGCCACGCGGGACGAGATTCTGCCGAAGTACGGGCTGTTGCCCACGCGGCAGGACGATGCAGTTTATTCTGACGGAACCGACACCTTCGCAGCTGGAAGCACAAACCCTGGTAGCAGTTCATCTTTGGAGGTTTGTATGAAACGTAAATTTCCCGTACATGTACAGAATGCATGACAAATTTCGCTACCTTGCAGTGTCCAACTTGTCATGCTAGACTATGACTGAACCTGAAGGCAAATTTTGTCATGCAGAGACCGCATTTGTACGTGTACGGGAAATTATTTACTGTGGATAGTGTGGGTGTTCCCGAATCCGACCGGGGTAAACAGTCAAGTGCTGTTTGGTACTGTGGACCACGAAGCTCCTACAACGGCACCAGGACCTGGAAGTGGCACTTCTGCGCAAGGAGTAGAACCTTTGGAAGAACAAGAGGACAATTATATCTTGTGTAAAAACATCCCCACACCAGAGTCAAGATGGGAAATCTGCTAGACAAATCATCCAGCTTTGGTTGTTTCGCATGACAAATTTGGCCCCGTAGTGTAATCCTGTTTAGCTACCTCCAGCAGCATCACAGATCTAGCGTATCATGCTGGTTCGAGCATTGCAAATTCTAAAACACGAATAGAAAATGCTTCTCATGCGGCTCCACATGGGAAACCTTTTTGGCATGCAGATTTGCATGACAACTCTGGGCTGGGGACGTTTTTCCTCATGATAAATTACTTTGTGAAGCGGGTGTTTTTCCAGGCGAAGGTCCGGAAAATTTTTATCACGGACTTGTGGCGGAAAAATCAGGAGCAAACAAGAAGAACAAGTGTTTCGTCTTCTTTTTTAACATCTGCTGACACTGTTGTAGCTGGTCGTCCACAACTGGCACCAGGAAATCCTAGTACACCTGGAAGTGGGGCAGTTGGATTGTCACAGCAAGGTTCAACATCTTTGGAGCCTTGGATGGAGATAATCGAAAGGGTGAATGCCGCGGTCGCAGACAGTGCGAAAAACTTCAAGACTACGCGCGTGCAGTTGGAAAAGGGCAAACTGATGCACTTTGCGAAGTTCTACGTGCCTGCGGTCCTGCCGGTGGTAGCGGGAATGCTCTGCGACTGGCAGTACACCGGGGGTGCGATCTGGCGCGCTCTTCCCCAAAGCTGGGCGTCCGGCGGAGAAGGTAGTAGTAGTACCACGACGAATTCACCAGCGAGCACGTGGTCCAGCAGCCGACGCCGGCGTTCTCTATTTAGTCCGAGCGACAGTTTTGACGCCCAACAGCACGGAGACGGCGCAGCAGCGGCGATTTTTGCCCTTATGGCAATTGCTGCTGCGGCGGCGCTCGCCATCACAGTTCCAGCGACAGCAAGCGGAGCGGGAGTCGCGGGGCTCATCGTTTCCCGCACATCGGAAGCGCGCGAGCGCGACGCACGGCGGTTGGATATCATCTATCAGCAGCTGCAGGACGCTATAACCCGCTCAGGTGTTACAATCTCAAATCGATTACCATAGAATCTGAGACCTGTCTTGCATGATGAGCATGACAGACTCGCACAGCGTTCCACTTTCTGCAATACAAATTTCGCCAGATTGTAGTGGGGTTTGGGGCTCCGGAACTTGTCATGCGCAATCCTATGAGAGTCGGCTAGATCATGCACTCCTGCATCACAGATTTCCGTAATTCTATTGTAACGTTTGAGATTGTAACCTTTGAGCGGGTCATAGACGCGCTCAACAGATTCGGGACGGAACAGCAGGAAATTGCGAAGGCAGTCGAAGAGCTGAAAGAATTACTAGTATTCTGAGTAAAAACGTCCCCACCCCAGAGTTGTCATGCAATTCTGCATGCCAAAAAAGTTTCTCATGCGGAGCCCCATGAGAAGCATTAATGAGAAGCATTACCTAGTCGTGTTTTGGAATTTGTGATGCTAGAATCTTCAGCATGACGTGCTAGGTTTGTGATGCTGCTGAAGTAGCGAAACAGGAGCACACTATGAAGGCAAACTTGTCATGCGAAACAGCGAAAGCTGGTTGATTTGTCTAGCAGATTTCCCATCTTGAGTCTGGTGTGGGGACGTTTTTTCTCCGGACAACTAGATATTGATAATTACAACGGGGATCCACCTCGTGCTCGTCTTGCTGCGTCGTCCTCGGAAGTAGCAGGTGTTACAACTCCAGGAGCAAGTAGCGCAGGTGCAGCTACAAGTGCTTTCGTTGCAGGAGGAGCTGCACCAGCAGCTTCAGGTGCAGCGGGCACTACTAGCAGTACTGGCCGCGGAACAGGAACCAGAGCCTGTCCCATCAGCGTGGATCTGGAGACCGGCACGATTCGGACGATGAACAAATCAACTTCCGGCTTTTCCCTGCACTCCTTCATGAATTGGATGTTGCGCTCCTCGTCGCAGTTGCGGAGCTCTATTGCAGGCAGAGCCTCGTCGTCGAATCCATCAACGACTGGGGCGTGGTCGCCTCAGGACGAAGTCGACGCGGGGAATCGTAGTAGGGCTAGTACAAATTCTACCCCTGCTGGTACAACTTCTAGACAAGATGATGAACCAAGCGGCTCTAGAAGTACTAGATCCGGAGCGGTTACATTGGGGTCGTCAGCCTCCTCGACCGCAGAAGATCTGATTTTTCTCCCGTCTTTCGTCGAGCAGGGTGAAGTATGCATTGCAAATATGTCTGGGTCTGGAAAAGTGCCAGTTTTGTCATGCTAGGCTAGCAAGGCTCTTAAGTCTGTCATGCTCGTTTTTTTTTTACCCAAAAGCCCTATTTTTCTGCGATCCAGTGGAACGCAGTTTGTCATGCAGAATAGGCAACACTACTTAGAAGCCTAGGAACTTGTCATGCTGAGCCAGCATTTGTGGTCTCCACATGCTAAAAGTCACGTCAGCATTACAAGTTCCCAGACCCTCCAGACATATTTGCATTTGATATGAAGTGCGCGTGTTCCGGTCCTTGTTCGCCGACTTTCTGGAAAGCAAAACCACCTCTATATCCTGAGTAAAAACGTCCCCACACCAGAGTCAGGATGGGGATTTTGCAACACAAACCTCGGAGTTTTGGGAGTCACGCATGACAAGTTGCACGCCGCAGTGTAGTGCAGGTTAGCAACTGCAGCCGCGTCACAGATTCATCTGCTCATCCTGTTCACAGCATGACAAATTCCAAAACACGACTGGAAATGGCTCTCGTGGGGATGCGCATTACAAGTCTTCCTGTCTTTGCAAATCTGCATTACAACTCTGGCGTGGGGACGTTTTTACTCAGGATACTCTAGTCTCTCTGCCGCCTTGCACGAGCAAATGCTGGCGGATCAAGCGAGAGTCCGAAATGAAGACCCGGTCCAGCGTATGAGAGTGCACAACCTCATCCCCTCGTCCCCCTCATTTGTAATCCAAAAGCCCAAATCCAAGTGCTTCCGTGTGGCACTGTATGCATGAGAGATTGTTCCGGAAGTCCAAACAGTACTACACTTGGCGCATGAACTTGTCATGCACAAGCTCCACGTGTGTTATTGTTTGTATTGCTGTTCATGCAGTACAAATAAGGGGACGGGGGAGTTGTGCACTGTCATACAGCAGTTCGCTCAGCAATACGTGTGCCCGATCTGTATTGATATCAAATGCAAAAATGTCTGGGTCTGGAAGAATGCGCGACTTGTCATGCAGCTTTTCCATGACCCATGAGGTCTGGAATGCACGACCTAGCATGACAGTTTCTGTTCGATCTCTCTCATGCCTATCCTGCATGAGAAACTCCCTTCCGACTTGGTCAAAGCTGGACGACTTTTGGTAATCATGCAACATCGATTTTTGCATGCTTCAAATCTAGCATGACAAGTTGCATTCTTCCAGACCCAGACATTTTTGCAGTTGATAATGGACTCCCCACTCCAATTGCCGCAGGAGGTGCAGCAGAGGTCGGTGGGCGCTGCTGGAGACACGAGGAACAACTCCCGTGCTGCTTACAAGACGAAAAGGCTAGCGGTGTTGCCTTGTGGGCACACCTTCTGTGAGGGTTGCATCGGACATTGGACGCACAATCACCCTAGTTGCCCCGTCTGTCGCCTTTACATTCCCCGTATGAGAGTGCACAAGAGCCCCCATTTATTAATAAATATTAATATTGTCGTCCCCCGCTTTAAATGTTAATTATAATTTGGAAGAAAAAGAAGAGCACCGGCAACAGAAACAAAGTATGAGAATTTTTGTAGCTTCCGCATGCCAAATTAAGTGACATGCGCGCGGCTTGTAGTAAGGATAGACACAAGTGTTTGGGTGCTGCTGTCCTAGTTTATTTTCATGCCAGATGATGATGATACATACTGATAGCGAGGATGTGACATACTCAGTATCCTATCTGTAGTTGCGTTTTCGCATGACGACTCCGGAGATGGGGAGCAGTTGTGCACCCTCACACCCCGTGCCAGTGTCTGGCACCGTGCCAGCGCAGTTGATCCGAGCAATCTCTACAATGCGCGCTGTGTTCCACGTTACGAGGCGCCAAGTGGTCATCACGTCTGGGCAGGCCGTGATCGTGTTGTGCCCTTGACGTTCAAGATCTACAAGCGCGACACGGAAGTCGAGGAACAGCATCCGCGTTCCAGGGGGCACGTGGAACTGGTGCAGCCGCAGGAGTACATCAAGATTCATCATCAGGCCCCAAGTGGAGGCTTCACAGGAAAGACTACATTTACACCGAAAGTTGAAATCGAAGAGCGCCGAGCCATTTCGTCAGCGGACCACACCAGTGCAGGTGCGGTGCAGCGCACCGAAGATGGGAATGAATCTTTCCTCCAGGTAAAGTGGACAAACAGGAGGGAACACGAAGGGTCTGCGTCTGCTGGCCAGCAGGGCGAGCGCGAGACGAATCTGGAAAGACGGATCAGGTTGTAGAAAGAGGGTGGGCCTGGTGAGTTGTATTCACAACCGGAAGTACTATACTTACACCTTTCAGATTTGTAGGATTTTTACTGAAAGCATTAGCATGTGCATGATAAGCATATCATGTACTTATCTTGACCAAGAACGCACTCACATTACTCACTACTACGGCAGAAGATTAAAAATGTGAAGAGGAGCAAATAACTACGACCAGCTTTTTATTTCATCTTCTACTTTATTGCTTCGTAAAAAACTATAGTTGTTAAACTTTCAAAAGGATTAGTGCATATCATATTCAAAAATAGGTAGTAGTGCTTGTCTTATACCTTCTGTATGATAAGGTGAACACTCGTAGTTCTAATGTGAAAATTTGTGAGAAGAACAGAACAAAGGAAATTCGATTCGACGTGAAGTACAAAATAAAAATTACGCATGAACCAAAATAAAAAAAATGTAAACGCGTTCCCACCTTCCGCATGAACACAAACAAACAAACAAAATTACGCATGAACAAGCAACCACGCATGATATGAGGAGACCGACACCACAACCATTAGTGCCATGATATTAAAAAGTCCCCATCGACCCATTATATCGATTGGTTTATTTCGGGGCGAGCAGGCCGATAGGGAACACGGAGGCGCAATACTCCAAATCAAAATCAACGCATCGAACGACATTATTTCATGCAAAAACTCAAGAAGTTTTGGCGATCGATACAATGGCAGTCTTCCTGCCATTTTTTTTTAAAGTTTTGCTCTGCATGTTTTGTGTATTATTTGTACAACTACAATGATTTATTATAGTTTTTGCCTGTTTAATAACTTATTTTTGAACCGTAGTTGCTACTTGCCGCGGCAAGTAGCAGTACTATCCACAGGGCAAAGCCAAACAAAGCGCCCGCGGCATTTATTTCCATGTAGAGGAAGAAAATTGCCAGACACGAAGTAATGAAGCAATCATGCCATAGAGATAGATGGATGCATTTTTTTCTGCAGGTGGATTGATAATTCTTGTCGCGCCGGGATGCTTGTTGACTTTCTCGTTGTCTTTAGAGTTGGTGGAAAGCGCAATTTTACTTTTACCGCCTTTTCCTCGACACAGATACAAATTATTACCGTATTGAAAATCGATGCAGCAGGTGAAAAGAACGCACCGAATTATGATGGGTACGATGAAGGTTGTTCCATTCGTTTTCGTGTGACGCAGGCACAGGTCAGGGTAGTAGCGAGAACAGAAACAAAAGGAAATAACTCGAAGCCGATAAAAATTGTTGTACTAGAAGGTGGAGTTGCTGACAAGAAGTCCACCTGGCCGCCGAAAGATCACTTCATCCATGAAAGAGGAAGATCTTCATGCTGAGAGGACCGCATGCAAAAAGATATAGTTTCGAAGAGAACCATAAGGACCACCGATCTTCGGCGTCACTAGGTGACCAAAGAACACAAGTAGCGGAAGAAAGTAAAAGTCGGCGATCCAAATAGTACAAGTAGAAGCGCATGAAGATCGATGAACTAAAAGTCGGTGACAAGTAGAATCTAACAGAATTAGTCGGTGTGTGATCAGTTACTTAGACCTCGCTTTCGAGTTTCGATGATCATGATCGATCTCCATGTTGACCATGAAGCTCCGCCGGAACAAAGTACCTAGTACTTCTGTATTTCTATTTGCGATCTTGATCTTCAACAGTCTGAATCTTCACAGTGCGGATACCGTGTGCTCGGCGTAAGCAGCTAGATTCATCACCTACTGATTTTCGAAAAATCTGAATTTTTTATCGTCAAAATCGGACCACAAGACTATATTTTCATCATAAAAGTATAAATACAACTACCTCCACCCTGTGCCTGTACGAGTTTGTCGACATCTATTGTTGTATAATTGATGCATAAAACATTGGTTCCTCTGTTTTCGTGAGAGTTGAACCTCCCTGCTCAGCAATAAAAGCGTAAGTAGTTTCGGTTTGAGATTTCGCAGAAATTTTCAGGCTCCTTTTTACGCTTTCAAAAAAAAATGGTGACGTGGCGCTATTTAGAAGTACCGGTCGCGGCCTTCTTGCTTGCGCACCAGCAGGTCCACCTCTTCGCGGCCGCGGCTAGTTTTGCACCGCAACAACCTGGGAGCGGCATTGGAGCAGCAGAACATGAACGTGGTCACACGCCTCTGCTGGCGGCCTCTACTACTACGGGAGAAGTTTTTCATTCGACGCCGCCACCTGCAGCAACTTCTGGCCCTGCAGGGCCCCCTTCCTTTCCGCAATACAACGGGTATGACACGTATGCCACTTGTCTCGAACGTGCCCGCACGGCGGCTATGCACTTGTTCAGTGAAGAAGCGATGGCTATGCCTTGCAAAAGTGTCGTAGTCATAGTAATTGCGTTTATGCATGACAAATCTAGTTGTTAATGATAATGTTAAGTCAAATTTGCATTACCTGTGTAATACCGAGTCAATTTGTAAATGGAAATGAAATTTAGATTTAAGTACACCTCTACTACGGTACCTTTGCAGTGCATAACGACAAGCCCAATGATCCGTTGTAGTTCCTTCGAGTCTATGCCGTTGTACGACGAGGCTCTGGCGAAGTTGGAAGCGGATCCGGTATCAAGTGCTAATATGTCCGGGTCTGGAAGAGTGTGATGCTGTTTTTGCATCACACGGCGGGTCTAGCTTGCAGGCCTAGCATTACAGCTTTTATTGAAAAGGTTTTTCAATGCCTAATCTGCATGGCAAACCCCCTCTTGGGGTGGTGCCGAAGAGATGACCAACTTCTGCGATCCATGCACGACAGATTTTTGTGTATTCTGAAATGCGCATCACAAGTTCACATGCTCTGTCCAGACCCAGACATGTTTGCATTTCATATTTGGATTTGAGCCGCGATTTCCCGAAGGTGTTGAAATTTTTCGGCCAAAAAACCACGAAGCACATTTTTCTCATGCTCGGCATGCTCAAACCGGATCCGGCGGGCACTTATCGGGAATGGGAGCTGGCCTTCGGGCTCGTGAATGGAGCAGCTGGCGAAACGAAGGAGAAAATGGCTTTTGCTGCCAAGGCGGTAGCGAAGAAGGTCGTTGTTTCGTCGGAAGATGAAAATATGATGTTGACTAGTAGCAGTAGTGCAAATGCAATTATTTCGTCGAGTAGTAGTACTGCTAGTGCTAGCACCAGTACCAGCGCCATCGAAACGGCGTTGAAAGTATCAAGTGCAAAAATGTCTGGGTCTGGAAGATTACAACTCGTCATGCTGTTTTCGGACTCTAAAAAATTTTGTATTACATGACCAGCAAGAGGGGCACAAGTTGTGCTACACGGACAGCAGGGCATTTCTCATGCGGAAGGAGCATCAGGAAGCCCTCTAAAAGTCTGCGATGCTAGGTCATGCATTACAGGCATCATGGGTCATGAGAAATATGCATGACAAATCTTGCATTCTTCCAGACCCAGACACTTTTGCAATCCATAGAAAGCGACGGGCCCGGCAGAGATGTTCGTCAAGGAAATTCTCGGGACCCGTTACAGCGAGGAGAAGTACGACCACCTTCCCCGGCCGAAAGGAAAAGCTTTCGGGTATGGGGTTCTCAAACGTTACATTCTCAACTGTTACATGAATTTGGCATGCAAAAACACCATCATCATCCTCACGATCAAGCTGCTCCGCATGACAAATTTGCGAAGAGCTAAGCCTTACCTAAATCTGCGCCAAACTTGTAATGCAAAAAGCGCACTCTTCCTCCTTTCACTTTTGCCAGTCTTGCATTACAAATTCATGTAACAGTTGAGAATGTAACATTTGAGAACTCCATATCGGGGACCTGCCTGACACGAGGGATTACTCCGTTTCCCAACCCTACCCGCAGGTCGCGGCCCTGGTGGTTTTGGCGAAGACCGCTGCGAAAGTTCTGGCGGACGAAGAATTGGAGAAGGTTTTAGCAGCCTCCAGAACTACAACCGGGGAGCAAGATCATGATCCAGTTACGCCAAACAAATACAAGCCCAACTTCTTCGTCGATTTGTTCTGGAAACCTCTTTATCAACTGTAAAAATGTCTGGGTCAGGAGGAATTCATGTTTGTCATGCTTGTCTGGCATGACTCTTAAATCTGTCATGCACGTTACCCAAGCGCTCCGTTTTATTTCTGTGATGCAGGAGAAGCGCAGTCTGTCATGCAGAATAGGCAAAACCTAGGAGCTCAGAAACTTATCATGCTGAGCCAGCATTTGTAGCGTCATCATGAGACGCCACCCAGCATCACAATTTTCCAGACCCAGACACTTTTACTTTTGACACTCTTTCCGGAGCAGCCATCCGGCACAGCTACTCGGATGAGAACGGGCGGTCGCTGGTGGTGGGTGATGAGGAAAAAACGATCGTGCGCACCTCCGGGAATGAAGAAAAATGCAGGGTGGAGCTGATCAGATTCTGGACCACGCTCGAGACGGCGTCGGGGCTCGATATTGATGCTCCGCCTTGTAGTTACTTCGGCGAGCAGGAGGTGGGGTTGGCGGGCAACACTGGTGGAGGATTACAAGAACTCTCCGCAGTTCCCCTTCCCAGCAGTGTCGAGGACGGAGCAGGACTACATCATAAACCGCATCTGCAAGAGCACGGGGATGGAGCGAATCCGAATGCTTCCTCGTGGAGCAGGAACTGCTCGAGGTTCTGCGGAGGTGGTGACGGCACTGCAGCTCGCGGCTTCCTGTCCGCGGTTTCGAACTGTCCCCGACGCTGCCTGAGCCGAGCGTATGGTGGAACAGACACCACTACTTCTGCGCCTGCAATGCAAACTTCTGCCCGGGAAGATGAAAACAACATGCTCGTGTAGTTCCCGCTGGCATCATGAATGGGCACTACGACGATCTCGTACTGCCGTGGCAGTGAACATCAAGGGCGCTGAGAAGAAGTAATCAACAAGTACGAAGTCTTGTACGAGGTCGAGCGAGTGAAGACACGCAGCTGAAGTAGCACATCAACTCCAGTTGTAGTCCTGCTCAGTTTTCATGTAGTACTAACCGAGGCGAAGAAATGGCCGGAGTGGAAGGCGGACAAGATCAAGATCAGGACCAACTACACCGATAGAATTGTAAGAACCGAAATAAAGATGAAGATCATCAACAAGAGCGCTGAAAAATATATTGGTGGAAAAGACTATTCGATGCCGGAGGACATCAAAAGGCCGATTTTTAGGAGAATGATTATTTCAATCATGTTTACACGAGAAGGAGAACAAGCTTGCCTTTATGCACAATGGAAGTTTATTTCTTATTCTTCATCGATGGTGGACCAAACAAGAATTTTTTTTCGAAACTTCTTTCGACGTCTACTTCACAGATGACAGACTCAGAGTTTATTCTTTGAGTATAATTGGGATTCATTGGCACAACTTCTATGCTGGGAAAGCTGCTGCGCATCAAGAGAAAGAAACACGTTGCTGGATGTGGAAGAGAAAGAAACACGTTGCTGGATGGAGTAGAAAGAAACACGTTACTGTGGTGTAATATAATCCATTACATACAAACAGGCGGTTCCGGTTGGCGTTGGTACTAAACTAAATTTTTTTCTGTCAAGAGCAGCTGCATCAGACAGAGCCTGTGTCTGAGTGTGTTCATCTAAAAACTTGTGGCTATTCCTATTATTTAAGTCGTTGAGAAACTGCCTGACCTTCTTCAGCTGTGCTTGATCATCTGCTTTGCTGTTTCTTCCACGTGCGTCCTGTCTCGCAGTTGTTGATGAAGGAGAAGGTAGTTTACTAGTTGGAAGAATGTAAAAATAAATCGGTCACGCGAGGAGGATGAGGTGGACGAGGAGAAGTTAGTGTCGTGTCCACTAGAACATAGAAGCCTGTAGTTGTGTTTGTTGCTGGTGCTGCCGTAGTGGTCGCGAGTAGAACGATATTAGGTGACGAGTGCAGCCTCTGAGCTTGAGATTGTGTGCTACTTCTCCTGTCGTGTGGAGGTCCTCAGGAGAAGAAAATCCAAATGCATGTAGATGTTGCAACCACGCGCACGAAGGTGAACTAAAAGTCGGCGTCAAGTAGAATCTAGCCGAGTAAGGAAGCCGATGCCATCTAAATTTTCTGCTTCTGCTTGTCGCAGCGAACAAAAGAAATCAAGGTATAATCATCTTGACGATGAAAATATGTATTTATAGTGCAATAAACGTCGTACAACTCGTCTAGTAAGCCATGTTCCTCCCGGACCTCCCCAAGCCCTTCACCCTCGTCTCCTGCTGTACCGCGGCCGTTTTCATCGCCCTTCGTCTCTACTTCCTCACCCCGGCCCGGACGGCAACGAGCAGCACAGAGGACTATTTTGCCACCGGGTTTTCCATATGCATTGCAACAGTACCGTTGTACTCGGACCTTCTAAAAATCGCTGGCGTGCATTACATATTTCCATCTCAAGTCAAATCCGCATTAGAAATTTCACTTCTTGTCATGCTGAGAAGGCTTGTCATGCGATTTATACTAGTAGCACGAGGATAGATACTCTTGCAGTGCATATTCCACCCCCTTGCAACTATCCGAGTTTGATGACCCGGAACTGCAGCGCATCCGCGATGTCAAGGCACATAGCGCGACTTGGGCTTCGAAATACCACCCGAAATGCTTGTTGCGCGACTTCATCTGGAAACCCAACCCGTTTGCGTATTTGTACCACTACAAAAAGACGAAGGAGGAATATGTATCAAATGCAAATATGATGTCTGGGACTTCTTGTCATGCTAGTCTGACACGAAGACTCCAAACTCTGTATTGCGTGCCCGCAAAGGAGCGGTCCTCTTGTCTGTCATCCGAAAATGCGGTTTCTCTTTCTCATGCGGAGTACACAACTGAGAAGCACCGAAAATAAAACTTGTCATGCTGGGGAGCGCATCTTCACACTGTGCTCGCTATTCTCTTCCTTGCATCACAGGTTTCCAGACCCAGACATATTTGCAATGCATAACACGACAAGCACTACAAATCCACTTGGAAGGGAAACACGCGGGGAAAGGACTTGCTGGGGGAGGATTTTTTGAAACGCAACGAAATTCGGAACCAGTGTCTATGGATTGCAAAAATGTCTGGGTCTGGAAACTTGTAATGCTAACAGTGAATGGGAGACGCACTGCAATATGCAGCTATGCATGACAATTTTTTTGGCTCCCATGTCTTACGTATTCCACATGGCAAACTGCGTTTTTGCATGACAGGTAAGAGGGCCTCTTCGTGCCTATGCAACGCAGATTCTCGAGTCATGCCAGACAAGCATGACAAACTTGCATTCTTCCAGACCCAGACATCTTTGCATTTGATAGTGTCCAGAGAATGTCAACACGTTCCCGGGAAAGGTGTTGCGGAAGTATTTGCGAATGGCGTTGGAAGTAGTGCCGAATGACAATGAGCAGGGACAAGCCACTACAAGCAAGAAAATCAGCACTGAAAACCAGCACACAACTTCTGTGAGGGAAATGAGAAAGAAAGTACTGGACGAGCTGCAAAAGGAGCAGCTAGTACAACAAGGATTCAAGCAGGAACAACCCCCGACGAGGACCACTGTCGTGCAGCAGAACATGAGAATAAAAAGTCTAACAAGAACTGCTTCTTCTTCGAATAAGCCAAAAAATTTCCCCACGACGGCCGCACACCAGATGAACACGAACAAAAGCGGCGACGTCTGCCTCCCGCCGTCCATAGTATGGGAAGAAAATGTGTTGCAAGACCGGCAAGAGAGGCAACCTTTCTCATGCAGGAAATGCTTGGGAGCCTCGTTTCCTTCCTGTTTTCCCTTATGATCTTCACATCACAAGTTTTCTCTGCCACACAGAGAAAATTTGTGATGCAGAAACTGCAACAAATGTGTAACTGTAACACTTTTTTCTCGTGATACATTGTCCGAAAACCCTACTGCCGGAAATACTTCCTCTCTGCGGGCACCATGGTGCGGAAATACCCGGTCAACCGGCTCATCGAGTGGATCGAGTACCACATTGCGGTCGGTTTTTCCCACGTTTTTCTCTGCTACAACATTCGCGGGAATGATAGGGAGGAAGAATACTGGGAATACAAAAAAGTTCGGAAAATGAAAGGATGAGTTAGAGTTTATTTATTGTGATGCTTTATCCCCTCCAGGAGGGGATAGGGAATAAATTTAATTGGAGAAGGAAGCAAAGCAAATATCGCGATGTCAGTACAAGGAAGTCTTCTGCTATGGTACTGGCTGCACCATAGTGTTCTTCTTGTCATGCTCATGCAAAAGAGCCATAACTTCTCACTGCGACTTCCGCATCACAGCGGAAGTAGATGCGCTATTTTCCTCCCACCCGAGTTGTCACATCACAAGTTAGAAGTTTTTCCCTTGCATCACTTCAAATCGACTACTACGAGAACGTGCTGCAGGTGGCCACCATGACCAAGTGCGGGAATAACATGACCACGGGCCAGGGGAACACCAAGCTGGTCCAAGAGTTCGGGCACCAGACCTTTTGGCTCGGCAGGTTCGACACGGATGAATTCATCGCGCCCTCGGACATCAACGACTTTTACAGTAAGCACGCGGATGTAAATTCCGCGATGTCGTTAGTGCCGCTGCTCCTCCCGCTAACCGGTAAGCAGCTTCCGCCGCAGCTTTCCATCCCAAGCTACGAATTCGGGGACTCGGGTCGATTGCATGCCCCGCCAGACCTATCGCAAGAAAAACTGTTTCAGTGTGAACTTGTGATGCAGAAAATAGGACACAGAACTATTTGTCTTGCTACACCTGCAAGACACTGGATTTGCAAGCGTGTTTTCCCTTGGGAAGCGCGCATGACAAATTTTGGGTGTCATGTGTAACAAACTTGTGATGCAGATCTTGCAAAGTCATCACAGTGAAACAGTTTTTCCGTGGGATAAGACCACATCCCCCTCATCCAGGCGTTCTGGCGCCGGATTCCGATCGGGGTGACGATTAAGTCCTTCATGCAGACGGACGCATTTTATGAAAGTGCAAAACTCCCCCTCCTTCTCGTTTGTTTGGCACAAACAGCAATACAAGCTGCGTCGGCCGCGAGGGTGCAGGTTTTGCATGACAAAGTCAATACTCAGGACTGTACTGCTGTTGGAGCTGCCAGAAATTGTCATGCAAAAAAGGCCACGAGCACGAGGCAAAAGGTGGATTGACTATGTTGCATGACAAAGGAAGGGGGGGTCGGGGTTGTGCACTCTCATACGTTTTTGTCAAAAGTGGACGAGGAGATTAGAAGGAAAAGTGACTACGTGGATAGAAATGTCGAAGAGAAGAGGAAACGAATCACCGGAAGCCGGACATTATCCTTTGCAAAAGCATCTTCGCACTAGTCGTGGTAATTATCTTCGCATGACAAATTTCAGTTGCATGATGAGACGTGGGATTTGTAATGTGGATTAGGATTTACTCGCATGACTGCAATTCGCACGAGCACGATAGTACTTTTGCACTGCATAGGCATCGAGCAGCTCCATGTCGAAGGCAATTTTTCGGTTGAAAACGTCATTAGGTGCAGCTGGTAGAAGTGACAGTAGCAGCAGCAGCAGCAGCCCTTCTTCAACTACTACAGCCGCAGAAACAACTACATCTTCTGCAGTTCAAGAAGAAGACATCTTCAGCGATAACGCCAAGGCGATGGAGTTGGTCCGGGAACAAAAAAAGGAGGAGATTTTGGACAAGTTCACCGACATTCTACCCTACGACCCAAAATACACCGACCACTCGCACACCTACACCGAGAACAAGTCTCTCCGTTGTGACGATTCCCACTGGATCATGCTGCCCTCCTTCCACTGGAAGTCGTTTTTGATTCCAAAATATGAACTGCAAAAATGTCTAGGTCTGGAAGATTGCGAGATTTGTCATGCTTGTCTGGCATGACCAAAAAGTTTGTGATGCGTGTCCTAGAAGAGACCCTTTTGCCTGTCATGCATAAACGCAGTTTGTCATGCGAAAAATGCAACACAATCAAAGAAGCGCAGACATTTCTCATGCTTGCCTGTGCATTGCAGAGCATTCACTATTACCAACGCAGCATTACAAGTTTCCAGACCCAGACATTTTTACATTTGATACAAAATGGTGTCTCCTCTGCTGGCCCACTCCGTCGAAAAACTGGTTCTTTTGGCAGGATGGTTTGTGGTGTCCGGAGATCAACTCGGACAAGATCGACGTGAATGTCGGAGCAGTGCTGAAGTCGGATTTTCTACCCCCGAGAATACCGCTGGCGCAAATTGTGTGGGATGCGGCGGTGGAGCGAACGACTATAGTCGGGGAGAGGAGGAATAGTGCAGGAGGGAGCAACTAGCTACGTCGCGGAGCAGAAACACGCTAGGTGGCAAGTTACTTTGGCGTGGAGTGATATCCATCCTGAAGGAGGAGTGCAACGAGGGTGGGTGTGGTGGCAGAAATTTCATAAGGGTTGCTCGCTGTCACTTATTTCTTCATGTGTGAAGATGTCGCTGAGGTTGCCGCTGAACAACATGGACGCGCATAATCAACAATTTTACGCAGAATTATGAGCACAAAGTAGTAAAGTTCTACTAGATCACCATGTTTTGGAAATAGACGCAGTATGTTAAGAGAAGACAGAGCTGCACTCTACCATCGGAAACTGATGCTGTACCTGGAACCGAGCATCATGCAGATCTTGTTCTCTACCAAGGCACTAAAGAACTACGGGGTGCTGCTGCGACTCTACCAGGCGAAAGAAGCGGCGCGGCCCCCGCTCGGACTACACTAGTACTTGCGGCATGCCGCGCTTGCTAACAGACTGCTTTTTCGTCTTGAGATCATGCTCTGTACGAGGAACGAGTCATGGGAGAGGAGGTGTGTGCGCTTAGAAATGAAAAATTACTCATGGAAGTCGTGCCAGCAGGTCGAGGTCTACTTCTTCTCTCTCGCTTCAGAGTCGAGAAATTTGTATTTGATGTAAAAAGCGAGTTGTAAGGGTCTGACCTGCGAGTTGTAACAAGAGAACATTGCTTCAAGAAGTATGAAGTGAAGCGCTTCATCTGCGAGGAGGGTGCGTGGTTGGTGTGCTTTTGCAAGTTGAGCTCCCAGGCGCTCCGACGAGGGAGGTTTTTTCGTGAGATTTATGGAAATCATGAAAAATATAAAGGCAGAATATTCAAATAAGTTTGATGCGTGTGTTGGCCTCTTTTCGTCCGAAACCGCAGAAAGATCCTGAAATTCTAGGCGCATTGCACTGCAAAAATAGCGAGAGATGAAGAAGGAAAGCTATACATTCACCTTGTCTAGATCGACGTAATTTGTGGCGCTGCAGACGAGTAAAATAATGATGCGCATGCGGTATAGAATAAGGACAGTTTTCACCACCTGCGGCTTCTGTACTAGCGTCACTGCGAGGGTCAAAAATTTATTTACAATACGGCTTGGTTTTTCTTTTTCATTGCGCGCTATGTTGAAAAAAATATAACGAGAACTACACAGGCGGAACTGATCATGTAAAATCTCGTTCTAAATCTAATACGCAGAGCCTCAAGCTCAACACACCGAAGCGTCCTTGTTGTGCAGCCGAATAATCCTATCTCGCAAGAACGGTGCAACTAGATCAACAAAAATCTGACGTGTAGAAAGATCTAATGCTGAAAACAAATGCAGCAAAAAATCTTGCGAAGAAAAAGTGACGTCCACACTCAGAGATCAGAATCTTCTCTTGAACAGACTACCAAGGTAGTGGCTCTACTCCATACGCTTGTTGAAACGTTCCAAAATTTTTTCTTAAAAAGTAGTTTGTCGTGTTGCTTGGAAAAAATTACACGATCCTTAGGAGACACATTTATATTTTTCTCTGCGAAATTTTTTTCTGCCAAAACTATCACAGAGACCCTATAAAAGTCACAGGAATACGAAGACAAAAAGCGTCCAAGTTGTTTAGACCTACTAAATATTTTTAGACCTAGCGTGAACTACTGTACGAGATACTACTTTGTGGTGATCGATTATAAGGGAAGGATAAGTGCGTGCGAAAGTAGTAACTTGAGCCTCTTCATCACATTTCTTCTGTTGAAGGATTTTTTATCCTGTTAGAGTTGTGCACTTTATTAATCTCTCGCACTAGCCGTTTAGTAGAGAATATTAAACACCGATATTAAACCGAGGAAGACTAGTAGACCACAAATCGCACAAAAGTTGTACTTCTCACAGGTAGTAGTTACGATAAAAAAAATCCTACAGCTACAGCATAAGCAGCAAATTTGTTGTGCTCCTTGTGTTGTTTGAAAGAAGGAGCGTCAAATAAACCGCACACAAATTTTACGCTTAGGAAATACTATAGAGGAGGCGTCTTAGTTTTTTTAAAGATTTCCTACGGCTTTGAATATTATACCCGCAACGTGAATGAAGCGCTAAGGCTAACTTCTGAAACACGAAGGTATTGTATCAAGCTGGATAGTAAGGTTGAATCTGCGGCAAGTTTTTGTTTCTGTTTTCAGGCAGCAGGGGGAGCTTATTTATTTTCGTTGCATTTTGCTACAGAAAAACAAAAAGAAAAGCGTCTTGATATATTTTCACGGAGCAGAAACGCCATAGCACTTTCTTTACACCAAATCTTCAAGCAGCTTCGGACAGACACCAGTTAGTACCTCCTCCGCCCGGAGCCTCGTTCATCGTATATCAGTGACAAAAACCAACTTCATCAGAGCTGGTTGCGGTTGAATATTTCAGCACCTCCGTAGAATTTCCAATCTGCTGAAAAGAACTTTTTACTTCGCATTGGACTTCACTTCACAGTTTTTTTATACATACCACCCCGCTTCTTGATGCATCGCACTTGATTACCTAGCATAATCACGTCAAAGATCACAGCTCGATACTTTATTTTTTAAAAACGCAAGTATCGAAATTAATAAAGTAGTACAACCAAGCAAGAAGAGCTGCTATCGTGATCGCATTGCATCTGCATTCAAATCTGTTTGCGGGAAAGAATCTTTTGAAGCTCTCACCTGGTATGCCGTTTTACTTATGAGAGTCTCAACTACAAATTCTCCACATACAGATTCGAAGATATCGAGCATAGAATTATAGTGCAACAGCAAAAAAAAGTTTCGAAGTGAAAGATTGTATCGGTGTCGTTTAAAAAGAAGTTTACTATTTATCAGGATTTTTTGACCTCCCCAACTTTATTCAGGCGCTAGTGGCATATACCAAATACAACACTGGTTATATCTATTTTCCCGAAAAAAGAGCAGGAGCAAAAATAGCAGAGACATAGTAAATTCATTGCACCACACCATTTTTTTTTCAACAGCAAAGATAAAAATGTTCACGGTCGTTGTTGACCTTCTACCCAAAAAATATCATGAAGCCGATCCATCTCCAAAATGTAGGAGACGAGTAGAGCTAGTACGGTTGAGAAACACAAACAAAACCCCTCATAAAAAATCTCTAGTCTGATAGAAGCACACAACTTTATTTTTGAAGCAGAACTGCAGCTGTACTAAATAGGTCATACTTCACTCGCATATAATTACGATAGTCCTGTTCACTTTTTTCATTTCTGCTAAGCTCTAGAGCTACCCCGACTAGAGCTGCGGATAATAGTTACACCAAGATTTATTTTTTGGACAACGAGTTTAGAAATAGAGTTTGATGTATTGCCCCGCCGTTCAAAAGCTTCCTCCCGACGCCTTTTGGCAATAAGCTAAGCGAAAAAGTCACACACTTTTGGCAAAGAGCTTGTTCGTACTTTTTTTTTTGTCGTTCTCGTTACACTTTATGGTTACATAAGTAGCTAAAGTAACAGAGAGATACTAAATAAAACCCTGTTCGTATCTTGAGTAGTCTACTAGTTGTACTGAAAATAGGCATAAGAAGGTCAAGATTCCGTACACTTTCAAGAATCTTCGGAGAAAAACTCAAGACAAGAAAAAGCCCACTAAATTATTACCGTTTCTGATACTTCTACTTGTTGTACTATCTCCAGACCTGTTCGGAAGCCTTGGGCCGCTTCGTAACTGGAAAAAGTTGGAAAAAAATGGCAAAAAGTTGCTTCATGACGTGGGTGGAAGCGATCGTCGGATTTTGTCCAGATCACCCGGGCCACTTGAAAAATTGAAAAAGATGACAAAACTCGTAAAGGTGCAATCCCTCCGCAGGCTTCAAAAGTGCCAGCCAGCTGTGGTCGGTGAAAATGTGCAGAGCCCTTCGGCCACCTAGAAACTTGAAAAAAAAGGGAAAATTGACAAAAGTCGAGAACCCTCGGCAGGCTTAGAAACTGGCCACCAAGGGCGGTCCGGCGAGCGCGCGCTTGCGCCATACCATCGCGATTGGGGAAAAAAAATCGCACTAGAAGCGGGCGGAGGCATGTCACAAAGTCCGCATTTGCTCTGGGTTGTGGGCAGAAATTCTGCATCTTCCCCGGGTCTGAAATGGCCGACTTTGGTGGCCCAGCAGGGTTCGCGGGTTTGTGGTTTTCCACATACTTTCCTGGCCAGGGGGCCAGTTTGTCAGGCAGGGGCTAGAAAGGATGTCCCGCTGCCACATAGCCGGATTTCGCCCTCAATGCTTATCGCAGGAGCCTGCGGGCCGCCGCGGGCGACAGTAGTTGTCCGCGGCCCTTTAGGGCCGCGGGGAAGTGGTGGAGCTCCGCGGCCCGCAGGCTCCTGCGATAAGCTTTGAATGCGAATCCGGAAGCCCCCGATGACCCCCGATAGATGGCGAGATTTACTTTAAGGGCCGCGGACAACACAGAAGAAGAAGTGGGATTCTAATTAAAAAGAAATGGTGGTTTGGCTTTCGCGCTGGTTAGATTTTCGCGCACGCATTTGGTTACCAATATCGCCCTCCGGGCGCGATCTTCATACTTCTACTTGTTGTACTATCTCCAGACTGCTCCAGTGATTTTTTTTTTCCCGAACAAAGTTGCCGTGGGGCAGAAAGACACAGAACCGAGGCAAAAACCAAAACCACCAGTACAACTGGTTGCGTAGAAGTATTAGCAGCTCTAGAAGGAAAACTTCCTGCGGATTATAATAATACAACTACAAAGCGCGTCTTCTATTTCGATTTCCTCGCAGTCTAGCTAAGCAGGAAGGGACGACGCTCCTGCGGGAAGAAAGTCTTTTCTTCTGCACAAGGTTATTCCACCACAAACGGTTATTTCTTTACATAACGAAAAATAAAGAATACCAAAATAAACCAAGATGTATCGCGAGACCGACCGTGCCAACCAAACCTACAGCGGTGGCATGTTCCGCGACCATAACCACACCTTCGGCGGCGCCGGCGGGGGTGATAACAGCGACGACTCGTTACCCGATGGAAGAGATTCCGAGCGGCACTGCGTCACGCACGAGGGGGTCTTTCAACACAATTGTTTTGACCTGTCGACGGATGATCTGGGGGGTCCTCTGCGGAGAAGCAGTAGTTGTGGTGCCGCGCTTGACGAAGTAGAGGGGAGTAGTAGTTGTAGCAGCATCCCTGCGGACAATGTTGACACCAACGTCAATTCGAACCCTTTATCCCCGAAGACCCTGCTGACTGCCGACCCTGAAAGTAGTTCCCACGAGAATAGAAACGGAGCGGGAGGACCTGAGGGTGGGGCGACCACCACTAGCGGAAAAGAAAATGGCAGTGCCAGCAAGTCGGCATCCAAATCCTCGGCCGGGACTACAAGTGTAAGTGGGTCTAGTTCTACTACTACGACCAGCAAAACTCCTCCTGCAACCACTACCACCACGACCACTCAGAGCAATAAAACGACTGTCGCCCAACACGCGGCGATGACAGCACAGAACAAAAACACAACTGGTACTGGGGCGAGCACAACCACGACCGCTACCGCTTCTGCTACAACTAGGACAGCGTCTGAGCCCCCCGCTCTTCAAAATGCCGCGTGCTACTCGGCAGATGACTACCATTATGCAAGAAAAAAACTGTGTAGGTGTAACTTTCTTCGAGGAACAGCATCACAAATTTGCTCTACATGACAGAGAAAACCTGTCATGCATGGTTTGTATATGGAAAACACACATGAAAAGAGGATTTCGTGGCTGTCTGGCATGACTAGTGGAACTCTGTTGCATCTTCTGCAACACAAATTTACACTTACACAGTTTTTTTCTTGCATAACCATGTGTTTTACCAGATGGGCGCCGACGCCGCCTTCCGGGACCACGGGATGAATAATGCAAATGTGACCTGTCCTGCGGGCTTCTACTACGCGCAAAACAACGACTTCTCCTTCTCCGGCCCGAGCTCCTGTAGTGGGGAATCGGTGGGAGGTGGAGACCTGCACAGAGACTACACGGGTTCGTCGTGTGAAGACGGCGCCGGGAGTAGTAGTACCTGTAACTCTAAGCGACAGCAAGGAGATCACCACGGTGGTGCTCCTGGGACGAACAATCAGCACATGAATCAGAACTGCGCGGCCTCCGCTTCGACGCACTCCATAACCACGACCGCCACGCTGAACAACAACCAGGGCCGCGGCTCGGGTTCCACCGGCGGTGGCAATAATAATATCGCAAGCCAGTACCCGCAGCAAATTTACAGCGGCAAGTATCGCACCATGACCTCGCGTCCCCGCCTGCCCGTCCGGCGCCCCTTCCGACACCCGCCGGGGCTCCGCACCCCCGGTCGGGACGGCAGCACGAGCAGTAGCGACTCCGAGCGCGACGAGGCGCAGTATATTCACTCGTGTCCGACCCAACCGCTGCGGCAAAATAACCTCCCGATTCAGTTGTTCCCGGGAAGCAGCTTGAGCGGCATTTTGCACTCGGGCTACTACGGGGGGTACGGTGACTGCGACACCTTTGACGCGCCGGGGCGGGTGGAAAAGAGTGGCGGGGACGATCGTGTTGATGGCAGTGAAGAAAATAATTACAGCATGATATCGCAACTGCCGCGGAAGGCGGTCCCCGGGGAATACCCCAAATTGTTCGACGAAAAAGGAGAGATGATCAACTACGCGGTTGGGTCTAGTGGTAGTAGTAGTACAACTGCTCCTTCGGCCAACAAGCAGGTTGACGTGAAAAACGATCCGACTACTTCTGGAACGTCTTTGAATAAAACTCCTGGTACATCAAGTAACAAGCAAACCACTTCTACTACTAGCGCCAGTGGCGCCGCGACGACGGCTGCTGCTAGTGGTGGTGGTGCTGTAGGAGCAACAACTGCGCCAATGGGCCTGAAATCGACAGCAGGAACATCATCTTCAAAGGAGCCTGTTTCCCCGGACAACAGCTCGTCCAAAAGCCTATCCGGCCAACGCATCCGCTTTCCGAGTGTGAAACGGCGCGTCGACGACCAAGATCAACGTGAAAAGCAGCCGGAAAATAAGCCAACTACAAGTACGGCGACTTCTGATATTAAAAATTGTTTCTCTCACCGCGAGCAAACGTTTCATTCCCCAGAGCAGACCAAGAATGTCAACAAGTCTAATACAGCAACCGGCGGAGGAGCGACAAACAAGATGACCATAGGTGGTGGTGGTGGACAGCAACAGCAACATCAGCTCCCCACCAGCTGCACAATGAAGTCTATAATGAACAAGAACACCCAGGAGCAGCACACGTCGACCAGCAGCCACGCCTTACACCGATCGCACACCGACGAGTCGTGTGACGACAACCACGTTGGGACCCCGAAGCACACCTTCATGGCCATCGACACCTACGATAGCAATTTCGACAGTCCAAATCCGTTGCAGCAGGAAGTACTCCAGCAGCACGATGATTATATCAGCTGTAGCAACTTCAACAAACATGCGGATAATAATTTCAATAATCTCGGGTCGTTGAACTTGAAAAGTAACTTGGCCGACGGCGCGGCCAGTTCCGGTGCGGGCCAGTTTTCAGGCCCGATTAGCAGTTGTAGTAGTAGTACAACTAACCAGCAGATGAACAACAATATTAACCGTCAAAATCTTCAAAGCAATAGTTCATCTTCTTTCATGGTCAGCGCCAGCGACGTATCAAATGCAAAAATGTAGTGTGGGTTTGGAACAAAGCAACTTGTCATGCTAAATCTGAATCATGTAAAAATCTGTGTTGCATGATTACCAAAAGCTGTCCACTTTTGACCTAATCGCGAGGCAGTTTCCTATGCAGGATAGGCATGATAGAACTCTCACAGAATCTGTTATGCTATGTCCTGCATACCAGACCTCATGGGTCATGGAAAACCTGCATGACAAGTCGGGCACTCTTTCAGCCCCAGACACTTTTGCAGTTGATACGACGCAGCCACCCCCGGCGGAGCCTCGACCTCGTTTCTCACCATCTCGCAGCCGCACTCCACGCCAGGGGTATAGTGATAGAGTTTTGATATAGTTTTTCACGAATTATAGTAGAAATCGATCGAGATGCATCATTTTATTCGCATAGTTTTTCGTTTCGGCGTCTAGCGATCTACTTAACTTGTTCCTTCTCTTTACAGTTAAACTCGATTGAATTTTTAACACTGGCCAACATAGAGCCGCGGCGGTCTTGTCTTCCGTCTTGTCGCCGAACCGTGTTGATCAAACTTTTTATTATAAGCAGATCGAAATAAAAGTAAAACCAAAACGTAAAAACGAAAATCAAAAATCAGGTGCAGCATTCGCCCCCGGCAGGTCAGCAGCAGCCCGGATTCAATGTTAATCGTCAGGGAATTGCGACCGGAGGTGGACAGCTGCAGGAATCCACCCAATCGTCCCGAGGACAAGGACATCAACCTGCTTCAACAACATCCCAGCAGACCACAGTAACGAAGCAAGAATCTTCTTCCACCGCCCCTTCCCCCAACGACCCCATGAGTTTATACGCCAAAGCGATTGAGCTTTTCCCCGAGAACGCTGTGATCTACGCGAAGGCGCGGATGCTGTGCAAAAACAACAAGAGTCTGTGGGCGCAGCAGGAGATGGAAAATTTTATGGAGCTAGTCGCGAAGGTTCACGAGATTCCGGCTACGTGTAGTACTGCACCTCCAGGAGCAGGCAACAACATGGTGGACCACCAGCACGAGGGCGGGACGACCCCGGCTTCTTGTTCTGGGGTTGGTGCTGGTTCATCTTCTTCCGGAGCTCCTCTTGCTGGTGGTTCATCATCTCGTGTACAACTAGACCAGTATCAGTCCGAACATCATCCGGGTGGTCAGCAGTTGTACGGTCTTCAGCAGCGTAGTTTAACGGGCAGCACTGCTGGTCCATCTTCTTCTCCTTACAATCAGCAACAGACAACTCCTTCATCTTCGTATGGAAATTACATGGAGTCGATGCAAGTGCTGCAGCAGCAGGGCATCATGAACAATCATGGTGCAGCAGCAGCCGCTTCTAGAGGACCACATCAATACGACTTGAGGGCGGTGCAGGAGTGGTATTATCAACAGCAGCAGCAGCAGGGTATGCATTGCAAATATGGCTGGGTCTGGAAACTTGTGATGCAAATCTACGAATTGTCGGCGCACTGCAATATGCAGCCCAGCATGTTGACAAGTTTTTGCGGTCCTGCTATGTGTTTCGTTTTTCGCATGACAGACTGCGTTTGTGCATGACAGGCAAGAGGCCCTTATTTTCCTGCTCATGCGTCACAGATTTAAGAGTCATGCCAGAAATAAAGCATGACAAACTTGCACGACTCTTCCAGATGACCCAGACATATTTGCATGCGATACAGGGCCTAGTAGAACCAGGAGCGGCCCCGGGCACGACCCCCTTAGCGCATCTTGTTGACTGGCCCCAGGTCCACGCCTTTTTGGTATCAAAAGGAAAAAATGATCCCCAATCCCCGAGGGCCCCATATCGAAAAGGTATCAGACGTTGAAAATTTGTGATGCTGATAGCACATTTGTGATCACACAAATCTTTCTGTCTTCGACAAGGGAGCGCAGTCAGAGTCTCCGCCGCATTTTTTATGCTGGCGATTTGGAAAAAAATGATGTGGCAGACGTCTGCCACGCTAGGCGGCGACCTCAAAACATCCCTGCCCAGGCTTCGCATCTGCTTGCATTCACTCCTCACTGCAAGACCAAGCTGATTGGTCGTATACTACACAAATCATGGTTGATCACATCAAACTTCCAGCACTTTGATATGGGGCGGAGAGGGGATTTTTCATTTTGATATTTGGCGGCGTGGGGCCACGGACCCGCCGAAATTGCGCAAATTTTAGCGGAACTGCTGGAGAGTATGCATTGGTGGGAGCAACAGGGCGGCTTTCCGCAGGAGCTCGGGAGAGCGCCGACTGCTGGTCAGCTCGCCGCGGCTGGTGCGCGTATGGCCGCCGCGTACGGTAGTACTAATCCACCGGGAGGTAGCAGCTCAAGTTCTTTCGGGCTGCCGGGTGCACTGATGAGCGGCCAGGTACTTAGAATTGGAATGATAATCGTAAATAAAGTTCACTTGTTAGACTTTCCACCTAGTAAATTGCACTAGAAAATAAAATTTCTGAAGATACTTAATGGATTGATACTGTGTCATGCAGCAGCTTCAAAATTATACCATAATTTTTTGAAAATGAAATCCAAATCTTGTAGTACCGAAGACCCTGGGCCGCGGCTTGGGTTACTTTTCGTGTGAAAGAGGATCAAATCTTGGATAGAATACAATATCGACGGAACAACAACTTAAAACAGTCCTCGTCAAGCTCGGGCCGGTATCACGCCCCGCCTGCCACTAACCGGCGAAAAGTTTTATCTAGGCAAGAGATGCAACACCTGTACGAGATGTTGCAGCAAAGTTCGGCGATCGCCGACGTGGCTTCGGGTAAGGACATCGACACAGTGGATGTGAGGAGCGGAGGTGCGGCCGTCCCGGCAGGTCAACAGAACAATTCTCTTCGCAGCAGTACCAGGGGTAACAGTAGTACTGCTCTGGACCCCCCGCCACGTCAGATGAATGCTCCTGGTGCAGCAGGAGCATCATCATCCACTTCCGCAGCTGGTGGCTTCGTCCCCCCCTCCCGAAGCTTCCAGGAAGATCAGGACAACCATATGTTGGAGGCCCTGAAGACTGTAGCAGATTCTTTGAAGAAAAACAGCAACAGAAATTCAACAGCGGATAGTAATGGTAATCAACACCGAGGAGGTGGAGAGCAGCAGCAGCCGCATTCTACTCTCGCGGACCAGCATCGCGAGCACGTTTCTCAGGCCGCGGGAGGTTCTAGCAAGAACATGGGCGCCGCGGCGCTTCCCTCAAATCGCGCGTCCACTTCGAGCTGTGTTAACAATAAACCTGGAGCTCTTCCTGCGAGTTTGAGCTCTGTAGCTAACGCCAGCCGTTTCAAATTTTCCTCCTCCACCAACACCGGAAATAATTCCACCCATAATTCCACTTCCCGGTCTAGCACTTTTGGCAACGATGGTCGTCACCACCCCAGTAATTCGAGCATCCTGCTCGACCAGCCAGGTGGACATCTTCATAACCGGTCGATCGATCGGTTATATGATCGGTACGAAGACCAGCGCAGCAAAAACTCCTCTCGCGCGGCCCGCACTGTAATGGAGGCGATGGACTCTTTGAATAGTTTCAACAACACGTTAGACGATGAGGATCTCGAGGACGAGAACGGCGACCGAGTGTTGCGGTCCAGTAATCTTCGCGACATGAGCCGAAACACGAACACTTTGATGTCGCACAATTCGTCAGCATCCTTTCGAGGGATGACCACAGGGCCTTCTAACAACAACACCAGGAACAACAACACAGGCGCGACTTCTAACAGTCGGAACCAGGGCATCCACCCGGAGGCCATGGCACGGATGTTGAATAGCATTCAGTCGACCCACACCATGCCGACCACCCGGGAAAGCGGTTCGATCAACAATAATAATATCCACGCGAGCCCGAATATGAAGCCTGGGTCGTTATCCGGGAATAAAAACAACACAACCAATAGCAGCAGCTCGGCTGGGTCTTCATCTTCAACATCGCAGGGGACCGCCTCCGCGGGGGTAGAAGCTGCAACAGGGAATATTAATCCAGCCGGCGAAAATACTTCAGGAGCTGCGGCCGGAGAAGCAAGTACTAAAACAAACCAAACAGAAACCGAACCAAACAATTCCATGTTGCACGACTTTAAGCCGAAGTACAAGACGGATAAAGAAGCGCAGGAGGGGCTGAAAAGGGAATACAGCAAGTCCAAGCAGATGGCGATCTTCCACTACACATTACGCAACGCGAAAAAACAAGCGGTGGAGAACGGACTTCCCCTCGAGTACAATTTTCACTTAATCGAGATGGAGCGGCAACGGAAAGAGTACATGAAGAACGCCAACAGCAAATCGAAATACGCCGCACTTGGCGGTGGGCCGAGCAGCCAAAGCGGTGGGGGTCCACCTCCGCACATGATGATGCCGGGAGGACCTCCAGGACCGTATCCGCCAGTGCATGGACCGACTTCCTCGGGAGGAGGTGCCGCGCCCGGGGCTGTTACAAGGCAACAGCCGCACCCCGGCTATGGTGGTGCGGGAGGAAATTACGGTCATGGGTATGACGACCGATATTTGCCGATGGGGGGCATGTACCAGGGACGGTGATAGATAAAGGCTATTGGATTTTTCTGTGACGAGGAGCCTAGGCTGCAACTTGTGAGAACTTTGAAATTGAATTATAGGAAATTTGAAAATTATGGGGACTGCAGCTGCATAGTGAGCCACGCCTCTTGTTCTTCACAAAAAATCTTAAAAGTCGTGAAACTCGCAAATCTACGTCACAATAAGAACCGCGACAACTGCTCAGAACGGCGTCGAACTACGTAGGCGGCAGGCCCGAATCATGTACTAGAAGTGTAGCGAAGATATTAGGGTCGGATGCTGTACACATCAGATGAAAAGGTGGTAACAAGCACGAAGGTACACGAATACATACAGAGGCTCTGGCTTTTATCATTTTTCACAGAATAAAGACAAAATTTCTACTCGTCCACTTGGTACTAATATCTGCTACAGAAGGTGTGTCTCTACATCAAGCACGACGTCTTGGTCTTCGAAATAAAAAATGCGGCGCTGGCGGCACTGGTTGCAGGACCCAAAAATGTGGTAAATGAACGCGAAATAAGTGCAAATCTTGTAAATCATGGTAGTGTGCAGGAGCTGTCGCGCTGCTCGTCCTGTGTCTAACGTCATGGCACTTGCGGAGGCAGTGCATGGCGCTGCATGGGGAGCAGCGGAGGTACTGCATGGCGCTTGCGGATGGTTGGAGGTTAGTAGCTGTTTTGCGATGGTAAGATATGAAGACAGATCCGCACACAGGATTTCATATTACCTTCTACTGGAGCTTAGTATTATCCTTCGAAGCATCTTCATCTTCCAGGCGACGAAGCTGACATGATGAAAAAAAAGGCGTTGACACAAACACATGTAATAGAAGCAGGATGGTTATAATTTCTTTAGTAGGGAGGAAACGAATTTTGTTGGGCTCAACCACACCAATTTCATTGAAAGACAACAAGAAGCGCCAGAATGAGAATTTTGTTGTAGAATCATACGTACATTCCTCCCTACGCATGAAAATTTTTGAGGAGACAAAAATGACCGAACATGATGTGTAAGATTGGAATTGTATTTGTCGCTTGATGAACATGAACTACGCTTACGAGCAGGAGCATTGTTTTTCCACCCCCTTAGCACCACATCTTCGCAAGTGCATTACGTATGAGATACCGCCTGCCAAAATTCATGCCACCGCCGGTGTCCTCCCGCCGTCAAGAATTTTCACTTATCCAGTACTTCGTTATTAACCTTTGGTCCTTAAGAAGGCTTCATATATTACCACTAATAAATTTATTATGCGATGACGACCTTGATGCCCCACACCCACTAGTACAGTCTTTCAGGAGCCAAGACTTGGCTTTACTCGAATCAAAACTCAGCAGCTGGCTCTTTCTTTGTTTTCCAATTCCGCATCCACTCGATGTAATAAATGGTTGTCCCTACGCCTCGATGGTATCTTATTTCCCCCATCCACGTAGCTAGGAACATCAAGCCGACGTAGATTTTTATAAAGCATTTTATCGTATATGATGAAAGAATGACCTTCAAAAAATTCTTGCCCTGTGTGGCGAAGCGGGGCTCGTAGACCAAGTTTTTAAGTACAACTTCTAGTACGATGTTTCGAAATTTTCTATAGCACAGCCCTTTGCTTTTCGCGTCGCGGCAGAGACTTGGTTGGCATAATGGTACTAGCACTCTTCGACTTGTTCCAGGTGCTAGCCTTTTGCTGACCTTATTCAAGATAATGTTGTTGACAAGCGAGTCTAGAAGCCTCGATGTGCTTCTTACTAGCACGTCGAAGATGAAGGGTACACAACTGTCACATATAGTCTTCTTTTGTTTAATAACCCTATTTTACAGGCATAGTACGACCAAAGTCTAGTAGAAGAATGCCAAGTATCGAAAACATCTTACATGAGTTTTTTACAGCAGTGGTTCTTGCAGATGGGCGGATTAATACAGCTTTCGTTCAGAAAATAAACAGCGTTTTCCGCTGCATCTGCTGCTGCAACTTCTTCGAATGAATTCTCACGGAAGTCGCGTCAAAGGCGAGTCTTAATTTTCTTTTCTCTTCCAAAGCACACAGCAGAAAAAAAAATATCAAAAAAAAAAACGAGCGACAAGAAAATTGTTAAAAACAAAAGCACTCAGATACTTTACTTACAAGCGAAAGAGTTATGAATGGCGCAGCAGAACGGTGCTGGCGGAAATAACTTGAGCATCTGTTTAGAGATGTTTTTGATTCGCCGACCGATATTTCTTACAGATAGAAGTAGAACTAGGACTTTATCCTTATCTTCTCTGATGAGGAGCTTCTAGTAGCTAAAAAAGCCGAGCCGCAGCCTTCTGGCAATTGCGAAAAGAAAAGTTGGCGGTCCGCTGCAACGAACTCGGCATCTTCTACATCGCCACTGGCTAAGCAGCTTGCTCTCATTTTGCGTTGTCAGGGATGGTTGTGGTACTCTACTTGGCAGACTTCACGACAAAATTTACGGAGCAAGTGCTACCGGCGAAAAACTTTTTATGATTTTTCATCTTGCAGCTGCCTCGGATGCGATGACCACCACCAGGCGGTTGATCATGCTTCCTTGCTACCTTTCCCGTACTACCTGGTCGCCAGAGGACCATGACTTTTAGGTATCCTATTACAATAGTTCGGCGAGGGCCTATTAAGTACGATACACAGAGGTTCTGGAAAGATGATGATGGTGAAGGGAGTGGTCGTCTTGTTGCGCCCCCCCTAAGATCATCATCTGAAAAATAACGAGGGTGCTTCTTCGTTACGTATTCCATTATAAGGATTTTGGAAAAAGCCGTTCTTCAATGCCTGCAAGAGGGGCCCCCGCCAATGTAAAAAGTCATGAGCACGAGCCTCTTCACTGTAGCGAAAGCGAATGACAAGGACTAGAAGATGAACCAGCAAAACGTACATGAAACGAATCGATTCAATGATCATCGGCCAAGAAGCTGGAGATCGTTAAAAGAGTGCAGCTGCACTTGTTTTTATCGAGTTGGTCGACCGGAGGACGTCGAATAGGAGTATCGCTATAATCCGAGCGATTAGCTATACTTTTGCCCTGTCACAGGAGGACATGGATATGAGCATGGAAGAACATAACTACTTTCACGTGCAAGTAGTACATCATGGAAGCGCAGCGCAATTATACAGATAAAAATCGCTGCAGCCACTGGGATGAATATAATGCGCTGATCGAACAACACGCGTCGAGACAAGACCCTGGCTTCTAAATGACATTTTATTCTTTTAGAAAGAATTCAGTCTTCAACTATACTTCTACAGCGCAAGCAAGCTGCTGGCTCATCTTTACCACGGGAACAAGTTTCTTGTCGAGCTTACTTCTGACTATGGTGTACAATATCTTTACCAATCGATTTTATTTCTCCTATTCTTCACTTCGGTCAGCTTCATCGCTTCCCCTGTCCGTGTTTCAGAAGTTGCTGTTATTTTGCGTACTAGTTATGAGGGGCGAATTTTAATTTTTGCTTTCGTGAAAGTTAATGTTATTGTGTAGGAGCAAGTGTGGTTTTCCTTTTCGGTATTCGGTTAATGTTTATGTTTTGCGCTGGCCCTGTAGGGTGAGTCCGGGCTGCCTCGGAGGACCAGGCAATTACTATTTTCGTTTGTGCACGTCGTCACGTGGTGCGCTTTTCGTTGTCTTCTTGATAACTTGATCGTGTTTGATATTCTTCGTTGGCCAATAAAATCATGGACCTCCTGCTTCTTCCCTAGAGTCATTGTGTCAATGGAAGTACAAGTTTGTCGACCGACCGATAACTAGAAATTTTCATATGTTTTGAGTCAACAACAATCAACATGTCTTTGAGTGATACACCAGCCTTTTCGCTGCACCTTCCGATTTACTATCCTGCGAATCTGGCCTCTTTATCACTTTCCGTCGCTTCTAATAAGCCATATTTTTTGGAGCATATATTGAAGATTTTACATGATAGGTCGGGCCCACGCGTCTAGGTCTATAAGCTACTGCAGGTGGTTCCACAGACAAGCACTCAGAAGTTGTGACTCGGCGGATCTACTAGCCCGACGAGCCTTGTTGTGTCCTTTTCTCAAGGCGAGCGCTGCCGATGTGAAGATGATTTAAGAATAGTACAACATGTAGTTAGACGAAGGCAAACTAACATTGTGAAGAAGGGTCTCCAGCATGTGTCGATAGGTGAACGCTCCAACTACGGTCTTTGAGGCGGATTTCTTTGTGATATACCCGGACGGCTTCGGAATTTCGGGTTTTAGTTCCAAAGGGCTCACTCGCTCCAATTACTATGATTTTACTACAAGCTCGGTTTCGCTTTCGGTAATAAACCAGAACAAGAACAACCATTGACTGGACTCAGACTCTCCTGCCTGACAGCACATCACCTCGCACGCAACGAGGCATGATAAGAAATCCATTTGATGTTTTGGGGTCGTGGGTAGTTTGACGGTGATGTCGTATCTGCTTCAATACCTTCAATGCCAATTCCTCCGTGCACTACATTCGCATTGTACTTTTGCTTCGAAGCAAGCACAAGCAGTGCTACTTCCAACATCCGTTTAGTTCGCATAACACGCCGCAACGGACACCAAAGAAAGTGCTCTACTTCGTTTAAGCTGCGTCTGTGCCGCAAGACGACTTGCTTTTTTAATCATAACCACAAAAAAGTATGCACAAGCGCAATCCAACTTTGAGGTTGTTTGCTGACGTGCGAAATAAACTGCTCTGCAGTCGCACCAGTTGTCGAGCATCATTCATTGATTTGAGGCGATTCACAACATCAAATGATTTGTTGATTCCTTAACAGACGGAACCGAGCAACAGGCTCATTCAGAGCCTCTTAAACAGGTGGCTTCAGAGCATGACGAGGAAATTCCTGCTGTCTCGCAGGCGGTTTGATGCAAATTGAAATTCAAGTTCAATGTTGGGGGCGAAAAAAAATAATGACAATCAAAATGAACGAAAACACAAGCAGCAGCAAAATGCTGATGTTGGAAGTTTAAAAAAATGGCTAGACTCGTAGCTTCGGTTTCGGAGCAGCTTGATGTTGTTCGCAGCATGACGCCGAAACCCCAAACGAGCAATAAAGAGTTTGTATTGTCGTGCACCATTATTTTGATCATTTTTGCTTTTTATGACGTCGGATGAAGATTCGGTCTCGCTTTTAGTGCTAGAAGCCGCGTACAGCGATCATTCTTGATTGGTCCTTTTAGTTTTTCATTGTGCCGGTGAGGTTCTTCTTCTTGTTCTCTCTGCGCAAGAAAACGTTTCTCTTCTCTCGACTGGTGGAATAATGTATCATGAGATCAGGTGCACGCTTTGCCATCGTATTTTGTTCTTCTATTTCTAGTTCTAGACTGTGACTGGTAGAACCCACGACCGCGTGCATTGCCTCCCACGTATCAACATGCGGTTTGGTGATGGGATTACTCTTTATTGCAGGAGGCGTTAAAGCGTAGTCGTTCGTTGCAATCTTGTAAAAGTAGTTGTTGCGCCAACGTCGTCAATTTACCTCGGGGGCAACAACAAATATTCATTTTTCTCCTGTTACAATTCGAGGAAGCAGAGCCCGAAGACAGGAAGACCAAGATGTTTCTGTTGCGTGGACCACCGCTTGCAGCACTACATGCAAAGAAGAAGAACCACCACCGCCTTAGGCTGGTCGTCGTGATGTCCTTGTTTTATTTCTCTATCGTTCACAATTTTATCGCATTTTTTTCAATTTTTCCTTCAAGATGGCAGAAGTTCTTGTTGGTACAGCAGCACGACGAGGCACAACGAGACAACAACAGCACGACAAAATTCTTAAGAGCTCACATTGCTCTTCTCTCTGCTTCGCCTTATTTCGTCCAAGCGACGCGGATGCTTCCGGGTCGCGGCCGCAGAATGCCTGGCGGCGCTTCCAGTCGCTACGCGGTCCTTATCGAAGACGGGAATAAACATCGAGACACCAAACAAAATACGGCCGAAAATTTTTCGCCACACCACAAGGGAGCGGCAGGAGGTGTTGGCGCGGGGAGTTCTGTGATTGCAAAGCAGCAAGACAAAACACTGAGCGGCGCGGCGTCCTCGTCGGTTCAACATCAAGGGGGAAACAAGGAAGTGCAAGATCTTGCTGCCCCCGCTACTTCTACATCGGGATCATCGGCAGCTACAGACCAGCATTCTGCTGAGCGTCGGTGGAGTAGTTCTGCGACATCAACATACATACCCTCGGGCATGGCGGTAATGAGCCGCAACAGGCTCCGCCTGGATCTCGCAAGCCTGCGGTCCTCTTCTTCAGACCCCGTGCAGCAGACCGCCCCGGGGATGACTGCTAGAGCGGATAGTATTCAGCCGAGCGGGACAACAGGGACTTCAAGTAGCAGGTTGTTGTCAGCAGCACCTCCGAACAACGACAAAACGGCTAGAACGCACCTCCAGGAACCTCCCCCGGTTTCACCAGGCCGCTCTACTCGGTCTTTCACGACGGGTGGCAGCACGAGAACGCCGGGGGGAAGTTCATTTGCTACTTCTTCAACCAGAGCATCTTCCCCCGGCGGTTTAACTTGCGTCATGTCGAGTCGAACACCACGGCAGGACCTTCGAACTCCGCTCTCAACTACCCGAAGCAAGATGAGATCAGATCATGTTCAGCAACTAGTAGAGCAGACCGCAATTGTTATCCCATCTCCCCCGCCAGCGCCACGACCATTACCGCTGACAGCAAGTCTCCGTCCCCCGGTCGGCACGCCTCCAGCGACTCAGGGGCTAGCGTCTTCGTTTCGCGGTACAACTACTGGGAAGATCGTGAACAACGATGAGAGCGAAATCGCCTACAGCTGCAAAGCACGCGCTGATGTTCCAGCACAACAAGGTCCACGGAGTGTACAACTACGTGACGTCGTTGGTGAAAGAACCATTGCCAGTGTGGGAAATATGGGGGCAAGTTCATCTTCTAGTACTAGCACTTCTGGTCCTGGCGCGTCATCTATGTCCGGAATTACCCCTACAGCTGAATGTGGACCACGAACTCTTGAACCTGGTCAACAACAGAACAACACGCACATTATTCCTGCTCCCCGCACCAGCTCTTTCATGCCGACTTTCACACAACTCGACGACCTGCTCAACGAAAGAGCGCACAGTGCAGGTAGCTCATCGTCCTCTGCGAGTGGGGGTATTGGTTCATCATCTTGCGGCGCAACTACTCCCGGTCAGCTGCTGCACGACCCGGAGCTGCAGGACTACAACCAGCAGGTGGCTCCTGTGTACCGTACTGAGGGGAAGGACGAATGGCCACGAGACGATCTTCCGGTAGAAAATCCTCCTGCTCGGGTAGTAAACAAGAACTCGACGCTTTTCGCCTCGCGGTTAAAGCCCTCGGACCGAATTCAGCTGGAGCAAAGCGCGCTGGCGGAATTATCCAATAGATGGAAAATCAGAAAATTTGAAATCTTGTTCACACCATCAAAGTAGAACACCGACTGGCTCTAGTACTTTGACGCTCTAGTACTTTGACGCAGGTTGGGATGATATTAAGAGGTTTGTCGTGGCAGGAGATTGAAAATAAATTAATCGCTAGTGGTGCAGGCTACTGGCTGGGAAGATACGTGGTGCGAATGAGATGGGTAGTATGTTGTTTTTCCTTTTCATAAGCTCGACTGCGATCGGAGTTTCTCACCCCTCGTGAACGAACTGAATTGGAGGAAAAGACGGCTTATCAAATGCAAAAGTGTCTGGGTCTGGAAGAATGCAACTTGTCATGCTGTCTTTGGATTCCAAAAAAATCTGTATTGCGTGACCAGCAACATGAGTCCAGTGCGTGTTATGCGGAGAGGGAATTTCTCATGCGGAATAGGCACTAGGGAGCCCTCTAAAAATCTGTGATGCTAGGTCATGCATTACATGCGTCATGGATCATACAAAATATGCATCACAAATCCCGAAATCTTCCCGACCCAGACATTTTTGCATTTGATACGGCTGCGTTGCATTTACAGTTCCTGGACAGCCTCGACGATTTCATTTCGTCACGGGACAAGCAAAATGACCATACAACCACTACTACTGCAACTTCTACCGGTACAAGTACGAGAGCGACCAATGGCAGTAGTAAAGATCATGCAGAGCAGCAGGTGGAGATGAATGAAACCTCCGGTGGGCCGTCTGGGCGAACAAGCACAACAGGAGCAGCTGGATCATCGTCAACATTTTTGTCCACGACTTACAGCAACAATTTTTCGACGATGAAACCCGATGCGCGACCGTTTCCGACCGCGTACAGCCGCCTGTCGCACATGATGGAAGATGTTTTGGCCAGTGACTCGCCCAGCCCGATGATGGGAAGTATTACCGGGTTGTATTAATTGAATGGATAGATTTGGTCGGGAGTTGTGCTCTTGCGAACGGGAAGGCTTTTTTTTGTCGGAATCGGAGGTGGTGTTGCAGAGTCAGTACGTGTAAATCGAGTAGTAACGGTGTGGAAGTGGAGGAAGAAGGGGTTTGTGTGTGTGTGTGTGTTTGTGTGTGGGAATTTCGGCCCAACGAGTATGATCTTTCTGTACAGGGAGATGAAATTGTTCTACCACAGCATCAAATTCAAATCTATTTTTTTATTTGCGTATCTCTAGTACCCGTACCTGCTGCTGGTGTTGCTAGCTGTTATTGGAGACAGAAGCCAAACTTTATTCTGACTGCCATTACAATTTTGCAATTCCAATATGCTTCCACTTGTAGTCTGCGAAACTCAACAACGACCAAAGTTTTAGGGATTGTGGCCTTTCCGGACAAGTTGTTTGTCCCCCTCCCGTGCTGCGAGACTTATTCGGTGTTATATAGATCTGCGCAGTTGTGGGCGGCATGTCGAGCATTCCGATTCCCTTTCGGGTTCGTGTATGGCGATGAACGTTGAAAAAGCAGCAGGCGAGCCCCCGACGGACGACCCGCGTGGCGCGTGGCTCCAGTGGGGAGCTTGGCAGGCCGGTGCCCCGGCCCGGATGGGAGGCGGCGAGGCGCGGCGCCAGGGCTCTAGAACGGAGAAGGTGGCGCAGTCGGGGCGGGAGACCTCTACGAAGGTACGACGGAGACGCGGCAAAGCAGTCCCTTTGACAATTCGGACGCGCGCGACCCCCTGTTGCAGCCCCTCGGCGGTGATGGACTGCGTCAGGGCCGCTCTTATGGCGTCTGCAGCGTGTTGGGGCCACTGGTCATGATACTGGTTTGGACTCACAAAAACCGCCGCTGGGGGCGACGGGGCTACCGAGGAAAACGAGGAGAAGCGGACAAGCGTCGGGCCTGCGCTCCTTCTCGGGGCGCAAAACATGAGCCCGCCAAACTCATTGCGAACGACTCCGGCGACCCGCCCCCTGTTTTTAGTGCGCGCGCCGCGCTAAACTTCTGCCGGCAGCCGCTGTCGCTACTCCGGGGCGAGGCGCGCCAACCGCCCCCGGCCCCCGCCCCAGTGCGCAGGCGCGCGGCGCACCGAGGGGCCCGCCCGCCCCTCCCCCCTCTGGGCATTTTGTTCGTGGGGGCGGCCGCCTTGGCCCGCGCTCCTTCCCGCGCGCAGGCATGCGCGGCGCGCGCGCCGGGGCGCCGGCGTGTTGTTGGTTTGCTATTTCCCGGGCGGTAGCTCCTGTCCGCAAGTGGGGCGCCCGGCGGCCCTTTCTGCACCGTGCACGCCGCGAACGAATGGCGCCAGTCTGGCGGCCGCCCGCTCTCCCCCGTCCGTTGTTGCGCGGGGGCCGCGCAGGCAGTCGGCGGGCGCGTTGCCCGTTCGTTGAGCCGTGTGCCTATGTATGTCAGTCTGTGTTGATTAATCTACAGACCCCCTCGCGGCCGCAGGCGCTCCCTCGAGGTCGGGGTCCGTGGTTATGCGCATGTCCTCTTGCCGGTGCAAGGTCTGGCCCGTCCTTTCTATATTTTTGGCGACCTTGTGGCCTGGTTTTGTCGCTCCCATTAGCTTGTATATGCGCTGGCTCGCTTGAGAAAACGTGCCGGCGCACTGCAGCTTCTGTCGGTGTGTGTTTGATGTTCCTACCGGCGTCGGAGACTGCGTATCTGTTCTGTGGGTCCGTATAGTTGCATGGGTCTTCTAGCATTGTGTAGTCTGGCCAGCGCCGCAAGGCACACGTTCGTACAACTACATAGTATTTGAATGCTTGTCGCTGCTATTCCTCAATGCTTTTTTTTCGCTCTCGGGCAGGAAGTAATGATTTCGGACGCATGCCGAATTCAAAGCGAAAGGGCCTCTGCGCATCTTCCCGCAGAGATGACGTTGCTGGATTCGTCGTGCCTCAGTACTTGACACGAGATTTTTGAATGCCCAGTCCCAGTTTCCAGTTGAGAGAGTGTTTACACAAAGGAGATAAACGCGACTCTCCTGCGGCGCGCTTCTAGCGCCGTTCTTCAACTTTTTTCGCACATGAAGATGTTGCAGCGTACTTATCTGCTTCTTTTCGCATTGCTCTCGTCGTCCTTGGCCTCCATCGCCTCGGCAGTATCGTTGCAGAGATCCTCGTCTTTCCCAAGCGCAACTAGCACCAACCCCCAAAGAGCAGGTCAAACACCCAACACGAACGTACCAGACCCACCGCGAGGACTACAATTTCAGTCTCAACAGCCCCGTTTTGCAGCAGGAAGCGCAGCAGGAGGAACTGCCGCAGGAACTGGTGTGCAGTCGTCTGTAGGAGCACAGGTTCCCCCCGGCCATCATCTACAACTACACCATGTAGGCCATAGTCAACACCAACATATTGATGAAAAGAACCACAACCTGAAGCACAGCAAAACTCCAACTCCGCCAACTGTTCCTCCAACTTCCTATTTCAACGCGTTTTCTTGTACTTCCGAGGACCTGATCCAACCCGCATCCTCCCTGCTCTGCAGCTTATGACAGTGCACACCTCCCCCTCCGCCTCATTTGTATAGCATGCATGGCCGGCAATACAAGCATCAGCCTGAGTGCCGGTTTTGCATGACAGATTTACATTTACACTAAAGCGTATTGCTATTTGGGCTACCAGAACTTGTCATGCAAACAGTGCTAAAAGGCACAGTCTGGATTTGTGGTTTTGCATGACAAAGGAGGGATAAAGGGAGTGGTGCACCCTCATACAGCTCGCACCACAGCTACAACCACCGGCAGGTGTCCAAAGCCTCCGCTTGCTCCACGGCGGCATCCTCGACTGGGTGTAGTGTTCCAGCCACAGTCGCAGCCGAAGTGCGCAATGCCAAGCGGACTAACAACCAGCACCCCGTTCTCGGCAGCGCGGGAAATCACGTTTTGTCGACAGCAGGGTCGGCGTCATCTCCTGGAGATGTTGTAGTTCACACGATGACAACTGCAACTGGTGCTTACGGAAAGAAAATGAACAATGACGTTGGGCCGCATGATTTTCGTGACGTGTCTGCAGGTGGAATAATTGGAAGTTGTGGCAGTACGTCAGCTAATGGAGGCGGTGGATCAACATCTTCCTCCGCAACTACTCCCTCCACTACTGACCAACATCCCGCCACGACAGCAGCGGCAGCCGCTGCGAAGCGGTTCGTCAACAGTATCGATGCGGCCCATGCGAGCTCTTTTCAACAGCAGCAGGGTAGAGGCGTTGGCTCCTCTAGTTCTTCTGCCAACTATTTGCGGGAGCTGGCGAGCATTGGGAGTGGGTCGCACCATCTGCAGAGGGATTTTGAGACGAAAAGCCGGCAGAAGCGGGAGGGCGGGCTTGGTGGAGATCATTTCAGGCACCCGTTAGACGTGGATCATCATGATGCCGGGCCCTCGCATAGTGTCGGAAAGAATTATAGTCGAAGCAGTAGCAGACATCACCCGACTTCGGGCCTGTTTCGGCAAGATCCCCACCAGGAATTGCAGCAGACACAGAAAACTACAAGCTCGACGTCCTGGAGTAGAGCAAATAATGTTGCCCATGTGTCTTTCTTGAGCAGCAATGAGAATCACCACGATCGGTACCGGGACCAGAAAGTTTCCAGATCCCCAAAAGTTCTAGGTTTGTGTTGCAAAATCCCCATTTAGACTCTGGGGTTGGGACGTTTTTACACGGGATACCCGGATGGAGAAGATCATAAAGTCGGACTTCGTGGTGGAGCGGCCGGAAATGTTTCGCGACCTGCACCACTATCCTGTGTAAAAGTATCGTACTCGTATTGCAATCATGCACTACAAATCCTTTTGTTAAGGTAAATCCGCATTACAGATTTTATTTCTCATGGATGCTGAGGGAATTTGTCATGCATTTCTACGAGTGCGATACTTTTGCAGTTCATAGCCACCTGTTTAAGTTGATACTGCACGAGTTCCTGAAATGCTACAAGGACAACAAACTCGCGATCACCGAACTGCTGCTGAACCTGACCACGGGCCGCGACGAGCTCACGGGGAGCTACGAAAACTGGGACGGGATTTATGAATGTGCACAACTCCCCCTCCCCCTCATTTGTCATGCAAAACCCCAAATCCAAGTGCGTCCCTGCGGCACTATTTGCATCACAGATTCCGGAAGCCCAAACAGTACTACACTAGGCGCATGAGTTTGTCATGCATAGGCTCCACGTGTGGTGGTGTTTGTATTGCTGTTCATGCCAAGGCTGATTGCAGGGCATAGCATCACAGGTTCTGCAGCCCCTCGGTGATGCATATTCTGCATGAGAAATGACCTCTCAGCATGGCCAGAAATGGGGAGCTTTTGCAAGTCACGCAACACAGATTTTTGTATGATCCGCAATACGCATCACAAGTTCGCATCCTTCCAGACCTCCAGGGATTTTTGCAATTGATTGGACATGGTGATCAACAAAAAGACGTACGACGAAATGAAGGCCGATATCCTGAGTAAAAACGTCCCCACCGCATAGTCACGTTGGTAAATCTGCAACACAAATCTCCAAGGTTTGGGAGTTGTGCATGACAAGTTTCCATCTCCAGTGTAGTGCTGGTTAGCAAGGGAAGCGGCATGAGAAAGCCACTTTCTCATCCTGTTTACAGCATTTCAGATTCCAAAACACGATTGGAAATGCCTCTCGTAGAGCTGCGCATTACAAATGTTGCTGTAATCGCAAATCTGCATGGCAACTCTGGGGTGACCGGAGAATCACCATGATCGGAACCGGGACCAGAAAGTTTACAAGCAAATGGCCGGATGAGGGTGGCGCAAAGCAAATTGAATTGCTCTAGAAACTACCACGGACGTACACAAACAGAAACGACCAGGGTCAAACTCACACAGCTTGCACACTAACACTGGGACACAGCTTTTCGCCGCAGTGGTTGAACTTTTCGTCGCTGGAAAATATTGAAACTCGTCGCTGATATTGAAGCGTTTGAACTTTTCGACGCTGGCAAATATTGAAGGACCACCATAACGCGGCGGCCTCGCACCCGCGTGCTTTTGTTCCTCTGCTGTGCTGGTTTTCGTGGAACAAACGAACGGTCTGTCTTCCGGTTTTTTGTTCTTCTGCTCGGTTACGGCGCAGCACTAGACTGCACAAGCAGCGCAAGGTGCTTGAAAGCAGTAGCTCCATTCGATCAAGCACCTCGTGCATGAACGCAGTAGCTCCATTCGCTCTGCTTCTACTAGACTTCTGGCGTTCATTACTCTCCTAGAGTTCGAGTGTATATCCTTTTGGCGATCAGCCAGCACAAGGTGTAGTGCTATTTGAGCTACCTCCGCAGCATCACAGAGCTAGTTCATCAGGCTGATGGTCAACAGCACGGCTGGACTTCCAGCTTCTCGCAGAGCCTGGCCTGCCAGCTTCTCGCAACCCGGGAAGCTGGGCTGCCAGCTGCTCGGAGCAAGAGGGCTGACGTTCCGGCTGCCAGAATCTAGAAGCTAGACTTCTTCTAGAGCCTAGAAATCTAGACGTCTAGAACCTAGAAATCAAAGAACAACGAAATCAGTAAGAAAAATAAAGAAAAAAAGAAAGATCTTACAAAATCTAGAAAATTCTGAGAAATCTAGAAAATCCCAGAACATCTATGAAGAAGTTAGAAAATGATCGAAAACCTCTATCAATAGAGGTTCTTATAGAAGTTCTCAACTATTTTAGTTTAAGTGACCGGAGAATCACCATGATCGGTACCGGGACCAGAAAGTTTCCAGATCAAATGCAAATGTGTCTGGGTCCGGAAGAATGCAAGACTTGTCATGCAGGTTTTCCATGACCCATGAGGTCTAGTATGTAGGACATAGCATGACAGAGTCTGTGAGCGTTCTATCATGCCTATCCTGCATGAGAAACTGCCTCTCGATTAGGTCAAAAGTGGACAGCTTTTGATAATCATGCAACACAGAGTTTTACATGATTCAGATTTAGCATGACAAGTTGCTTTGTTCCAGACCCAGACACTTTTGCATTTGATAGTAGCACCGCAGGTGATCCAGGGGCTCGTGGACATTGACACGCAGCGCTATTTATGAACCGCAAATATCCCTGGATGTCTGGACACGAAACTTGTGATGCTGAGTGGCGTATCAGGAGGAGGCCACAAGTGCCGGCTGAGCATGACGAGTTTCTGAGCTTCTAGGTGTTGCCTAGTATTCTGCGTGACAAATTGCGTTTCTGCGTGACAGAAGAATGGAGCAGCTCTTGGGTAACGCGCGTGACAGTGGCCACATAGATTATGCTTCTCTTCTAGTCGTAGTTCGTTCTCCCCTCTTTTTCATCTGAAAATTTGAAGTTTCTCTGTGCTTTAATTTGGTCTTTCCAGTACATAAACACAAGCATGACAAACTTGCATTTTTCCAAACACCAGACATATTTGCAATGCATACTGATTGGTCGACCAGCTGCAGAAGGAGGGGAAGGAGGTAACCAACTGTTTGTGTATATTACAAGAAAAAGATATAAAACGCAGTACGTGCGTGTCTTCGTAGTAGAATCACCACGATCGGAACCGGGACCAGAAAGTTTCCAGAGTCCCTAATATTTCCGGCCGAACCTGCTCGCCCCACTCAAATCAGTTCTGCTCGTCTTGGGCTGAAACAGCGACTGGGGGAACTACGGCAACTCCACCGAGAACCAGAAGCAGAACCTCTTCCTCCCAAGGTGAAAATGCGGAAAGCGCAGCCACTGGAAACAAGCGAGGAGTAAAAAATCGAAACCGCGAGCAAGGTGGTGCGAGGAGAGAAGAATTGGAGGCGTTGAGATCGCAGCTGATGGCCGAAGATTTCATTTCCGGCCGGAGCTTCAACGCGGCGCAGGTCGGGATGCAAAATTCCTTCTACGGCACGACGAGTCACAACTTCATGTCGACTTTATCCTCCTTGGATGTCGAGCCGGGGTCCCCGAAATTTCCCTCTAGCAACCGGCATCGGAAAAACCAAGACGACTTTGCGAACACCAGTAAGATTGTAAACAGTCGCGCGGACAACACAAACGCTAGTAGGTACGTTCCCGCGGGTGGGAAAACGTCAGTCACAAACCGGCGACGGAACATGTACTTGCCTGGAAATCACGAACATGATGGTGAGTCAACTACTTCTCCAAATGAAACAAAGGATTTTATCCTGAGTAAAAACGCACCCACACCAGAGTCAGGATGGGGATTTTGCAACACAAACCTAGGAGTTTTGTGAGTCACGCTCGACAAGCTGCACTCTGCAGTCTAGTGCAGGTTAGCAAGTGCAGCCGCGTCACAGATTCATCTGCTCATCCTGTTCACAGCATCACAAATTCCAAAACACGACTGGAAATGGCTCTCATGGGGGATGCGCATTACAAGTCTTCCTGTCTTTGCAAATCTGCATTACAGCTCTGGTGTGGGTACGTTTTTACTCAGGATAGATTTGGGTATGAGTTCCACCGTGCAGCTGAGTTACGACGAAATCGTTCGGGGCGGACATCAACTGAAACCCTTGGAGCCGATTACAGTAACCGCGAAGAGGTTTGCAAGGGCGAGTCGGTATCGGGATCATGATGCTAGTGGAATAAACGAGGAAGGACAAGAAGGAAATCAAACAGGAGCAGGACGAGTTGCGGCCGCGCAACACACTGCAGACGAGGCAGCAGGGGGTCGTGTAGTATCTGGGCCTTCTAGAAGTCAGCATCACCACCAGACACATCAGCATCCACGAAGTCTTGGTGCTTCGTCTTCCTCCAACTACCAACAAATTGCGGCCCAGCACGCGCACCAGGCTTTGGAAAACGCGATGGACCTAGATAAGGACGAGATTTTCCTCCTCCACGACCTAGAAAATTTACATATGACCGACACCAACGCAGACGCGCACCCGAGCGACTCCATTTTTCTGAGTAGTCGTGGCGCAGGAGCGCCAGCGCCGGCGGGAGCGATTACAACAACCTGTGCGCCGGATGAAGGGGTTAGTTGTACCACGCGGGATCATCATCATCATCATCATCTGCGAGAACCTCCAAGGTTGTCTGTAGACACGAGTAATGGTGCCGCCGCGACATCGAGTTTGGGATTGGGAACAAACATTGGGACGTGTAGCAGCTTGTCTTCCTCTTGCGGAGCGGGCGGTCTTTCTATACCAGATGCCTTAGACCAGTTGAAGTTCAACACCCTGGTGACTACATCAAGTGGCCACGGGAGCGGTGCTGGAGCAGGTGGAACGATGAACAAGCGGGGTTCATTGAATCCTTACACCGGGGTGTTGAACGACAAGTATGTCGACGCACGAAAACTGCAGCCGCTGGAGATAGGTGAAAAAGCTGCGGCGAAGAATCCGCAAGATGTTGATGAAGAACCCATGATGAGTCAGCGAACTGAGGCAAGCAGTATTCAATTGTTGAACAGTCCGAGGGATCTCTTGAAAAACCTTTTGTGATAGTTTTGCTTTGTTTCTTCGCCCTTCGGGATGTGATGTTAGTTAATTTACAATTTCATTGAGAATGTACATGTACTTGAGCCAGAATTTTATGACTAGCACCTCCAGCGGTAGCAGCTGCTGCATGTGTTATGAGCAAAAATGTAAACCTAAAGCTAATCATTGCGCTCCTAATTGATGAGTACTTACTATGTAATATCCTACGTAAAGTTTAAGTTCTAGAAGAACTCAAAGATAAAAATGAACGCTGTTGAAACTTTTCTGCTCCTCCTTTTGGAGCAAATGTCAGATAGGGTTATTCGGTGAAAGAGAAGTTTTTTCGCGACCGTGCTATCTATCAGGTAGAGGCACCCGTACACTAGATGAAGCTGTTTTTGAGTAGAAGATGTCCGCGAAATGCAAAGGCTGCGAGCCGGTTCTCTTCTTCCTATTACAGGACTTTGTTGTACTGGGAGTTTTTATGCGGTTAGAAGCAATGCATTGCTGACGAGCTGATTAGTGTTCGAATCAACTTATTGTTTGGGTTTTTTTTTTGACGACTTCGCCTTTTTAGCTGGCACATCCAGACGCCGCTCTTTTCAGGTCGCGCCCGCTCTGAGAAACGAGCCGAGAGCCCGCCGAGGGTTGTCGTGAGATGGCCGCGCCGTGGGCGTTCTAAAGCGCCAAGCCCCGGGCCGGAAAGTGCCAAGCCGCCCGCCTTTCTCTTCAGTGTTTTTTCACCGCCTCCACAAATAACAGCGGAGCGCATGGCGCGCCACTCGTTTGCGGCGGGAAACGGGCCGACCGCGGCGGCCGATCCCGCCGCCCCGACGGAGTCCCTTTCGGGGGCGTGCGCCCTCCGCGTGTTGTTGAGTAAGGCCGCGAGAGGCATGCCGCCGGTCATAAAAGCGCGGCGGCGGCCGTGTTCTTGCAGTTCGAAGATGGCCGCGGCGTCATCCGGTCACGGGATGGAAAAGCGGGGGCGGCCATTGGCATCGGCGCGCCCCGATTGCCGAAGACGAAGGACGCGCGCCGTATGATTGGCGGTGGGCGGGGCCGCTTGGGCCAAAACGCTTGCCGGGCATCGGGAACGAATACAGCCCCCGCGCGCACCCGTTGCGCCATGCCCGAGCGGATACATATCCGCGGGGGGCCATGCTTGTTGCGGCCGGCGCCCGCGCCGCGGGTGGGAGTCTAGCCCGCGCGCCCGTGTTGGGCCGCGCCGTGTTGTGTCGCGCAGGCAGCGCGGCCCTATCTTGCCTGGGCTATCTTCGCTCTATGACCCAGCACGCGCCCCAGAGCATCATAGCGCGCAAGAATCTCCGGACGACAATGCTGGCGGCCCAGCGAACAGATGGCCGTCATGAGCAGCCTCGGCCCGCTACCTCTTTGGACACTCCCCCACGCACCCGGCGCCCTGCCTTTGTGTAGTCGTAGCAAGCTAGGCGGCAGAAGGTCGCCGCTGCCTCCTCTTCCCCGTCGGCCGGGGAGCGGAGTAACCCTGCCGCCGCCACGTACGCGGGGCCTTGGCTTGCCTCCCGGGGCCGCCGGCCCGGCTCCCCGATCTGACTGGGGCCGCGCGCCCGCCGCGGCCGGGCCCCGTGTGTCTCACGCACAAAGTTTCCTTGGGGGTCTCTTTTCGCCGCCCCCCCGCGCGCCTGGCCTCAAGCTCGCTGGTGGCCCAGGGCGCGCGGGCCGCGCGCGCGGCGGTTCGCTCACTATGCGCGCCCGGTGCCGCGCAGGGCGCGAAGGCGGCCCCGCGCGTCGGCCGTGTTGCATTTCCGACCAGCCACGCTTTGTGTCTCAACTTCGGATGGGTGGTTTCTTCACGATCTGGGAACGGCTTTCGCTTGTAGCTGTTCTACTGTTCTATCCCCCACCCGGGCAGTCAGTTGATGACTTTACCCAATTGCGTTTACCACCTTCCTATGCAGCTGACCCACTTGTCCTGTTCCAGCAGCTCTGTGTTTTTCTGCATGAAGTAGTATCAGTATGTCTTCTAGTTTTTTTGCTCGTAGCACATGCCGGTCTATTTTTTTTGGTGATGGTATTGCAATTGCTTACTCAGAATCAGAGTCGGATTGTGATGTCTATGCTTCAACTCAAATGGCAGAACAAGCGCACCAGGAGCGTCGTCGGAGAGAGTAGACATAGCCCTTTCGCGATCTTTGACCGCTTTAGCTTTGACCAATTTCGGCTCTTCAATTCTTTTTGTAAGCCTGCGCAATACAGTCAGTGACCCAAACAAGAGATCTAGACCCACCACTCATTGACAAGTAACCCAATACCGATCTAGAAAGAATCATGCGACTCGAATCACTCTGAATGCATATGCAATTGCAAAGCTGCCCACTTCAATTTCCTTTACTACCCGAACCCGTTCACTACCACTTCTTGTTCCTGTGTAACTTATTCGTATAAAATAGCGTACAGTTTCAAAAGCAAAACTACACCATGGTCGACCCCTTCGCCCTCTCTTGTCTCGAGCTGCACGCCGAGAAGCTGGAATTCTACACCCCCTTCCTGAAAGACAACTCGGGTAACGAGTACAAGCTCCGCACCAAGCAGAACAGGTCGGAATTTGTGACGGACTGCTTGAGTTTCCGGGACGGCGCGGTGAACGTTTCTTCGCTCCCTTTCGTGAACCTGCTGAAGAATGGGGTCTTGTCGCAGGAAAAATTCGAGTTATACCAGTCCCAGCTGGAAAAACCGGCGTACCAGCAGATGCACGCGGGGATTATTGGGAAAGCGTTGAGTATGATCGCGGTGGGAGGAGGAACAGCTACAGCAGGAGATCACGCAGATGATGTTGACAGCTATTCAAACCTCCTGTCTCTCCTGCGACCAGAGAAAGAAGCTGATGCTGCTGTTGGCTCTGCAAACGGGGATGAAGTTATGCTGGATGATCTGGAAGAAGACGAGGACGATGCTGATAAAACAACAGACGAGCCCGAAGACGAGGAGGAAAAGGAAATCCGGCTTGCCGCGCTGCGCAAAAGACGAGAGGCTGCGAGGATGGTCACCGCAACAGAGATATGGAGTGTAAAAATGTCTAGATCTGGAAGGATGCAACTTGTAATGCTGCATTTGGATTCCAAAAAAATCTGTATTGCATGAGCAGCAAGGGAAGTGTAATTTTTGCTACTGGATGGAGACGGCATTTGTTATGCGGAATAGGTATCCAGAAGCCCTCAAAAGATATCTGCCGCTAGAGCATGCATCACAAACATCATGGCTCATGCAAAACTTGCATGACAAGTCTCAGAATCTTCCAGACCCAGACACTTTTACATTTGATAAGAGATCTTGCAGAACTGCTTGGCGTTTGTGGCGAAGGAGCAACAAATGTCGAGTAATTCATCTGCATCGTCCTCCACGACGAAAACGTCGAAAATCCCGAATGCAAATCGGAACAATTCCCGATCCGCACCTACCTCTCCAATGACAATGAGAACAATAACAAACAAGAAGCACCAGATCAGAGTTCCGAAACAGGTGAAAGAGTACAAGAACTGCCTCGCGATGGTGAACGAAGCCGGGAGCTTGAGCGGTCTTAGTTCTGAAGATCCAGGCGGCATTCCTCGGCTGGCGGGACTGATGGGTGAGGTAGCTGATTTGATGCCGGAGGAAGTTCTTCCTGTGTTGATTCCGCAGCCAACATCGTTTGGAGAGGAAGAAGGTCAAAAGGTTGAAGACCATCCACTTGCTGCTGCATTCTACGCTGGTTTCAGCAAACGGCTGCTGGAAACCTTGATTCCAGTCGCTGTCCACTACCGGTTGTTTGCAGAGTGCGGGAAGTTTTTTAAGTTTCTGAACTTCACAGCACCACCGGTGGAAGGAGAAAAAGAAGGTAATACTGCAGCTGACCAAAATGCAGCAGTAGCAGCGGCTCCTGAGATGAATCTGTCCGGTGAGCAGGCTCCTCTTGCTCCATCATATCACGAGAAAAAAGTGCTACAGTTACACATTTGTTGGAGTTTCTGCATCACAAATTTTCCCTGTGTGGCAGAGAAGGCTTGTAATGCGAAGATCATAAGGGAAAACAGGACGGAAACGAGGCTCCCAAGCATTTCCTGCATGAGAAAGGTTGTCTCTGTTGCCGGTCTTGCATCACAATGTGCAACTGTAACACTTTTTTCTTGTGATACATCAGCGAAGAAACTTATCACCGACTACAACCGGAAAAAACACCCGTTTTTTGACAGCTTCATCCAGAAGTACAGTGGGAAAATATTCCAACAATTGGCGGACGACTTGGATCTACTGGTAAACTCTCTTTTCAGCAAATTTCTCCGGTTCACCTCGTTCTCCTCATCTCTCGACCAGGCTGCCGGAGTACTAGAGCTGCGGCAGGAAGTGATCGTTTTCAAAGCCCACTATCTCCGTTTCCTCGAAGCAGAAATCGCCGCGCTTCACGAATTTTCCGCGGTGGACCCGCTGATATCCGATCCGGACCTGCACCGGGAGCGCTTTTTCCACGTGATAGAAGTTGCACAGAAATTGTCTGCGCCAGGAGAGCAGGACCAGGATCTGACTCTGCTATCCAGCATGACAAATTTCGAACCCAGCCCCAGTGTTCTTCTCCTCTCGTCCGCGAGTGTGAATGCCGTCCGGTCTGGGCAGACTAGTTCTGCCGACGGCGTCGTTCAGTTACTCGACAACCTCGACTCTACCGAGTTGAAAGTCTTGTCAAGATTACAAATCGCGACCGCAACTTGTCATGCGGTCAACGAATACGAAGTGGCGAATTCCGTGTTCGAGCAGGAATGTTTCCTGGAAGAGTTCCGGGGGAGAATTAAGACTGCGCTCACTAACGGTTCTAGCATGACAAACAGTCAGGGAGCAGGTGAGGAGGACGAAGCAACAAAGACGAAAATTCTCAAGGTAAACAATTTGAATAATTGGAGCGCGAAAACGATCCAGGTCTTGTCGGAGGAAATTATCGAGTCCGAAAAGGAGAACCCTTTTGACGGGAAAAATCCGCCGTTTTTGTTGATTTGCGATGCGACGAACGCTTCGGGACGAACTACAGGTAACAACAAAACCGCCGATGATCCGCAACTCGTGGAGCAGCAGCAAGCACAATTCTTCGCGTTGCAGGAATTTTTACTTTCGAAGGCGTTTCTCTTAACCGGTAGTTCCAGCGAAGTTGGGTTTTTCCTGAACAGAAGCGAAAGAGAAGTGATGAACGACCCAGATGGCTCGGCGATGGAAATGTTCCGGAAATTCATGGGGTTGAATTCTTTGCTTCTTGTAACCGGGGAACAAACGGGAGTCGATTTGTTCACGTTGTACATTTTTCTCCCTGCGAACCACAACTTTTTGAAGAAATTGTCCTCTAGTTCTGCGAAGAATCTGACCACTGTTCTGAAATTGGAGTCGTATCGAGAATTGATCAAGCAGCAACGGCGGGACTTCGTGGAGTCGCTCGGAGATCTGGACGAATTGGCGATGCTGAGTACAACTAGTGGTACAACAACTTCCTCGACCGGAGAGATAATTATGAACAAGATCTGCATGAAGGACGTGGAGATCACCCCGGAATTATTAACCGCAGTCGCTGCGAACGGGAAAAAGTTGGCGAGTAAGGTGTTGAAAATCGAATTCAAGCCGCATTTGACGAATTTACAGAAGAATTTGATTAAATCGAATTTACTCGAGCAGAAGGAAAACCGGACCAGCTCGTGTTATTGTAACGACAGTTTTGGGGCGATTGTTTCAGCGGTGGTGGTTGGGGAAATTGCGAAGTTTGTGACGCTATCAAATGCAAAAATGTCTGGGTCTGGAAGAGTGGAACTTGTGACGCTGTCCTTGGATTCCAAAAAAATCTGTGTTGCATGAGTAGCAAAGGGATTGCAATTTTTGCTACGCTGAGACGGCATTTGTCATGCAGAATAGGAATCAAGAGGCCCTCAAAAATTCTGTATTGCTAGGGTATGCATCACAGACATCGTGTGTCATGCAAAACGTGCATGACAACTGTCAGAATCTTTCAGACCCAGACATTTTTACATTTGATACACGCCACCACCAGGTGGAGGACTTCTGTCGTCGGACGGAGTGGGCGTAGGGGTAATGCAGGAGTCCTCTTCGAATAGTCCGTTTTCCTCGGTGGAGTGTTTGCCGAAAGCAGCGTTTTCTGGGATGAACTTCTTGTTTAGTTCGATCAGTAACGGGAAAATCAGTCCGCAGTGTGGGAAGGTCAAGGTGTTGTAAGTGTGAGAAATGATATGGTTTATTTAGTTATGCTACACCTTCACCTGCACATCACTGTCGCTTTAGTAAATGTAAAAAGTCGTGACAAGAAGGATGGTTACAACACAATGAACGTGAAAAGGACGACGACGTTAAAACGAAAAGTGAGACAATGTCGAGCATCATGTCTTTTTCGCATTCATAAGTTTAAGTACTTGAGTATTCCACTCCCAGTCATAGTTTTTTCGAAGTACATGAAAATGTTTGTAGTACTAAGTTGAACACAAAGTAGCATCCATAGGCCGCACACAAATAATCTCTTATGGACTAACCAATGCCGAGGTGGTCTTTCTTGGATGAACGCAGCGTAGGAGCTGAATAAGTCTTGCCATTATTTGAAGATGAAAAGCAACATCCAGTATAAGCAATTGCAATGTGCAGTAGCCGGAACCATCACCGGTGCCTACAGCCTCCATGATTCAGTAGTAGTCCACAAGTACTACATCGGCCAAACCATCAACACGTCGAAAGAAAAAACTTGATGAATTGTCTAAAATGCACTGACTCACCCTGCGAAGATAGCGCAGTTCGGAGACGGATTTAGTACATAGAGTTTTAGTGATGTTCCACTTCCAGCGGCAGGCAAAGCGACACGGTGCGGAACTGGGTTCCCGAAAAGTTTTCCAGAAAAGAGCCAGTAATGCGAAGGACGGCAAGCGCAAGAACTCGGGCGTGGGGCTCGCGTCAGCCGGTTTTGCGGCCAGATTACCTCTTTGGCGCGGCAGGAAGCAAGCGCCGCCCGCTGCCTGTGCCGCGTGGCGGGTTGTGCAGCGTGGCGCCGCCCAGGCCTTTTCCGCTCGCATCGGCTAGGTTGGCAGCCGCGCCGCCCAGCAGCGCGAGGCCGGCGGCGCACGGGCCTGGTTGCCGGGTGGCAGACGCGCCGGCCAGTGTAGTCGCAGCGCCTCCGAGCATTCCGGGCGCGCGCGCGTTCGTGGCAGCGCGCCGGCCCGGTTGGTGGTAAGTGTTCGCAGTGGCGCCCGGCCGGCGCGGCGCCTGCTGGCCAGCCCCATCTGGAGACTGCAGAGGCCCGGGGCAAGGTGGCCCCTCCTGGCCAAGGCGGAGAGAGTAGCTGCCCCGATCGACCTCGGCCGGCTTCGCCGATACGCCGCACGCAGGCAATGCCGGGGGGGCTGCCGCGCGAAGCACTGCGCAGGCTGAAGCGTTCTTCTCCGCGATTCGAATCGGGGGCGCATCCAGCGAAATGGGCCCCGGGGGCGCCGGCGGGCGCCACGGGATGGAACCAACGCAGCAAGGGGCGGGCAGCTGGGCGACGGGCGCGCGCGTTCGCGCCCCCCGCCCCGCATCGCTTGGCCATTGCCGGTCGCTGTCCGGCCGCCCTTTTTCGTGGCGTGCATTGGTTTAGGGGTTGGCCGGTGCCCGCCCGCCCCCGCCCCTCCGTGTGTCTCTCTGTTAGCAAGCAAGCGAGCGCGCCCGGCGGTTCCGCGCGCCCTTTGGCGCCCCCTTGGGTGAATGTGTGCGCCGACCCTTTATTTTGGAAGGCAGCCAGCCAGAGCACGCAGGCGGCGTCCCGCGGCGGCCTCAATCCCTGTGTGCCAGCCTGGCCTGGCGCGGGCTCCTTGCGTGATGTGGATTCATTTTTGGTTGTGCGCGGGGTCAGCCTGCCCTAACGCGCCGCGCGGCGAAGATGGGGGGCACGAGCGTAGGCGCCTTCTGAGCCTGCCCCCACCTGTTTGCGCGTCGTTCGATCGTTCTTTCGTTTGTGGACGTGTTTCCACTTGCTGAACAACGAGGGCGGGTTGTGCCACTTTCCATCCAGAACCGCGCTCCTGCTCGCGCTCGTGTTCATCTACTATGATTTTGTTGTGCCGTGTCTGTGTGATATTATCCTGGCCCTCGTGATTAAGCGCTCGGTGTGCACGTGGTTGCACCATCAGAATGCATTCGACAGCGGATGAAAAAAACCTCTTCACCGTTATGCCCGCCTGTATGAAATAAAAATTGAAAAGAACCAACGCAACCGCAAGAAGTGAGATCGGTTCTTCATTTTCGTCAGCTTCTCGGTATTTCCCTGCTGACATCGCGCCCTCGCAAATGATGATGAAGTGCTCGGCTCTATTCCCCGTGGTCGCCTGTAATGTGATCATTGTTCTGTGCTGCATGTGCTAGTGCTTGTGCGTCGGTGTCGATTAACATGACTTTCTCAAGCCTTCCTTTCATGACGAGGATGTTCTGTCATATTATTCGCGGTGCTTGAAGATCTCTTACTTGCTCAATTTAACATCATGCAGATGCTCCCTTGCTTACCGTGACACGCGGAAAACCTGATTTATACGATTTTCTTTTATTTATTTCCCCATTTCACCATCTTTCCCACCAACTTGATTTCCACCGCTTTATTTCCTTTCCAATATCAAAATCAAAATGAGTTTCTCCTCCACCGGCGCATCGGTCCAGGTGGTCCGGGTTGAGAAGCTGGCGCCAGCAGCCCAAGCTGGAAGCTCTACTACTACTTCTATCCAGAAGCCCCAGCCGCACAACATGACGATTTTCCAAGTCAAGGTCAACATTGTCCGGAAGCAAGACGAAGCTGCACAACTACAGCAAGGCAATCTTCATGACGACGACGAACACAAGGCGTCGAATGAGATCAAGAATTCCATTTTACTCCTCGCCAAGGAGTACCCGATGTGCAGCAAAGAGTGGTTCGCGAAAATCGCTGCGCATATTTTTTCCACACCGGACGTAGTAGCTCCTTCTGCTGAAGGACCTACAGCGATTTCAGCCGCTCCGCAGCAAGAAATCAAATCCGTGACCGTCACTATCGAGGAGGAGCTGTGGGAGAGAGTGTACGACGACGTGCACGAGCAATTTCACCACCATGTGTGGCGTATGCATTGCAAACATGTCTGGGTCTGGAAACTTGTGATGCTGGGTAGCGTATTATGTATGAGGAGGCCACATCAAGTGCTGGCTTAGCATGACACGTTTCTGAGCTTCTAGGCGTTGCCTATTCTCCATGACAAAGTGCGTTTCTGCATGACAGAAAAAAAATGGAACTCTTGGGTGCCGTGCATGAGAGATTTAAGAGTCATGCCCGACAAGCATGACAAACATGCATTCTTCCAGAGCCAGACTACATATTTGCAATGCATATGGCGCTTGCGCTCCCCGGAGAAGAAGTGGTGCGTGTGCGACATCCAGGACTGCACAAACGTGGCGAGAAAACAAAGTTTGAAGGGCGGGGTGAGGAATCTGACATTATTGAAAACCGGCGAAATGGGGTTGGGGCTGGGCGGTGCAGCGGGGGCGCAGGTGCTGGCAACCAGCATCGACGCGGAGTGGCTGTTTCGGGAGGAAGGTACAGTTTCGGTTTGCTGCTCAACTACAACTTCCAACTAGTACTAAATTTCGAACGAGGACGAGGTCCGGAAACGTCGCACAATCTAGCATGTTCGGATTAAGGGTTTAGGATTTAGGATGAAGAAGAACTGCAACGTACAAGCAAAGTAAAGATCAAGTAGATCAGTGCTGACGGTTCAACATATTTCTATTTGTCTTGCATCAACCCCATTTCTTCAGGTTCCACCGCCGCCCAAACAATTGACTACGACACCTTCAACCAAAAATTCATCAAAACCCTCGTTACGGAATTCGCCGGGCACCCGGAGCAGGGGGTGTTTGTTTCCTCCCTGCAGAAAACTTTCTCCGACATGGCCGAAGCGGTGATTACCCGCTTCGGCGCTAGTACTTCTACGGAGATCATGATGAACAGCACGACATCCGCAAGTCCACTGCCCTTAAACTGCATTCAGAAGGTGAAGCTTTCCACCCACCCGGAGCAGCAGTACACGATCACACCGGCGTTCTCCGCGTTGGCCGATCAGGATTTCACGAACGAGGAAGCAGAGTATGACAGTGCACAACCCCCCCTCCCCCTGATTTGTCATGCAAAAACCCACATCCAGGTGCAGTGCTACCTTGTGACACCGCGTGCATGACAAATTCCGGAAATCCAAACAGTACGACACTCGGCCGCGCATGAACGTGTCATGCACAGGGTCCACTTGTATTGGTGTTTGTAAAAATGCTGTTGATACCATACAAATGAGGGGGAGGGGGAGTTGTGCATTCCATTGTCATACAGAGCAGTTTGCGAACGTGTTCACCGCCGTGAAATCCGGGTCGACACATGGGAGGACAATTGAGGTAGAGCTGGAGGCGGGTGCGACGACGTTGAAAAGTCCGGGAGGTAGTACGACTGGCTCTCGTCCGGCCTCGAGCCGGTTGGAAAAGCAAATCGGGCACTTACCATCCCCCGTAAAACCAGACGCGAAGCCGAAACTCCAAGCAGAAATTAGTGCATCAGCAAGAGCAACAGCAACTCCTGCTGCACCTGCTGCATCAAATGCGGACAAAACAATTGTGGAGGAAGAAATTTCGGACCTCGTAGCCGCCGGCGCAACTGACACGCCGAAAGGACCACAGCCACCGCCAGCAGCTGGTGCAGCAGCATTAATCGAGCAGCCTCCACCGGCGAAGAAGCCGGATCCTTTGCCGCTGAACTATGGGACTCTCAAACGTTACATTCTCAACTGTTACATGAATTTGCCATGCAAAATTGGCGCGAGCATCTACCTGACCAAGCTGCTTCGCATGACAAGTTCTCGACGCGCCAGATAGTATTCTTTCTAGTCTGCTCTAAACCTGTAATGCAAAAGGCGCAACCTTTTCCCTTTCACTTTTGCCATTTTTGCATTACAAATTTCATGTAACAGTTGAGAATGTAACGCTTGAGAACGCCATAGGAACCCAGCGGCGCAGAAGGTCCGGAATAAGTTGAAGGTGCTGAAAATTCAGCAGGGCGGGACGGGTATCATGTATTCGGATAACAAAGAGGATGTCAAACAAATTGCGGCGATCGGGAATTATACACCAAGCTCATCCCCCACAAACCAGCCGAAGTCGGCGAATTCTATACCAGCCTCTCCAGCAGGATCAGCACCACAACTCCCGCTCACCCTCGCCTCCGCAACCACATCGCAGGGGCAGCAGCCATGCTTCTTCGCGAAACTCGGCATTGTCTCGAGAACAACCTACATCGAGAAAATCACCCCCTGCTACCCGAAATGCCCCTGGCTGGTGGAAAAGTCCTGGCCGAAGTACGTGAAACAGGTGGATTTTCTCTCCTATCACGAGGAAAAATCCCCCCTCCCCATATCGAAAACGAAATTTGTGATGCTGTATTTGAGTACACAAATCGACTTGTAATGCTAGAAGGCCAAGAGACGCAGCTGTGGCCTCGTTTGCAGGCAATTTGTCATGCAGTTTCCCACTTCCAGCTGCCCCCTGTTATGCTGAAGATGCAAGGCTTTCCCACGCCAACCAGTACTACAGTCCGCATCTTTTCCCTTCTAGCATGATAAAGCTGATTTGTGACCACAAATCTGCATCACAAATCTCTAGTTTGAGTATGGGGTGGGGGGATTTTTCACTTTGATATCTCCGCCATGGACTTCTTACTCCATCTCCGGTTTGTCATGGAGCAAGAGCCGCAGGAGACGCAATTGAAATTACTCCGGGACTACGCAAATTTTGTGGAAGAAGAACTGTTTCAAAATCCGAATCAACCAATGACAAACGTCTCGGCGACGGACAAGCAGAAGTTTCTGGTTCTAAACGGAAAATACGCGAACAAGTTTTTCTTCCCGTTTGTGTTAGCAATTTCCGGGTTCAGCATGGAGAAAATTTTGGAGATTTTGGGAAAAAGGTTGGAAAATAGCTTCGACCAAGAGTTGCACGAGGGGATGAGGCAGGTGCATCGGATTGCGGAAATACAGATACGGAAGGTGGTTTACTAGAATTTTTTGCAGTTGCTTTTGCAACGTGATGTTGCATCCATAATTTTCACGTTATGATTTGTCAGCCTGCCTTGATGGTTGTGGCTTCTTACACTAGTACGATCTTCCGGCAAGAACTTTTTCTCTACCGCTGCAGTCTTTCGCTCTATCATGTGAATTGAAAAAAGTTTCCAAGAATCACGGTACGCTCCCATTTTGCTTCAGATTTTTTCGCAAATACATCTTTTGGAGTCAACATTCCTAACTGTTTCTAGAATGTCACGAAAGGGGAAACGCATCACGAGCCTGTCGCTCTTACTTCAGAGTAGGGAATTCGAAGATGAAGAATGAATGCAGGCTGCGATCATGATATCTGTTTTTCCTGCCAGATAGTCGGGCACATAGATACGTCTGTCCGAGTAATTCCAAGTTCTTGCGATCAAGAGCTATTCATATTCTATTTTTATGCAGATGCAGAATTTCTTTTTTATGCAGATGCAGAAGTAACAAGAAAAAGTGTTCACCAGTTTCCGTTCGAGGTGAAACGTGCCGTAGTGCAGCTTCGTAGTTGCTGCCTACTTGCGCCACCTCGGCAAAGAAAAAAGAAACAGAACAACACGACGAGAGGACGTCGAGAGTAGTACACGATGTCATGGTGTGCTGGTTCAAAATAGATAAGGAAAAAGCAGTTGCGATGAAGTTCAAAAAAGTTTATAGACATAGAGTTTGTTGTCACGTACTAAGCCTGCAAGGCTGCTCATGAAACAAGTTTACGCTTAAAGCAAGCCAGTAATTGATCTTTCCCGTTCGTTGATGAGAGAACACGAAAAAAAAAAGCCTGTGCTTCAATGGTATACAGCGACTACGACATAGATGATTAGCGTTTACATTTAGGAAGATACCTAGCAAATTATCACGAGTGTGCCTCCATTCATTCGCTCTATTCGATAGCTGAGTAGCAACGTATTCGTACTGTGTGTAGTAGCGACAATAAGAATAAATTCTATCCTCTGCTGGTGTGTTCTTTCATAGCGACATCCTGAAACACAAACAATTCAAAGTGGCACAAGAGACAAAGGGCGACACCTGTCATGTCGGAGATAAACCACGTGACACATTTATACCGTAGTGACACCCATCACTCCTTAGGTTAGATGACTCTTTTCAACCTTTCGGCCAAAACTCCTAAACCAACATGCCGTCGGACCAGAATGTAAAGATGGGTGAAACGAAAATGGAGGACCTTGCAGCTTCCGGGGCCTTATGCTCTGCAAAAGTATCGCACTCGTATAGCAACCATGCATTGCAAATCTTTTCCTTGAGGTAAATCCGCATTACAAATTGTCTGTCTCATGCTGAGGAAATTTGTAATGCATTTATACGAGTGCGATACTTATTTTGCAGTTCATAGGCCTCGCCCGTCCAGCCCCCTCCCGTGAAAAGGGCGAAGTTAAATCCGAAGGTAAAAATGGAGACGAAAAACAACGACAAGGCCACCGGTATCCTGAGCAAAAACGTCCCCGCCCCATAGTCAAGTTGCAAACTCTGCAACACAAATCCAGAAGTTTTGGGAGCCACGCATGACAAGTTCGTCTCTGTATTGTAGTGCATGTTAGCAAGGACAGCCGCATCACAAACCCATCTCCTGATCCTGTTTACAGCATTACAAATACCAAAACAAGACTAGAAATGTTGGCTCTCATGGGGATGCGCATTACAAGTCTTTCTGTCTTTGCAAATCTGCATCACAAAGCTAGGGCGGGGACGTTTTTACTCAGGATAGCCACCGGCAGCTCCAAAGAGAGCGGTGGTGCTGGTGCATCAAATAAGGAGGAACAGCAATATTCCAAAATGACGCACCACGAGCACATTCTAGCCCGGCCAGATACGTACGTGGGGACCCGGCAGGAGAGGAAAGAGAAGATGTTCGTGCTGAACGCAGCGGGGGAGAAATTTGAGGAGAGGGTTCTCAGGTATAAGGAAGTTGTTGTACTGCATGGCGAGAACAATTATTTGTGATGCAAAACTCGCGGCCTGAGGCAAAGGCGTGTAATGCATGAAGACGATGAAGCTCTATACTTTTGCTATCAGGTACTGTCCCGCCCTGTACAAAATCTTCGACGAGATCCTGGTAAACGCCGCGGACCACATGCAGCGCGACAGCACCTGCGACGAAATCAGAGTTGAGATGGACACGAATACCGGGAGAATCTCCGTCGAGAATAACGGGTCCGGGGTCCCGGTGCAAATGCACGATATGGCTTGCTCAGATGTTGCAATCCCAAACGTTACAATAGAATCTGAAATTTGTCTTGCATAAACAGCATGAGCCTCATACAGAGGCTTGGGCTTTTCGCAATACAAATTTCGCCAGATGATTGATGTCACGGGGTTCCGAAACTTGTCATGCGCGCTCCTGTGGCAGTAGGCCAGATGTTGCGCATTTTGCAACACAAATTTCAGATTGTAGTATTGTAACGTTTGAGATGGTAACACCTGAGCGGGTTATACACGAGGAACAGAAAATCTACATTCCAGAGTTGATTTTCGGCAACTTACTCGCCGGTGATAATTTTAACGACGACAAGCAAAGAGTAACCGGGGGTAGGAACGGGTACGGTTATGCAAGAAAAAAATTGTGTAAGTGTAACTCTGTAATGCAGAACATGCAACATAGTATACACCTGTCATGCCAGACAGCCATGAAGTCCTCTTTTCCTGTGTGTTTTCCCTTACAATCCACGCATGGCAGGTTTTCTCTGTAGTCATGTAGAGCAAATTTGTGATGCTGTCAGCCAAAGAACAAAGTTACACTAACACAGTTTTTTTCTTGGATAACGGTGCGAAGTTGACGAATATCTTCTCTTCCCGGTTTATGCGAGTGTCAGGATCGAAATCAACAAAATCGAAAAACTTGTAATGCATAAAATGTATGGCACGCGAGGCCTGTATTGCGGGGCAGGCAAATGAGGCCGATTGTGAGCCTGTTTAGGGGTATGGAAGTGCTGCAAAAGTGGCTTGACAGGAGCAGCCTTCTCTGCGCAAACAGCATGACAGACTGGATTTGGGTGCTCCCGAAATTTGTCATGCGCCACTTGGAAACTGAGGCTCCAACTGACATCGATTTTGTGCATCACAAATCTTTCGATATTGTGAATTTCGATTCTGACACTTCCATACGGTTCGAGTTGGAGACGGTGTGTTTACGACACTTGAAGTCCTATAAGCAGGTCTGGACCAACAACATGAAGAACAAATCGGAACCGGAAATCGTGGACTTCTCAAAACCTGAACACGCCGAGAACACGCCGACGGAAGCGATGACGAAGATCACGTTTTACCCGGATTGGCACTACTTCCCGCAATCTGGTTTGACGGAGGACACGGCGGCTCTGTTTCAGAAACGGGTCTACGACATCGCCGGGTCGACGGATAAAAGAGCGAAGATTTTTCTGAACAAGAAGGAATTGCCGATTAGAACGTTTGAGGATTTTGTGAAGATGCACATACCAGAAAATAATGTTGCTCCAGCACAACAAGCAGCCGCAACTTCTTCTGAGCAACTACCCGCACCAGCGGGGGCTGCTGCTGTGGTCACAGCCGGGCAATCCTCATCCTCCAGCTCCTCTACGAACGCAAAGACTTTTCCTATCGTGCCAGTGAAACAAGAAGCAGACGTGGACGACCGCTCCTCCGCCGCATCCACGATGAACAACGACAATATCACGAACCCAGACTCTATGACAGTCCACAACTCCGCCCCCTCCCCCTCATCTTCTGTGTCGCATGAGCAGCAATACAAGCGTCAGCGTTAGTCCAGGTTTTACATGACAAATTTTGACAGGAGTCTAGTAGTGCTATTTGGGCTGCTGCCAGAACTTGTCATGCAAACAGTGCCCAGAGCCCAGGCGTAAGTTGGGCATTTTGCATGACAAATGAGGGAAAGGGGGAGTTGTGCACTCTCATAATTTCCCTAGCCGTCGGCCCGGGGACCTACGCCGGGACCGTGGTGACGACTGGAACCGTCGAAACTGCGACCAACACAACTTTGGAGAAAACCGCCGCGGACAACGAGGTGGACGAAAACGAAAAAGTCCACGGGATTTTTGCCCGCGAGGTGCTTACCTACCCCTCCGCACGGGATTTCAACGGGAAGGCATCAAAGAAAGCGATCGAACTGAAGTGGGAGGTGATCTTAGCCTACAACACGTTTGACGAGTTTAAGCAAATTTCCTTCGTAAATTCGATCCGAACCTACAAGGGCGGGTCGCACGTGCAGTGGATAAAAGAACAAGTCCGGAACATTATCAAAAACAAGTGTTTGAAAGAAGCCGGGAAGAAGAAAATTAAGAAGGATTTGATCAAAGACTCCGACATCGACGGCGAAATTTACATGTTTGTGAACGCGTTGATTGTCAACCCGCAGTTTGATTCCCAGTCCAAGGAAACTTTGAACACGAAACGGGACCAGTTTAAAACCGACACCGTTTTATCCGACCAGTTTAACGCGGAGGTCGAAGATTGCGCAATTATCGACACAATTCTGTCCTACGCGAGCGCGGCTGGGGAGGGGGAAGCGGCGAAGGCGTTTGCAGTGGACCGGAAAGAGCGGGGAGACGACGCTGGGTGGAATTTCGGGGGGAGGGCGAGAAGGTATAGAAAAGTGGACTATATTGATATTCTGAGCTGTGAGTTCTTTGTCATGCGGGATGAACTTGTAATGGAAAGTTGTGCTTGGCATGTCGACCATTCCCCAACATGACAGAACCACAAAGTGAAAACCCTGTATCTAATATCAGGCTCCAAGACGTCCCGAAGCTGGAAGACGCGAACCTCGCCGGCACAAAGCGGTCTAAGGAGTGCACGTTGATCCTCACCGAGGGTGACAGTGCGAAAGCGTTGGCGGTTGCCGGTCTGTCCATTGTCGGAAGGGATCTTTACGGCGTATTTCCCCTCCGCGGTAAGCCGATGAACGTGAGGGATGCGGCGATCAAGGATGTCACGAAAAATAACGAGGTGAAGCAGATCATGAAAATTCTTGGCGTGAATCCCTTCGACAAGTCGAAAATCCCGAAAATCGACGACATATGCAATGCAACAGCATCGTACTAGTATGAATTGCATTGGAAATTAGCTGCCCAGCATTACATATTAAATTTGTAATGCTGATTTGCCTTGAAAAAGAGATTTGTAATGTATAAATGCAATTACAACTACTACGAGTACGATACTTTTGCACAGGATACGACATGCGGTACGGCTCTGTGATGGTGATGGCCGATCAGGATCTGGACGGTTCGCACATCAAGGGGCTCTTGTTGAACATGTTCCAGACCTATTTTCCCCAGCTGTTGCACGACTTCGAGCACAATTTTCTGAAGGAATTCATCACCCCGATCGTGAAGGCAAGCAAGAAGCAGCCAAATGGGGAGGTGGAAGTGAAAGAGTTTTACTCGCTGATCAGCTACGAAGCGTGGCGACAAGAAACGGACGGGGGGAAGGGCTGGGAGTTCAAGTACATCTACATAGTGCGGCTCTGGTTTCTGTTGCTCAACATTATCTGCATGGAGGTTGCATTTTGATGACGCGCAAATTCTCAAATAATTGCATGCTGTACTACCTCAGATGTTGTGGTGTCCTTTTCCTTCAGATGCTGCGTTCTAAGGGGTGTGGCGGAACTGGGTAGGGTGTGCCCCTGGAGCTATCTAGGCTCAGTATCAGTTCGCTACGCGGAGTCGTCCTGGATTGCGTGGTGCTCTTGGGGCTAGGCTGCTATGCCCATGGGCTGTGGCCCACTGATGTGGTTTTTAGGAATGTTATCCGCCTCTGCGCGGCGATTGGCGGTGGTCGAGGGCTCGCAGGTCGGTCCTCCGGTCCCTCTTTGGTTCGCCCGAATTCATCTTGTCAGTTCTCTTCCCTGGGTTCTTCGGGCCGCCTGCGCTGCGGCGTGTGGGGAGGGGCCTTGAGGCATCCTTGTAGGCTGTCTCTACGGTGAGGGACCGAGACGCCCTTGCCCTCTCTCCTCCGATCACGCCATAGGGCGCGTCGGGTTGATGGTTCAGATTGATAGGACGATAGGAACGAAGCGAAATGCATGCTGTACTACCTCAGATGTTGTGGTGTCCTTTTCCTTCAGATGCTGCGTTCAAGTTGAAACCAGCGCGAGAATTTCGCAAACGGGGCGCGCGTGGACGCGTGGGCCACAAAGGGCCCGCCTTCATTCTGAAGCTGTTTCTTTTTGAGAAACAAGGGGCCTACATTCCGTCCAGAAACGGGACGAGAAGAACGCGCTTTGTGACTTCGGAAGAGTTTTCATTTTGGAAGACTTCTCACTCCGGTCCGTTTCCCGCAGGGCTTCGAACAGCGGAGTGAGAGGTCAGCGACCTTCCGCTTCTGAAGCATTTTCATTCTGGAAAAGTGAGAAATCACTGATTTCTCACTTCTGAAAAGTTTCCATTTTGAAAAAAGTGAGAAGTCACTGACTTCTCACTTCTGAAAAATTTTCATTTGGGAAAAGTGAGAAATCACTGATTTCTCACTCTGTTTCTCGAACACCTTCGAGAAACGGAGTGAGAAATCAGTGATTTCTCACTTGTGAAAAATTCTCACTCCGGAGTCGGAGTCGCGTGTACTCTTTCCAGAGTGAGAATTTTTCAAAAGTGAGAAATCACTGATTTCTCACTTCTTTTCCCTAAGCCTTTCGGAATGTGTAGTGACTTGTCACTCCGAGTGAAAACACCGCTGAGCTTTCACTTGGTTTTTTGAGTGTCTTCTGGAGGCAGACTGAAAGCTCGCTGCGTGCGAAAAGTTGGTGGAGTTTCACTCTCCCACTTTTCCAGCCTATTCGCAAAACGGAGCGAAAAAGCGCGGGCTTTTTATTTCCTTCCTGAGGGGTTCTTTGGGCGAGCCCGGAGTGCAAAGTCAACGCGTTTTCGCTTTTGTTGACAGCGCGCAAAGTCAGCCGGTTTTGATCGCCCGCCTAGGGAGATTTGTTTTGTGCCGCCGATCTTCGTGCTGCTGCAGATGTTTGCTAAGCTTCAAAAGAACTACACCAGCGCGCCAAACCGATCGACTTGGCATGAATTGCGTCCCCCGAGGGCGTTCGGAGAAGTTTTCCGGCGAAAAGGGGGGGGCTTTTGCGAGTCATGAATAATTGCATGCTGTACTACCTCAGATGTTGTGGTGTCCTTTTCCTTCAGATGCTGCGTTCAAGTCAGCCATAGACGGACCGCTCTTTTCGCTCGATCAATGGGAGCAACATCGCCACGGAAGCCTTTACTTTGGGTGCGCTGTATTGCATGCCAAAAGCAAAAACGGCACTGCGCGCGCCAGCACTGACAGGGGCTGCAGGCTGCCCTTGCATAGGGCGCAGAACTACTGTAGGCCCCCTTCGCACCTGCTCGCGCGCTCTGTTAGTTTGAATTGCAGTGGCTGGCGCGCTCTGCTTTGTTTCTGTGCTGAAGCAAAACAATGATGGGCGGTAGCGGGGTCATGGGGTGGGGGAGGCGGGGCTTTCTCTTGAATGATTCACGGACGGGCAGCGTTTTTTTGCCTTTTCTGAGGATATTCATTCGGGAGCCGGCTCTTGTTGTGAATTTTCGCAAGAAGCGCTGCTTTTCTGGATCCCGATTTTGAATCATTCAGCGGCCGGGAGCAAGCGGCCGGGCCTTGCTTCCCTTTTTTTTGCCTCTAGGCACACACGCCGCAGGCCTGGGCAGAAGCCTGGCGCACACGCTGCCAGATTGCATTCCAGGCGCAGAACTACCTTGCTTACCGTCTAGGTATGGGGTGCGTCTTGTTCTGAGTTGCAGAACGAAGAAAAACCTTGCAGGCGGCGGCAACGAAGCCAAGGCGGGCACGTAGCTGCGCGCGCAGGCACGTAGCGACGCCTATACTTCTTCTCCCCGGTGCTTGTTGGCGCAGCTACGATGCGCCGATGAAACAATGCGCAACTATTTCCGCGTGCCGGAGGCGGAGGCCGCTGCCACGCCTCAGACCTCCGCTGGCGCCGTTGGCGTTGCTTTTTTTGCCGCGCCTGCTCGGTAGTTGCCGGCGGCGGATCCTAGTTGTGGGTCTGCCATAAACAGCGACTGTTTTGAAACTCAGGGCGTGGCTGTTGAACCCGGAAAACGTCGGCTTCGGTGTCGGTGACGGGCGTGTTTGAAAAAATCATTCTTCTGCAAAGTGTAAATATTCACGGCCGATTTTGAATATATTCAAAATAGATCCATGAAGCTAAATGGACTTTGTCCCTTCATGCGCTGCCTCAGATGTTGTGGTGTCCTTTTCCTTCAGATGCTGCGTTCAAGGTGGAAGGTGCTGCCATTCTTCTGGTGCATTTCTCCCCCTGCCGCCGCTCTGATGTCTGCATCGGCAGAGTTGGATGCAGAAGATAGCAGATGGACAGCACTTGCGTTTGGGTTTTTCGGTTTGGTCAAGGCAACAAGTCCATCCGAACCCGCAAGCTTTGTCTTTTGGGGCTAATGAGAAAACATCTCCAACATGGAAACTGCCCCACGTGGCTTACACCATTGCGGGCGCTTCTTCTCATTGGCTTGGTATTCGAAAAATGTCTGCTACAAACCCTACCAGAAAGTATCGCGCGATGCTAGCGAACGCTGTTACAGGTTCCGGCAGTTTCTGGGTAGAGGTATCCCGCGATAACGCGGAGGGCTCAGGTCTGTACCTAACGAATTTGGGGGCATTAGGAGTTTCATTTGTCTGATTTGTCTTTTGCGCTGGGATTTATTTCTCAATGACAAGTTGGTGGCCGAAGTTTCTACTCGTAATCGCAAAAGCAAACTCGAGTAAGGCACCAAGCGAGTTCTGCAGCTGTTTCTGCTTTTCGCACATTTTCGCTTTTCGCGCATGACAAACAGGGGCAACACTTTTGCGCTTGGGTGCAACCATCGCAATTGCACGCAACCACCGCCAAAGCTGTTGCTTACAGCTTGAAGAAGAGCGCTCTGCCGATGGGATCATCGGTCAGAATGAGTTAACCGCAGGGGAGTGGGGATCTAGGATGCACAAGATGCGTCTGCCGCCCCAGAGATGGGAGCGTAGGCATTTCCTAGACTAAGAATAGGGAGCGATGATAGCCGCAGCGCTATTCTTTCGCTAATTACCCCTAGCAGCCTTCATGCCTTCAGCATTGTTTGCTTCGCATATGTTTTGCGAACGAATAAAAGCACTCCGACTACGCGTATATTCTTAGCCTACTAAATGCTATCGCGATTGCGCGTTTTCGAATCTCGGTCAGAAGATTCGACTGTCAAAAGCCAGCAAGAGATGGGAAGCGCAAGCTACTCAGGACGGATCGCGCCTTGATCCAAGTCCAGAGTAGGGTCGCTGCATCTGCTTGTAAGAGCTCAGAAGTTTGCATTTTAGGCAAGACACATTTGCCAAGACATGAGCAGCGCGCTCATTGTAGACTTTACCAGTTTCCTAGGTTGCCTGCCGTGGGCCCCATTATAGCTAGACCGTCAGCACCAGCAGCAGCTGAGTGCAGCACTTGCTTTCAAGTGCAGCGTGAGCATCTCTGACTCATTTGATCAGGAGCAGGGGAGTGTATTGCGCAGCAACCTGTCTCGGACTAGAGCAGTTGCTAGCATGCTCCTGAGATCAATGAGATCGAAGAGATAGGCTCTAAGTATACCGATAGGTAGACGATCAAATACTAGCCTAGAGGGGTCACGCGAGTAGGATCACAGTACTAGAATCACTAGGACCACATGGGTCCTCACATGGGTCACACACTACACCACTAGGATGGTGACAGGATGATAACCATGACAATGGTAACAATGTACAACACAGTGCCAGAATGGCTTCTGGTCTACGGGCCAGTAGCTGGAAGAATAAAAAGCCTTTTCTCTCCGTAGTACCTACTAGGTAGGTGCTTAGATAGTAACTCTGTTCTCTATCTTCGGACAGCATGCTAGTGAGCATGCCTAGTCCCTGACGCTTGAGACGTCCACATCAGATGTTGTGGTGTCCTTTTCCTTCAGATGCTGCGTTCAAGTTGAAACCAATTACCGAAAAAACTATCAGGTACTACAAGGGTCTGGGTACGTCGACCTCCAAAGAAGCGAAAGCCTACTTCTCCGACCTTCCAAAGCACAAAATCGAGATTGTGTACGGAGACAAAGTCGGAAAAGAAGTCACGGTGGAGGATGAGACTGATCAAGAAAAAGAACCAAATAACCCACAGCAAGCAGGACAGAAGATGAAAACGGTCTACGAAGACGACGACTTAGTCGACATGGTTTTTCGCAGCAACCGCGCGGATGACCGGAAAGACTGGATGAATGCAGCGGACGACACACTCGCGCTGGATACGTCCTCTGGGACCATCACGTATCCAGGAAAAAAACTGTGTAAGTGTAACTTTCTTGGAGGAACAGCATCACAAATTTGTTCTGCATGACAGAGAAAACCTCTCATGCGTGGTTTGTAGGGGAAAACACAAGTAAAAAGAGGATTTCATGCTTGTCTGGCATGACAGGTGTAACTCTGTTGCATGTTCTGCATGACAGAGTTACACTTACACACTTTTTTTCTTGCATATCACGGTGAAAAATTTCATTAACCGCGAGATGGTCCAGTTTTCCAAATACGACTTGCGGAGAGCGTATCAAATGGAAAAAATGTCTGGGTCTGGAAACTTGTGATGCTGGGCGCCGTCTCATGATGAGGCTACAAATGCTGGCTCAGCATGACAAGTTTCTGAGCTCCTAGGTGTTGCCTATTCTGCATGACAAACTGCGCTTTTGCATCACAGAAAAACGGAGCTCTTGGGTAACGTGCATGACAGATCTAAGAGTCATGCCAGACAAGCATGACAAACATGAATTCTTCCAGACCCAGACACTTTTACAATCCATAGAGCGATTCCGAGTGTAATTGACGGATTTAAACCATCGCAAAGGAAGATTCTCTTCGCCTGTTTCAAGCGGAAATTGACGTCCGACATCAAAGTCGCACAATTATCCGGCTACGTGTCCGAAAAAGCGGCCTACCACCACGGCGAGGTCTCGCTGCAGGGGGCGATTGTGAAATTAGCGCAGAATTTCGTGGGGGCGAACAACATAAACCTCCTTGTTCCCTCCGGTCAGTTTGGAACAAGGTTAGAGGGCGGCGACGACCATGCGAGTAGTCGTTACATCTTCACGAGGTTAGCGAGGACCGCGCGCGCTATTTTCCCAGAGCAGGACGACGCAATTTTGGATTACAACAACGAGGAGGGTTTGTCCATAGAACCGGTCTGCTACTACCCCATCATACCCATCGTCCTTGCGAATGGCGCCAACGGCATCGGCACCGGTTGGTCAACGCAAATCCCGCAGTTCAATCCGCGCGAAATCATCAAAAACGTGCGGAACTACATCGAGAAAAAGCCGTTTCAGGACATGAAACCCTGGTACCGGGGGTTCAACGGCTCTTTAGAGCTGAAGGGCGGGGAGTCCGCGTTTCTCGGTTTGGACAACACGGGCGAAGCGCAGATGCTGCAGAGCTCGGCCTTGGTGTACGAGAACAAGGGGATAATACGGGAGACAAGCAGAACCTCGCTGGCAATCACGGAATTGCCGGTAGGGACGTGGACCAGGAAATATAAGGAGAAGTTGCAGGAGATGCTGAAAAAGGACGAGAAGGATACCGATTATCTGATCGCGGATATGAAGGAGCACCACACGGATAACACAGTTCACTTCGTGCTACAACTCACCCCTGAGAAGATGCTACAAGCGAGACAGGTCGGGTTGTACAAGCAGTTCTCCCTAGCCGGCCAGATCTCCATATGCAAGAAAAAAACTGTGTTAAGTGTAAATCTGTGATGCAGAAAATGCAAAACAGTTACACTTGTCATGTTGGAAGTGCGTCATAGGCTACTATCATACGCGTTTCCACGTACTAGCTGCGCATGACAGGTTTTCCCTGCAATACAAAACGAATTTGTGATGCTGCTCTTCCTACAAAGTTACACTTACACAGTTTTTTTCCTGGATACTTCATGAGCAACATGCACTGCTTCGACAAACAGCACCAGAAAATCCGGAAATATGAGTCCCTCAACGAGATTCTGCTGGAATTTTGCGAAGAACGGGAGCGGATTTATTTGAAAAGAAAAGCGTATTTGTTAAGGAAGAAGGAGCAGGAGATTTTGGAAATGTTTTCGAAATCCGTGTTTATCAAACTTGTTCTCGACGACGAGATTGATTTGGAGAAGAAATCCCAAGCGGAACTCGCGGTGGAATTGGAACAGAGGAAGTTTCCGAAATGGAAAGAAATCCACCCGGCGGATTTTGAAATGTTCGAGGAAATCACGAAGAAGAAATTCACGCCGCGGGAGGAGATTGGAAAAATGCGACAAAATATCGACGCAACTACCGCTGTACAATCCGATTACAGCTACTTGTTGAAGATGAAGGTCCACCAGCTGTCCGAGGAGAAAGCGGCGCAGCTACTGCAGCAATTACAGCAGAAGGAAGCGCAAGCGGACGCGATTAGGAAAACGGAAATAAGCTCTATGTGGTTAGGAGATTTGAAGACGTTAGAATCCGCGTTGGACGAGCAGGATAAAGAAGACGGGAAAGAAATCGCGCAGGCGATGAAAATATCAAATGCAAAAATGTCTGGGTCTGGAAGATTGCCAGGCTTGTCATGCATATTTTGCATGAGTTGTGATGCCTGTAATGCATGGCCTCGCATCAGAGATTACGCGAGGGCTTTCTGATGCTCATACAGCATGAGAAATGCTCTCTCCGCGTAGCACGAATTGCACCTCTTTTGCTGTTCATGCAATACAGATTTTATGTAGAGTCCAAAGGTAGCATCACAAGTCGCGTCCTTCCAGACCCAGACATATTTGCAATGCATAGAAAATGAACCGAAAGATTGGAGATAGCGAGGACATGACCAACCACCCGTGTTGTCTGGCCCTGAATAGTGAATCCGGGAAGATAAAGCAGATTCTGCGACAAAAATTAGTCAGTCGAGCGCACGGGAAAAATAAACAGGGAAAACAGTTTCTGCTGAAAGAGGGGTTTGCGGTGCCCGATGGGGAGAAGCTGAAACTGTTGGGTTGTCACAACTTCGACACAATTCTCTTCGTGTTGTCGGATGGGATGGTGATATGGATGTGTCAGAGTTGAAATCGACAAAGTTGAAATAATTTGTCATGCATAAAATGGATGCCAGTTGGAACCCAGTTTCCAAGTGGCGCATGACAAATTTCGGCGGTCCCTAAATCCAGTTTGTCATGCTATTTAGGCAAAGAAGAGCGATTTTATCATGCTACTTTAGCAGCTCGAGCTGTAACCCCAAACAGGCTTACAATCGGCCTCACTTGCCTGCTCTGCAACACACGTGCCTCGGGTCATGCATTTTATGCATTACAGACTATTTCAACTTTGACGATTTCAAACCTGACGCTTCCATAGGTGATATCACTACCAGTGATCTCGATCAAGGATGACGGAACATCAGGAGCAGGGAATGCGTATGGATTGCAAAAATGTCTGGGTCTGGAAGAATGCAACTTGTGATGCGCATTTCAGAACACATAAAAATCTCTAATGCATAGGTAGCAAAAGCTGCCCCCTTTCTGTCACCAAAGTGGGGGATTTGTCATGCGGATTCGGCATTGCGGAAGCTCGTCGAAACCTGTGATGCTAGAGCTTCCATGCCAGACCTTGTGTGTTATGCAAAAACAGCATGAATCTTCCAGACCCAGACATTTTTACAGTTGATAATGCAAAGGAAGAAGACGACCCAGACGCAGCCGCAGCGGCAGCCGCAGCAGCGGCGAATGGCGGAAAACCGAAGCGAGCGACTCGCGCAACGAAGAAGAAGAACGAGAATTTGCCGCGGCCAGTGCAGGACTTTCTCTCGTTCCAGGACTCGTGGCGGGCGCCGTATTTGTCGGCGAAAGAGATCGACACGCTAAAGGAAGCTATCCAAGAAAAAAAATGTGCACTAAGTGGGACTTTCTTTGAGGAACAGCATCACAAATGTGCTCTGCAGGACAGAGAAATAAGCCTGTCATGCCAAGCTAGTATCAGTGAAAACATAAACACGTACGAAACAAACCTCTGATGCATGTGTCTAGCATGACAAGTGTGCGCGTCTTTCATCCTCTGCAACACAGATTTACACTTAAGTACACAGTTTTTTGCCTGCATAGAAGCCAGTGGGAAAAACAAGCAAATCCTCGCGGAGGTAGCCGGGGGAGATCTATGACAGTGCACAACTCCCCCTCCGCCTCATTTGTATAGCATGAACGGCAACACGAATACAAGCATCAGCAAGAATGCTGGTTTTGCATGACAGATTTGATGGCGCAAGCCGTTCATGCTATACAAATGAGGCGGAGGGGAGTTGTGCACTGTTATAAGATCCGATGGTGGTCGATGAAGAAAATTTCAACGCAAAAGACCGGTGGAACTCCACCACGAAAGTCGTCGCCATGGTCCCTGTCTCCGACGAAAGGTCCTGGGAGTCGGACAGTTTAATCCTAGCGAGTAAAAACGGGCTACTGTTGAAGCTAAAGCTCAACACGGAATTTTACCAAAAGCAACTTGTCCGGGGGTTGCAGATGATGAGGTTGAAGCCAGACGACGAAATTTCCGGCGCTTGTTTGGTCAACGAGGACGACACGCTCTGCCTCGCGAAGCAAGACGGTTCATTCCTCCACACCTCCGTCCGCGCGATTCGCTTCGGGAACAAAAACGGCGCCGGGAACAAGTTTTCATTCCTAACCAAGCAGAAAGTTTCAAAAGAACTCCGAGAGAAGTTCAAACAGGCCGCTGATCCGGCGAAAGCACGGAAGGAGTTTTTGCAGAAGTCCAAGCCCGCGAAGTTGGTCGCGATCTCCCGGGTGTATAACGGTGGGAAGTTGTACGATAAGACAAAGAAGATCCAGGACAAGGACGAATTTCTCTTAGCGGAGGGGATTTCCAAGCCGTCGAAAATTCTCACCGCGAGCTACTTCTACGCGCAGTGGCGGATCAGGCAAGATTTGAAGGAGAAGGACGAAATAGGGGAATCCTTGCTGAAAGCGGAGAAAACGATTCCGAGAAAGTTAAAAGTCGCGATCAACGAACTGTATCCGAAATTAACGGATGGAGAAAAAGAGAAATGGGTGGAGAAAGAACAGGAAGACACGAAAAGATTCGAGGAGGAGATGAAGGTGTTTAAAGAGAAAATCAAGGAGCACAAGCAGGAACTGAGGAATAACAAATTTATCAAGGGAGAAAGATTGAAGGGAACAGTAGCTGGTTCCTTAGCCGGCGGTGCGAAGAGCTATTTGTTTCAAGCAGACCACTTGTACGCCCAGGACATAGCGAAGAACTACGAGGAAAAAATGCCGGATTTGGTGGAAAAAATGAAAGCAGCCGATCCGACCATGAACACGAGCTCCGTGAACTTTCTCGGGCGGGTTTTCTTCGTGAAGAAACACATCTGGCCCACCGTCGATGAGGAGACGAAGAAACTTTGGGGGGCAGAATCGGAAAAAAAAATCGCGGCGTTGAAGGAGCAAGACGGGGCGGGGAGCAGTGCTGCGGTCGGTGCTGGGGATGAACAGGACGATGACCCAATGCTCGGCCTAGACGGCGCAGGAGCTGTTGATGAGGACGGGAACATCAACATCAATGCCGCTGATGAAGAAGACGGGGCGGAGAATGAAGACGATGATGAAAATGACGACGACGAAAACGAAAATGACGAGGATGACGACGTGAAAAGCAGTGGTGAAGACGACGAAGACGGCTCGGATGACGACGGCAAGACGACCCCACGGTCCAACGCGGCAGGGGAACAAGGGGAGCTAGGAAAAAGTCTTGCTGCGGCGGGTGTAGTAGCAAAAGAGATGAATAACAACCTGTTAACCCAAAAACCATCGAAAACGCAATTAAAAGACAAGACCTGCTTTCTCTTCATCACGAAAAAAGGCCGGGGACAGCGGATCCCGGTACAGCAATTCGCCATCGAGCGGAAAACCAACACGGGAAGGCAGATCAAAACCGAGCCGGGCGATGAGTTACTGACGGTTTTGGTGCTGCACGAAGACCACTTTGACAACAACCAAAACAAGTCCTCAAGAGGACAGGGTGGGGGTTTGGCAAAGCCGAAAACGGGGGAAGAGTTTTTTTTGGATGTGAAGATCGAGGAGGAAAAGGAGAAGAAGGCATTCAACGGAAAAGTGGTGGAAAAAACGGTGGTCGTCACCAACGCCGAAGGGAAGGAGGAGGAGGTTGTGAAAAAGGAATACGTGAAAGACGTAAACGGGAAGTACCAGCTGGCGCTGTACCACGAGGCGAAGGCCGGGCTGAAGCAGAAGTTTTTGGAACTGAGCGAGGAAGAGAAGAAGGAATGGGAGGAAAAAGCGAAGGCATTCAACGAAGAAAATGCCTCTGGTGCGAAAGACCTCTCTCAAGTGCAGAGCATCCCCTCGGGGTTAATTTCCGCGAGCCAACCGGGCGAAGACTCGGATGTGGTGAGCGTCGTGCAGAATAAGGGTGGAAATGTAAATGAGCTGCAAACGACCACTGCTGCTGCAGCAGTTGCTGCCCCAGGCCTTCCAATTCTGTCGAACAAACAGCGACCGCATCACGAGGTTCTGTTGCTAACCTCGGACGGGGAAGCTTGCCGCATCATTCCAACGACGATTAACATCTCCAAGGGGCTGAAGGTACTTACAATACGACTCTTGTTGATCATTTAGATTTTTTGTCATGCATTGTTAGCATTAGGTGTAGTGAGAGAAAGAAATCTGTGATGCGGAGCATGCGTGACTTCTCACATCCCTTTATGTTGAGTACGCCAGCAGGAAATTGTGTTGAACCAAAATCCCCCCTTCCAGATCGCCAAATCGCGTAGCATTGCGAAGCTCCAGTCCGAGAGATCCCACCTGGTTGACGCCAGCTATTGCGTCACCTGGGATGTTATGCACTGCAAAAATGTCGGGGACTGGAAGAGTCATGCTGCTTTTGCATGACAAAGAAGGTCTGGCATGGAAGCTCAAGCATCACAGGTTTCGAGGTCACAGGTTTCGAGAAGCTTCCGCAATGCCGACTCTGAATCACAAAAGCCCGACTTTGGTCACAGAAAATGGGCAGCTTTGCTGCCTATGCATGAGAGATTCTTAATATGTGTTGTGAAATGCGCATCACAAGTTTGCATTCTTCCAGACCCAGACATATTTGCAATCCACAGATGTGCCAGAAAAGGCGAGCGACCGGAAGGCGCGACTGCAGGCGGAGCGGTTGGCGGAGAAGGAGAATCGGCTGGAGACGGTTTTTGAGGACAGCGAGGAAGAGGACGAGGACGAGTGATAGATCATGAAGGGATCATCTTCTGAAGGTAGTTCTAAGATTCAAGAATCCACTTGTTCTGTGGGCCACATGGGACATCTTTATTTTCCATCGCAGCGCCGAAAAAGCTCGCGGTAGGCCGTCGTCCGCTACGAATGCTCTCAGTTACTCCAACAATTTCAGGATAAACTTTACTTCACTAACACTTTTTTTTCGAAACTTTGTCAGTACTCATCACCAGCATGCAGAAGCCTTTTGCTGGTGCTTATCTGTTTAGCTTTTTTGAAAAACAAAAACGGGAAGATTTTAGATTATTGAAAATAAAAGTTTCTGGGGCGCCAACTTAAAAAAGTTGGCGAGGCTACTTCTACTCGGGCCTCATTTGATGAAAATGAAAAGACGACTCTAGCTACCTATTCCAAAATGAACCTTTCTAGCGTCTTTCCGCAGTAGCGTCTTTCCGGAAGTGTCGCAAAAAGTAGTTTCGGGCACGACAATTCTGTGGCGACATGCTTGTATGACGACACGGTAAAACTAAAAATGCAAATGTATCCATAGTGATAGTCTTCAACTCCAACCCACTTTACAATTTTTTTGCAAGAGCTCCTTTACGCAACGCACTGTCGCTGATAGTCTGTAGCTGTCACGTTTCGTGCAGCTGCTCGACACCACACGACCGAGTAAACAGCATTCGTTTAATATCGTCCCGCCTAGGTACCAGTATCTTTGTGTGTTCGGCTGCTGGTGCTACCCGTTGAGATGACTACAGTCGTTGTGGATACGACATTATGTGGTCAGGCGCGAAACAACAATCCGCCATAATAGAGCGGCTACAGGAGAGAAAAGGAGGCTATATCTTTCTAGAAAGGACCTACGGGTCCAAGTGTCGGGAGGTACTTCTACATGAGAGAAGCAGAAATAAGAGCGAAGGAGCATGATCGTAGATGAAGGGCAAGCACTTGACGTTGAGACGTACATATCGATTGGCGTGGTCGAGCATCGCCCACATCGTGCTCGTATAGTCAAGAACCTCGGCAGCGTAAGTTAAGACGCAACTCCATGTGGTTCTGATTTTCGAAAGATGCACCCACCTGAATTACAGGACCAAATGTCTATGAGTATGATGTTTGTAAGTACGTCAATCACAAGGTATGATTCTCGACGCCTATCAACAGCACCAGTCTCATGTTCGTCTCGATCGAGTTGTAGGATGCATGCAGAAGAAGCGAAAATAAAGTAGAAACACTCTGAGGAGGCCACGTTATTTGTTGCCACGATCTTTTTACTAATAAATACATAGTAATATCAAGTCAATCGCCTCGCGATAGCTGATCAAGATGAGCTTGTTGCTTTCTGATTGGTGAACAAGACACCGACTTAGAAATCGTCTTTGCTGCTCCACCAGTTGTACTCTCTGCTGCGTCGTTCGTTCGTTCCACGACTGGCGAACAACAATCTCCCCGCGGACGAGACCACGAAAAGGACAAGAACATCAACAGGAGCCAACCGCTGCCCGCGCTCTGCTCCATCCTGCTCAACTCCTCTTCCCCTAACTCTTTCGATTTTTTCGCACCAGCAGCCAGAGCCGAACCCTCTAGTTGTACTGTCGGAACAAGAACGAAGGAGCTGCACAAGGTCGGTTATTAACGGTAGCCAACCCCCGAAAGAGGAAGAGCGCCAGCCGCCACATCAGCGACAGCGCCCCAAGCGAGCAGGATCCCTAGAAGAAGTAAGTATTCCAGGCGGAGGACTCACTTCTACGCCTACGCAAGCAGACCAAGAAAAAATCATGGCGACCGAAGCGCCACCGAATGCCGCGCACATGTCAGAGCGGCAGGAGTACCGGTTATGAACTGCAAAAGTATCGTACTAGTATAAATTGCAATCATGCATTACAAATCTTTTTCTCAAGGTAAATCTGCATCACAAATTTTCTTTCTCATGCTGAGAAAATTTGTAATGCATTTATACGAGTACGATACTTTTGCAGTGCATACCGATGGATGCTCTACAACGGTACACCGGCAGCGCGGGTAAAAGCACTGGAAACGCTCTTCATCAAGTTTGACATCAACGGTATAAAGTTGCTTCTGCTTGTCTTTTTCATGCGTAACTTCTGTGCATGACAAAGGTCGTCTGTCATGCGTGTGACCCGCATGATTTTTTTGAAGCAAACTTATAGTTATGCAAAAAGTTTACCACCTATTTCTATTTGTATTTCCAGGTTCTGGCGAAATCGACTACGATGAATTCAAGAAGATTCTCTGGTCTTGCATTACAAATCTTGTTCCCAAGGCAGATCAGCATGACAAATTTCATTTCTCGTGCTGAGGAAATTTGTAATGCAATTTCGGCCGCTCAGGGTGCAACTCAATAGGGCCGTCCGTGGAAAATGGCTAGCAGGGGGCGCGCTTCTAGAAGTTGTCTCTAGAAGCCCCACCCAGAAAGCTGCATCGAAGACGCACTGAAGAAAACGACTGGCACTGCGGGGGCCGTCCTCGCGGGCGGAAAATAGCACAACAGCGGAGCTCCTTTTGGCCCCAATTTCTTTTCCTATAGATTGGAGGGCGCTCCATAGTGGCTGAGTAGTACGTAGGGGAGGCCGTTCTACGAGTTTTTTTGTGGTAGCGGCCCCACCGGGCGGGCTTCTTTACTTTAGAATGAAGGGGCCGGCGAAACGGCAGGGGGTGCGCTGCGGGTGGTAATGTCTAGAAATGAGACAGCGCACACGAGGGCAATCAGGCCAAGGCCCGCGGCCGGGTGGGGGCGAGCTAGCAGCTGAGCTCGGGGAACGAAAGCGAGCGCGCCCTCTAATGTGGGCCGCTTCTAGGGAAGGGCGCTACTAGCAAGCGCGGGCCCGGTTTGCCATGCTAAAACCGCCCGCCGGGCTTCTAATAGTGGCCGCGGCTGCGCTAGGTGCAGACTCCCAATGGTAAGGCTCTTTCGACTAGCCTGCGTCCCCACACTCGCCAAGTTTTTTCCTTGGTGTTTACATTTAGATTTACTAGACGACCTATCGCCGGCGTCCTGGACGCCGGCGTAGTAGTCTAGTAGTTATACAAAAAGTTTACCACCTATTTCCAGGTTCTGGCGAAATCGACTACGATGAATTTAAGAAGTATCCACAAAAAATTTCCCGTACACGTACAAATGCCGTTTCTGCATGACAAAGCTTCCCTCTGATCCTGTTTGGCATGACAAGTTGTCTGCTCTAAGTATAGTGAAATTTGTGATGCATGTTGTACATGTTGTACGGGAAATTTGTATTGCATACGAAGATTCTCTGGTGGCTCGAGTTTTCCCTCTCCGATGAGGGTGTGCGAGAAATCTTCGACGAGCTCGACGCGGATCGGTCTAACTGTCTGGATATCACATGCAAATATGTCTGGGTCTGGGAGATATCGAGCTTTGTCATGCTAGTCTGGCATGACTCCGAACTCTGTATTGCGTGGCCGCGAAGGCTCCTCTTGGCTGTCATGCAAAAACGCAGTTTCTCATGCAGAGCGCGCAACTCAGAAGGGCCGAAAAATTTGTCATGCTTGGCAGCGCATTTGCATTACAATGTGCTCACTATTCCCTTCCGTGCATCACAGGTTTCCAGACCCAGACATGTTTGCAATGCATACTGGACATGCGAGAATTCGTGCGGTTTTTCGACGTGCTCGACCGGTATCGACAAATGCACGAGGCGGACGTGAAGGACCAGCAAGTCGGATTATGCATTGCAAAAGTATGATCGTACTCGTACTAATTGCAGACATGCATGACAGATCGCCTTGGTAAGCTAAAACAGCATTACAAATTTCATCTGTCATGCTAAGGAAATTTGTAATGCAATTTAAACGTAGTACGATGCTTTTGCACTTCATACGGGTTGGTCCGCAGCAAGATCTGCCAGATGTTTTTCGTCATCATCATCCTGGCCACCGCGTTTTTCGCCTATTCCTGGGTGGCGGCGTCCGCGCAGGGCCGGGACGCGAGCAAGTGGTTGACCATGACGCTCGTCGGGGCCAGCATGCTGTTCGTCGGGATATTCGTGCTGGCCGCGTACCCGATTCTCATGATGAAATACGAAAAGTACCAACAGGAGAGGGAACAGCGGAATTTTGAACTCCAGCAAATGAAAGCAAACATGGCACACCACGAGACCATGGACTCACCAAAGAGCGGGAAGGGATCGGTATGGATATTGATGAATGTGATGTTGAGTAGCATCACAATTTTTTTGCATCGCATGACGGAGAAATCTTGTCATGCGACGCTAGCACGCGACCGAAATCGCATCTGGAAAGAGGCTCTGATTGATATCCAGCATGGCAAGTACAAATCAATAGCATTTTCTGCATCACAGACTTACACTTTTTACCCACGTTCAAAATAATACAGAAATCACCCATGGGAATGGGTTCGACCTCGCGATCAAGGCCACAACTCGACTCCGATGGGTATGGAGGGGTTCTCACACGTTACACTGACTGCTGTTACATGAATTTTCCATGCGAAATCAGTAGCACCCTCCACTTCCACACAATGAATCGTTTTTGTGCATCACAAGTTCTTGACGCGCTTTATAGCATGGAAAGCAGTTCCAGATTTGTATGTGCAAGACGTGCAAACGCTAACGCCCCCCCTTTCCTTTTGTTGCTGTTGCACCACGAATTCACGTAACAGCTAAGCAGTGTAACGCTTGTGAGCGCCATAACGCGTTTGCGGACTTCGGAGACGAGCCTCGCTTCCAATCGTCCACTATGACACCCTATGAACTGCAAAAGTATCGTATTCGTATAAATGCATGACAAATTCCCTCAGCATGAGAAATAGAATTTGTAACGCGGATTTACCTTGAGAAAAAAATTTGTAATGCATGACTGCAATACGAGTGCGATACTTTTGCACAGGATACACCCGGCGGCGGGCAGCAGATGATGAGCTCTTACCGGATGAGCAGAATGGACCAGAGTATCATACGAAAAAAGTGTTTCACTGTAAAAGATTTTGCGAGTTTCGCATTACAAGTTCGTTACATGTGACAAGGAAAACTTGCCGTGATGCGCGGTTGCAAAGGGAAATAAACACAGCTAAAAATCACTTGTCTTGCATGTGTAGCAACACAAACACTTCTACGATGCATTGTCTGCATTACAAGTTTACAGTGAAGCAGTTTTTTCTTGTGATACAGAGCCAAATGCAGTTGATGGATCAGTCCATGCACAGTACGATGGGAGCGAGTCAGATATCCTGTGCAAAAGTATCGTACTCGTATTGTAATCATGCATTACAAATCCTGTTCTTAAGGCAAATTAGCATTACAAATTTTATTTCTCATGCTGAGGAAGTTTGTAATGCATTTATACGAGTACGATACTTTTGCAGTTCATATCAGACCATGAGTCCCAACAACCAGAGTCAACAGCATAATATGGGCGGCAGTCCGAATAACCAGTCCAAATACGCACTGCAGGACTTTTCGAAGCATATCGTACGAAAAAAGTGTTTCACGATTGTAAGGATTTTGCAAGTTTTGCATCACAAGTTTGCTCTACATCACCGAGAAAATTTGCCATGCGAGATTCCTAAGGGAAAACACAGGTAAAACTCCATTGGCTTGCATGTGTAGCAAGACAAATACTTCTCAGATACATTTTCTGCATTACAAGTTTACAGTGAAGCAGTTTTTTCTTGCGATAAAGCAGGCCTCGCAGATATTGTCCGATGAAGAGTTGATCGCCGAATACCAAAACAATGAGGAGATCGAAGACTTCGCATACCACCAGGGGAACTACGATTTGGCAAAAATCCAGCAGCACCAAATAACACCCTCGACGTTTCACCCCATGGCGACAAAGGGATATCGAGGTATAATTTTTGAAATGCAAAAACGCAGTTTCTCATGTAGTTGACGCAAGAGATAGTCGCTCAGAAAGTACTTGTCATGCGCATCCCCATGATATTGGAGGCTGCTTATTATTCGCAAACTTGCATCACAAGTTTCCAGAGCCAGACCCAGACATGTTTGCACTGCCTAGGTCTACTCGCTCAACAATTTTTCTTCCACAGGTTCTTGGGTCCAGAAGAACAATCCGAACCTGACCCTCCAAGGAAGCTCCGCGGCCACCACTTTCTGGTCGCGCAAAAGTGTTGGCCAAGTGCTCCATGGCCATCACTTTTGCCCATCACTTTCCGGTCGGGCAACCGGGCAAGAGTGATGGCCAAGAGCTTCCAGGCAGGCACTTTTTGCCACCTCTTTCGTTCCGGCCGGGCACGCTTTTCCTATTCGGCTTCAATCACTTTTCTCGCGCACGCTTTTGCCCCTCGGCTTCTGGTGCATGGCATGGGCGGGGGGGCGCGAGGCAAAACCGCGCAAACAAGCCCCCGGAAGCGTGAGGCCCATCCCCATCCAGGGGCGGGGGTTTTCTTTACGCCGGCCGCCGAAGCCGCCCCAGAATAAGCTTCGCAACTGGCCTCCTTCGCTTTGCTTGCCGCGTGCGGCTAAAGGGCTGACGGCGGGCCGGCGTCCTGGACGCCGGACCGCAAAAGGCGTTAAAGCGGCGAGGCCGCTAGGGCAAGCGCAGGCGCGGCAACGCGGCTATAGGGCTGACGGCGGGCCGGCGTCCTGGACGCCGGACCGCAAAAGGCGTTAAGGCGGCGAGGCCGGTAGGGCAAGCGCAGGCGCGGCAACGATCTTCCTCGCGGCAGGCAGCGTTATGCTTTTCAACCTTCTAGCCACATCCTATTCGACTCCACGCCAGACCTTCTAAACGCATTCCCATCTTTAGAATTATCTTTAAATCTACTAGCCCAGCGGGCGTCCTGGACGCCCGCGTCAAGAGGCTAGTAGATCTACTTGCTCGAGAACAATTTTTCTCGGGTCCAGAAGAACAATTTTTCCACAGGTTCTTGGGTCCAGAAGAACAATCCGAACCTGATATTGCAGTGAAAAGTGCCCCCCACCCCTGAAAGTGCAAAATTTGTGATGCGAAGTTTCCAAATGAAAACTTTCTGTCATGCATGGAAGGAGTATGGATCTTTCTGATGCAGAGTCTAGGCGTATATCGCATCGCTTGCATGACAAGCGCCGCTCTTTCTGGGCCCTTTTGCAATACAAATTTTTGCTATTCACGATTGAAGACCTGTGATGCTGATAGATGCAAGAGCGCGAATGTTTCATTTGGAAAGGTTTGCAATACAAATGCTTTTAAGTTCGGGGGTGGGGGCATTTTTCATTGTAATACCTGACCCTCCAAGGAACGTCAGACTACGTTGGAAAATCTATCCAGAACACGAACCGAATGAGCCAGCACGCGCAGAGGGAGGGTTTGACGAAGCAGAAAATCGAAAACATCAAACTCAACTCCACCATCTCGAGCGGGTGGTACGGCGGCAGCTGCAGCCCCTACGAAAGCAGCCACATGATACCGCCCCAGGCCACGAATAACCGGATCGCGCCGACGGAGCCGGGTGGCCTGATAGGGGGCACGGCGCCGAGGGGGCACGGACAGGGGGCTTTAATGAATACGGGGATGTCCTCGAGTCCGAAGAAAATCGGGACCCACGGAAACAGCCCTAAATCACAACTGGCGCTGGGGAATTAGGTAGTGGCGGAATGAGGGTGAGGTACTACGGAACTACTTATGATGTTGTCCCGAAAAATATTAGAAACCAATGAATCTTAAAGTTAAACAATGAAGAGGAAGCCGAATGTTTATTACATTACACACAATTTACGAATTATGTTACGAGCGTTGTTTCGCAAAAGTTCGCCGACAGATCTGATGACTGGTGACAGACTGTAGAATTATGTCCTAATCTAAAAGTCGAATGCAAGAAGACAAGGACAAACAAGTGCTCGACTAACTCCAACCCGGAATAGGTCCACTGTGGTTCTTTGTCAGCACGCAAGAAGAGCTTTGAAGCAATGCAGAGACAATGAATTTCTCCCATGTAAATTTGTTAAGATTGTGCTACATCTGTGACAACTGTCTGGTATATGATGATTTTCGAGGAACAATTGTTACTTGTGCCAGCGAGAACAAATATTCTCACGCTAGTACAACTTCGGCTACATGCCTATCATCTCCGTGCGTGATCGGTGATGGCAACCTGCAGGGTCTTGCTTGGCGAAGCGTTCTCTGCATGCGCGGTTCATCCACTTTAGATAGACGTGTGGTTTTGATGCGCGCCAATCGTTGTCTCGCAAGATGATAGAATCAAGAATCAAGAGTCATGAAGCCTCGATTAAGTACATGTCTTTATCTGCTTCATCGATTTCGTCGTGTACGAAACACAAACAACAAGATCAGCTCCTGCTTTCAACAGCAGGTTTTATTCGTACGACCATTTCTATGTTCCTTTCGCTCTCGTGGTTGAAAAATTCGTAAAGGTTCTTTCTGTTCCGATCCGCTTATTGTTTTGACTAGTTTCTCGTCGTGCTGCTAAGTACTGATCCTTGTGCTTCATCACCTCGTACGAAGCGGATCAACGAGAACATCGAGGAAACCAGTGTCGGTAGCGGCCTTTTCGTCGTAGAAATAGTTGAACTTAGGTCTGGCTAAGGCTCGTACGCATGCAGATGCAGGAGCAGAAAAATTACAACAACGAATTTTATGCAGCCCCGATTTACATTTATTGACTTTGGTTTTTTCACATCGATAACCATTAACAACAGGGTGATTGCAGTTCTTCTATCGTGGACGAGCCGAGGATGAGTTTTTTTCAAGGTTCTTTTGGGTTTTTTTGATTTGTTTTTTTCAACTATGACAAGGAGGAAAAAAATGCGGCTTCGAAGGTTTCTCTACCGTCAGCTGCAGGCTCTTGCCCTTTCGTTTTTTCCGCGGCAGCTCGTCTCGTCATTTCGATCTTCTGTGCAAAGCACGGCGGCGGGGGCGGTAATATTAAACTTGGTCGCCAATCATGACGACCGGACCACTACAAGAAGGACCACGGAGAGGCGGAAATTAATGGTGAAACTGTTGCAAGGACGTCGAGAAGGGCGGCCGATACTGCTGGTCGCCGTGCTCCTAATTCTGGTCGCCGCTGTTATACTCATTTTCCAAGTGGCGCAGGATCTGCTTTGGGGTTCTTCCGCTGTGGTTGTGGATAAGCAAACAATGCGTAAGATAGCAAAATCTGCAAAATCTGGAAAAAAAAATATATGGCATTTAAATTTTGACGGTTGTGAGAGAGAAGGAAAAAAAGAAGAAGTGCGGTAAGTGCCCACGGCATGCGAAGCCTTGTCCTTGTGGGCCTCCGGGTTGCGCTCGTGTTTCGCTCGTCCTTTCGGAAACAAAACTCGCACGCCCATCGATGTGAGAGAGCGAGCAAAACCGCAGAGGCAGTCGCGCGAACAAAACTCGGCGCCGCAGGCCGCCGCACAAATTCCTGCACGCAGCCCGCCAAAATTCCGTTGCCCGGCGCCCGCCTGAAATTGACGCTGCCCGCCCCCCGGGCAAAATTTGACGCCGGGCGCCGCCAATTTTTCCGCAGCAAGCCTCGGGTCCCCGTTCCGCTGCGGAAAATTCAAAATGCAGTTTTGTGAGCAAAATCGCGAAAACCGCCGGACCCACGAAAACCCATTGAAATCGCAATGAAAATCGGCGCGGAGCAATTTTGTTTTCGCTCGCGCCACCTATTTTTCAGGTTTTCGCGATTTTGTTGCAGTAGTTTAGATTTTTTTTTCGCGACTTTGTTTTCCAATTTTGTTCCGAAATTTTGTTTCGGGTTTTGTTTTCTATTTTGTTTCGAAATTTTGAAGCGGACTCTTTTGTCCCGATTTCCATGAGCAAAATTTGTTCGCGGACTCTCATGAAAATTTTGCTGTGAGTCCTCTGCGGCAAATTTCTTTCAGAGCGGCTGCGTTTCCAAAGCCCTTTTTTACGCTAAAATCCGGAGTAGTATTGAGATAGTGTTGCGGCTGTCCGGTTCGAGACGATGCTGTACAGGGTGGAGCACGAGCAGCATATGCCCAACGGAGTCCGATGATCGAGAATGAGAATGACTAGAGCCACGCCAGGACGCTTGCGTGATTTCTTTTTTCGTTTTCCCAATTTTCCCGATTTTGCTATCTTGGTTCTCCGGAACATATGATTCTTCCGCTGTGGTTGTGGATAAGCAAACAATGCGTTAAAATCGCTTCAAATCCAATTCAAAACGATTTCAAAAATTCCGAAATTTCAACTTTGGGCGTCAGTGGGTCATGCCTTATTTCAGAAAAAGGCAGGCAGCCCGTCAGCAATTTTTGCCAAATCATAGCTCTGGGGTTTCGGACTTGCGTGTGTTTCAGAGCAGTTCTGGTGCTGCGCGGGATGCTTTCTTCGGCTTTCCTTCCTGCACTTGCTAGAAAAGCGTGGCTGCGGGGTTCTTTAGCAAGCCTGCGAGCAACTTGATCAACACAGCTCGGTGCCAGGTTGGCGGGCGGACGACTACCTACCGGCGCCAGGGTGGTAGGGTTGCTGGCGAATGAACCTACAGTCTTTCACGGGCCTCGAAGATATCACACGACTCCCCGTCCCCTGGGCTATTTATAGGCTTGATGCAAAACGGGGGGCCACTGCTCGCCTCTGGGGACCTGTGGGCACCCAGAGCAGGACTCCCTTTTGGGGCTCGGAAGATTTCGTCGTTCGGAATCCGGTCTTCCGGAATTCCGGGCAATTCAAAAAGGGAGCTCGAATTCAGTCCGATTTCGGTTCGCCATATCAGTATCCACGATTCGGACTGAGGTAGGACTATCGTTTTGAATTTGAAGAGCTGGGCTCCGGAGAGGAGCAAATTCAAACGGTGGGCTGGCCAAGTCGCTGAATTCAAACGGTGGGTTGATCATTTCAGGAAATTCAAACGGTGGGCTGGCCAAGCCAGGAATTTCAAACCGTGGGCTCCCCAGATGCCGGAAGCCGAACTGCTGGCGGACGCATAGGAGCGGAGAAACCAAAGAAGGGGCTCCACGGCTCCAGGGCCAATCGCAGTGGTTGCAGCGTTGGGGCCCCGAGTAGGTGAAATAGATAGAGACGCCAGCCGCACACACGCGCATGCGCGCGCACAGCTTTTGTCCTGTGGCACGTTGAAATGTCGCGAGCTCTATCATGATGTGCCCCGGTCGACAACACCAATGAGGGGAAAAATCTCCGCGCATCAGAAGGCCAGGAGACGGGCGCACGAGGCGAGGAAATCATGCCACGAGATAGCGGCTCTCGTTGTGGCAGATTCCAAAACTTCCAAATTTTCGAATTCGTTTTGAATTGGTTTGGAAAGCAAATTAATGCTCGGGCGCTTCTTGATTAAGGGTTCTTCCGCTGTGGTTGTGGAGAAGCAAACAAGGCGTAACGAAACGACACCACCAACACCATTTCCGAGTAGTACCTTTTTTGTTCGCGCCCAAAACATCATGGGTGCCGGGGCAGGCGGTGGAGTGGGCACTGGCAGTAGACGCGGCAGTGGAAAAAGTGTCGAAGCTGCACGAAATAAACCTGGAGAAGCAGGGCAACCAGGTCCGCCATTAGGAGCAGCTACAATAAATGAACCGAAAGATGAAAAAGTACAACTATCAATGGCGCCGACGCCAGTGAGTATGGACGCACCATCGAGCCTGGTGTCGTCTACTTCCACCGCGGGACGGGGAGCGCGACAACCTGGCACTATGGGCGGAGGTGGAACTGCCGTATCAAGCCCGGCAGGTAGCACAACGAGACTTCGGGCAGGCGTGGCACCACCATCGACATCGTCAACGGAGCTGCTGCAGAGAGACCACAGTAGAACAAGAGACCCGCCCGATAAGAATATCAAACCGGTGTTGAAAGAACCGCCAGACCACTCGGGAGTACAACAGGTAGATGAGCATGATGATTCTAGTGTAGGTGGTCCAGCTAGTACTGGAAGTGCTGGTCGCGCTGCCCCCGGTGGCGACAGAAGTTTAAGAAGTTCTGGCACTGCCACAACTCGAACTCCCGCAAGCGCCCCAGCCCCTACTCCTGACACAGGAGAAGCGGATGCAAATGAAACTGAAAATGAATCCGCTGCTGCTTCCTCGTCGCTCTTTTCCAAGTCAGCGGCGGAGCTAATCAGTGACCTGCTGAGCATAAATTCTTCGAAGCCCCCGCCCCCGCAGGCGGGTGGTTCACCACCACCTCCAGGAAGGACGTCGTTGAAGGATGGTGAAGGTGCGGCTTTAGATCCCGACACAACCGTCGAAGGCGCGGGAGCTAGTACTGTATCTAGAGCAGAAGAAGAAGTGGAAGGGACAGGTGCGGCTGGTCGTGCGACAGCAGCGGTCGGGGGTTCCTGGGATGCGCCACATGGGTCCGGTCTCCTCCTGTCCGACATGATCTCCGGCAGTACTAGAGAAGTAATACCGCGAGCAGACGAGGCGAAAGAAACAGAAGCGACCGAAGGAGCGGGTCGTGTCAGCGTAATAAATGGCACGACCGTGAGGAGGTCGCTTGCGAGCAGAAGTACCGAAACGGAAGGAAGTGACATATTACCTCTCTCCAGAGTAGAAGAAGACCCCTACAACTTTATCAAAAGGAAAAATCTTCCCACCCCATATCAAATGGGAAATCTGTGATGCAGGATTTGTGTACACAAATGCGCGCTGTCTTGCAATACGGCATCGCAGCCAGCTCCGCAGGTTAGGGAGGGACGTTTTGGTCTAGTTGCTTAGCATTGCAAACGCCTGCCCTCTAGGCCCAACAGCATTCCAAACCGCTCCCATAATGCCAGGGAAGCGTCTGCGTTTGTCTTCTGGCAAGACAGACGTGATTTGTGGTCTCAAATCAGCAAGACAAATTTTCGGAAACATGCCTTTTCGATATGGGGAGGGGGGATTTTTCCTTCTGATAAACTTCCCCCCCCGAAGAGGACTCTCCACGGCGCCAGACTACTCGGACGCAGGTTGCTTCAAGATGCAGTATAAGACCACGGGTTGGTGCGGCGGCTGGGTATGTGACTCATCAAATCGGCTAGTACCTTCTCAACTGTTGTTACATGGTTTCATCATGCAAAACTACCTTAAGCCGCCAAATGATCAAGCTGCTTCGCATGACAAATTTACAAAGGTGGGCTCAACAGCGTCTAAATCTTTGCCAAATCTTCTGTCACACGAAAGCAGCAAGCTTGCCTCTTCGGCTGTAGCTGATCTTGCATTACAAATTCATGTAACAGCTGAGAAGGTCGTTGTAACCGATTTGAGAACGCCATACTGGGGTGGTAGCGCGTCTGATTTGATAAACGTCTGCAATCCCGGTTGGCCCGGGATATCCAGTGCAAATATAATGTCTGTGTCTGGAAGAAGTAGAGTGCAACT